TATGCTGTTCAACCGTTCAGTTTCCTCCTCTTCGCGAATCGTTCCTTGTCAACGAATTCAAGGTCACAGACGAGCGAGAAATTTTCAGAGAAATCGGGGTCGAATGATGCGATGTGATATTTTTTTTTTCGCCTTTCAGAAAATAACTTGCAAATCTCATTTTGCTTTTCGATATTCTTTTTTTTTTTTAAATTCTGTACTTGGTAACCGAAATTTTGAATGTGTTTTTATTGTCCTCACTGTAAAAAGAAGGTGTCTTATTTTAAGATACATTGGTGGGCACTTTTAAGCCTTTTAAGCTGTTTCCAAAAATTTATCAAAAGCATCTCAAAAATGCATTGATTTCTAAGATGTAAGATAGAAAAATATGTTTAAACTTTATAAAAGTGACTACAATGTATTCTTTTTTTGCAGATATCTTAAAATATGGCGTAAAAGATAGAAAAATGGTATCTTATATTCTTAATCTTAAAATAAAATGTAGTCGCACTTTTAAGCCTTTTAAGTTGCTTCCAAAAATGTATCAAAAGCATTTCAAAATGCATTGATTAATAAGGTAGAGGATTAAAAAATAAGATGTTTTAAATGTTTTAAACTTTATAAATTTTATAATTTTTATAAAATTTATAAACTTTATAAAATTTATAAACTTTATAAAAGTGACTACATTGTATTTTAAGATGCTTCTTTTTGCAGTAATGTTGAGAAAGTGTCTGACAGTGACTTATTATACTAAATTATTTGTTTTAATATAAAAAGAAAATGTTAATTTAACATGAGTTCACTATAACCCTCGGAGAACATATGGGGTTATTCTGACCCCACGTTTTTCTTCTCTAAAAATAAAAAAAACTATAGTTTTCGACGCTCTTGACGCTAACTTCAGGGACATTTAATAAATTGTTCAGTAAAATTTCAAATTAATAGGAACACAAGAAATTTTAAGATTTTTTTTTTTAAAAACTAAACGGGAATTTAACACTTATCTGTAAGACAGTATATATGTATAAATTCTTTCTCCGATGTACTTTCTTTTAAATGTTTTACCTTGAAATCAATTCATCCGAAACGTCCTTGAGTTTCGTGAAATCGCGAAACAGTCTTCGCATCTCTAAACTTAACTTGAGTAGATATATATAATGTATTTTTTTTGAATGTTTTTTCACGCAATATATTCACAGAAAACTGAAATATTATAAATGTTTTTATTTAAAGAAAACTTAAATGTGAGTAAAGATGGTAAAAATTGATAATTGCTTACGAATTCATTGTTTGTAATTTTTTCCAAGAATTTTTAGCAACTTTTCTTAATACGATTTTTTCTAAGGATATTTTAATTATTTTTGTTATTTGTTACCCATTTATGGTCCAATGACTGGACTGCAAGGATTGTAAAATGAATAAATAAGTATCAAATTTAGACAAAAAGAAATGTATGAAAATAATTGCGAAGGTATCTGAGAAGGAAACGAATTGTAGGTTATGTTTGCGTTATAAATGTACTTTGCTTACTATTCGAAGTTCCTTTTTAATTAGTTAAATTTGAAACCAACCAGAGTTTTCTCGAAGGTATCAAATTGATACTAAGGTGTATCAATTTGATACCAAAATGTGGATTAAATAAAAAATCGAATCTGAATGTTTGTATCAAATTTGATACACTTTAGTATTAATTCGATACTTTTAAGAAAACTGAGTCTTTATCGACTATTTTAGATGTAAGGATACTTGTGGTTCAATTATTTTTAATCATAATATTGATCCTCTTTATGGATTTTTACTGCAAAAGTTACATAACCTAAAATTTCATAGCTTTTCTAAGGATATCATAAATTGAGACAAAAAACGAATCAAAAGTGTTGCGAAGCAACATTTTGATTCGTTTTTTGTCTCAATTTGATATATCTGTAGAAAAACTATGTTCTTTGTTATTCTTTAGATACCTTTCTCTTGGGGGCTAAAAATTAAAATAGAAAAAAATTTCTAGTTTCGTCATTTTGATTTCAAAAATAAATATTTAATGTTATAGTAGAAATAAAATCGAAATTTTACTTTGAATTTTCGAAAATTAATTTATATAAAGCAAAGCAATACACGTTGATTCGCATTAATATATTGGAATGCAGATTGGGATATAAGTTAAAGAAGCTTATAAGTCAAGGATTGTATTATTTGATTTTAGTTTAGCTGACCACTTTTAGAGGATATAATCTTAGTTCGTCTTTCAAGCCTTGAAAGTCCTATTCTTTTATCGTCTCTCTCTCTCCCTACTAGATTCCTCCCCACTTTTTTCTTTATGGTTTTTTGCACTCATTCCCTTTTTTCCTCTTCTTTTTTTTACTTGACTTTTGCACGATTCGACGAATACACGCGTCAGCTGCATCCTGTAAACTGCATTGCAGTTGAAAATAGAATTTAAAAGAATAAGAGTAGCTGCTTGATTTTAAGCCAATTTCTTTCTGATAAATGTGATTAGTGACTGTATTCTTTATTTATTTTGGAGAGAAAGAAGAAGAAAAAAAAAGCTAACAGCAAATGTGAAAAGTTTTTATTAATTAGATAGACTCTCTCATAAACCTCCATTATTCGAACTAATAAAATTTCTTTATTTTTATAAGATTTTTGTACCAATAGATGTAAAAATTGAAAGTTTGTGTTTGAGATGACAAAAAAGTTCGGATAAAATGATTTAGAGTTTGGATATAACAGAGATTTCGGTTAAACAGAGAGGTTCGGATAATCGAGGTTCCACTGTACTAAGAAATATGAGGCCACCAGCGATACTGACAATATAGAAGAATCTTATTTTGTTTCTTACAACTTATGAGACATGTAACTCATCATAAAGTGTCACCAAAAATTTTGCAGCCCAGTCAAACGTGATTTTGCTAAAGGTCAAAGAATTTAGATTAGCACTTGAATAGATACATATATAAAAGAATTATAACTTTCTCACGTACCTTCATTTCCTTTATATTTACACTTGTCTTTGTTCTTTATTCCATACATCATTTTTGTTTTTAAAAGAACTTAAATATAATATACAACTTATTGTAATTACCTCTGGTGCGAAAGACAAATGCTAACGATGGGTATAGTTAGAAAATTGTAATTTTTGTTTTGACTGTACGTCAGATTCTTCCTTAAAGATTCCTAGGACTGATGAGCCCTCCAAGGAACAATACATAAGAAACAGTGTTTTGAGTGGAAAAGAAAATATTATAAAAATCTACTAGATATTGAATGCATTATTCATGACGCAGCATAACGTAGAATCTATAACCTTAAATCTGGTCACAGTCAATAACCTGAGATGTTACAATAATATAATACAATAATACGAATTGTTAGTAGTAAAATAAATGATCATTTATTTTACTACTAACAATTAAACTATGGAAGGATTTAACGCTTATCACTCAATAATACGAATTTTTTGAATAAATGCAATTCGGTAGAATGACAGTTCGGTCAAATGACATTTGAGGAATAATCATGCGCCTGTTTTTTTATTTAGACGTTTTTGTAATTTAGCTCATTATAATGGTGCCGCCACATTTTTCATAAGTTTAGACGTTCTTACGGACATAATAAGATTTTGTTAACAAACAATTTTTAATTATCTTATTTTCTCCTTTATAAATAAAATTGCTACTTAAAAAGCATTATAATTTCAATCAGCAATGTAGAATATTAAATAATTCAAAAATTTGTTAGTCAAGGAAAATAAAAAATTAGTCAGGGGAAAGTCAGAGAATTTTGAAAATAAAATTTTGCGGCCACCCTGGATTTGATTAAAAAGCCCCAAAAAAAGGTGTACCGGGTATATTATATTAAAAACGCTAAAATAAAAAAGGTGCGCCTGTCAGTTTTGATTAAATACGCTAAAGAAAAAAGGGGCGCCAGGTAGATTTGATAAAAACGTTAAAATAAAAAAGGTGCACCGGGCAGATTTTATTAAAAGCGATAAAAAATATTTGCGCCAGGCAGATTTGATTAAAAACGCAAAAAAATACTTGCCCCGGTCAGATTGCGGTGCAACACTTTTGATTCGTTCCTTGTCTCAATTTTTAATATCCTTAGAAAAATTGTCTTTATGCTAAAAAAATACAAATTTCTATTTCATGCGCAAAGGTAGGATTTTTAACTATAGTTGTCCGTTTATTATTGTGACTAATATGCAATTTTCCCAACAGTTTCAACACCGATTTGCAGAAGAAAAATATTGATAGACGTTATTTGCGACACGCGCTACTCCGGTGCTTATGACTGTGATTATTTTTAATTAGTCAGGTACCAGAAGTAGCGCGCGTTGCGAGCGTCAACAATCATCTATTAGACTCTTCAGAAATGTTATAGAAAAAAGAAGGTGGTCCACATTTGAAATATGAATAACGAGGAAATAATAAAGAAGGAATCATTCCGATTCAAGAGATTTCCAGGAGGCCGCATATTAATTGTACTTCATCAGGTGCTCTGGTGAATTTGAAACCCGGCACCTGTTGGAGCGCAATTCATATGACTGTGCCGTACTTCCTTGTGACAATGCTTTCAAAGTTATCTCTTTCAAAGTTATCTTCTTGATAATAATTGCGACAAATATCAACTATTTGCATCACATCCTTTGGCAAAAGTTGAAAATTTATATTTTCAAAGAAAATATTGAATATAGTCCACTATAAAAAATATATTTTTGTTGTAAGTTTGCTACAAAATTGATAAACCAACTATACTTGATGTAATAGAAGGTACACTCCAAAGCCGGTTTAGCGGACTGTCAGGGGGTGTCGTCCGTTAAAGCGAACAATACCTTTCAGTCAGGACAAAGAAAATCGTAAATCACAACCCAAAAAGTCCGCTAAACCGGCGTTGGAGTGTAATAGTAAAAGATTTTTCTAATCGACTTCAAAGCTTTTTAGATTGAAAACTTAGTGGTCTCAATCAAAATTGTTGTGGCTATTTTATTGATTAGTAATGAATGATGAATTAGTAAAAATGCATTTGAATTTGGAAAAGATATTTTATTATATATCTGTACTTACAGGAACTGTTTGATTATACAAAAACTTAATAAACATGATAGTGGCATATGATGTGCCATTTTTTATAGAGATCCGGTGAGATGTTAGCTTAAAATACTTTTATAAATATATAAATATACATACAAACATAATCAACTTGCGATATATTACATTACATTTACATATTATACTATAATATGCTTTCGAAAATGATGATCATCTAAAAACTTGAACAGCACGAGAAAAGAATAGCTGAACATGTAAGTTTTGTACATTAACCTTTAGAGGGCCAGTGTTGGCCACTATAGTGCCCAGCATTTATTTTAACGAATTCTTTATCGAATTGACTTCTTATTTATAAATTTTTCTTAATAAAAAAACAACTAAAATCTGTCCAAATTTACCGGCCCTCTAAAGATTAAAACTATAAGAGACAAATACATGGTACAAATTTTTTTTATCTACTTTCTATGTACTTAAATACTATATAATTGACAGTATTTTGATTCAACAAATTGCAAATACCTAAATAATAATTGTCCTCAATAGGCTAATCACAATCTTCACAAAATGTACATGTGCGATAGTAGCAGATTAAATTTTTTTTGAAGATCATCACCGAATTTTACTTGAAAATTGGTAACTTTTTCTCACAAAAAAAATTGTTTATTTATAAGATATACAATTGCTCAAAATTGCTTAAGGGAATTTCAGCCATCATGACGTCACAGTTTGTACAAAGCATGTGTTCTAAAACCGTGACGTCATAATGGGTCAAATGCCTTTAAACGATTAAAGATAAACGAGTTTTGCTTTTGAATTCAACTCGAGGCACTTCAAGTAAGTAATAAACATGTTTACAATATTCTGTTAATTAGCAAAGTTATTTAAATAAAATAAGTTAAATACCTGGTGGATGAAATTAAATTACTTAAAATATTCACTCTTTAAGAAATAAAATACTCTTTAATCATTAAAATACTCTTGAATGAAATAAAATACAATCACAACAATAAACTCACTCATAATATATTTAAATAATTCTTATGGTTTAGACCGCTGTTTTGTAACTAAATAATCAGATGTAGCTGCGCGCGCCGCTTCTCAGTATGTCGTCAGTGCTACCAACATGATTCGAAGAATTGTAGTTTCGTTTCCATCAAAATTGTTCACAATACAAGTTGGCAGCACTGAGCATAGAAGTACTTTAAACTTCAAGTCATTTAATTTCATCAACCAGACTGAAAATAAGCTTATTTTGTTTAAATAACTTTGTTAATTAACAAATACAATATTACATTTATTTTTATATTAATATTTATAAATACAATAAAAACACAAAAATATTGTGAACATAATTATTACTTACTTGAAGTGTCTCGAGTTGAATGTAAAAAACCAAAACTCGTTTATTTAAAAGACATGAGCAATTAAACAATTTTTAGCAATTATTGCTGTATAAAAACAATTGTTTTGGCCGAAAAAGACGATTTTTTTTTAGAAAATTTATACGATTAAATGTAATATTACCAATTTTCAAGTAAAAAAAATGTAATAATCTGGAATCGCACATGTGATAATATTTTACTACACAAATAATAATAAAAATTCGGATTTAAAAATTATTATTATTATAGATGAAATGAAAGTTATGCTATTTAAAAATTCATTTCATCTATATACCTAGATATTTTTATAAAAATGTCTTCTTGGTTAATTTCACAATAGACAATTTATTTTTCAAACAATGCTTAAGAAAGAATTTGATGTACATTCAAAACAAAAGTTAGTCCAATGTCATCATTTCATAATTCTTTCTTAACTATAATGATTTTCAACATAAAATACTGAAGTATTTTAAAATATTAAAATACAAATTAAAAAAATTTTTAAAATTAAAAAGGCCATAATAAAATATTCAATATTTAAATAATTGTTCATGTTTTTATAGCTTTCTTACAGAAAAGCTATAACAATATGACCGTGAAAAACTCTTTTAATTTGTCTATTATGAATTTACCTTACAATTATGAAAGAAAAGAATACTTTTGATACATTCGAGTATTTATATACATGTTTATGTTATGAACAGGTAAATACGTAATTAACTAATTTTATGTACACAGAAGGAATATGTGACGCACCCCGAAGATTGGTAGCTGAGAAGCAAAAAATTTTAGGTTATGTTTATAATAGTGCTTTCTAGAACTATTAAAAATCTTTATACTGATTTGAAAGAAAGTGAACAGAAAGTGCTCTAAAAAGCTGTAACGCCAGAATGGTTCAAATGCCCTTAAAAATAATTAAAAAGGAACTTCTAATCAAGATAAATCTAACACAAACATAACCTAAAATTCGTTTCCTTCTTAGGTACTTTTTTTGGGAGCGCGCCACATACATTAAGTTTTCAATCTTTTAAAATTATTTAAAAGGCATTAAATAATTTTAAATAATTTTAAAAATTAGAAATTAGGAACCGTGTACAAATTACATAAGGCTTTAAGATGAAGAGGGGGGGAGGGGGTCACCAATTCCTTAACGACCATTAGAAAAAATTTCGCTAATGTATACAAAGTCTCTTATAAATAGGAAAGAGGGGTTTAAATTTCCGAAAATAAACCTTACGTAATTTGTACACGACCCCTTAATGTGACCTTACTAATTTTTTCTCATGTTACGCTTCACGGTGATAGGGACCTTTCGCGACAAAAACATTAGCCACAATTTTCGTACACTGCGCGCATGAAACACTAAACCTAATGTTACAGTCACGTAAGGTTCCTTTCACCTTCAAGCATCACATATTTTAAATAAATTACTATTTGCACAGATTCATCTGAGCATTTTCATCCCTAACTCTGTTATGATTGTGGAAATGTACAAAGTTATAATAATTATATATTATTGGTAAAGAATGTCGGTAATTTTTAAAAATAAATTAAAACCCACCAGACGAAAGAAATTGAAGACGAAATAAAATATTAATGCTGATCTCGATTATGAATTCATGTTTTTGATGACAAAAAGGTATATAGAAAGAGAGCAAGTTCGCAGACATTAGTTTGAGGCTGAAGGCGTCTTGGGAGTCTGAAAAGGGTTCCATTTAAGACACTCGGGATCGATTTCTTTGTATACGGGTCCACGACGCTTCACTCTTTCTTTGTAATCATCGATTACATCCTGAAAAAAAGATGTTATAGCAGAGGTGAAGGGCACGCTTTTTTTTATCAATAAAAAGAAAATAATATAAACTCTATAAATTTAATGTTTTTTTTTATGTAATTAAAAATTAGTAACCTGCACTGTAAAAAGAAGACATCTTAAATTAAGATACATACTATTATAGGCACTTCTAAGTTGTTTCAAAAAAGTTATTAAAATTGAAATAATAAAATTAAATAAAAATTTTTAAGATGCTGGAGGATCAAAAAATGAGATGTTTTAAATATATCTTAAAACGAACTATACAATATGTATTTTAAGATGCTTTTTTTACAGTGAGTGCATTGTCAATCATAAAATAAAACTGCATCAACTATTAAAATGAGTTATATTAACCTGTTTTTTCAAAATAATATGTTTTCCTTTCCAATATTTCATCATTCCTAAGGCCTGAAGGGTACTAACTATATCATAAGAATCAATCGCCATCTCTTTACTGATATCTAGAAATAAAAAATCTCCCAGTTTATAAATTATTCCAAAGTGGGATGTGGGGGGAATTACTTTTAATTTTATACCTTTCACGGAAAGTTCTTTTCCACCGAAATTACAGAGATATTGCAGTAACACATCTTTCCAGTAGCTTCGATAAGAAATTAGGCCCAAGTCAGACAGTGGCTTTTCTGGAGAACCGATTTTTTTCTCTACTCTCGTTAGTAAGTAGCCTAGGAGAAAAAATGGGTTTTTTATTTGCAATATGTACAAGGTAGTATTAATTTATTTTAATTATTTGAAGTTATCACTCAATGTATTTAATGTACACCCAAAACTAAGATCCGACAAAGATTCTGGTGTCATGTGGACTAACCTTAAAATCACATTAGTTGGAAAAGGATAGACATAGCTTAGTTCTTTTCTAACCAATGGGACTTTACGGTTAGTTCACATGCCACTAGGAACCAGGATCTAAATTATTTTAACCCAAAAGACAGATCTTTATTCTAACTGAATGGTGTAGGCTGTGCAATGTTGGAGCTACTATCTGTGATTATTAGAGTGACATTTTCGTTAACCACAAGTCCACGACTGTACTTCGTAAACTTGCTCGGCAATCATCGTGATAAACATAAAATAGTAGAATATATCCATTACCACGAATCAGGTAATAAACTGAATCTTAGCCCAAAAGCATGTATTCTGTCCTTCCAGTTTGACGCAATTTTGAAAAGTCGTGTCATTTCTGTCCAGATATTGTTAGTTCATGACATACAAATCCATACGCCACGAACTAAGAATATTTGATAGAAATGACTACGACTCAAAATTCTGTCCAACCGTAACGCCAACATACACTTCGGATATTATTTATTTGTAAAATCTCTTATTTGTGGAATTTCACGATTCCCAACATTTCTTTCTATTCCTCTGATTGAGACGGTAACGAATCTCACCGGCATCAGCAGCAGCAGCAGATAGTGCGCCTCGACGTAAAGCAGCGCTCCATGCGGAGTTCAACGACCCACTCCCAGTCAAGCTTCTGCCAGACGGGCTCATTGGGGGTGGAGAGAGACTCAGAGGACAGATAGAGGCAGAAGATAAAAAGATGAGAGCTAGACAAGGAGACTCGTAGGGATGAGGGTAGATGTATGTAGGATACTGGCACTAGCAACGTTCACCAGCTAAACGACGAGCAACGATAGCAAGACCGACAGAGACAGAGAGAGAGAGATATATACTCTTTGAGAGACTAAAACTCAAATCAGACAGATAGAGGGGGAGGTAAAAGAAAGGGCAAGAAGCGAGAGAAATCCAACCAGAGGAGAAAATTAGAGGCGAGGGAGACAAAAGATGTGAGGATTCTCAGGCGCGATTACTTTGGAAAAGCTCAACTCATTCATTACACTCCGGTGGGGGGTGAGGAAAGGGAAGGTTCAGTTTTGTGAGGATCCATGACAGAACCAGTTGCCCGCTCATTTTGCATTAAAACTTATAAATTTGAATTTTGAGTCGCATTGAGGTTGTGTGGCCAAAAGCGAGGGCCAAAGTCAGAAGGATGAGAGAGAGAGAGAGGAAGCCGACACCCTTTGCGAGGTCACGTGGGGTCACATACTAACACAGCTAAGCAAGAGAGGGCTAGAGAGAGAATTGCCGGCCGGCATGGCTGGACAACATATATATACACACAGAGTATGGACCACATGAACTGCAAAAGCAAAGTCGATCGATGTGGCGAGACGCCACGATGTGCCATGGCCGTGTGGCACGACGACGCTGCTCCTCGTTCTATCCCGAACAAATTTTCTCCCATTCGAATCCCATTTGTCTAATCAATTCCAGAGAAGGACAACTTGATTTTCTCCCAGGTGAGTGAGAGACATGTGCGCCAATCACACCCTCCTCCCCACCAAGGTTCACAAGGTCGACGTCAATGAAAATGACGTCATTGAAAAAACACGAGGAATTCATTTAACTTTGACCCTTTTAATTCATTATATTTCAGGAACAGTACAATACTATTTCTATTAACCTTGAGAGGGGTGGTCACTATACTACCCACCATTTATTTTAACTTATTTAATTTTTTTTAAAGCTACTTTTGTGCCAATTTACCAGCCCTCTAAAGGTGAAGAATTTAGTGATTCACTATAAGACTCTGTTCTTTCATAAAAGAAAAGAGATGACTCCCTTTTTGCTGATTTTTATTAGAAGTCATTGTATTCACCTGGCCCTTTCTGACCATAGTTGAGGTAAACTACGGAAAACCTTATCCAACTACAGCCGATTTATCGACAGCTGAGTCTTGGATGTATAAATTCGAAGTCTCGAATACCTCAAGTGTCGGAAAAAAAAATCCCAGGCTGGCGGGCGCGAACCAAGCAACGCTTTACTTCCCGCTTCCGCAGAGCCGAGGTTTTATCCAACTGAGCTAAACCCGTAGGTAGGATTCTAAAATTCCAAAATAATGTTGTACTACTAAAATTGAGGACCCAGATAGCATTGAGGGCGGTGGCCAATTTTTTTATTCTTCTTTCGCCCTGTGACTTAAATTATTTTTTATTTTAAGGCCAGAGATTTTAATTTTCTTTTTCTTGAACATTCGTTAAAAAAAGAGATGAAATGAAAAATGTTTTTTTTGAAAGCAGGTGAAGAACCAAATCGCAGTTCTGTGGATCCTAATTGTGCCTTGGTCTTTATAGTCACATGACAGAAAATTAGAGCCTAAAATAAAACTTTTAAATTCAATGCTATCAAGGTCCTTAATTTTTATTATTATTTAGGTACTATAAACAAGTGTATATAAAACTTAAAAAAATTCCATTTTACTCACTGAAATCGATTAGCAGTCGACCATATCCTTGACGTTGATATGGTGGTAATGTCAGTATACAAGAAACATTGTAATTTAGAAAAGAATTCTTTTCCTGAAATACAAAAATTAAATTACAGTTATTATAGTAAAATAGTAATTACAGTTTTAGTAGTAGGAAGATACAAATAAAATGCAATTTCTCATATGGAAATTTTATAAAGTATTCAGCTCAAATTCCTCTTTAATTATTTAACCTAAGATAATCCAACAAGATTCGGCAAGGCTCCTGGTGGCATGTGGACTGACCATAAAATTCCATTAGTAAGAAAAGGATAGACGCATCTTCGTCCTTTTCCAACTAATGCAATTTTTTAGTTAGTCCACATGCCACCAGAAGTCTTGCCGGATCTATGTGAATTATTTTAGGTTTAACCCTACTTATTCACATTGTGAACGTAGCCTAATTTTTTTCTAAGTGGTAACCATTTTTATTTTCACTGGGAATCCTGGTTATTTTAACAATTTTTCTTGTAACAACTTTAGTAGCCATTTTTAGGCCACTAAAATACATAACTCTATCAGGGTTATGTTTCTACAGTCGTGCCCAGGAATGCCTTTCGTCAGGAAAGGCACTAATTTCAAAAAGTTTGCCTACCTTTTATATTGTCTAAAATTTCAGCCAATGATAAAGCAGAATTCCGTTAGAATTATTGACACGAACTATAAAAAATATAGAAAGTGAACAAAACGCGTCAAATTAGTTATATTGTTAAATTAACAATAGATGAAAACTTAACTCTAACAGAGTGAACTTGTTACAGTGAAATAGTTAAAATAACAAAAATTCCCACTGAGATAATTCATCTAGATCCGGCAATGATCCTATGGTGGCATGTGGACTAACTAAAAACTCGAATTAGCAAGAAAAGGATGGAGATCTTTTCTATCTTTTCTAACTAATGGAATTTTACAGTTAGTCCACATGCCCCAACCAGGATCCTTGCCGGATCTAGATGAATTATCATAAATTTCCATCATTTTATCTGTTTCTATTTGGGAACTTTTCCAAAAAATGGTAAAATAGTCGTGTCCTCATAAACGGGTCCAAGATATTTCGTTGAATGTTCATATTTTTTTCATGCAATATACAAGGGAAATAAATTCTTAACACTATTCTCTATATTTAGATTGAGATGAACCGAATTTTCTCCTTCATTATCGTCAAGCTCAACAAAGCTACAAAGCAATCCTCTTAGCTTTGAATACGTGGTGTACAAATAGTTAAACTCTGTGACCCTCACCCTCTATATACCCGCGCTAAATATATCGTCTAAATGCCATATATAAAACTCATCGATCCTACCGAATGCTTTATTGGGCTTCCAGTAAATTCTCAATAACCGAGAATGAGAGAGAGAGCAGTGCCGAACGAAACTTCACATTGATTTCATTGTTAAATATTTTAGCATTACATCAGAAAACGTAATTTTCACTTTAGGATATATACTTATTTTGAGCGCAACTTTTCCTTTTGTGAACGGTTCGAATTTAGAAAAGTTTTCTTTCTGCAAATATGATAGAAAAGTACAAAAACAAGATTGTAAAAATAAATTTGTAATTGAATATAATAATTATGTAATGCGACAACTCGATGGCGTAAAAGAGGTTGAGGAAAAGTTTTTTTTTGGGTATACAGTGGTGGTGCGGTTGGGTTCAGTATATATATATAAGCGAGTGTGAGAGAGGCTGGTAAAAGGACTGATATGTATTTGGCTGAATTTGGTTGTGTGAATGGTGGTGAACAGGACTGCTGCTGTCTGGCATCGATCGGCTCCAGCAGGAGTTCTACAGGAATTGAGGAGGGTTGATGAAACCTACCCCAACCTCTGTCCGTACCATCGACGACTACCCAGTTCACCTTGTCTACGTCATTCGCCCTCTGTTTCTCCCTTATTCCACAAACTCAGACTGTTTCTGTCTCACCCTCAAGACGTCTGTCTCCTTGGATATTTCACCCCTTAGTCAGTTCATTCTATCAACGTTTTCTCATCCACTTCTTATCCTCAGACGCGGCAGATCCCTCGTCATCGGGAGAACCGACTCTTTTTTTTCTTTCTTTCTTTCTCTAAAGGAAGGTCAATACTTTCCTATAACATTCAAGTGTATTGCCTTTTTTTTCCTTTTTGTAAATTCTTCCCTGTCGCATTCGCCACGAATAGTCTTCATCGTAGACTATTCACCACGAGTTGCATGTGTTACAACGATCGATTGATTGAAACTTCCCCATGGCAACTCGTTTTTTAGAATAGTTAATTGCCATATTCTTAGGCCTAATGTATAATGAAAACTGTTTCTCCGAATTAGTAGACTAGTTTGGAAGAACCATTCGGTGAGATAATAATTGAGATAATAATTGAGATGAAAGATTTGATGTAAAAGTGGTTGCAGGAAAAAGCGAGGCGAGAGAGAATGGGGGTTGAGGGAGACACGATCAATCGTAAGGTACGAATGACGAGTTTGTTGCCCTTCGGCGTGGATCGGTAGCCAAAGAGAGGAAGGACCTCGGTCCCGGGGATTTGGTTCTTCCCGGGGTCTTTATTCCATCCCCGTAAAGAAAAAAAGGGAGGAAAAAAAAAAGAAGAGAGGCACCCTATCCTCCAGGCCCTTCTCCAGTTTTGTTACCTTACGAGTTGCCTTAGAAGGTAGATCTCCTCCTCAAAAGAGAGAAAGAGAGAGAGAGAGAGAGGGGCCATTGGTTCTGCGGGTTGCACCTCGCCCAGCAACTTGTACTTTTGGTGGGGTGCAGGGATTGGCGCCGACGCCGCGATTTAAGCCAGCTTCATGGTGCAGAGAGGGAAGTAATAACGACCCCGACGTCGCAGTGCGCTACAGAAAGGTTGACGACCCGACGAGCCAAGGCGAGACGAGGTGAGGCGAGTCGATTCTCTCTTTCCCTCTTGTTACCCTCACCGCGTCGCGCCGGGACTCCTGCCAACCCTCTCTCACCCATTACAGAGAGTACACACTGAGTAGTATTGGTGTACGCTACCATCAGCTACCACCCGCATCCCCGATCCCAATTCGACAACGTACGGCTTTGCGTATCCTGCGCCCAGCCAGACCCAGCCGCCTCTGCTACTCACTGCACCACCACTACACCCCTAACGTCTAGCCAGGGTCGGGGTCGTTGAACGTCGATAAAGATTTGCAGGTCTGCAGGAAGCGACCACTGCAGCACAACATGCTTCTATTTCATTTCATTCCTTCTTTTCTCTCTTTTGCTGCATTTTTTTAATTGCGCATCGAACAGCATTTTCTTCTCTTTTTATTTAACAATTAGCACAATTTCATTGACTCCGCTATTTATATGCAGGACGGTTGGCTCCTTACACTACTAAAATCATCTTATTTGGTATAAGACATTAGGGCCTAGTCTCTGTTTTCATTTAATAACTACTAGACAAATTTTCGTGCGCTGTTTCTTCCTCTCTTTTCTTAATAACACTAGTTTACAAAGATTTTCACCTGCGGCGTTTCACTATCATTTCTTATGTAAAATCTGCTTCTGAATCCGAATATGAAGTCTGATTTAGGGTTACTTCCACCAACTTCAATTAAAAGTTAATCAATGACTAAAGCAAGTTTTAACGTCTCCTGAATCTTCTGATTAGTTGATTGAGGATTTAATCATTGTTTAAAGTCATTTTAGCCCATGATTGATCGGTTAAGGATTTAATCATTGATTAATTAATCGGAGTTGGTGAGATTGGCCCTAAGATTTTTTGGTTAATTTCGCCGCAAAAAACGTGTTTATTTCGGGTTTTCCTTTCTGGACCTCAAAGTATAATTTCTTAGGAAGAAAATAAGCCGTTGTCGATCAAAATTGAACCGAAAATACAGAAGATATAGGCATTTGAGTAAAAATAGGGAAAATTAGCTTTTACCCAATTTTACGATTTATTAACAACATCGTATTAGTTTAAGGTTTCAAAAAATTTTAAACATTAAAAATCGATCTACTACATTCGGAAATAATGGTAAATTTATAAATCCACTTTTTGTCGAAACTCAAAAAATTGAAATTTAGCTATAATCTCGAAAATTGTTCTACTTTCTTAATATTTGACTTCATAATCGAATTCAGGAGCAAATTTTACAGTGAAATGCCGCAGGTCAGAAAATTTTTTTAATTTTATAAACTAGTGTAATTTAGAAACAAAGAAATAGAATATCACAATTGATAGTGAAACATAAAAAATAACAATAAAAAAACTGTTGCCAAATATCACAAATACTTTTGTATAGCAGAATTGCTTTCTTCCTCTTTCGAAAATAAATAACATCAGAATTTCTTCCTGTACCTAATTTGCATATCTACTCTTTTCATAGAAGAATATTTTTCAAAGGTTTATAGAGGTCCTGACATTACAACTGTTGTGTTAACTTTATCATCTTTAGTTACAATCTTTATTTTTATATTCAATAAATTGATTATTAGAATTATCTTACAAGTCACGAACTAATATTGTGATAGATATGCCACGGTTGTCAAGAAAGGTGTGCAAACCTTAAGGACAGCATATAAGCAGTTATACCTGTACTTGATGTTAACAGTCTAAATTTCAGGGGTTCCAGTGTAGTCTAAAGGCCTAAGCACAACTGCCTCGAAAACGCAAAGTAGACGCAAAGCAAGAGTTAGAAAAGAACAGACATATATTTGTACAATTTTCTATCTCATGCTTCGCGAACCTATTCTGCGATGACCTTGAACTAAACTCACGACCAAGGCTAAGAAAGAACATAACCATACTTAGAATTGTAGTACTAAACGTATTAATTATTTCACTTTGCGTTGACCTTCCCCTTTCTCTAAATCTAAAAAAAACGACATACCAGATTCTAACTATCGTACAAACGCTCTGAATTAATAAGATTTCACTTAAAATATCATTGAAATTTATTCAATGATTCATTAGCGGATATACGCTAATTAGAATCTGTGGTATGCTTATCGTTGGGAATAAGTGAAATTTCCGAGTTTCGCTAAATCAGATTTAGAGTCTATAATAAAAGCTTTTATTGGTAATTTATTTCTGTTTATTAGAAAATTTTCCTGACATAATTATTCTCTTTTTGACACTTAAAATAATAGTATAGTATAGTCAAAAGCAATAGAAAAGGCGTGTACTAGACCTATTTCATATATTATTTATAAATGTATCAGTGGAAATCAAGTTTCGAGTAAAATTTTCTCTAAAACAGAGATGCCAGTTTGTCTTGCCAGGGTCAGAGGTCGTTGAACGTCGGTAAAGATTTTGCAGCTCTACTGCAGTAAGTATAAGCTATGCGCGACATAGCTAAGATGCAGAGGAATCTACCCAGAGCAAAAACGTATCTTTATCTTCGCCCTTCTGCAATACGGTAACTCGATGCTGCCGCATTAGACCATCAGTTTATTGGACCCATTAAAGAGTCATAATAATAATAACAATAATAGTAATAATAATAATAATAATAATAATAATAATAATAAAAATAGTAATAACAATAATAATAACAATATTAATAATAAAAATAATAATTATTATTTTTGTGAATTAAATTGAATTATCTTAAAATACCTGAATTACATTATGAATTATCTGAATTAGCAATTCCGATAAAAGTTTTATCTTTCATCTACTCATTAAAATGGCGTTAAAATTAATAAGATTTTTACTCAGGCTTGTGGACTAACCATAAGATCCCATTAGTAAGAAAAGGACAAAGATATGTCTGTCCTTTTCTTGCTAATGGGATTTTTTGGTTAATCCACATGCCACCAGGAGCCTTGCCGAATCTAGGCAAATTATCTCAGCCAAAATATTGAAATGTTGAGAAGAAATAAAAAAAGAAAATAAAAATTACTTCAAGTGCTTACCTTGCTGAAGTAACCGACAGTGTGACATCCCTCTGAATCGCCAATTGTCATAACGTAGAAGAGAAAAGGTTCAACATCATAGTAAAGAGTCTTATGATCCAAGAAAAATTTTGCTAGTAAACAAAGATTTTGACAATATTGCTTGTAGCGCTTTCCATCTACTTCCCAGACACCAATCTTCTCTTTTCTAAACAAAGAAATTAATAATTTACCTTGTAGTGTTTTTTTTAAAGAAAAATCCGACAAAGAATCGAAAGAAAAGTTAGTCCAATGTTCTTAATTTCTATACATTTTTATTAATTATATAATCCGGTGAAATTGTCTAATTTTATTAATTAAATATTAATATATAGATTATTTAAATGAATTATATTTAATAATATTATTAACACATAAATCACATTCTTGCCATTGTGTAAAATTATTTTTAAAAAATATCGTCATTTAGTTCCGCTTAATTTGGAAATTAGGCGAATTTTTAAATTTCAAGTGGAATGTGGATCAGCTGTTTTATTTGTCCGCCGCCATTTTGTTTCTGGTAATTCTTAGAAGTAAAGGCCTATACACAACTACTTAGCGAACGCAAAACATGAGTTAGAAAAAGACAGAGAACAATTTAATTATTTACAAAGATAATTAAAATTTTGAGGAGAATTTAAAAAAAAAATTTGTAAACATTATTGAATTTCTGCGAAGAATTTTATTACTTTTGAAAATAATTAAATTGTTTTTTTTAGAATTTTATGGAAATTGATAAAAATAATTGGATTCTTGTGAAGAATTTTTTTTTTCAATAATATTCAAAAGAATTTATTAAATCTGAAGAATTTTGCTATTTATGGAAATAATTGAATTCTTGAGAAGAATTTTTTTTTACAGTTTCTAGAAATAATTGAATTGTTTCGACGAATTTTAATAAAATTTTTACGAATAATTACATTTTTCGAGGAATTCGATTAAAATTGTATTAAAAATAATTGAAAAATTTCAAAAATATTATTTTTCGGAATTTTCAAAAAAAAACTTTGCGAAAATTCAATTTTATTAAAAAATTTTAAGTGTGTAGCTTTTTTTAAATTAAGTAATAAAAATTTTAATTATTAATCTTCGCACTAAGAAAATACATTAGAATCTGACTTTATAAAATTCAATTAATTATCAATTTTTAAATTAAAATACTTTGAAAATTCGATTTGTTAAAAAGTTTTTAATGAAATTCTTATAGCAAATTGAATTATTTTCAGTTGAATTTCACAAAATTTCTATTAAATCGGTAATTTTTTTAAAAATTTATGTACATAGTAAATTAAAATCAGTGACTGATTTTTTACTATCAAATTAATTATTTTTAAGTAATTCAAATTTTGAGAACAGTATTGAATTAAAAATTGAAATAAAAGGCGATTTTTTAAAAACAATTTAAAATAATAATAACTTTTTTTAAATTTGGTGATAAATTCAAATTCCCAGTTCGGCATAAAATTCTTGGCTTATTTCCGGTTTTGGTTTTTGGAACAAAGAATTTTTGGAACTTTCGACTTTAGGAACAAAGAATTATTGGAAAATTAAAAAAAAATGTTTCTTAATACTGACAGAGAATTGTAATGTATATTCAAATGCAACTTTTAGTTGTTTAAATTGTTGTGAATTATTATTATTTCCTATTGTCAGGTTTTTGGTAAAATGTGATTGATAAAATTCGATAGTTTTTCGAAATAGTTTTTACCTGTAAACTTCGTGGCCTGGAGGATGTCGCCAGAGGCACTTTTCGCGATGTCTCCTTAAAACCTGCCGGCTTTTTGCGTACCTCAAACAGAATTCGCAAAGATAAAGCTTTGGAGCACGACTATATTCTTCTGGATAGGGACTTTGGTACCAGACTTCCATCTCCCATTTTCCCATTTCAACGAGACGTGTTCCACCCACGTTCTTACTGTCTCCATCATAATCTAATTCTTTCAACTCCTTTTCCTTCAATGAAAAAAATACAAAATTACTTAATATCAGTCGATTCTCTTCATTGAAACCCAATTTTTCCAAGGATATCGAATTGAGACAGAAAAAGGTATCAAATATCAATTTTTCTAAGAATAGCAAATTGAGACAGAAAAAGGTATCAAAAATGTTGCTTCGCAACACTTTTTGATACCTTTTTTTCTCAATTTGCTATTCTTGGAAAAATTGTGAATCAATTAGCTTACAATTTTTTCACTGGCAATCGCTTGAGCTTCCATAAATAATTTGAGATCGTATTCGGAGGTGAGATTCATAAGACGTGGTTGTCTGTCTTTTTCGATTCCAACATTTTCACCTCCACTATCGCTCTCGTTCGTATCTGCGGAAGGTCCTTTCCATTTACCTCTTAAATCCTTTACCTTCAATTGATAGTTGCGTTGCTCATTTGTTTGATGCACTCCCTTTGGTGACTTTTTTGCTGAATTTGATATGGCTTTTTTTCGATCATCTTCTCGCTTTTTTCTTTCCTTGTAAAACTCTCTGGAAGTGAAAGAGAACATTTTCAACTATAACAGAAATATTAATAGTTTCTTTTATGTGCAAAACTCCTTGAGAAATTTTAGATTATTTCAGAGCAAATTTACCGAATTACATGAAAATTAGTCCTTGAAGAAAAAAATTTCCACTTTTCAAAAAATTTGGAAAAATGTTAGTTTTTTGACATTTAAAAATTTAATTTTAATTATTTCTCAATGTCTTTAAAATTAAATTTTTTTGGTTAAAGGAAATAAATATAAAATAACTTTTACTTCTAAGAAAAACCCAAATTGTTTTTAATTTTTGACAAATTGCAATAAACTATTAATTTATTAAAATTTATTCTGAAATTATTAATTTAATTCTAGCGATGAATTTTATAATTTATGAAAATAATTGAATTTTTGCAACGAATTTTATTGACTTTTTAAAATTAATTGAATTGCAGTAAAAAAATTTTATTATTTATAAGAAGAATTGAATTCTTGTGAAGATTTTTATTAAAATTTTTGTAAATAATTGAATTTTTTTTAATCATTTTACGAAGATTTAAAAGTATAATTCAACTGTTTCGAATAGTTTATTTAAAATTGTATTAAAAATAATTTAATTGTATCGATGAATTTTATTATTTATGAAAACAATTGAATTCTTTCTCCTTTTATTAAAACACTATACTTTTATTTTAAAATTCCAATAAATTTTACTATATACGAAGTAAATTTTGGGAAAAAATTAGTAAAATTTACTTGGGACTTGGAAAAATTTTCTTCAAAAATGGTAAAATTTAATATTAAAAATTGTTATTTACAGAAAAACTGTTACTATGCATTTTCAGAGACAATTCTTTTTTTTTTTATAAAAATTCGATATATTTACTTCCAAAATAATTAAATTTACTCTAAAAATAATCATTATTTTTAATACAATTTGTTAATTTTTAAAATTTTCACAAAATGATTAAAAAAAATTCAATTATTTTCAAAAATTTAAATAAAATCCTTCACAAGAATTCAATTCTTTTTACAAATCAAAAAATTTTTCACTGGAATTCAATTATTTTAAAAAATTCAATAAAATTTATTGCAAAAATTCAATTATTCTCAGAAATAAAAAAATTCATCGCTAGAATTAAATTACTAATTCCATAATAAATTTTACTAAATTAAAAGTATATTGTACTAATTTTCAATAAAATTTACTACAGATATTAAAAAATTTATTTTGGAATTAACGATTTTTAATAATAAAATTTACTATTTTCAAAGTTAATTTTATTTTATAAATATTATTCAAATTTTTCCCGCACATTGCAATTCTTTTAGAAATTCTTATTCTTATAGTAAATTTAACGATTTTGGAAGTAAATATTTCGAATTTTTAGAAGGAAGGAAAGTTTTCCAAGTCTCAAGTTAATTTTACTAATTTTTTTTTCTGAAATTTACTTCATAGTAAAATTTATGAAATTTAAATTGTTTTCGACTCGAAGAGTTGATTTTCTGAAATTTTTTACGAATAAATTAAAGTAATTCGTGGTTGCCACCAGAATAATGTAAATTTTTCCTGGAGCTGCAATTGTCAATTTCGGTGAAAAAGTTTTCTAATTTTAAGCAAAAATATTCTTACACACAAGCTTCCAGAGTTGTATTGTGATACAGAGGACAAGCTTCCAAGGTGAAGTGAGTATCAAATTTTCCCGACAAATGACCATGAGATTCACAGGTGGTAGACAGCGGGCATTCCCTTTCTTTTGAATTAATTCTAGAAGAATTACTCTGATTGCTTTTAATGCTCGAGTTATTTCCACTTCCACTTCCACTATTTTGAGCAGATTTACTGGTATTGTGTTTTGTTCCAATATTCGATGCCGATCTTTTCACTGGAGATTTTGTACTGCAGCTTCTTTTATTTTCAGCTATTCCAAAAAGAAAACACAGTGAATGAATTATTGAATATTTCGACTGTATATTATAAATTATTTAAATATATTTTAATATATTTTAAATATATTTAATATATTTTAAATATATTTAATATATTTTAAATATATTTAATATATTTTGATTCAATTATTTCTTAGAAGTATGTTACAAATTGTTTTTAATTTTAAATAAGAGGAAAAATCAGTTTAAAATTTCGGACTCACCTACGTCCGATTCCGAATCGCTACCAATTTTAGATCGCATCTGAAATTGTTTACTTTCTTTTCGAGCTTGCAATTTACGTTTTCCTTTGATAGAGTTTTTCGAAAGCGATTGTTCGCCATGTTCCTCAGTATCTTTATCAGTTTCCGAAGCATCAACGTCATCCTCGCTTTTTACTAGAGAAATAAAAATTGAAATGCAACATTATACATTTATTCCAAAAATATAGGAATAATAAAATTTTAAATTACAAAGATTATAATTTAAATTAAATTATAATTTAAATTTAAAATTACAATCATTTAAATTACAATTAAAAATTCAAAACTAAATTAAATTGCAATTAAAATTACAATGGTTTCAATTACAACTGAAACTTGAAAATTACCTTGACGTTTAGTATTCCTCTGAGGTTTCACAGCAGCAACGGAGGTTAAGGGCCTTTTTTGAGAAGGATTTGAACTGGAGGAGCTATTTAATTGATTTTCCTTCTTCTTCGATGGAGGTGGACTGGCAACACTTTCCGATGATTCAGATTCAGAACTACTGTCTGATGTCTCGGAGGATCCTGATCCTGCCGAGCAACTTTTCGAACTTATGGAACTATCTGATTTTAGAGATGGCTTTCGAGAAATATCTGAAAATTTATACAGAAATTGTATATACTTATACAATATGTTAAATATAAATATAAATTGATTTATTTTGATAGAGAAACAAATTATATACTAACTTGCTCTATTATTTATTGGAGGCCTCGGCTTAGGAGCACCGGGTCTTGTTTTTCCACTTTGCGGTTTCGGAGATTTCACAGGGGAAGTCACTTTAGAAACAGTGGATCTATTCACGGTTGCAGTGTCGCTTTCACTACTATTTTCCGGACTGAATATACTCTTCTTTTTCAATTTTTTCTGTATTGGCTCAGACGCCGTCTTAGATGCCTTCTCTACTGTAGCTTTTCCAGTTGCTGACGCTGTAAATAAATAAAAGTTAAAAAGTGTAAAGCCTCGAGCTCGAATTTTAAAAATTAATACTTGAGGATTAAAAATTATTTTCAAAAACTCTTGAAACTGAATATAATATAAAATTATTTGCAAGAATGCAATGATTTATTACTACATATATCAATGATTTATTACTACAGATATTAATTAATTAATTAGAATAATATTAGTAAACTTACCGGGAAATTTGCTATGTTTATTCAATGTCTTCGAACTCGACAACTGTTTTTGTTGAAGTAAAGGTGCAGTTTTGTTGACAGGTCTCTGCGCCTTTATTACTGGAGCAACTGTAGCAGTCGCTTTTGGTTTCGCCGGTGGTGGTTTTCTCTTCACGGATTTCGTTTTATTTGGCGATTCCTCCGACTCCGAAGAATAAACAACAGGACGTATTTTCTGAGTCGCTTTTTCTTTGACTTTACTTTCTGACGATTGCAGAGAAGTATTGCCCCCCTCACTTTTTGTTTTGACATGACGAGCTGCTGCATTTACTGGCACTTTTTTTTTAACTTTATCCGAATCAGATGCCTTTTGACTATTAGCTGATGTACTCGAATTTTCCGATTCAGAAGAACTCGATTCACTGCCCGATGTCGATGAACTTGACGTCGAGGAATTTGAACTCGACGACGAAGTTGATTCAGAACTTGTGGTCTAGAAAAAATAAACAATAGTTTGAACAAAAATAGACTAAAATCTTCTATTTCTTTTTAAAATAGAAATTAAGTGAGAAAGAAGAAACTTAAAGATAAAAAGTAGTTAAAAATTGATAAACTTTATAAATGAACGAATGTTATTTTTTTCTCGAACTATTATTAAAATATAACCAATAAGTCGTGTGACTCAACTGTCAGATATTTTTAACTTTAATTATTAGAAAAATAGCAAGTATTATTGAATAATGTACCCACTTTACGTTTAGGAGTCATGTTTGTTGTTAAATTACATTATTTTTCTTTACAATATATATACATTATTGCTATTTATTTATGTATATAAACAGAACCCAAAATAAGGTTGGTGCTTTACTTTTAAGGCAAACGCACAATAGTTGCGAACACGAGGCATGTGTTAGAAAAGCAAAGAGATATACTTGTGTCCTTTTCTATCTCACGCTTCGGTAAAAATATTGTGCGTCGGCTTTTTGTCTTAAGGCCAATGCACAAGCTTTTCGAACACATGTGTCAGAAAAGGACACAAGGTCCTTTACCCTAAGGGTGCATTCACACCTCGTAGAAATAAAATTTACCGAAAATTGTCCGCGTTCACAGCTGTAAAGGTGTTTCTACAATAGCTCCCAAACAACGTTTGTTTTGTCAAATTTCAAGGATTTCAAGTATTTTCCATAATCTACGATAATTTACTTTAAATCAATAAATTTAGAGTAAATTATCGTAGATTATGGAAAATACTTTAAATTTGACATTTACTTTAAAATCAGACAGAACTATTTGATTGGCTTGATTAAAATCAGGAAGATTTAAGCTCTGTGCACAACAAATCGCGAACGTGACGTATGTGATAGAAAAAGACACAAATATATCTCTGTCCTGTTCTATCGCATGCATTACGTTCGCTAATCTTATTCTTGGGGCCATTTTTTACTACAGGCAACTGCTTATATGCTGTCCTTCCGGATTTGGACACTTTTTTGAAAGCAGTGGCATTGTTTACATTATCAGGGTGGTCACAAGTTTCAGATTATCAATTCCTGACATTAAAATTATCTTCCCTGACAAAATTCTTTTTACAGGAAAATCTGAAAGTTTACAGGAAAATTAGTCAAATTTATATAAATTTTAATTACTTCTAAAAATTACAATTAGAAGCCTTCTTGAATTCAATTATTTTCTACAATTTACAACTAAACTTCATCTCTACATTAATTATTAAAAATAATTTCCCGAAAGTTCTATAAGAATTCAATTATTTAAATAAAAAAACTCAATTTAAAAACTAAAAAATGTGGTTTTTTGTTGCAATATTTGGAAAAAAAATCGCAATTTTTTTAAATAAATCGAAAATAGTCGTAATTTTCTTAATTTTCCTGAAAAAAAATTTTTTTCTTATCATTTCCCTGACTTTACTGATTTTACTGACATGTGGCCCACCCTGATTATGCTATTAGTTCGAGACAAATTTCGTAAAAAAAATCTACAAATTTTGGATATTCACGAAAAAAAGGATCCGTGTGTAGAAGAAACTCATTAATAAAAAAATTCAATTGCTGTTGAATTTTATATTATAATAATTGCAAAAAAGCGATAAAAAGAGACGCATTATCGCACGATACCTTATCTTAATGATTTTTTTTTACATTATATAATACAGTCACAGACAGATTTAAGCATATATTCAAACACTCGTTTACTTACAAATACAGCTCATTCTCACTCTAATTCATTTTTTTTTTTTTTTACTTTTTTGTACATGCAGAGTTTTCGAGAGCTACCAATTTAACTTTTTTTTTATATAATACAATGCAACTTGCTGCTAAATGAGAATTGATAAAGAAATCTAAGAGATCTGCAATTAAAATGAACCAATGGTAAATCGAATTAAAATCATTATTTGTAAAATTGTCAAATTATTAACAAATTGCATTAAAGTAATTGCATTAAAGTCATAAAATTCGTCACGTTCTATATAATTGAAGGTAATTAAAAAATTACTTTTTATCTCTCCTGTCCAGAAATTATTGAATTTATATTGGTTCATTTTTATTTTCAGTCTCATTGTCAAGATTCTGTAATTTAAGCAAATTTTGTCACATTTGTTTCAATAATTTTCAATAATTTTCAATTTAAATTTTCAATTGAAAATTCTTGTATTGAAAATTCTTTCTCCTTGAATGTGTAAATAAATACAATTTGTAATTATGGTTTATTTCCTAACCAGAGAATCTATATATGCGTGAAATAAAAAAATAGTTTGGAAGTAATATTGTCTGAATATAAAGAATTTCACATACCTCATTCAAAAATTATTTACTCTTTGTTTCATTACCTAAAGAGAAAATAGGTAAAAATTTAAAATCTAGCAGACCTAGACTATTGAATTTTCCGTGTATATAATTACCGATGATTGGAATTTCATTTATATCAATTGAATTAGTTCGAGTGAATGATAAACAATGTGGTATTAGTTGTTTTGCAATTATTGCACTTCTGGCAAGCGGATATTTTCTCTAAAGAACCAGAAATGTTTTAAAATTGTAATGTTTGAACAATCTCAACATTCTGATTGCAATTTAACTTTTCCAAATTGATATCCTTCTTTGTATATTTCAACGATATAGACGTGCAAAATTCCTTAGAGAATGAGTTACTGTCTTTGGATTTTCTACCCTGTGAAAATTAATTACAGTGAATTAATAATTAAAATTAAAATTAAAATAATAAATAAGGTAATTGAAATTAAATGAATTACCTTGTTACAGTGTTGATGAATTCCATGAGTTGCTCTGGTGTCGCTGTTGGCGAACCTCCTGCATTTTGAGCTGGCATTGCTTTTATTGCCTCCTCTAACCAAGTCGATACCATCTGAAAGAGTGACACTTACTTTTATAAATAGTTCGAGGAATAAAAAATGGTTTGTAAATTAAAAAATCGATAATTACCTCTCTACTCGTTAATGCGAGTTCAACAAAAACATCCGCTAAATCCGACAGCATATAAGTCGAGAGTGAGAAGACGGCGGCGTGCAAAAGTCTTGCCACCAATGTTTGACCCTTCTCTCGAACAATTTCTTGAACTAATTGACGTCTTATTGTAAAATCTGATCGATTCTGGAAATAATATTTTTATTAAAATTCGATATAAATTATAAATAAAATTATAAATTATACTTTTCTTGGGAGCAAGTAATTTTAATGAATTGTTTTTAATTACCTCAATATTACGACCACTATGAAGAAGATCGTAGAAAAATTTCATAACTGAAGCGTTTGCATCTCGATGATCAAGACTGCAAGCAACTAAAGCGCAATCAACAATACTGCCAATTGTTCCTGAATTTAAAAATGGTACCGGTGCTCTTTGCAAGAATCTATTAAATATGACACATTTTTATTAAAACACTATAATTCCTCTTTAAATTTTTCCAAAAAAATATCACATGATTCATAATCAGACTTCGCACTCAATAATTAATTTTAAAAAGTAGTAAAAAGGTTTTAAAAAAAGGAAGCTATCAAAAAAATAAATTTGATGTCTAAAAAACTATTTTTAGTTAAACCAGAAACATCACAAAAATTTGATTCTGCATTTCCCTGATTTTCATAAAAAATATGCACTTTTTTTTGTTACTCTAATAATAACTTCAATTCTAAATTTTTATGAAATTCAATTATTTTCCAAGCTTTTAGTTAGAATATTTAAATCCACAGGAATTTAAAATTTTAATAATTTTAATGTAAAAAGTTTTAAAAATTTTAACTACGTATTTCTAAAAATTCATACTTCTTTTAATGCATTTAATATTCAATTTTAATCTAAAATTTTAACTGAAACTCATTTTTAAATCAATGCTTATTAGAAAGTTTTACAAGAATTCAATCATTTAAGTACAATAATAAATTGATTAAAATAAAAATTTCTTAAAATTAAATATTTTTAAAGAATTTTATCCAAATTTTTCAAAATAATTAAATTCTTTCGAAGAATTTTAATAAATCTTTTGAAAATAGTTACATTTTTCGAGGAATTGATTTAAAATTGAATTAAAAATGTTTATAATTTTGTGAAGAATTTTATTATTTAAGAAAATAATTAAATTCTTGAAAGGAATTTTATTGAAATTTTTTTTAAACAATTGAATTCTGACAAAGGAATTTATTAAAAATTTAGGAAATAATTCAATTTTTTTAAATAATTTTATGAAAAATTGTGAGAATAATTAATTTATTTTAAATAATTTATTTAAAATTCTATTAAGAATAATTTAATTCATGAGATGAATATTATTATTTCTAAAAATTTAATTCTTATACAGAATTTTATTAAAATTTTTGAAAATAATTGAATTCTATCGAAGAATTTTAATACAGGTTTTGAAAATAATTATATATTTCGAGAAGTTCATTATTTAAAATGTTTGAAATCTTGTGAAGAATTTTATTATTCAACAAAAATAACTGAATTCCTTCAAAGGAATTATTTTCTGAAAATTTACAAAAATAATAAAATTATTTCAATTAATTTAATTAAAATTGTATTAAAAGTAATTGAATTCTTGGGATGAATTTTATTATTAAAAAAAAATAATTTAATTCTCATAAACAAATGTTATCAAAATTTTAGAAAGTAATTAATTTTTTTTAAAAGATTTTTATAAAAATATTTTAAATAATTAATTTTTTTCGCTAAATTTTCTTGAAAATTGTATTTTAAATAATTGAATTGCAATAAAAATATTATTATTTACAATATTAATTGAATTTTAGCGTTGAATTTTATTAAAATTTTAGAAAATAATTTAATTCGTGTGAAAAAATTTATTATTTGTAAAAATAATTGAATTCTTGTGAAGGATTTTATTAAAATTTTGGGAAATAATTGAATTCCTTTGAATCAGATTATGAAAATTTTAAGAGAATAATTCAATTATTTCAAATAATTTAATTTAAAATAGTATTTCAAATAATTTAATTACTGTGCAAATTTTATTAAAATAATAGGTATTGAGTGCGAAAACTGCATATTTATAAATTGTAGAAACTTGCCTTGCACATAAACGAAAGAGATCATCAACAGTGTCAGGATGATTTTTAAGTCCATCTGCTTCCTGAAGAATTGTAAAAGTCGGCTCAATAAATGCTTCCAACATACTCAAAAGTCCAGACACTGCATCAATTTCAGATGCATACTCATCGACAAGAATTGATCCCAAATATAGAAAGCAACTATGCTGATAGACTGCGTACAATTGGACAATCTAAAAAAACATTGACACACGTTTTGTCTGTTACTTTCTGCTGACAGAAGATTTATGCCTTTTTTAATTTGAAAAAAGAAATATAAAATTTATAAAATAACCTGTTTCACTAAAGGTTCCAGAAGATGTGCAGAATATTTGCCCACACAACGGACAGCGAACCGTAAACAGCGACAACACCTTTCCATAATTCTAGAATCATGCTGATAATTCGAGCAGACGTTCGATAATACTGGCCACATCTAAAAGAAGAAAAAATTTATTCTCTGTTATTAAAAAAAAGAAAAAAAGAAGATAGTGAACTCACTTCAGTGATGGCTCCTTGACAAGGATGAGATTCGTTAGTATCATCAACTTGAGGACTCGTGTTTCTAAAAATAGCCGCTAATCTATCCAACCAAGTTACAGGATCAGTCTTTGTACCTTTGTCCACTGGAATTGCTCTATTCTCCATAAGTTCGCACAATGGCCTCGCTTGAAACCAACACAATTCCTTCATAGAGCGATCTATTTCCTCCTGGGGTAATCTTGAGAGTATTTTCGCAACTCCTGAAAAATTGTGAAAATCATCAAATAAAAGCTATAATTTAAAAGAAAAAAATTTAAGTGATTTAAAATTATAATACATACCCTTTAAAAGGCCTATAGACGCTTCGTTACTAATGGCGAAACCATCTAATGAACGTGCAATTTGCAACAGTCCAGGAAAATGCGAAGCCATGTGAGCCGGACAAGCCGAACATATACTTTGCAAGGCACCCGAGGCAGCACCTCCAAGTCCTCTTTGACTTAAACTGGCCAAGAGAAAATTCAATATTGGTTCTGTAAAAATGTATTTATTTCAATTTCATTCCCTCTCAATTTTAACCCTCTACTAATGCTAATTTATCTTTCGATCGCCATTATTAAATTTTTTGAAAATAATTAAATTTCGGAGAAGAATTTGAACCAGGCGTTTCAAAATTGACGATTTTTGACAATAACGATCGTTAGCATCAGCAGAGGATTTAAAACACTTAATAAAATTGAATTCTTACCCAACGACTGCGGATGACTGTCAATCCATTCGCAAAGTTCTCCAAGTAAAAGTATACTTGTGTGTCGTACTGCAATGTGTGTATTCTCCGGCAAATGCAGAATAGCCTCCACAACTTTCGGAACGACTTCATTCTCTTCTCTAAAATGCGAACTTTAGCTATGAATTAATGCTCCGATAAAAAAAATACTGAATCAAAATATAAATTTTTTATTTCTCTCTCTCTCTCTCTCTATCTCGTTAAAATACTTACGGTAAAATATTTTTTGCTACAGCTTGCATGACAAAAAGAGCAGCTTCCGTTGAATCCCAAGTTGGAGTTGGTTGATTTTGATCTCCGGCTCCTCCGGTTAGAGTAAAGAACATTTGTCGGAAGCAATGGCTACTTCCAACAACAAATACCACATCTTTTATTAATTCAGATACACGTATTCGAAAATCGGCAAACTCTTCTCCGCCACTTATTTCTTCAACTAGACCAAGCTGTCGACAAAAAAAATACATTCAATTTTGATTATTCGATAATTTTTCCACTGTATTAATTAATTTTTAATAATTAATTATTATAAATTAATTATTACAATAATATAATAATATATAATAATTATATAATAATATAATTATGCACATTATGTATTTATTATCCACACTTTGAAAATAAAAAGAAACTCAGGGTTGCCCCAAAAAATTAATTTTGATTTTTCCTAACTTTTTCCTGATTTCCAGACAAAATTTTGACTAATTTCCCTGACTCTAAATATTCTGATTCACTCTAAAAATTATTAAATACTCAACAAAATTTTCTATTACATTTATTTATAAATATTTAAAAATTTCTTTAATTGAAAAACTATTCGAAAACATCAATAACTTCATTTTTAAATAAATGTTCAATCATTATTATTTTTCCGCGTAGGAATTAAATTTTTTTAAAACTCTTTGAAATTCAACAACTTGAAAATTTAAACTAACTTTAATTTAAACTTCCATAAAATTAAAAAAGAAAAATTAAATTATTTACAAAAATTTTAATAAAATCCTTCGCAAGAATTCAATTATTTTTACAAGTAATAAAATTTTTCTCATGAATTAAATTATTTTAAAAAATGTAATAAAATTAGCTCTAAGAATTCAATTATTCTCCTAAATAATAAAATTCTTCACAAAGTTTCAATTATTTTTTATACAATTTTAAATGAATTTCTTGAAAAATGTAATTATTTTCAAAAATATTTTGCAAGAATTCAATTATTACATTTTACAAAAATAATGAAATTTTTCGCTGAAATTCAAAAATTTTTAAAATCTAATATTTTTAAAAAATTTCTCAAAAGAATTCAATTATTAAAAAAAAATGTAATAAAACTTTTCACAAGATTTCAATTATTTAAAAAAATGTAATAAAAATTCGTTGCAAGAATTCAATTATTTTCATAAATAATAAAATTTTTCACAAGATTTCAATTATTTTTAAAAAATTATAATAAAATTTGTTGCAAGAATTCAATTATTCTCCTAAATAATAAAAATCTTCACACGATTTCATTTATTTTTAATACAATATTAAGTAAATTCTTCAAAAAATATTAAGATGATGAAAAAATCGATCACTCCGACTCGGAGTGATCGATTTTTTTCATCATCTTAATATTTTATCGACCGAGTGATAGCATCATTACTATATATATTTTCTTGAAAAAAATGTAATTATTTTTAAAAATTTTATTAAAAATTCTTCAATAAATTTAATTATTTTCAAATATTTTATTAATATTCTTCGAAAGAATTCAATTATCAATTATTTCTAATAATTTTTGCAAAAGTTCCTTGAAAATTTTCAGATTCATTTGTTTAAAATTCAATTTTACGAAATTTCGATTATTCAGAAATTCTTCAAATTAAATATTTAGAAAATAAAAAAACTTGAAATAATTTCAAAAGAAAAATTCAGATTTTCATAGATTTTAATTTGAAACATTTTTAAAATTCAATTATTTCTAAAAATTCATGTTATAATGCTTTTAATATTCAATTATTATCTAAAATTTTTGCTAAAATTCATTTTTAAATCAATTTTTATTAGAAAATTCTACAAGAATTCAATTATTTAAATACAAAAATAAATAATTTATTGAAAAAATGAATGTTTCTTAAAATTGAATTCCCATGAAGAATTTTATCAATAAATTTTTAATTAATTGAATTATTCTTTTGACAAATTTTAATAAAAATTTCAAGAATTAAATTGTATATAATTATACATTATTCAAGGAATTCGATTAAAATTATATTTAAAATAATTGAAAATCTATGACGAGTTTTATTATTTATAAAAATAATTGAATTTTTGTAAATAAAATTGTATTATTTATGAAAATAATTGAATGTCCGCGAAGAATTTTATTATTTATTAAAATAACTGAATCATTGCTAAGAAAATTTATAAAAAAATTCGTAAATAGTTGAATTCTTGTGAAATTTTTATTATTTATGAAAATAATTTAATTGTTTGCTTAGAATTTAATCAAAATTTTTTTTAAATATTTAAATTCTTTTCGAAAATTTTATTAAAATAGTATATATTGAAAGCAACTATATTTTGGAGAAGAATTTTATTATTTTTAAAGATAATTGAAATTTTGACGAGAATTTAAGAAAATTTTTTAATATAATTGAATTTTTGCGAAGAATTTTATTTACTTTTGGAAATAATTGAATTTCTGCAATCATTTGTAACTTTTCCAAAATACAATTTTCTCCAGTAATTTAATAAAAATCCCTGACATTTCTCTGATTTCCCTAATCAATTCTACTTTCCCTGATTTTTCCCTGAATTCCCTGATTTTCCTGACTTGTGGCAACCTTGAAACTACATTTTACTTAAGTGGTTTTTTTTGCAATATGTAAAAGAAAAATTAAAATAGTCATTAAAAAAAAAATCGAAAAGGGTCGCATTTTTTGAAAAAAGTTGGAAAAAAGTCTTAAGTTATGCTTAGGCTTGAATGAAATTAAATTCATAGAAATTGAAAGCAATCAACTTACGTGATCAGGTTCCATTTGACAATGCTTGCAAAGAGCTCTGATAAGTCTTTCAATATAAGGCCTGAAGACAGTATTCAAGTCATCGTTATTTCTTTGGTACAGTACTTCTGATAATCGATACCAAAGATTAAATGTTATTTGTGCCACCTAAAAATGTTAAATTGCGTAATAAATAAATAATAATAATAATACAGTAGTAGAAAATTGGTAAATAAATAATAATAAATATTCTACTCAGTAGTAGGTAAATTAAAATTACCTCATAATCGTGATGTCCAACACAAGTCAGTACAAAGTCTAATATTTTAATGGCATAATGTTGTCTTCCACCACTGCATCCAGTGACAATGGTTTCTAAAAAAGTTTCCGCTAGCTCAGTGAAGATACGACAATAATTAATCGATTTTTCCAAATATTCATGAGCCACTGACAAGTGGAAAGGCTGCTCCAATCCCATGACACTTGTAAAGAGGCACAATTGTAACTGTTGCAACTGAATACTATTATTTTGACCACTTCTCGTATTACTATTCTCCTCTAATGCCAGCAATATCACACAAATACAGTCGGTGGCTGCTTCGTGCAATTGTGATCCTGTCTCGTAATTGCCCAATACCTGCAAGAATTTTAATAAATAAATTAAATTGAAATAATTATTGAAATAAAAATGAAAATTTAGTAATTGACAGAAAAATTTAGTAATTGAAATAAAAATTTAGTAATTAATTTAAAATAATTTTTTAGTAATCAAATTTTTATTTAATTCAACTTACTTGAAATGCATAAGCTACCACTTCGCTAACAGGCACCGATTCCAAGGATATCGCATGGACTGTAATCCAACTTGTAAAACATCGTAAAACTCGTATGTGGATTTGAATATTTTCACTACCACTGTTAAGACAAACTTTCTGAAAAATTTCAACAAATTCAATGATTCGCGATAATCTTCTGCTATAGTCAAACGATTGGAAGAAAAGAATTAATTGTAGAAAAATATTAATTAATTTGCATATATTTACCAAAAATTCCGATACAGTTTCACCAATCGCAGTGAGTTCTGAAAGGACTTGCTGTCGACGATTAGAACCTAGTCTAAAATCGAAAACAAAATATTGATGAAAATAGAACTAAAATGGAAATTACAGAAATTTTTCAAGTAGATATTCACCTGAGACTTCTAGAATTAACTTCTTCTGGAAGAACAGTCATTATTTCTAATAAAGGCCACCAACTAGTAGCATTTCCACCGTATCTATTTATTAGATCTATAACCGGTGTTTGCCAACTAGGCATTTGTAGCGCCAAATCTGCCAGTGCTAAACATAACTGAAAAAAAGGAAATAATATAAATATCTGTCGAAACAATGTTCTATTATTTACAAATTTCTTTATACGAAAACATTACTTGTTTTAATAAATAAATTTGGTATTTTAATAATAATAATTCCTTACTTGGGTAACAATTGCCGTATTAGTATTTTCGTTAATTTGTGACAAATGCTCCATTAAAGAATCCCTTAAAGAAGAATGAGCATCAACAGGCAATTCATGAAATGATAATTGAATTTTCGATCGCATTGTTTGCGCTGCAAAATAGCAAGAAATTAAGTCTCTCTTTTGTTGCAACATTTGGTCTGCTATCTTCCAAGCATATACCTAAAAAAACAAAATTGTGAAAATTAGAAAATTGTTGGATGAATAACGAGAATAACAAAGCTTTTTTAATTAGTTTTATTTAAAAAATAATTAACTATTGTTTCCTTCATGAACGGAAGGAAAAATCAACTGTATATAAAATAATCAAAACAAAATTCTATTAATTATATTTATCATTTTGCAGTCTTTTAATTCTGATCTTTATAACCAGTTATTTACTATCTATAAAAAGTAATTATTATTTTATTATCTGAAAAGATAAAGAATTTAATGCCGAATATAATATTTTAGACCTCTTGGAGGATATTTTAATACTTTACTATATGGGAAATTAATTTCATTCATTTACAAGCAGCTTTTAAGGCAAAAAGGGCAAAAATTATGATCTCAGAGGATGTCTTTAAATTTCCATTTATTAATGTACAAAAAAAATTTGAATATACTTTCAATAATAATGTTTAAAGAATACCAACAATTATTCTATGAAAATTAACATTTCAGTGAAAAATTTTCTACAATAATATGACAGTTTAAAATATGGAATATATAGGTTAAGTTTTGAAAAGAGAACATTTACCTTTAATATCAAAAAACTAAAAATAATTTTCAAAATTTTCTTAAAAACAAAACAATGTTTATAATATTTATAAAAAGAAATAGACATTTTAAAATAAATAAATAAACTTACAGATTTTTGTAGTTCGTCGAGCCATGATAACGAAGTTTTCTGTTGCTCTGTACTATTTGGTTGATTGTGAGAAGAATATATTGCCTGGTAAACAGTTTCTAATGCAGGTGGACTGTCCATCTTTTTATAAATTATTGACAATTATACTTGTTGTGCCATACAGTGAGAATTATAACAACAAGAAATTAAACTTATTTCATTCAATAAAAGTGTTTAACTTATTAAGTAGTGAGAGGCCATAATCGCCATAATGGAACTAAAGAAAATTCCGACACTCTGATTGGTCATATTTGATGGGGTATTTGAATTTAAATTGTAATTTCTTCCCTTTCTTTGAATATTGTTGCAGAAAAATATTCTTTATTTGTTTATTGTTTCGGAGAACTATGTTATTCTTGTTTATTTTTGATTATTTTCTTAATATTTTTAAATGCATCTTTTAAATGTAAAATTCTAACTAAACTTATTCACAACTGCACCTTTAGTGGCAAGGCATTTTCTTTAAAGGTACTTGCACAATTTGACAGGCTGCAAAGAACGAGAGTAAGGCTGTGTTCACATGCTTGCGTTTTTCCTTTTTTAATACTTCTGTCCTTGTTAAGTTGTCTCTATATTGCGAACATTTTCTATTTTTCCGAAAAACAACGGAAAATGTAGAAAGAGACAAATTTTTTCGAGTGTCGCTTTTCCAAAAGTCGTGTGACCGCACCTTGAGGTGTCTTTGGCCCTTAAGGGTGCATTTACACCGCTGTTGGTGTCGAAATCACTAGTTATCGTAGAAACACCTTTACCTGAGTGTGTGAACTCGGTTTTAACTTTTTTTTCCTACCGACAGGTGTAAATGCACCTTCAGTAGTTTAGTATTTACACATTGTTTTATTATTGAAAGTTATAAATTTTCTTTTCAATTAAAAACGATAAAATGATGTTCATCGAGAATTAAAAGAAGACATTTCTTAAAAGAAATATGGCTGAGTACAACATTCCAATAATTGAACCCACGATTGATTACACAAAGGTTAAATTGTTATTTGTGTAAAAATTATTTAATAAATAAACTAATTCACCGTTTCTATAATGAAATTTAGTTTAATAATTACCTAGGTATCTGTTATTAAAAATTTTCATTGCAGGTTCCACCTATCAATCAAAGAAGAACGATAACATTTATAAATCACTTTGTAGCGCATACTGTCACTTTTTTAAATAAATTCACTTTGACATGTGAGGAAAAACTCTTTGAGTTTGAAAATAAACTGCAAAGGGTGCAAGCTTCATTAGAAATTCTTGAATCTCGGGTAATTAAAATTTTTACACTAAATATTAAATCAGTAAAATGATTTTTAAAAGAATTTGACAGGAATGTAAAAAATTTCTAGTTGTCTTCAGTACCAGGTCTTGAAAATAAAATACAAATCGTCGATGATATTAAAGAAGAACAACAAGAAGAGGTAAATATTGAACCTACAAATGAAAGTGAAAAATCTGATGAACTTTCACAAGAATCTGAGGAAAAAGAGAATCCATCTGAACCTGTAAGTGTCGATCCGGTGTATCAAAGATTTATCAAAATGTTACATTTTGGCGTTCCAAAGCCAGCAGTTAAATTGAAAATGGAATTAGAAGGATTAGACTCATCATTATTAGACAAAATGTGATAAAATATTCCGTAAGATTAAAAATTTGACACCAATTTTTTTTACTTTTCAATAACTGATTCTAATTATTAATATGTTTAAATGATAGTTAAATTATCAGTGTACATACTATGAAGGATTATATAAAGAATACAGCAAAATTGATAAAAATCATACAAGATTTTTTATTTTTTAATAATTACATTATTAGAATAAAGATGAGAAACGGCCTTAAAATTGGATCATTTGTCCCTGAAACAAACAATGAAATTTTTTGTTTATTAATTTATGCGAAACTTGATCATTTTTGCAAATGAAACTTTTAATGAAAGTATTTATTTAAAAATGTGAAATGATCCCAAAGAAGCAAAAAATTTTAGGTTACGTTTCTAAATTTTTTAGTATAAAAATACGAAAAGAAAAATATTTATTTATTTAAAAATTAATGGGAAAATTATTGATCATCAAGTATTTATTACCTAAAATATTCAATAAAACCCGATTTTTAAATTTAAATAATTAAAAAAGAACTTTTAAGATAAATCTATTATAAACATAACCTATAATTTATTTGCTTCCAATGAGCAGTAATAGAGAACAATTTATATTGTAATTAAAATAATTTTTACACACCTTTCTCTTTTTGTCACCGCCAAGTTCGAAATGTTTGCAACGTTTCAAAGGAATTTGTTTTCTGTATTTGCATTCAGTGCATTCCATTCTCAAGACAATCTTTTTCGTTGTCTTTGCCTGAAATAAGAGAAATTTTTTAACAATCTTTTCTTACCTTTAAAAATCTTTTATTTTAAATTGGAAATAAAAAAAAACCAACAAATTTTGAAATATAGAACAATGGGAAAAAAAGTTGAATTAAAATAATCGTCAAAAGATGAAATTACTGGCAATTAATCGAAAAACCAAATTAACGTAAACATATCAATGTTCCTAAAGTTTTGAACGTTAAAATAAACGAAAATTTATTTCCTTTCGATATTTTCTAATGTTATTGTATTTTAATGAGAAATAATTAATTTTATATTTACTTATTTGTAAATTAATATTTTGTACCTAAAATTCAAACGAAAAAAAACATTTGAACGTTCAGAAACATAAAAGATGAAATTACTTTAATTAAAATTAGTATTAATTAATTAAGGCATATTAATTAGGAACAAATATTTATATACAAAATCTAGTCTTTCTTTTTGTTCAAAAAAAAAAAAAAAAAATCATTTGACAAAAAGTGTGGGTTTAATTCTCAATGAAAAATTAACAAGAAGATGAAAATTATTAAATACTTTTGTAACTTCTACTTTAAACTACAAAAAAAGAAATTATTTTTACCTTCTTCCTGAAGATAGGTTTTGTTTGTCCTCCAAAACCTTGTTGCTTACGGTCGTAACGTCTTCTACCCTGGGCAGCATGCCTTTCCTTACTTTTTTTATATTGAGTTACTTTATGCGGTTTGTGCACTTTGCATTTTTTGCAAAAAGTGCGTCTTTGTTTCGGCACGTTTACCTATAAATAAATAATCAAAAATAAAAAATTAACCAAAATTATTACAATGACAATAAAAAGTTACAATATTTACACTTTCAATGAAAATAAAAAATTTCCATCCAAACTTACAATAATAAGTAAATAACAAAAAAAAGTGAAAGAAATAAATTAAATTCCTCTCGTCCTTTTACTTTTTACACCCATAAATAAATATTTTTCATACTAATTTATTTAATTTAACGATAAATATAATTGTACATTATCAAAAGTATGAAAATTTGAAGGTTATGTTTTCCCCTTGACGTTTCGATAAATGTGACATTTAATAAATGCAAAAAATATATAATTAACATTGTATAAAATTGTTTGAAAATGCAATAGATCGTATTTCAATATAATTTTGAATTAAGATGACAAATTAAGAGAAAGATTAAAATTTATTTCTGAAAAATATAAAATCACCTACCATCTTGAATGTTTGGAAAGAAAGGTAGAATTTAACCGGAAGTTAAAACTAGTGGGGTGGAATGCGCATGCGCACCAAATGTCTAAATTTTCACGAAATTTGTAATTTTATTTTTCTCACTAATATACTTATTTACAAATCCTACAAAATTTCAGTGTTCATTGTCTATACATATTACTTTCTATAATGGGAAGCTGCAATTTAAATTTAATTAGAAAATTTCGAGGAAAATAGAATCTACACAAGTGTTTTATAGGGAAAAAATAGTCTTTAGCATATAAATCATCTCAATGTCATATATATATTTACATATACATATATACACACACATAGAGATGCATATATAGATATATACATTTATTACTATCATTATTTGATTGCGATTAATCAATATGCAATCAAAATACTTATTTTTCATTTTGGTAAATTTTCTTAAAAGTAATTTTATAATTTAATAATAATATTTTTTTAAACACTGATCGAAAAATAAAAAAAGACAAAATAATTTTGTTTAATAAATTAATTTTATTGTAGAGTTGTATATAAAGTTTACATAAATATTATTTATATTAAAATTGAACAATAATAGAAAATTGCTACAAATATTTTCATCTCAATCTTCTATAATTTTTAGAATCATGAAATAACAAAAAAAATTTAGATTTGGAAATATGTGCAGCAATATTTGATATGACGCCTTAAACCTAACCTCAAAATAAAAAAATAGAAAATGACTTCCTGCTTTTTTAATATGTAAATTTTAATATAAATGTAAAATATTTTACAATTTCGATGAAATGGTACATTTATATAATTTTACTAATAGCTATGAGGTATTATTGCGGAAAATTTAAATAAATTACTTATTTGAAATTTGAATTGAGCGACATAATCTCGAACCCAGACATCAATTAGATGCCGCGTACTCTCGAACCCCTCGTCCGACTTTAAAAATCATTTTACATAGATTTCTGCAACTGGAATTAGAGTCAAAATATATTTGAAAAATCAAAAAATAATAAAAGGAAGAATATATTTATTAATATATGGCAGGCAATTGTAAATTTATTACATTTATTTTCAGACCAATCAGATATTTATCGAGTTTCAAACACGCGCCATCTTTATTTTTGAACAAAGCGATCTATTCAGGGTTGTGTATATATTGCTATTTTTACCATTTTTCCAAGTTAAATAAGAATTTCCCCAATTGAACAAAAAGTAAATTCTAATCTTTGAATCCCGTGGGATTTTTAACAAATTTTTGGAGAAATTTTAAAGAATTGTATTTCAATGATAAATTGAATTAGAAAGTTCAAAGTGATTGTAAAGTTATTTATTGTTCCCACCCCTGACGCGCAGATTAGACTTGCGCTGGACAGCGGCAATCTCCCTCTCTCTCAACCCCGCTATACGCCTGACGACGCCGCCGCCGCGCGAGGACATCAGAGACCAGAGTTTATCTTTTCCCTTCGTGCAAGCAACACACGAGAAACTTAAAACCAACAAAAATGAGTACCAAGGAAAACAACGAGGTCGTCGTCGAGAAGGTGAATACGGACGCGAAGGTGAATGCAGATGCAAAGTGTGAAATCAAAGGCATCAAAAGGTCGGCTGAGGTAAGTCGAAAAAGAATTAGATAAAAAAATAGATGTAAAAAAAAAAGAATTCGTCCCAGTTTCCCAACCGCAATCGCCTACACGCGTCCATTTTTAATCCTCTCCCAGAGAGTATTGTTTTTCTCTAAATATATGCTGATAATTGTTATTGAATTCAGTGGATAAACATTTATGAAACGCGTAAAGGGCGAAAATGCCGGCCGGCATTTTTCCACCCGGTGGACTCAGGACGACGCCATAACGACAAGTTGAGATTTTCAAGATATTGATACTTGGGTTATTGTTTTAAATTTGCTCATTATTCGTTTAATAATTATTTGGATTTATTATAATTGGGTTTTTATTGTGATTTTTTCATTTTACTCCGAAAGGTATTAATTGTTAGAAATATTGAGAGATTTCAAGTTGAAAAATTAAGTGCGGCATTGATGCATTTCTTTGGAGTAGAGACGCCATTTTGGCTGTCACGGTTTTCTTAGGAAAAACCCTCCCGCGCATTTTTCCAAACCTCGTCACCAATATCAAGTACCATGGCGTCATTTCTAACTATTGTTACTAATAAATGAATAAGTACGAATAAAGGGAAAAATTCAATTTTTTTTAGAGAATTCAATTTTTAAAATAATAGTGTTGACTCTATTAATGGTGTATACCTATTTTAAAAAGGGGAAGCTTGTCTTGATTTTGTACCAACGCCGCGTATTTACGGCCCTGGTCCGCGTGTCTCTTCTCTCCCTACTTTTTAATTCCAACTTCCGAACTTTCTAGCAAACTACTTTTTTTCTATTAAAATAATGAAATTTCTTCTTTTTCAATTATTCTCCATTTTTTTCCCCCCTAAAATATTCAAGATTTAAAATTAGAATGTTTTTCCACATTAACATCGGGGAGACGCTTGGAAAAATTTGAGAGAAGAAGCATACGTCACGTGGAAAGTAAACCGTAAATAGAGGACACAAACTGGGTGTATATTTTATAAAAGAGAATATTTTTCTATATAATTATATTTTTAATAGAAGAAATTATTATTAATATTTTATTTTTAATAGAAAAATTAAAATTACTGGGTAAGAATAGTCATTGATTTTTTTTTGGCATCTCAGGTCAGGGGCGGATACTTGCCGGGAATTTTAAAATTCTAGGGAAAAGAACTAATTTTTTCGTAATCAGAATATTTATGTAAATAATTTTTATTTATTTTAGTGGAAAAATAATTTTTAATTAATAGGTTTTTTTTTGTTGAATTGCCAAATATGAGAAAATTGAAAAGTATTTATTTTATTAATATAAACGTTGAATTATTTTACATGAGAGAAATAGATTTATTATATAAGTGAATAAATCTTCATATTGTTTTGGAATATAGTAAAATTCGTAATATTCGAAAAAGGTCGCTTTTTGAATCAAGTGTTAAATTCAAATTTTTTCTGTTTGTATTTTAAAATAGAAATTTACGATAATTATTTATAAAAAGTAAATTGGAATTTTTAATAGATTGTCAATAATGCTCTATTGCTCTTAGTTAATCGATAGTACTTTGTAATTAAAAAGAGACAGTTGATTACGAAATCATTAGTCGATATAATTATAACATGTTTGGATTTACGTCACTTTTTTATAGAAAAGACACAATGGCAAGACAGCTTTAATAACTAGTATAGCTAAATTTATTGTAGGAAACTGAAAGGATTTCTATTTGTTTTTTCAAAAATGTTATTTACCACTAAAGATAATTCAGTTTTCTCTTTTACCTACTCATAAATAGAAAAAATGTTTTATCAGTTTAATAAGTCGTTTAATTGGAAATGAAAATCATTTTAATTAACATATGCTACTTTATACAGCATTTCAAAGTTGTATTTTTAACAAAAATAGACGATTGTTTCTTTTTTTCCGTAAAAATTGAAATTATTTAATGATTTGTAATTATTTAAATGGGGGTAAAAATTTGAAAATGAGAAATAATAATAAATTATTTGGCTTTTGCTAAGTCATCGATTTAGAGTGCTCCATTTCATCTAATCGAAGACCTCGTGTCCGGCAGGTGCGCAAGACACGCGCCATCATGAGTAGAAAAACTCGCGCCGTTTCTCTCGCTTAATGAAAATTTAATCTTCCTTAAATTACAACCAATTTCATAATAATGTGAAACCAAAAATTTTTTATCTCTCCAAGACCTTGAAATTAATATGATCGGTTTGATAAATTATGGGTAAATTTTTTTATTGAAACAATATAGAATATTGTTGCTTAAGAATCAACACCCGCGACATCTTTCGTTGTTTTCTCAATTAAAAAACTGATCGAACATTAAAAATTTTCTATTTTAAACACATTTTTTTTATTATTGAATCACAGTTAATTCCTTTTTTACCTAATCCCCTTTTTTGTCCCCTTAAATTAATAAAATACCTAAAATCATACATTTTTTCCTCTTTCCCCCTTTTTTTGTCCCCTTAAGTTAATAAAATTCCCTAAAACACCTAAAATCATATATTTTCTGCCCCTTTCCCTTTATTTTTAAGAAAAATTTTAAAAACTGTCATTTTATGTAAGTTAGACAAATTTTTAGTTTTGCTTGAAGAAAAAAATGGTCACTTTTCGCAAAATTTGTAAAAAAATTTGCTTTTTTTGAAACTTAAACATTTTTTTCTATTATTTCTCTGAATCTTTAAATTTTTCTAAGAAAAATCCAGATTGTTTGTAATTTTTGACAAATTCTTAATTACAGAATAAATTTTACTAAATTCAAAGTAAATTTGATTAATTTTCGAAGAAAATTTGCTATACAGATACTAAAAAAAATTTTCTCTAGAACTAACGATTTTTAATAGCAAAATTTACTATTTTCAAAGTTAATTATTTTTTTTAATAAAACTTCAAAATTTTCCCGAACATATTACAATTCTATATTAAAAATTCTTATTTTTAGAGTAAATTTAATTATTTTGAAAGTAAATATTTCTAATTTTTATGAAGAAAATAAAATAAAAATAAAATCCTTCATTCACAAGAATTTAATTCTTTTTACAAATAATACAATTTTTTTACGAGAATTCGATTATTTTTAAAATTTCAATAAAATTCGTTGCAGGAATTCAATTATTTTCATAAATTAATCAAATTTATTACTAGAATTAAATTCACAATTGGAGAATAAATTTTACTAAATTAAATTATTAAAAACTCTTATTTTTAGAGCAAAATTAACGATTTTGGAAGTAAATATTTTTAATTTTTATAAAAAAAAAAATTGTCTCTGAAAATAGTAAAAGTTATACTAGAAATAACAATTTTTAATATTAAATTCTGACAATTTTTAAGGGATTTTTTTCAATTCCTAAGTTAATTTTACTAATACTTTGACTTAAATAAAAAAAACTCCGATTTAAGTAAAAAAAATCATGATTTTTAACAGCTTTGGAAGAATACAATTTTTTTTTTCAAGTTTTTAAGTTTAAAAAAAAATTTCGAAAGACGTGGTTATTTTGCTCGTTTGTGGATAAATTCGCTTGTCGATTTATTTTCGTCAAATTAGCTTCAAAACTAGCATTAAAATAAAGTTTGATGTCTGATTAATAAAAAGTAAAAGAAAAAGTTAATTTTGCTAACGGATACATCAAAATTTATTTTAATGTTAGTTTTGAAGCTAATTTGAAGAAAATTAATTAGTTATCGAATTTATACGCAAATGAGCGAAATTAAACACGTTTTACGGTAAAATTTCCAAATTCCTTGTTTTGAATGAAAATCGTGAAATTAATAAAATTTTCAATCTCTAAAATCCCGAAAAAATAGTTTTCGATCTTTAGCGTCGACACTATTTTTCCGAATTTTAGAGATGGAAAAAATATTTGTAATTTTATTTCTTTCATTCAATTTTACGGAGTGAAAAATAACTTCAGGGCCTGAAATTTAAAAATAAAATAATAAAATTTTATTCTTTTGGTGGAAATAACGTTTTTTCGCCGCTGAGCGTCGACGCTAACTTTCCGGGACTTAATTTGAAAATTGAAAGATGAAATAAAATCGAGCCTAGAGTCACCTACTTTGCCAACTTATGCTTAGATGGTGCTACAGGAACTCGAAAAGTAAACTAGATCGCACTTATGCCCTGAATTAAATGCAATATTTAATTTAGGTACCGAGTGTCGGTACATTTTGATCAGAACAAAGAGAAGCTTTTTGCAAATTAGTTAATTAATTAATAATTAATAATAATTTTGCAAATTATTCTTGAATTAATTAAAGAATGTGTAAAATTAACAAAAGTTGTATTTATTTTACAGGAGAAGAATGAAGAGCCTAAAAAACAAAAGAAGGAGGAAAATGGCGACGGTGAAGTAGAAGATGAGGAAGGTGACGAGGAAGTCGATGGAGAGGAGGAAGAAGTTGACGGTGAAGGTGAAGACGATGAGGAGGACGAAGAGGTCGAAGGTGAAGAGGATGTCGACGAAGGAGATGGTGAGTAGTATTAATAATAATATAAAACACTGAGGTCAACGATCACTCCGAGTCAAATTATGTTTTTGTTTTATTTGCCTTATTTTATAAAGAATCTCAGACTTTAAAGATTAATAAGATAATTATTATTCAAGAGAGAGAAAAAAACTAACATTTTTTTTGTACCTTTTCAGAAGACGAAGAGGACGACGCGGAGGCAGATGGAGAAGGTATAGACGAAGACGAAGATGACGCATAATGAAAGAAGGGGGTGATCAACATGTAAGTAAGAAGGGAGGAAGGCAGAATTGATCGTCAACAGAATTTTCAGCAAACACTTGCTCTCATATTGAGTGGTTTAGTAGTCAAATGTTGACGATTATTCAAAGCCCATTTTGAAGACTTGTCATCTCCTCCCAAAATCGGCAACTTAAAAGTTGTTTACACACAAACACACGTCGTCATCTTGCCAGAATTGCATTGAACCGACGTCTCTTTTGTTTGTGCAAAATTACAAACTTCAAATCCTTGGTTTCTTGCAATTCTGGCCTAAAATTACCTAGCCTTCACCAAATACTATTAGGTTGTTTTATGGAAAAACTATAAATTCGTTTTGAAAAAAGAAAGATGGAAAGGAAACAAGTCAAAGTGAAACAAAAAAAGGAAAGAGAGAGAGAGAAAGCGGCGAATCTATTGTTCTGTCCAAACTACCTATTAAATTGGTATTTGCCGTCATCTGGCTTTCTTCGCGGGACAGTTTTATATTGAAAAACTTATTTAAGATGAAAAAGCTCTATTGTATTTAAATAGTGTAAAATGAACATTCGTGGGTGATGATGATTTTTTTTTTACATTTAAAATCAAATTTACGTTTGTAGTTCGGTGAATGTCTCTCACCTAAGCGTGTGACTGAGTTTTCTTTTTTCCGACCAAAATGTGTAATGTGTCACAAACAAATTCGGAAGCGATCTTTATCGAAAATTTAACTTAAAATGAAAAAAAAAAATATATATTTACCTTAATTTTCGCAATCCAAAAGCGATAACAAAAAGGTATGAAAATTGAAAATCGCGCCAAATTTGTATGAATGTTGTGTGACTTTAAACATTGCATAATTATACATAGCATGTATAAAGTTATGAACTAAGGAACATTTTATTATTAACGATACTATGTAACGTAATATAATGTGGAAACGGTTGTTAACTCTACTACAGTTGGGCATAAAAAATACTTTAGGGAGAGAAAATGCATTCTTAAGTTCTGCCAGAAAGTATTTTTTTTTCTGCATTTTCCTTAGTTCTACAAAAAAAAATTGTACATTTTTCTAATCGTCGAAATTCAGGCGAAGATCAAATTTTAGTGTAAAATCTCCCTATTATACACTTAATCGACAAATGATTTCTTTTTTTGAGACTTTCTCCTCGACTTCTCGGTGAAGATACTTTTTTTTAAAATTTTTTCATCACAAAATAAAATTGTAACAGTTGAACTTGTTTTTTTTTTAAATACTAGAAAAAATGCACTAGTTACCGGAAAATGTACTTTGCGTACTGAGAAGTTGTGGGAGACTTGTGGGCAAAACAAAAAAAAAATAAATAAATAACAAATGGGTGATGAGACATTGCGGTTACGATACCATTGTACCATAGCTGCGTTATAATGAATTAAAAATAACGATTTTTTCGAGAATGAACGAGACGATGTCCCACGTTTTAATGTACAAATATTTTCGAAGGAGATAGTTAAATAAAAAAAAAAAAAAAAAAATTAAAAAAAAGAATAAAAACTCAGATGGATCGGAGATAATGATTCATTTCTCGTGAACAAATGATGGGTTTTTTCAAATGTTCTATTTATAGAATTTTTTTTAATTCTTTTTTTAATAAAAATTCATAACACAAACTATTTTGCATTATGCAAAAAGAATACACAGTAAAATATATCTAATTTGTAAATCAGAAATGGATAATTCTTGACTGAAAAACTGCTTTTCAAACTTTAAGAAAATTAAATTTTTCCTAAAGTTCACAATTAACTGGAAAGAAGCAAAATTAATCGCGCATGCATAATACATTGCTATTAATAACCATGTATTTTGTATGCGCGATAAATCTTTTTTAATTTATATATATATACATATATTTTTATTGTCTGACAATAAATTGATGTTCAATTTATTTACATACTTTTGAAATTAAGCCAAGATTTTAGCGGATTTTGTTTTTAATAATATACATGTAATTTTCAAAGTTTAAAGAAAATTGAGTTTGAAAAGCTGTTTTTGAAAAAAAAATTTGAATTTGAAATTTTCTTGATAGCTACATTTTGTGCGCGTCAACTTAAAGATAGTTATGACAAATATTAACGAGAAAATTACTATCTTAAAGTATACTTTAGACATAATATATATAATATGCGTTTCTTTTTATTATTAATATTATATTACAATGACAGAGAGAGAGAAGACCCCATTTGTATGACTCTTCGTTTTTGATTATTTCTTTTATATTGGAAATGGACATCAAAAGTGAGGCATATTCAACCAGATACTCGTTTATTTTATTGTCAAAAGTTGAGAGAAAAAAAAAATTAGAAAAACTACATTATTTATTGTACGACTTATCGTTGAACGTCAAAAAGAAAAGAATTCTTAGAATAAGAGTTTAATTTGTGTATTTAATGAGGTCTTATTGAAACATTATTTGTAATATATAATTATTGTACCCTTTTTCGACGAGAAAACAATGTAATCGATCCATTCATTCTGCCCATTCCATCGAATCTGAATCTTTCATTGTATTTTTAAGTAAATACATTTTGAAAAACAATTTTTTGAATCGTTTTAATTATAATGACCTGTCTAAACTATTGAATTTTTATTTCTCTTTATTTTTATTAGTAGATTCACATCAAACGTGAAATTTTTTTGTAAAAATTGAATTATTTTTAATTAATTAATTCATTCATTCAATTATTTTGTTAAAATTTTAATAAATCCTTCTAAACAATTCAATTATTTTTTTTAAATAGTAAAATCTTTGCAGAAATTCAATTATTTTTGAAATTTCACGAAATAATTCCATTATTTTGTGAAATTTTAATAAATCTTTCGAAACAATTCAATTCTTTTTATAAATATTAAAAATCTTTGCAGGAATTCAGTTATTTTCAAAACAATTTTAATTAAATTCCTCGGAGGAATTAAAATATTTTTCAATATTTCTATAAAATTCAATTATTTCCTAAAATTTTAATAAATTTTTCCAAGCAATTCAATTATTTTCAAAAAATAATAAAATTCTTGAGTGATGATTTCAATTATTTTAAATATATTTAATTTTAATAAAATTCTTTACAGAAATTCAATTATTTTTGAAACAACTTTAATTGAATTTCTCGAAAGAATTTAATTATTTTCAAATATTTCCATAAAATTCTCAAAAATAATTCAATTATTTATTTTCTAAAAATTTTAATAATTTCTTCAAAACAATTCAATTATTTTTATAAATAATTAATAAAATTCTTCGCAATAATTGAATTATTTTTTTAATAAATAGTGAAATTTTTTGCAGGAATTCAATTATTTTCAAAGAAATTTTAATTGAATTCCTCAGAAGAATTAAAATATTTTTCAAAATTTCCATAAAATTCAATTATTTCCTAAAATTTTAATAAATTCTTCCAACAATTCAATTATTTAAAAAAAATAATAAAATTCCTCTGATGAATTTAATTATTTTCATAAATAAAAAAATTCTTCCAAGGAATTCAATTATTCTCTTTAAATTTTTTTGATAAGATTCTTTGCAAGAATTCAATGATTTTCATTACAATAATTTTAAAAATAAAAATTTATTTAAAAAGCAAAATTTTTACAATATTCTATAACGAAGTGAAAATAATTCTTCTTGGAATTAAAATAAAATATTTTAAAAATAGTTGAATTCCGACAGGTTCGACTGTATGCCAATAAAGAAAATTGCAAATTCTAATTTATCTTCAATTTCTTTGAGTCTATTATTTATAGACTCAAGTTTTTCAATACTTATCTAGTGCCAAAAACGATCCATGTTTAAAGAATTTATAAATATCAAACTTTCATCAAAAAATATAAATAAACAAATTTTATCTAACGTTCCTGAATGGCGTGTTGAACGATCTGGAATGATGCATTATTTTTGCTTATAGATGTCAAAAAAGTATAGTGGAAACTTTTATCACGTGCTTGCATCGCTTGCATTTATAATAACAGTAGAATATTAATTTTTGGGAATTTGGAAAATGAACTTAACAACAGTTTCGACTAAACTACAAAAATGTAGTCGCTTTCTATCAGTAAACAAACGATCCGTGAGTATTTAAACATTTGTCTTTAGAAAAATTGATTTAAAGTGTGAAATGTATTTAACATAACCTAAAAACATGTAACTATTTCAAATATAATAAATAAATATAAATAAAGTTTTAAATATAAAAACATTGTTCTAAAAATAAAATATAACAAATTTTATGTATTTTAAAATTAACTGCAGAGGTTATGTCAGTTTCAATTTCTCGAAATAAGAAAATATGGATTTATCAAGTTTAGAAAAATTACTCCTCAATTTGTCTATGGAAAAAATAAGACGCTTTGAACATCTACAAATTTGTATTAATATTAAATTGTATTTCGACAAAAATATTAAAAATTCTACGACTTAAATGTCATTGCAATAATTTTTGACGGAACATAAATACAATTTTTCTCTCCTTTTATGAAAAATTTTCCCCAAAAAGTAATATTCGTTCAATTTAGAAAAAATGTTCTATATCTCTAAAGTATCATTAGAAAAATCTTTAAAAATAATAATTTCAGATTGCCCGATTTTCAAGTAAATCCGAAGAGCCGATAGTACCAAGAAATCCATTACAAGATGTTTACAGTGCATCTCAACAAAAAGCAAATGGAGTAGTTTATGATAAGAAACCATTTAAATTGCGACTTGAAGCTGGAAGAAATTATTCATGGTGTCTTTGTGGACAGAGCAAAAATCAACCTTTATGCGATGGGACACATAAAAATGTTTTCCTAAAAGTAACTCTCAAACCAATACGTTTTGTAGTTCCAGAGACAAAGGAATATTGGCTTTGTAATTGCAAGCAAACTTCAAATAGACCATTTTGTGATGGTACCCATAAGAAACCAGAAGTTCAAGAATTAAAAAGATAATGTTCATATTTAAAGTTATATTTTTAAATATGTTGTCTATTTGTTTTAATAAAACTATAATCTCGACTTTTTATGTTCCATTATAGTTTAGATTTATTCTTGTATAGATTAAAATAAATTAATTCTTTTTCAGTTGACGATTGGTATTCATTTTTTATACATTGGTATTCATTTTTCTATAAATAAAAAGAAAACAGGGTTGCTACAGAACCTGGAAAACCTGGAAAAGTCAGGGATTTTTTAAAAAAGGTCTGGAATACCTGGAAAAGTCAGGGATTTTTTAAAAAAAGGTCTGGAATACCTGGAAATGTCATGGAAATTTGAAATGCCTGGAATTTTATTCCACTTAATATTTTTTACTACATTTTTTCTTTTAAAAAATGATGTCTTGGAATTCCTGGAAATATCCTGAAATATCCTTGAATTTTCCATATTTTGCTTTTAAATATTCAATAATTTAAAAATTTTACTCAAATTTAAAAAAATAATTTTTTTGATCCATCAAAAAATAATTTTAATTTGTCGTTTGATTAAAGAATCTGATATCTATATTATATAATATTGATTTTTAACTCTTTTTATAATAAAATTAATATTTTTGTTCAAGTAGGTTAATTTAAATTATGTTAATCGTAATATGAAATAATATTACACATGTAAATGTCCTGGAAAAATAAAAAATCTGTCCTGGAATGTCCTGGAATTTTAAGTCATATTTTCAGTAGACACCCTGTCTGTGCTTTAATAATCAAATAGAGATAATCTAACGGGAATATTTTTATAATACAGAAAAATTGCTCTAATTTATAATGTTCAAAAGGTGACCTGGAAATTTATCAGATTTGGTACTGGAAAACCTGGAAAAGTCATGGAAATTTAAAAACAGACTTCTGTAGCAACCCTGGAAAATATTCTTTCTTATTTTTCTTAATAAAAGAGAAAAAATTGTAGTAAAATCTATTGACATGCAAACATAAACAAGAACGAGTTAGAGAAGGAAGGACATATAAGGTCCTTCTTTAGACTTTGTCCACAATGGGTTGTTTTCATATGTCATGTAGAACATAAAGTCCAATGCACAATAGGTTCGCGGAAGTCCGAAAGTCGTTCCCGAACGAGATGCATGAGATAGAAAAGGACACAAATATATCTCTGTCTTTTTCTAACTTATGCTTTTGTAAACACAGCCTTAAGCTTTGTTGCATGTACAATCAGTGTGTACTCAACATAAAAGTCACCTGTTTGCGTTCAACTTATTTAAAAATTTGAAGCCGTTTGTTTACGTGTAACGACTTTATAGAGCGGAAGTTTGGAGTGATACTTGAAATAGTAGAAAATGAGTTTTTAATTTAATAAAATAAACAATAAAACAATATCAGTGATTGTAGAATATATTCTTTTAGTCACAAGTTATAAACTTTGAAGAAAAGATGAAATCCGCGTAAGTAGAGAGAAAATATTACTAATGCCACATAACCTGTAAATTACTGGCAATTGACAGTTGATATAGAATTAAAAATAAGTTTCTTTTTATACTATTATTTAATTAATTATATTAATTAACTAGCAAATGCTACGCGCGGAACACAATATTCCATTTATTATTATTTTGTAAATTAGAAAAATTTTATATTTTCAAGAATAAACATCAATTTTTGAATGATTACAGATTTAAAATTTAAAGAAATCATTTATTAAGTACATAATATTAAATATTCTTGTTTATTATTATTCAAAAATTTTAATAAAATTTGTCGTAAGAATTTCATTAGTTTTATAAATAATAAAATTCTTTAGAGCAATTCAATTATTTACAATACAATTTTAATTGCATTTTCTCGAAAGAATAGAATTATTTTTTAAAATATTAATTAAATTCGATTATTTTCAAGAATTATAATATAAATTCAATTATATTCAACAATTTTGATGAAATCCTTTTTTAAAAAATAATTGTTTTCAAAATTTTTAATAAAATTACTTCAAAAAAATCAATTATTTTGAAAAATTCAGCTAAAATTCTTCAAAACAATTTAATTATTTTTATGAATTTTAAATCCTTCACAAAAATTCAATTCAATTAAAATTGTATTTTAAATAATTGAATTCCAGCTAAAATTTCATTATTTATGAGAATAATAATTGGATTCTTGAATTAAATTTTATTAAAATTTTTTAAAATAATTGAACTCCTGTAAAAAATTCAATTTTTTTGTAAAATTATTGAATTTTCTCGGAGAATTTTTACAAGATTTTTAAAAATAATTGAAATTTTCGAAGAATTCAATTAAAATTGTATTGAAAATAAGTGAAATCCTGATAAGAATTTTATTATTTATATTAAAAGAACACTACTATTTTCAAGAATATTAAAGTAAATTCTTAAAAACAATTCAAATATTATCGAAAATATTTTTAAAAATTTTGCCAAGAATTAAATTATTTACAATACAATTTTAATTACATTTTCTGGAAAGAATACAATTATTTTCAAAAATTCAGATAATATTATTCAAAACAATTCAATTATTTTTATGAACTGTAAAATCCTCCACAAAGAATTCAATTATTTTCAATTCAATTTAATTAAAATTTCTCTAAATGGTTTAATTTTTTTTTTAAATTGTAATACAATTTTTCTAAACAATATAATTGCTCTCAAAAGTTTTTAATATAATTCTTTGTAAATTTCAATTATTTTCAAAATTTTAAATTAAAACTACTTTAAAAAATTACAATAATAAAATTGTTTAAAAGAATTAAATTTTCTATGAGTAATTTTAATATAATTTAATAGGAAAATCGTTAATTAGAATTAATAATAAACACGATTATTTTAAGAACTTAAAAGAAATTATTCTTAAAATTAAATTATTTTCAAAATTGCCACTAAAAATTATTTTAAGAAAAGCTTCATTATTTTCAAGAATATTGAAATAAATTTTTCAACACAATTTTAATTAGGTACATTTTCTCGAAAGAATTAAATTATTGAAAACAATTTTTGAATATCTGTAAAAAATTTACTAAATTAAACTTGTGAAGAATTTAAGAATAATTTAATTTTCCCTTTTTAATTTTTGCAAAATTTAAAAAATTTATGAATTCTTTAAGAAGAATTTTATTAAAATTCTTGATAAAATTCAATTACAAAAATTATTTTAAAAAAAACTCCACTATTTTCAAGAATATTGAAGTAAATTTTTCAAAACAATTTGAATATTTTAAAGAATTTTAATAAAAATCTTGCCAAGAATGAAATTATTTACAATACAATTTTAATTACATTTTCTCGAAAGAATACAATTATTTTTAAAAATTCAGATAAAATTATTATTGAAGTAAATTCTTAAAAAGAATTCAATTATTTTAAAGAATTTTAAGAAAAATCTTACCAAGAATGAAATTATTTACAATACAATTTTAATTACATTTTCTCGAAAGAATTCAAATTATTGAAAAAAATGTTGATGTTTAATTTTTATTGTGATTAGTTTTGATTCTTCGATTTTATATTTCCTGTGAATTTGGAATAACTTTTTTCATTTAGATCTAATAATCTCTTTTCCCTTTTAAATTTTTTACTATTATTTTTACTTTTTTAAAATTAGTTTAGCTTTTTTTTAAAATTATTTATTATTAATAAACTTAATAAAATATTTTAGGCGTTCGAAACCAGCGACCTCGGCTCGAAAGCCAATCAGTCGAACGAGGTTCAACAACAATAATAACATGCAGAGCAAGGATCCCGTGCAAGTCTATTGCCGTTTGCGTCCAATGCAATTTCCAACGGACACATCGTGCATGAAAGTAATTTCAGATCCGACAATAGTAATCACTCCGCCAGAGTCGGCGGCGAACTTTCGCTTGACAACTTGCAAGGAAATACAAACCACGTTTACCCGTGTCTTTAATTCGGAGGTTCCTCAGCGAGAAGTCTTTAATATGGTTGCCCTGCCTCTTGTCGAAAATCTAATTCAAGGCAGAAATAGTTTATTGTTTACGTATGGAGTCACTGGAAGCGGAAAGACTTACACAATGACGGGCGAACCACAAGACAGTGGAATAATGCCTAGATCTTTGGATGTTATTTTCAATAGTATCGCCAATTATCAGGCGAAAAAATTTGTCTTCAAACCGGACAAACTGAATGGATTCGATGTGCAAAGTGAAACTGATGCCATGCTGGACAGGCAAAATGAATTACACGCAGGATTGATGACTCCACGAAATGGAAAGATTAGAACGTTAGTGGCATTTTTTTTTATTCATTTTGAAAAAAATATTAAACAAAATTTCTTTACGTTGCTAATTTTATCTACTTCATTTTCAGACGAAAAGCCGACAGTGATAGTGATAGTAATCCAATGATTTTTCGAGCCGCTGAAGAATCTCAAATCATTCATGTGGATCCTGACAATGTTTACTCGGTTTTTGTGACATACGTGGAAATTTATAACAATAGTGTTTACGATTTATTGGAGGAGGACGAAGTTAGAGCAAAGTGAGTAGTATATTTTTTTTTAAATTTTCTCATACAATTTTTACGGAAATTTTAATTATTCAAAAGAGATTTAATAAAATTCTTCGCAAGAATTGAATTATTTTCATAAGTGATAAAATTTTCACAAGGAATTTCATATTAATAATAAATAATTAGAAAAATAATAAAACATCTAAAATACAATTTTTATAACATTTTTTTAAGAAAAGTCCATCATTTAAAAAAATTTTTGATAAAATTTCTCTATAAGAATTCAATTGAAAACATTGAAAATAATTTTAATTCCTGTTGGAAAAATAAATATTTAAATATTTATTTAACAAAAATTATTCAAGTTTTGATTCAATTTAAGAATGGAATTATATTCATAAATAATGAAATATTTAGAGTAATTCAATTATTTAAAATATAATTATCATTTACTATGTAAAAATGTTCGAAAAAATTTTAATTATGTTTAATATAATTTAAAATCAATTCCTCTAAGTGATTCAATTTTTTTCCAAAATATTAATAAAATTCTTTGACAAAATTCAGTTATTTTCAATTTTCATACAATTTTTATAAAATTCTTCTTAAAAATTCAATTATTTTCAATTTTTATAAAATTCTTCTTGAAAATTTAATTATTTTCAATTTTTATAAAATTCTTCTTGAAAATTCAATTTTTTTCAATTTTTAAAAAATTCTTCTTGAAAATTCAATTATTTTCAATTTTCATACAATTTTTATAAAATTCTTCTTGAAAATTCAATTATTTTCAAAATGAAAATGAAATTCTTTACTGGAATTCAATTATTTTTTCAAATAATACAATTTTTATGGAAATTTTAATTATTTAAAAAAAATTTTAATGAAATTCTTCACAACAATTCAATTATTCGCGAGAATTCAATTATTTTCATAAATAATAAAACTCATTGAAGGATTTCAAATATGTTTAATATAATTTCAAATCAATACCTCTAAGTAAATCAATTTTTTTCTAAAAAATATTAATAAAATTCTTTGTAAAAATTCAATTATTTTCAATTTGTATAAAATTCTTCTTGAAAATTCAGTTACATTTAAAAGTTTTAAGAAAATTTATCGCAAAAATTCAATTATTTTCACAAATAAAATTTTTCACGAGAATTCAATTATCTAAAAGAATTTTAATAAAATTCTTCAAAAGAATTCAATTATTTTCATAAATTCTAAAATTCTTCCCTAGAATTCAATTATTTCGAAAAAAACAATTTTAACAAAAATTATTTTTAAAAATTCAATTATATTTTAAATATGTACAATTTTTTATAAGTAAATTCCTCGAAAAAATTCAATTATTTTCAAAATTAAATTGAAATTTTCAAAAAATTTAATTGCTTGTAAAACTGTAACAATATTTAATTTTTTATTTTGAAAAATTATTAATTTATTATTTTTTCAAAAAATAATTAAAGGTTTGAATAATTTTAGTTAAAAATTTCAACAATGTAATAATTTTAAATTTTGAATGAATTACAGTTGTAATTTTTACAGAAATAGTTAAATTTCAAAAAGGCTGTACATACATTAAAATCATTCAAAATTATTTTAAGTTACAATGTTACAAATAATTTTAGTTTTGATAGTGCAGCAAAATTACTGTACAATAGTAAAAAAAATAAATTTCGTTTATTTGAATGTTCTGAACTTTTACTAAATTAATTAAATTTCTACTTATTTGGAAAATTTTGTAAAATTTGATTCAAATAAATTTTATATTTTAAAGAATTTTATTTTTTTACTTTTAAATTATTTTAAATTTACAATTTTAGTATTCTTTTGAAATATCGTATTAATTTGAAAAGCTTTATATTAAAAATTTAGAAAATAATTTAAATTTGCAGAAATTTAGAATTGAAGTTATTGTCAGGACTTTTAAATTATTTTAAATTTACTTTTAATATTATTTTGAAATATCGTATTAATTTGAAGAATTTTATATTAAAAATTTAGAAAATAATTTAAATTTACGAAGTTATTGACAGGATAAGAAAAAAAAGTAAATATTTTTGATGAAAATTAGAGTGTTTTTAGTCATCAAATTTTTCGACTGCTACTTTTTGTTACTTTTTAAAAAAATTAATTATCGAGTGCGAAGCTTGATATTTTTTTACTGCCTACGAGATTTTTAAACTAATGGAATTTTCTTTAACGATATAGAACTCTACAAAGTAAAATTGTCCGAGAAGATGGCAATAAAAATATGTACGTTCATGCCGTGACTGAAGTTGAAGTAAAAAGTACAGAAGAAGCTTTCGAAGTATTTCAAAGAGGACAACGAAGACGGCGAGTCGCGCACACTGCACTTAATGCAGAGTCAAGCAGATCTCACAGTGTCTTTACAATCAGACTTGTCCAGGTAATTTAAAAAAATATAATTAAAAAAATGTTTTAAAAAAAAATTTTTTTAATTAGCATTAAAAATTTTTTTTCTTATTTTAAATTTCTTTTAATTACTATTAATTTTGTGCTTATCAGGCTCCTCTGGATTGCGAAGGAGAGCAGGCAATTCAGGACAAGCGAGTTGTTTGCATAAGTCAATTATCGCTGGTTGATTTAGCGGGAAGTGAACGAACGAATCGCACAAAAAATACGGGACAACGTTTGCGAGAAGCAGGTTTGAAGAATATTTTTTTATCTCTAATACTTACTTATTCTTAATTTTTCTGAAATTTATTTATTTTCACAAAAATAAAATTTTCAGTAAGTAAAGTAAATATTTTTAATTCAATTCAATTCGCTTTTTTTAGGAAACATTAATAATTCTCTGATGACTCTAAGATCGTGTTTGGAGATTTTACGTGAAAATCAGACACAAAGTGCAAGTAAAATGGTACCATATCGTGATTCAAAGTTAACGCATCTTTTTAAAAACTACTTTGACGGAGAAGGCCAGGTCAGAATGATAGTTTGCGTCAATCCAAGAGCTGACGATTATGATGAAACAATTGTAAGAATTTTCACTCGTTGTTAATATTCTTAAATTAATATTCCTCGAATTTCTTAATAAATGAGAAAATTCTCTCTGTTCACGCAGCAAGTGATGAAGTTTGCCGAAATAACTCAGGAAGTTCAAGTATCAAGACCGCAAATTACGAAATTCGATTTGGGCTTCACACCCGGTAGACGTCAAGCAAATAAAGTAATTATCCGTCTATTAAAAATTGTACTTTTAAAAATACTTTTAAAATTACTTTTTAAAATACTTATTAAAATACTTTTTAAAATAGTTTTTAAAATACTTTTTAAAATAGTTTTTAAAATACTTTTTAAAATACTTTTTGAAATAGTTTTAAAAATACTTTTTACAATACTTTTTAAAATACTTTAAAAAATACTTTTTAAATACTCTTTCTAGTTATTCAAAGAGGCACGCAGTCGATTAGAGAAGGAAGGAAAAATCGAAGCGGCTGATTTGGAAATCGACCTGGGTCTTGTTTACAGGTTATTTTTGATAAATTATAAGTTTTTAAATATCTTTCGAGAAAACTATGAAATATTTAAATAACTTTTTCTCTTTATTTTCATTAACAGTCTTGGAGGTTCATTCCCGGAATTGGAAATTAATAATCCTCATAACGATCAAATTATCACAGGATTAATGCATTTTCTGGAGCAGAGAATTAATAAGCGAAACATACTACGTGCAGATCTTCAACAAAAGCGTAACTATCTTTAAATTAAAAAGTTTTTTTTTAAAATTACCGCATACAAATAGACAATAATTTTGTTTTCTTTTTTAGAAACTGATTTTAGAAAACTTCTTTTGACAATGGAACAGGAAAATATGAATTTAAAGGTGGAAAACGCTTCAATTAAAGCTTCTCATGCACAGCAGAAAAAGAAGGTATTTATAATTATTGAAAATTTATAATTTATAATTTTAATTATTCAAATTTACAAATTTACAAATTTAATTTACAAAATGGTTTTTTAGGTTTCAGCGCTAGAAGGACATTTATGTAAAACAGAAACTCAAATTGATAGTTTACTTCGTAAATTAAACAACGCCAATGATACAATTAGAGGTTTACAACAAGAGGTGAGAATTTAATTTATTAAATAATTAAATAATAACTTTATATAATAACTAAACTTTTTTTCAATAAATGTGACGAAACAAATTATTATTTTAAATCTTCAAGAGAATTAATTTCCAATAATTCTTTTCACAGTTGAAAGACAGAGATATGGCTCTTAATCAACGGATAATTGATAAACAGAGAGTAAAGCAAAAATACAATACGAAATTCCAGCAAGAGAAGGATCATATGACTAGAGAATTGGAAATAAAATTACGAGTACAGCGCGAGCATCTTCAGGTGAGTTAAATATTGAAAATAAACGCAGAATGCAAAAAAAATGAATTAAATATATAATAAATAAAAAAAGAGGAATTACTTATTCATTGACATTTGTTTGTGATTGTTTACAGAATCAAATGAAGGAAAAAGAAGATAAATTACGACTTGTTACAAAAATTTTAGTAGACGACAATGGATTAACTTCGGCTAGAAGCGATCAAAAGGGTATAATTCCAGTTCTCCCAAATGCAGCAGGAGATGTTTTATCTATAAAAACTCCTGGTGGAAGAGATGTTCGATCAAGACGGGTAAAAAGCTAAAATTTTATTAAATAGCTAGCATAACTACCTGCTCGTAATTATTTTCAGAATTTTTAAATTAAATTCTACAAATTTTAATAATTTTCATTAAATATTTAAATACTTATTCATAAATTAATTAATTAATTAAATACCTATTTATTTGTCCACATGAATTAAATTATTAAAATTGTAACTGCTATTCTTTCAAAATTCAATTATTTTTTCGAATTTTTGAATAATTATTTTTATATAATATATAATAACTTAATAGGTAAATAATAATTTACTAATAACTTAATATTTTTGATAATATTTCTTTTTAATGCTTTAAATTTTTAAATTAATGAAAATCTAATTTAATGCTTTGAAGCTTAAACAATACAAAAAATTAATAAAACCAAATTGTTTTCAATTAAAAATATTTCTTTTCTATTATTTCCTTTATAATTTTCAATCTGAAATAATTGAATTCTTATAAAGTTTTATCCAAATTTTTCAAATTAATTCAATTTCTCGTGAAAAATGTAATTTAAATCTTTAAAAATAAGTTAATTCTTACGAGAAATTTCATTAAAATAATATTAAAAATATTTTAATTCTTATAAGGAGTTTTATCATAATTTTTAAAAATAATATAAAAATAATAGTATTTAATTTTATTGAAATGTTTCAATATAATAAAATTTATGCGAAGAATTTTATTAAAATTTTTAAAAATAATTAAATTCCTGCGAAAAATTGTATAAATTTAATTGAAAAATTTAAATTAAATAATTAATTATAATTTAAATATTTGAAAATATAAAATTTTTTAATTTATAAAATAATTTTTTGTCAATCATGGGAAATCCTATTATTGAATGATTTAAAGTAAATTAATTGTTGCAGCATTTAAATTGCAATTGTTCTTTAACGGCGATTATTGTAGAATTAATGTTCGATTTATTTTTTCTTAATAGGATAAAGTTCCAGTTGCGAATCCAAGATATCGAAGATCTCAGAGTGCAGACAGATGGGTGGACCATAGACCTGGAGCTTTAGTTCCAGTTGACACGGTTCTTCAGCCTTTAATGCGCAGAAGAAGAAGTATATCGAAATTAACAAGTCCCAAGGAAATAACGGAAGGTGCCTCCAAATATTGTCTTATTGCTCAAAATCATGATTCTCAAGGGGAACTTGAAACCAAACTCTACAAAGTATGTATTGTTTCTTAAAAAAAAAATTTTTTTTAAAGAAAACAGTTAATTTCTAATTAAAATATTTAATAATTATTATTTATTCTTTTTAAGGGAGATATTGTTCCAACGAGCGGTGGAGGAGCTCAAGTAGTTTTTAACGATGTTGAATGTCTTAAGCAAATGTCACCAACCGGCAACAGAAAACGCAGTGTACCCACAACGTCTTCTCAGGCAAATACTCAATCAAATTCCGAGCAGTGCTTTACCATTGAGTCTAATTCAAAGAAGCCTCGAGTGTAATTTTTATTTATTTATTAACAAACCTTTAACGTTAGTGAATGAATTTCAATTTATCCAACGATAACCTAATCGTTTTTTATCACTTTTGATATATATTTTTTTTTAATCAAGAAACATGATCTTAAACTTTCCTAAAGAAAGTCATTTATTAATTTACTCCAAGAATTATGTAATTTAAAAAATTTTCTTAAATTAAGGAAAAGAAGAAGTAGAAGTAACCAATAAAAATTTCATTTTGATAAAATAAAATGACAATTTCTTTTGAGCGCATTTTCATTTTAATCAATAATAAAAACCATACAATTATAATACATTGCTATTGACAAGTGGTATTTCTTTTTTTTTCGCTTCGAGTTTATTCAATACATTGGCAACATAGAAAATCATACAAAGTATTTGAATTCGAGACTAGACGAGTACCTTTTCACAGGTAAAAAAACAACTAATAATTATCAATTGTAAAACAATTGCTTTTGATTAATCGAAAAATGTGATTAATTAATCTGCCGCTGGCATTTCTGGAACCAGCAGAAAAGTTCGCTTTTTAAAAAGATATCGTTATTGGCAAAACCAGTCTCTCATTGAGCTTTTTTTTTTTTTTAACCGGACAGAATTCACAATTTTTTTTTTTAAATACTCGCTAAATATTCTAGCAAGCAATATAACGCTTTCTTCTGATTTTTCTTAAAGCTTTCCCTTGCATAGAAAGAAAAAATAAAATAAAAATAAATAATTGAATATTATTTGGGAAAGCAAATTCCTCGTTATTCTAATCAGAAAAAAAGTCTGTATTAAAATAATTACTGAGTTTTATCACTTATTTAAAGCCACGTTTTCTAGATGAGAAATAAAACTATTAGTTAATTTAAAAAATTTATAAAGTACCTAATTTTTCAAAAAAAAAAAAATTCCGAGCTAAAAATTTTAATTTTCGAAAAAAAGGATCATAAAATTCCAAATAGTACTCTTAGATAAAAAACAATGTTGTGTTTTATTCTCTTCTTTAATTAGATTTATAAGTAGTCTTTCTGAAAGCACTACAAATACACACAACATTGATGAACTTTTTCTTTTTAACTATATTGGAAATCACTAGAATAGATTTCTAGTTTTGTCACTATTCCAAAGTGTTTATTATTTCAAACAGTGAAATGTTCATTTTTGAAGAAATTGTTTAGTTTTAAAAGAGCGTTTGATTTCGTCGTCAGTGTTACTTTGCAGTGTTTTTTTTTTTGTTTTTTTAAAGTTTCTTTTTTTTGTTTTTTGTGAAAAGTGATTTTGACTAGTGTTTGGATCTCGAAGAAAGTGTCGTGAATTATTTAGCATTGGACAGACCGAAAAAAATTGTAAATTGGCCTAATTGTTATATATATTTTCCAGTCTTGCCAAATATCATACTATAGTGACTACGAAACGAACTGGACGTAAAACAGCGTCTCTCTTTCTCTCTCTCTTTTTTTCTTTCTTTCTTTCTTTTTTTTCCTTTTTTTCCTACTACTCTTTCCCTTTATACGTCAAGAGTCTCTGATATTAAAAACACGAAATTTATTTATTCTATAGCTTTGCTCATAAATTCTATGAATCGTCTGCCATACTGTTCAGGATCACAGGTAGAAATTCCATCAACATTTGCGCCGTATTTGACCGTTTTTGCAGCTTTCGCTGCCTGTTTACGAACTCCGTAATGAGTTAAGACATCAATTATAGCAAGGAAGTAAATTTCTTTCGTAGGTGCACCTGAAAAAGAATATTTTTAGATTTTTTTATTATTCCAGTGTTCACACCAAAAATTTAATTTTGTTTTTCTCTGAATTTTTCCTTGATTACTAGACAAAATTTTCACTTTTTCCCTGATCCTAAAGAAAATTCTGATTCACTATAAAAATTATTAGATACTTAAAAAAAATGGTCTATTACATTCATTTACGAATTTCTTTAATTATAAAGTTATTCGAAAACATCCATAACTTCTTTTTTAAATAAATATTTAATTATTATTTTTCCGTAGGAATTAAAAATCTTCAAAACATTCAAATTCAAAATGTTCAAATTATCTTCTACAATTTTTTAACTAAAATTCTTCTTTAAATTAATAATTATTTTTAATAATTTTTCAAAAATCCATTTTCAAATCCATTTTCTTACAGTTCTTACAATTCTTACAATTACCAAAAATGTCCATTATTCAGAAACTCTTCAATTAAATATATATTAAAAAAATAAAAACTACAAATAATTTCAAAAGAAATTCAATTAAACTTTTAAAAAAAAATTAATTCTACACAATTGTTAGTAAAAAGTATAAAAAATTCAAATTTTCAAAGATTTTAATTTAAAACCTATTCAAAATTCAATTATTTCTAAAAATTCATGCCATAGAGCTTTCAATATTCAATTATTATCTATAATTTTAACTGAAATTCATTTTTTAATCAATTTTTATTAGAAAATTCTACGAGAATTCAATTATTATTGAAGTACAAAAATAAATTATTTACTGGATAATTGAAATCAAAATTGTACTAAAAATAATTGAAATTCTGCGATGAGTTTTATTATTTATGAAAATAATTGAATTATTGTGAAGAAATTTATAAAAAATTTGTAAATAATTAAATTTCTATGAATTTTTTATTATTTACAAAAATAATTCCATGTATTTGTAGAATTTCATCAAAATTTTTTCTAAATAATTGAATTGTTTTGGTAAATTCTATTAAAATCATTGAATTAAAGAAAATTTTTGAAAATAATTGAATTTTTCAGAAGAATTTGATCATTTTCAAAGATAATTGAAATTTTGACAAAATTTTTTTAAAAATTTTGAACATAATTGAATTTTCGCGAAGAATTTTATTAAATTATTAAATGATTCGTAAAATTATATTCTTATAAAGAATTTTATTATTGTCTGAAAATAATTGAATTCATAAAAGGAATTTTATTATTTATGAAAATAAATGAATAATTTGCGTAGAATTTTAAATAAAAATAATTTTGATAAATAATTGAATTCTTTTGGGAGAGTAATTGAATTTTTGGGGAGAATTTCGATATTTATATCAAGATAATTGAATTGTTTCAAAGAATTGAGTTAAAATTTTTAAAATAATATCAAATACGTAGGACAATATTTAGTCAATTTCAAAAGAATTGAAATTTAAACTTTTCAAAAAATTCTAATAAACAAATTTATCAAAATTTTCTTAAATAATTAAATTCTTTTGAAGAATTTTAATAAAATTTTTAAGAATAACTGTATTTTTCGGAGAATTCGATTAAAATTCTATTAAAAATTATTTAAATCCCGCGATGAAGTTTCATTATTTATAAAAATAATGGAATTTCTAAAGAAAATTATATTATTTATTTATTTTTTAATTTAATTTAATTTAAATAATTAAATCTCTATAAAAAATTTTGTTATTTTTGAAAATAATTGAATTATTGCTAAACAAATTGTAAATAATTGAATTCCTGTAAAATTTTTTTTATTTTAGAAAAATAATTAAATATTTTTCTTGAATTTTATTAACGATTCAATTCTTTTGAAAAATTTTATAAAAATAGTAGTTATTGAAAAACATTGAATTGAGGAAAATTTTAGAACATAATTGAAATTTTGCTAAGAATTTTATTAAAATTTTTAAAAATAACTGAATTTCGAAGAATTTTATTATTTATGAAGATAATTGAAATTTAGATGAGAATTTAAAAATATTTTTAAAAATAATTGAATTTCAGCAAAGAATTTTATTACGTTTGAAATTAATGAAATTTCTGCAATAATTCGTAACTTCTCCAAAAATTTTGTTTTATTTATTTAATTATAAAAATTTTAATTTTTAAAAATTATTTAATTTAATTTTTTTAGTTTTTTTCAACTGAAATTCTTCTATAAATTTATTATTTTGAATAATTAATTAAATACATATTTAAAAATTTAACTAATTTCAGAAAAAATTGAATTATTAAAATTTTTGTCAAAAATCTAAATTCTTTAAAACTTTTAATTAAATTCATTCAAAATTGAAATCTTATAAAATTTTAAATTAAAACCTTTTGAAGTTCATCTATTTATGAAAATTGTAAACGCAACTCTTTTAAAATTCTATTAATTTCGAAATATTCAAGTAAAATTATTCATTAAATAATTTCTAAGCAATAATTTTATCATAGTTCATGAAGAATTAAGTTATTTAAAAAGAAAATTATTGTCAGAAATAGAAAAAATTGAAGGTTTTGTATAAATAAAATGAAATCTCTACCTTCTTTGCTTGGAATGGCATAAATATCTAATTCCGGAATTATTGCATCTTCATACTGCAAACTTGTTTCACGCATTAGGGCTGCATGAGGAGACTCGGGTGGTGTGGCCATTCCTATGATTCCACCCCAACCCCATAAGCGACTAAAAGTAAAATGAAAAAAATAAGTATAAAATGAAAAAAAAATTGATTTACGACGTTCTACTTGTCAGAAATTAATAACATAAATTCTTACTCTCCAACAGCGTTACCCCGAGAGTCTAATCCACTTCCGGATTCGCTGTCGTCCTCGTCGTCATGATTATCCTCATCTTCCTCCCTTTCGGCCCGCTCTCGATTTTCTTGTTCGGCTCGTACGCAATCGTGTAGTCCAAGAAGTAAGGAATAGTCCATTAAATGTAACCGCGTCAAAAACTACAATAAAAACGTCGTTATTTAATTTATTTTCAATTCATTATTATCATAAGTTTCTCAAGTTGTAACTTTATCTTAATTTCAGGCCTCGGATCGACTTTAAGGCACAAAAAGACGCTTTAGTCGATTAAAAATAGAAAAAAGTCAAAAGACTGCAACTATCAGAAAAATCAATTATTTACAGAAAGAAACTATTTTTTGCGTTTCTATCATAAAAATCTTTAAAAGAAAAAATAAAAGATTTCAGTGTTTTCATTATTAGTGAATTGAAATAATATCCTACATCAACATCAGCTGTTAAAGTTTCTATTAATTTTTCTTTCGCCTCATCGCCAATGTAAATTTTCATTCCTTCCTTTACAAAATCATTGTCTTTGTAAGTGGGAAGATCTTTCTCCTTTTCCTTGTCAGAAGCTTCCCTGTCTACTGTCGATCCTTTCAAATCAAATTTCTTATGTGTAGTCAAGTGATTTGAAAAAACATTTCTGATCGCAACAACGTAATGTTCCACTCCGTCAACAGTGAGTCGATACATCCCAAGATACTGTGGCAAAAGTGTTTTTCCATGTCGTTCCACTATGTACTGCAATCATTTTTTCAAAACAACATTAACACAAGAAGATACAAAAATAAAAACATAATGTTTGACGCGCTCCCAAGAAGTAAACAAATATCATAATTGCATATTTGGATTTCTTCATGTTTTTATAATAATTAAAAATATAATCCAGTGATAAATTTACTATTTTATATAAAAATATTGTTACTCTAAGTCTAACTTTTTCGAAATTATTTTCATCATTTCAATTCAATTACTATTTTCTAGAATTTTTAACTAAAATTCTTCTTTAAATCAATTATTTTTAATAATTTTTAAAAAAAGTTCTTTGAGAATTTTCCAATTCATTTGTTTACAGTTTAATTTTACGAAATTTTGATTATTCGGAAATTCTTCAATTAAATATATATTAGACAATAAAAACTTCAAATAAATTTAACAAAAATTCAATTAAACTTTTTCAAAAAAATTAATTCTACAGAATTGTTAGTTAAAAGTATGAAAAAATCAAATTTTCAAAGATTTTAATTTAAAACATCAAAATTCAATTATTTAAAAAATTCACGCTATATACTTTTAATATTCAATTATTATCTAAAAATTTTAACTGAAATTTCATTTTTAAATCAATTTTTATACAAAAAAAATTGTATGAGAATTCAATTCTTTAAATCCAAAAATAAATAATTTATTTAAAAATTGAATTTCATTTAAAAGTGAATTCTCATAAAGTATTTTACGAACAATTGTTTAAATAATTAAATTCGCTTGAAGAATTTTAATACAATTTGTAAAAAATAATTACATATTTCGAGGAATTCGATTAAAATTGAATTAAAAATAATTGAAATTCTGCGATAAGTTTGACTATTTATTAAAATTGTAATTGAATTCCTAAAAAGAATTTTATTATTTATGGAAATAATTAAAATTTGTCTTAAATAATTGAATTCTTTTAAAAAACTTTATTAAAATAGTAGATATTAAAAATCATTGAATTAAGGAAAATTTTTTGAAATAATTGAAATTTTGACAAGATTTAAAATACAAAAATACATAATTTATTGGATAACTGAATTATTCTTAATATTGAATTTTCATAAAGAATTTTATCAAACAAATTTTTAAAGAATTGAATTTTTTTCGACGAATTTTAAAAAATTTTTAAAGATAAATTGTATTTTTCGAAAAATTTAATTAAAATTGTATAAAAAATAATTGAAATTCTGCGACGAATAAAATTATTATTTATGAAAATAATTAAATGTTTGCGAACAATTTGATCAAAAAGTTTTTTTTAAATAATTGAAATTTTGCCAAGAATTTTATTACAATTTTTGACAATAATTGAATTCTTGAAAAGAATTTCGCTACCTATTTATGAAGATAATTTAATTCTTGACGAGAATTTTTAAAAAATTTTGAAAATAATTTAATTTCTGCAAAGTATTTTATTACTTTTCAAAGTAATTAAATTTTTATAAAAAATAATCAATTATAATCAATTTTGATATTTATCAAAATAATTGATTTTTTCCAGTACTTTTAATAAAGTTTACTGATTTTTTCCTGAATTCCCTGATTTCCCTGATCTTTGGCAACCCTGAATTTTTGTAATTTTTTTCTCAGGTACCTTTCTTGGGAGCGAGTTAAATTTTAATGAATTGATAATTCTCTCACTGGATGATAGTGTTTCAGAAACGAATGCATTCTCTCGACCTCTTCACTTGTTAGCGTTTTGATTATGAATAATTTGTCATATGACTGATAGAATTTGGCTCCACTTTTTCCCGAGGAATCATCCAAAGTCGGTTGTGATCTAAAATAGAAAAAATAATTTTTTATTATCAAAAAAAAAAGGAAAAACTAGAAATCAAATAGTTTTCTAAACTCACTATTCACAAAAAGCACACTGACAAAAATTCTAGAATATCAAAAAAGCCACACAAACACACAACATGGAATAAAAAAAGTTTTAAATTAATTATCGTCAAAAACTGTACGAAATATAAATTTTAATTTTTTTTCCATCTGTAATGGAATATTTTTTGGAAAAAATCAAAAAATTAGAGAATGGCGAGAGTGTCAATTTCGAAATTCAAGTGTTAGTTTGAATAAAGATTTTGTGAAAGAGGGAGGCGACCAGAGTTGTCAACAAACTGGTTTTTTTCGGGAAAACAAAAAAAAAAGGTGGTACAAAATTGTGTTAGCCACAAACGACACGCACAGACTTGAAAAAATCAAATCTAACCTCAGTCGCTTTGGCTTAAAACTGTAGGTTCGTTGCTGCTTATTTGGAACTGGAATTTGAGAAATACTAGGAGGGGATATTGTTATTGAAGGAACAGTGGCAGAACGTTGTACCAATTGATGATTCCTTCCAGAAGTAGCCTTTAAATTTGAACGCCTTTTTGCTCTTGAAGGATTAAATGCTCGACATCTATTGGCAAAATTCTCCTATATTACCCATCTCTCCCCCAACGACTATTTTTTTTTTATTTTCTTTAATTTAATTCCGTGTGATCTATGATTTTCTAATTTTCCAATTTGCGATTTCTTCAACCTCCCAATCCTACGGAGAAGCATTCATTTACACTAGCACAACAATAACAAGCTAAATGCCCCAATTATCGTCAATAGAAAAAGCAAAAAAGATTTTAAAAAATATTTTTATCAATATTTAATTAATTAAATTTAATTAATTAATTTCATTAATTATGTTGATCACTAGGGCATTTATCTTATATCAAGCAAAAGCATCTGCAACATTTTTTTTCTTATTCTTTCCGTTTTGTCAATTCAATAACAATTCATCATTTTTTGTACTAGCATAAATAAACACTGCAAAAATATTTTTTCTTCAATCACTATAAAAAAAAAATCATGCAGTTTGAGCATTCAAATAAAAACATAGAGAAAAAATTATTCCATTCCATTAAAAATTTGTCATCACTACTGCTTTGCGGTGGCTACAGTATAGTTTCTAATCTACTAAATTTAATTCATCTTTGCAAACATTTTTTTTTAAATAAAAACATTCATTGTTTTAAAATAAATACAATTGTTTAGAATTGAAATTTGCAAGAGACTTCTGCCAGTACGTAATAGAGTTTCAATAAAGAAAACCAAAATCATGTGAAAATCGTTTGTTATCATTTTGTTAAGGCCTCGGATCGAATTTAAGGTCCAAAAAAAAATCGCTTCTTAGTCGATTGAATATTTAAAAAAAATCGAAAAAGTCGTGTTGTCACAAAAATTTTATTTCCTACATATTTTCCTGATTTTCCCCTTTCAATGCTTTCTAAATTCAATTATTCAAAAATTAAACAAAAAAATTTAAATAATTATTCATTTTTCTCCGAGAATTTAAATAATTAAAAAAAAAAATTTTTTTTTTTGAAAAACTTCAATTTCCAATACTGAAAGTTAACTATTTTTTAAAAATTAAAACTGCAATTCTTCCAAAATTTAATTATTCACAAGTTTTAATTTCTTCTTTGAATCAATTGAATTTACTTTCAATAATTTTCCGAAAGTCTTTTAAAAATTCAATTATTAAACTACAAAATTTAAATTATTTACAATAAATGTAAAATCTGTAACTCTTTATGATTTCTCTTTGAAATTATAAAAGTTAATTATTGAAAATAGAAATCCGAAAATATTGAAAATAACTGTTTAAAAAATTATAAAAAAAATTCTTGAAATTCATTTTTTTAAAAATATTTTTAAATATTACATATCATTATAATAATTACATATATAATTGAAAAATCTCCAAATAATTGAAATTTAGTAATATTTTTTTGACAGTTAATGAATTTATTAAAAGAATTTTTTAGAAATTTTGAGAATTAATGAATTGAAAATCATTGAATTATTGCAAAGAATTTTATCAAAAAATTTGATAATAGAATTCCTTCAAAGGATTTATTTAAATTTTAGAAAATAATTGAATTTTATTGAAATTTTTTGAAACGAATTAAAAAAGAATTGAATTCTTTAGTGAAATTGTTTTGAATAGAATTGAATTTTTGCAACGAATTTTACTATTTATAAATATAATTGAATTTTTTCGAAAGATTTATTAAAATTTTAGAAAATAATTGAATTTCTGCAAAGAATTGCATTAAAAATTTTTTTAAAAATTGAATTCTTTCATGAAATACAATTAAAATTGTATTGAAAATAATTTTTTCGATTTATAAAATTGTTAATTATTTCAAATGATTTATTCAAATTTTAGAAAATAATTGAATTTTATTGAAATTTTTTATAATGAATTAAGAAAAAAAATGAAATTGAATTAATTTTCTTTTTGATTTTTCATTATAATTTTGGAGAATACAATTATTAATAGAATATTTAAAAAATCTATTACTTTTAATTAAATTTTACAAAATCTAAATTATTTAAATTCTTTTCAAATTATTTATTTCGAAAATTTAATTAGAAAAATTATTCAAATAAATGATTTCTGAAAGATTTGCCAATAGACATTTTTTACCTTAAGAAAATCAAAATAATTTGCAATTTTTATACTAAAAATGTGCTATTTCGTTGCAATATTTGGAAGAAATGTAAAAAAAAGTCGCATTTTTTCGAAAAGAAGTCGAAGAAAAATTGCTTTTTCTGAAAAGAGTTGAAAAAAGTCCAAAAAGTCGAACAATCCGAGGCCTGTTAACAAGAAATAATATTTATCCTTTCATTAAAATTGATTTTCGAAAGCAAAAATTACCTGGTCATTGATTCTTTGTAATCCAAGTCATCGATGCCAAACCTTTCTCGTAAATTTCGAAAGACAAGAGGACAATATTCTTTTATTTTAAAATGTGAAGGCATATTTTCTCTGCAAAAGAAAAAAGGAAAATTCGTCAATTAAATTCTACTCTTCGTGTTTAATTTAACGTCTAATCATAAATATCATTTTTTTGTGTTTTTAGAAGAAGGAAATGCTTTTTGTTTCTATTTAATAGTCACAGATGCCAAAAAGACATTCATTGATTCTATTATTAAAAACAGAGGACGGTCCATCAATTCCAATTTATATTTAGAATATGGATCGCACAATAGTTTATTTCCTTGATTTCAAATCAATGATTTTGAGAAAAAAATTTTTTTAATTTTATAAATAGAAAAAAACGTAATTCATTTCAGGAAGAAACTTCATTGTCAAATGAAACACTGACTCACTCACTTATTAAAGAGGTGGTTATCAACTTTTAATTTGCTGTACGCTCTAAAGTCATCTGGCAATAGCATCACTGGTATGTTGACGTGACTGAGTTCATTTATCTGCAATAAAAAAATATGTTTATTACCAAAAAGTCAATATTTTAAAATAATATTTTTATACAAAATTTCTATTTCTACATAAAAAAAAACAATTTTTCAACGTTTTGAACTGATTTAGATTTTTAAAAGTTTTAAAAACTTTACCCCATAAATTAATTTTGATTAATTAATAATAATTAAAATTACATTTATAATTAAAATTATAAAAGAAAAATTACATTAATAATTAAAATTATAAAAAAAAGAAAAATTAAATTATTAATTAAAATAATAATTAAAACTATTTGATTTAAAGAAATTATTTATAAGGTCAACCGATTTCTAGATAAATTTTCCACTTTATTTATTAATTTACAAGATTTATAACTTTATATTTTAATGCAGTTTGCATTAAGTACTAATTTAAAAAAATCGAAAATGTCACTAAAAAGTTTTTTCTACTCTAAAATTCATGCTTCATTATTTATGTCATAACGAACATTATTGAAGAAAGTTGAATTTTATACATAAATAAAATGGAGTTTAGTTTACAATTGACTTGTCAAGGTTAAATATGTCCAACTATTGTTTTACATTTGTTTACATTTAGTTTAACGTAACTAGAATATTTTATTTATTATTTTTTATTATATAAAAAAATTAGTCAATCATAATTATCTATAAACTAAAATACCAGACAATTAAATTCACCATAGAAAATAAATTCACTATCAAAAATTTCAAAAACAATTTGAGAAATTATTTCCACGTTCATTTAACACAAAATATTTATGTCATTTTTCGAAATTCTACAACAAAGAGAAATAGTGATTTATTAATTAATTATAAACTGATGTGACATATAGGAAAAATTATTACTTCTAAATTCAAAGCAATCACAAATTTATACCTATATGATTGCAATATATTTTTTCCCCTCCCACTATAAGTGAAAACACACTGTCACAATATAAAAATGAAATTCTCTTATCTTGATTTTTAAGGAAATTATTTTATTTTGCCTTACCGTATGATTGACACCCCACATGAATACGCTTAGAAGTGGCTCATTTGCACGAAATAGTTTAACCTTTTGATGTTTAACGCGAAAATGTTTCTTTTTGAGCTTACTCAATCCGCTATACAGCGGCGCACTAGACATTTTTGCTACTTTTTAACGATCGATCACAACAATATTTTGCGATTCACTTTTTCACGGACGATTTTACCTGTCGCGTGTTTCTTACTTTTCTAGAGTCTCATTTTTTTGTGAAAAATAATAAATGCCTCGCATACAAAAAAGATAGGCAAAAATTGGCGGGTAAGAGAGAAATATTCTCAAAAAGGGAAATTTTGCCAAAAAAAACAACAACAACAATATCCACCCTCGCACAACCGCAGTTTGTCAGTGACTGAGGCGACTGAAAGGCCCTTTAAAAATGGCGATTAATCTCAACGATCTGAAGTTCTTTCGCGTCAACATTTGTCAAACTGTTGGTCACACTGATTTCGCGCCGATTTTGAAAATCTCTTTTTTACAAATTTTAATAATTATTATGGTGGTGGTGGTTTTTTAATTAAAAAATTAATTGATTCATATCGTTTTAGAAGATTGTAAAAAATGTGAAAAATAATTAAGAACCAAAAAGAGAAAATAAGGATGAAATTTGAATTCCCGCCAAAAGTGGTGATTTCTGGTGAAATGTGTCACGTGACTTTATAGTTTTTTGGGTTGTTGATAGTTGTTGGGTTTGCGATTATAACGGTGGTTTTTGATGATGCGTTGGCAATATTGTTGTAAGTTGTAGTCTTGCGTGTACTTGGCACCTTTGGCAGATGACAATCCAAGAAGTGCTTTATAACCTTATATACTATTCGGTGAATTTAAATAAGTACAAAAATTCATTTATGATTGATGTTGATTTTGGTGTGTACTTAAAATCTGTACTTAAAGCCGAAATTAAATTAAAACAATACTTATGAGCAATAATGAGTGGACAAAAATTTCAATATGACGAGAGTGGTGGAACATTTTTCTACTTTCTTCTCTCATTTTTGGCTTTACTTTTGGTACCTGCAACTTATTACTTGTGGCCACGTTGTTCTAAACCAGGTTAGATTTTTTTATTCTATATTTATCGTTTATAAACTTTATAAATAAATATTCATTATTAGAATGTAATTTTCAAATATCATTATCTCTATATAAATCAAAATTTGGAGCAGTGAAATACATAGCTGATTAGAAAAGAATTAAAATATAAAAAAGAATTACAAATAGTAAAAAAAATAAAGAAAATTCTAAATGTTAATTAAGAATGTTAATTAATCTTAAATTTTACTTAGGAAAGAAAATTTTGTTTTACTAAAAAAAAGGTACAAATTTTGAAAATTTTTTTACAGATCCAAACCAGTTGGCAAAAGAGTGTAACTGCGATGGGTGTAAAAAGAAAAAGAAAATATTGCAATTGAATGATCCGTGGAAAGAAACGAGATCATTTTCCAAGTGAGTAATTAAGAAAAATTATTTTTAATCCTATTTAAAAAAATATTTTTCGCTTACTAAATTTTTTTTTGAGGGGAATTTAAAAAAAAAATTTTTTTGAACACAATTGAATTTCTACGAAGAAATTTCATTATTTACGATAATAATTAAATTGCTGTAAACTTTTGATTATTTATGAAAATAATTGAATTTCTGGGACGAATTTTATTAAAAATTTGTTTAAATAATTGAATTCCTTTGAAAAACTTTATTAAAATAGTAGATATTGAAAATCATTGAATTCAGGAAAACTTTTGAAAATAATTGAAATTTTCTCAGTTTCTTTTGTAAATTTTTGAAAATAATTGAATTTCCTTGAAAAATGTTATTATTAGTAAAAGTAATTGAATTATTGTAAAGAATTAAAGAAAAAATTCAAGAATTTATCAATTTTTCAAAAATAATTGGATTTCTGAGAAGAATTTTATTATTTATGAAAATAATTGAATTCTTGCGAAGAATTTAATTTAATTTAATTTAATTTATCAATTTTTTAAAAATTAATTGAATTTCTGAGAAATTAAGAATTTTATTATTTAAGAAATAATTGAACCTTTGTGAAGAATATTATTTAATTTTTATTTAAATAATTTTAAAAAACTTTATTAAATAAAGTAGATATTGAAAATCATTGAATTCAGGAAAATTTTTGAAAATAATTAAAATTTTGTGAGTTTTTTTTGTAAATTTCTGAAAATATAATTGAATTTCGGAGAAAAATTGTATTATTTATAAACATAATTAAAATTTTGACGAGAATTTAAAAAAAATTTTGAACATAATTGAATTTCTACGAAGAATTTTATTATTTATGATAATAATTGAATTTCGATTATTTATGAAAATAATTGAATTTCTGCGAAGAATTTTAATAAAATTTTTTAAATAATTGAATTCTTTTGGCAAATGTCATTGATAACTTCATGTTTTATATTAATTTAAATATCCCTAAATTTTTTCAGAAAAATTCAAATAATTTACAAAAATTTTAATAAAATTCTTCATAAGAATTCAATTATTTTTACAAATAATAAAATCTTTCACATAAATTCAATTATTTTAAAAAATGTAATAAAATTCGTTGTGTAAGAATTCAATTATTTTCATAAATAATAAAATTTTTCTTGGTAATTCAATTATTTTTAATACAATTTTAAATTAATTCCTTGAAAAATGTAATTAATTTTAAAAACTTTTTGAAAGAATACAATTATTTGAAAAAAAAATTTAATCAATTTCTTGATAAGAATTAAGTTATTTTAAAAAATTGGAATAAAACATTCTTTGGAAGAATTTAATTATTTTTATAAAAAGTAAAATTCATCGCAAGAATTCAATTATTTCGAAAACCAATTTTAATAAAATTTCACGAAAAGATTCAATTATTTAAAAAAATGTTTAATAACATTCTTGGGAAGAATTTGATTCTTCTTATAAATAATAATATTTTTTGAGAGCATTCAATTATTTTCAATACAATTTTAATTAAATTTTCTCGAAAGGAATTAATTAATAAAAATTTTTGATAAAATTCTTCAAATGACTTTAATTATTTTCAAATTTTTTTGATAAAAACTTAATTTTTTATTATTTATAAACTTAATTGAAATTTGGACAAGAATTTAAAAAAATTTTTCAACATAATTAAATTTCTGTGAAGAATTTTATTAAATTTTGAAAATAATTTGTAACTTCAAAATTCAGTTTCTTTTTTTATTTCGCATATTTAAATTTAATAATAATTTTTTAGAAAAGTATTAATAATAATCGGATGGATAGCATTACTTTTCCTGGCATATAAAGTATCGCAATTTGATTATGAAATGGCAAATTTCGATCCATTTGAAATCCTCGGTGTTTCACAGGTAAAAATAAAAATCTAAAATAAAATTAATTATTTCGAAACTTTAATACAAATAATTGAAATTTTTTTCCAGGGATCGTCACAAGCAGAAATAAAGAAAGCATATCGGAAATTATCACTTATTTTGCATCCTGACAAAGAAACAGGAAATGAAAAGGCATTTATGAAATTAACCAAAGGTATGTTTGATGTGATTATTAAAGCTTTTAAAAGCGTAGGTGAAAAATTTTGCCTGCTTGCAAAATAACACAAATACAACTAATGTAGTTTAAAAAAGAAATAGAGAAAGAGAATATTTAAAAATATTAATATAATGTAAGGCTTTAAATTGACTTTTTATAATAAATAGCTTATCAGGCGTTAACGGATGATGAAGCACGAAAGAATTGGGAAAAATACGGGAATCCTGATGGTCCGGGTGCAATGAGTTTTGGAATAGCGTTGCCTTCTTGGATTGTTGAAAAAGAAAATTCAGTTTGGGTCTTGGGATTATATGCGTTGGTTTTTATGGTCGCTTTACCAACAGTTGTCGGAATGTGGTGGTACAAAAGTATACGCTACACTGGCGATCAAGTAAATACTCTGCTTTCTTATAGCTAAAAAACGAAAAGAAAAAGAATGTTACATTTCTATTTCAATCCTTTTTCTTTTTCAGGTTTTACTCTCAACAACTGAACTTTATTATTCGTTTTTCTTTCACACACCAACAATGTCGATAAAGAGGATAATTATGGTTCTTGGAGCTTCTTTTGAGTTTTCAAAGAGATTTAACGCCGAAATTGTCGAGAGACTCTCTGATAATGAAGAAGTCCCTGCGGTAAGAGTTTTATAACACAATTGCTACTTTAAAATTTTATTTTGCCACAAAAATTTAATTTTGATTCTCCTTGAATTTTTCCTTGATTTCTAGACAAAATTTTAACTTTTTCCTTGAGCCTAAAGAATATTCTGATTCACTTTCAAAAACAAAATGTAATCATTATTTTTTCATAGGCATTAAGATTTAAAAAAATTCGCTACCTATTTATAAAGATAATTTAATTCTTGACGAGAATTTTTAAAAAATTTTGAAAATAATTTAATTTCTTTCAAGTATTTTATTACTTTTCAAAAGAATTGAATTCTTGTAATGAATTTTGATATTTATCAAAATAATTGAATTTTGGAAAAGAATTTGATTAAAATTCCTTAAAATAGTTGATTGTATTGAATTTCCGCGAAGAATTTTATGAAAATTCTTTTAAATAATTGATTTTGTTTGACAAATTTTATGAAAATTGAATTTTAAATTATTAAATTCTTGTGAATATTTTATTATTTACAAAAAAAATTTAAATTCTGCGATGAGTTTTATTATTTCTAAAAATAATTAAACTCCTAAAAAGAATTTTATTATTTATTAAAGTAATTGAATTCCTGTAATAATTTTCATTATTTATGAAATTAATTGAATTCTTTCAAGAAATTGATTTTTTTGAGAAAAATTTAATGAAAATTGTATTTTAAATAATTTAATTCCTGTAAAAATTTTATTATTTACATTTTGTTCAAAAAATGTTAAGAAATGTCTAAATTAAAATGAGAATTTTTTGCTTTCCAGCTTATTAAGCAGTTGAGTGACTTGAGGGAGAAAAATAAAGAGGCTCCACTTTGTCATTTATATTCGATAAAGGCAAGAGCAATATTGCATGCACACTTATCTGGTATTCCACTGAATCCTGAAACTTTGGAGAAAGACAGACAGTATATTATTAAAAAATGTCCGTACCTAATTCAGGAAATGATTGCCGCTGTGAATTTATTAATCAGTTTGGCCTACATCAGACGAAGTAAGTTTTATTTTCCTTCTTTAGATGAGAAAATAATGTGGAATATTGAAAAAGAATTTTCTTCTTTTTAGTCGCTCATTTGCCAACTATTGAGACTATAGAAAATTGTATGAAACTGTGTCCTATGGTGGTTCAGGGATTCTGGGAGCATAAAAATCCTCTTCTTCAACTACCTCACATTAAGGAAGAACATCTTAAACATTTCTTAGCCAAAAAGGTTTGTCAACACTCTAAATTCATGAAAAATAATTAAAGAAAATTGATAATTCAATTTTTTATTAAATTTTCAGCGACAAATCAAAAGTCTTCAACAATTAGCTCAATTGAAAGGAGAAGACAGAAGACAACTGTTACGAAATCTAACAGAAAGTGAATACAACGATGTAATGAAAGTACTCGGCAGTCTGCCTTTTGTCGACTTCAAAGTTCGTTCAGAAGGTTTGTTTATTAAATAAAAGTTTCTTTTTCTGTAAGAGAAATTAGAGTTCTTTTTATTGAAAAAAAAAAATTGTTTTAGTGATCGACGATGAGAATCCAACAGTTTATACTGCTGGGGCAATAGTGACAGTGACTGTGTCACTTTCTCGTAAGGATATGAATCATTTGTTCGGTGACGAGACAGTTAAGGAGCAAACGATAATCGATGATGCTAAAGTGGAAGTGGTGAAGGAAAAGGAAAAAGAAAAGGAAACGTCTGACGAGCAAAATCAAACAGTAAAACGTCCCGCTTGGCTTAAACAGCAGAAGGGTCAGAAAAAGTCCCACAATAAACGAGGTGGTAATAAAAAAGTGCCCACTGCCAAAGCAATAGCTGCACAAATACCGACTGAAAATCACACAAGTCAGCAAAATAGCACTGTAAACGAGAAGAAGAAGAATGAAAGTAAAGTACTTAAGGAAAAGAGTTCTGATGTTAGTGACAGTGAAGCGGACAGCGAGAGAAGCGATGACGAGGAGAGTACTCAAGAGAAGAAGGAAACTACTATTGATGACGATGACATCGAGTGGGAGAGGTAAATTATTTCATTTCAAAATTCTCCTTTCTGTATTTTTACAGCAAACAGTTACCTAAAATCAGGCTTCGCACTCATCTACTAAAATCAACTATTTACTATTTTTTTTACGTAATGTTACTATTTTGAGTACTTTTTTTAGATTTTAGACACTAAAAGCTACTATTTCTGTTTTTTTTTAACTTTCCACTATTTTCACAAGTAACGTTTTCCAGAAGAATTCAATTATTTAAAATAAATTTTTAATGGTACTTATTATATTTCGAAAAAATTAATTATTTAAAACAATATTTATAAAATTCTTATGAAGAATTCAATTATTTTCTAAAATAACAAAATTTTTCACAGAAATTCAATTGTTTTTAAATATTCCACTAAAATTTTTTGCAATTCAATTATTTTCATAAATAATAAAATTCTTCTCTGGAATTCAATTATTTTAGAAAATTTTAATAGAATTCTTTGCAACTATTTAATTATTTTCATAAATAATAAAATTCTTCTCTGGAATTCAATTATTTTTGAAAATTTTAATAGAATTCTTTGCAAGTATTTAATTATTTTCATAAATAATAAAATTCATCGGAGGATTTAAATTATTTTTAATACAATTTTACAGGAATTATAAACAAAAAATGTAATTATTCTTAAAAATTTAATTTCGATACGTCGAAAAAATCAATTATTTGAAAAACATGTTTTTTTAGATTCCTTTGAAGAATTCAATTATTTACAAAAATATTAGAATTTTTGACTAAAATTCAATTATTTTCAAAATATTTTAATAAAATTGTTTGAAAAAAATCAATTATTTTAAACAATATTTTAATTAAATTTATTTGAAATAATTTAATTATTCTATTTTGATTTTAATAAAATTCCTCCCAAGAATTCAATTATTTACATAAATAATTCTTCGAAAGAATTCAATTATTAAAGATGAATAACAAAATTATTCCCGAAAATTCAATTATTTTGAGGCATTTCAATGATTTTTGCAATATTTACTATTTTCATAAAAGTTTATCAAAAAATTTAATTATTGAAAAAAATTTTTTATACAATTTTACGAAAATATTCAATTATTTTCATAAATAATAAAATTTTATTTAGGAATTCAATAATTTTTATCGCAGAATTTCAAATATTTTTAATTCAATTATTTTCATAATTAATAAAATGCTTTTAGGAATTGAATTATTTTCAAAATAATTTAATTAAATGCTATACCGACATTCAATTATTCCCAAAAATTTTAATAGAATTCTTTGTAAAATTACGTTATTTTTAAAAACTTTTCCCAATTCAATGATTTTCAATATCTGTTTTCCATAAAATTTTCAAACAGAATTCAATTATTTATAATAGTTTTTGTAAAAATTTTCGTAAGAAGTCAATTCTTTTCATGAATAATAAAAATTTCTCAAGAATTCAATTATTTAAATTAGAATTTACATAAAATTAGTCGAAAGAAATCAATTATTTAAAAATTTTTGTATAATTTTTCAATATTCAATTTATTAGCAAGATAAGAAAGAAGTAAATATTTTTGATGAAAATTAGGAAAAAGTGAGGAAAATAAAATAAAGAAATGGGATTTTTGGCAGTTTTGTGAAGTGTCTAAAACGAGTTTTTTTGGTCGCCAAGTTTAATTTTTCGATAGCTACTTTTTTTTAGTTTGAAAACTACTTTTTCCCACTTTTTTAAAAATTAATTATCGAGTGTGAAGTGTGTAAAATTAAAATTCTTCTTCTTTATTTTTTCTTTGCAAGCGCTAATTTAAGAACAAAATTTCGAAACAGATTTCAGCAGAGATCGAAGAAGAGAGACAAGGTTCTGGAAGGCAGAAGTAATCTCTCTCACCAAGTGCACAGTCCCTTTTTCCCTGACGTAAAGCAGGAATACTGGTGGGTTTACATCTGCGATAGAAAGAGTCGAACCCTGTTGACTGCGCCAGTGCACGTTACCTCTTTAGTTGACACCGAAGAAATTCAGCTGCGTTTCACGGCCCCAAGATGGCCGAATTTATACACCTTTACAGTCTGTCTACGCAGTGATTCTTATCTTGGTTTCGACCAAGCCCAAGACATCAAGGTAATAATTTTCGATTTTCATTTTATTTTCCCTTATTAATTATTGAATTATTTTTTATTTAATTTCGAATTGAAATTTTTAGTTGGATGTGAAGGAAGCGCCCGAAGTTCCGGTTGAGCATCCTCAATGGGATATGTCTGATGAAGAGACGGCTGAGGATGTGGACAATGTCGATGAACATTCCGAGTTCACCACTGACGAGGATATCAGTGACAATGAATAATAAAAATAAAGAAAAAAAGAAAGAAAGAATATTTATCAAGGCTCCATTATGGGAATGGTCCTCCAGATTGTGAATTTTTATGTTTTTTACTTCTGAATATTAGACTGAAAAAAAGGGTGTTTTCTAAGTGGAACAATAGTGCATAAATGTGAGACTAGTGCAACATTCGACATTTCTCAGTAACCAAGGTCATTAATCGTGAATGAAAAATGATATTTATTTTAACATTGTTGCTCGATTATTGATCTTAGAAACTATCTGTGCACAACTTTTTAATAAAATGAAATTGTCTATACGTTTAATTAATTGATAAATTTTTCTTTGGGAACATTCACGAAAAAAAAAATTGATGACACACGATTTTGGAAAATTAATGTGAAGAAATGAAGCTCCCAAGAAAATTCTTCTTCTTCTTCTTCTTCTTTAATTTCTGAAATTTCTAGAACATGTTTTTGTCTTTTCCTATCACACACTTACATTTGCGTTTTTTTTATTGAAGTAAACAAAAAAGAAGAAAAAAAAGTAACGAAAGTTATTTTGGAGAAAGTTTAGTTTCATTGTTCTCTGGAGCTGAACCTTCTCTCAGAATCAAATAGTGAGTAAAACATAGAGGTTCTTTCATCAGGAGATTTGAATCTTGAAAAATGATTATTCACAAATTTGTAAGTACTAATTGAAAACATAATTTATACACGTAATGGTAATTTAAATTTTCTTGAATTGCAGATTTGTAAACATTATATGAACATCTTTTTACTTTTCGGAATTCTTCTACTCGCTGTCAGTGAATGTAAGCAATTGACAGTTTTTTCTTTCCAACACACAATTGACCCAAAAATTTAATTTTCTTTTTCCCTGATTTCCAGAATGAAATTTTGACTTTTTCCCTGACCCTAAAGAATAATCTGATTCACTCTCAAAATTATTAGATTCTCAACAAAATGTTCTATTACATTTATTTACGAATTTCTTTTAAATGTAAAAAAAAAATTAATAATTTCTTTTTTAAAATTACTTTCATCATTTCAATTCAATTATTATTTTCTAGAATTTTTAACCAAAATTCTTCTTTAAATCAATTATTTTTAATAATTTTTGAAAAAGTTCTTTGAGAATTTTCCAATCTATTTGTTTACAAAATACAATTTTACGAAATTTCGATTATTCGGAAATTCTTCAATTAAATATCTATTGAGAAATAAAAATTTCAATTAATTAAAAGAAACTGCAATTAAACTTTTTTAAAGAAATTACTTCTACAGAATTGTTAGTTAAAAGTATGAAAAATTCAGATTATCAAAGATTTTAACTTAAAACCTTTTCGAAATTCAATTATTTCTAAAAATGCTTTTAATATTTCATTATTATCTAATATTTTACCAAAAAATTCATTTTTAAATGAATTACGAGAATTTAATTATTTAAATACAAAAATAAATAATTAATTGAATAATTTAATATTTCTTCAAATTAAATTCTTATAAAGAATTTTATTATTTACAAAATAATTGAATTCCTAAAATGAATGTTATTATTTGTGAAAATATTTGAATTCCTAAAAAGAATTTTATTATTTATAAAAGTAATTAATTAAATGTTTACGTAGAACTCTAAATCAACATTTTTTTAAAAAAATTGAATTCTTTTAGGAAACTTTATTAAAATAGATACTGAAAATCATTCAATTGAGAAGAATTTTTTAAAATAATTATGAATTTCGGCGAAGAATTTTACTAATATTCCTGAAAATAATTGAATTTTTGGGAAAAATTTCGATATATTTTTATCAAGATAATTGAATTCTTTCGAAGAATTGCGTTAAATTTTTCGAAATAATATCAAATATGTATTACATGATACAACTACTTTCAACAAAATTGGAATTAATATTTTTTAAAAAAATTAGTTCTTCAGAATAATTAATTAAAAAATAGGAAAAATTAAGATTTTCCAAAGATTTGAAATTGAAACTTTATCAAAATTCAATTATTTTCTAAAAATTCCCGCTACAATGCAGAAAATATAAAAAATTTATAAAAATAAATAATTTATTGAAGAATAGAATGTTTCTTAAAATTCAATTCTCATAAAGAATTTTACCAACAAATTTTTAAATAATTGAATTCTTTTGACCAGTTTTAATAAAATTTTTAAGAATAATTACATTTTTCGAGGAATTCGATAAAAATTTTATTAAAAATAATTGAAATTCTGCGATGAGCTTTATTATTTATGAAAATTCTTGAATTTCTAAAAAGAATTTTATTATTTATGAAAATAATTGAATCCCTGTAAAAAAATTTATTATTTATAATAATAATTGAATTCTTCTAACGAATTTTATTAAAATTCTTAAAAATAATTGAATTCCAGAGAAGAATTTAATTATTTATAAAAATAATTAAATGTTTGCGCAGAGATTTATTAAAATTTTATTTAAATAATTCAATTTTTTTTGTAAATTTTGTTAAAATAGTAGATATTCATTAAAAATTGAAATTTTCTAAAATTCCAATTTAAAATTAATTTATTTATAAAAATTGCAAACGCAACTGTTATAATATTCTATCATTTTGGACATTTTCAAGTAAAATTATTCATGAAATAATTTCTAAATAATAATTTTATAGTAGTTCTTTAAAAATTAAGTTATTTAAAACTAAATTATTGTAAGAAATAGAAAAGAAAATTTCTAAATTCTTTATATTACAGCCGATTCTGCGAAACGAGTTAGGCAACGGGATTTAATTTTTAATGGTCCAGTATTTACTTTTGTCAAAACTGATGATCAGGCTAATATCAAATGGGGAGTAAGACATTACATTCCAAGACCTTATACTCAATGGTAAGTTATTAATTAAATAATACCTTTTTTTCCTATAAAAAAATTAATTTGACGCGTTATCGAGAAAGGTACCTAAGAAGCAAAGGAATTACAGGTTTTGTTTCTGGATTTATCTTGATTAAAAGTTCTTTTTTAATTATTTAAATTTGAAACCTGTTTTTCCTTAGGTCCCATTCTTGGAAGCGCATCGTCACAATTTTCCCGTTTTATAAAATTTTATTAAAATTTTACTAAATACTATATAGTAAAAAATAAATCACAGATTCGCTTCTCTACTAAACTTATGAGTCAAAATGCAGCATGCTGGGCACTTCTTCTTGGAGTTTTGTTACCAAATTACTCATCCTGACAAAAAAAGAATAAAGTTAATGAAAATAACCCTTAAAAATGTGTTTGAATTCTATTTAAAAATATACATAAAAATATGTTTTACTTACATATAACGAATAACTAAACTATCGCGAATTAAATCATCACTTTCATTTGTTAACGACTTTTGAAAATTCGTCTTGTCCGAATTATTCAATGAATTTGAATTTGAGCTTCTTTCCGATTTTGAATCTTTCATTAATTGCATTGAGTCCAAACTTTTTTTTAGTGCCTCAAATTCAGATGTATAAAGTATTCTCAAAACATTCGCTGAATTGGAGAATTTCTCTAGTTTTGACAGTTCGTCTTCTAGAAATGAAATTTTCCTAGAAAAATAATAATATCAATATTAATAATAATATTAATTAACTGTTTTAGAAACAAAATTATTTGTTTGAAGCAAAAACTCACTCGGTAGTTTCAATAATGTCTTTATTCCTTTCAATATTTGTTGATTTAAGTTCTAAAAATCGGAAAAATACTTTTGTTGCCGATTCAACATCACTTTTCATTAAAGTATGATCCTCATTTCTAAATATTTCTCCAACTTTGTCAAATCTGGGGAATAGAATATAATAGAATACAATACAGAATAAAAATTTAAAAAGAAAAATAATAATTAAAATAATAAAAGTTTACACACAAAGTTGAAAAATCATTTATCCAATTGATTTCAGAAAAATTTCTCAACTCTTTATTCACTTTATTTAATATTTCCGATCTTTTAGTCATTTGAGTGATTGTTCTCAAAGGTTTTTCCTCAATTTTTTTAATTATTTGTTGAAATTCAAATTGTTTGGAGAATTCTGCTTTTGTTTTTATTGTTTCTTCGACTTGCGATTTAAGTAATGAGAGACTTTCTATTTCAGATTTCAAATTTTCATCGAGTTCTGTCCATCTCTGATCCAGTAAGTCTCTAAAAATATTATTTCAAACAATCGATGATTGAAAATTTCTAAATCGATTCGATTTAGAAAGTAATTAAAAAAAAGAAACTTACATTTTAATACTCAATGATATTTGGTACCACTTGGAAAATCTAATTTCCTGATTAATAAAGAACATGATAGCTTTTATAAATTGGATTCTTTGGCAATATTCAAATTTTTCGAGAGGTTTCTCAAGAACCCTTTCAATTGGTTTCGGTAGTTTTTGATTGGGAAGCTTTTCTGGATGTAAATTTCCAGTTTTGAAAATTAACACGTGAGGAGCCTGGAAAATAATTTTCAATTTTCATTTTATGCATAATTTATAATAAAAAATAAATTTAATTTAATTTCAAAAAAATTTAAATTATTATTAATTTAAAAATTAATTGTAAATTTTTAAATTTACCTCGGACTGAATTTTAATTTGAGAAAGCACTGATTGCTTATTATTTAAAATTGTACACTCAAAAGCAGTGACAGTTTGCTGATGAATAGGAATATCAGTTTTTTCTTCAATCAAATGTTGCAAATCTTCCAATTTTGTTGTTTCATTTACGAGAAAGGTTACAATTCGATATTGAGACACTACAAACGCATGTAATTCCTAAGTGTAAAAAATTGAAAATAATTATTATATTTTAATTTAAATTATAAATTATTAAATCTAGGCTCCAGAAAAAGGTACCTAAGAAAAAGAAAACTCTAAATTTTTTGTTATTTACAAAAATTTACAATTTTTAGAATAAAAATGCAGAAAGAGAATCGATTGTTATTATGAATTATATTCGTTAAATCCAAAATAGTCGATAAAAACTGGTTTCAAATTTAAAGGAATTAAAATATAAATTTTTAATCCAGATAAATTCAAACATAATTTGTTGGCTTCTTAGGTACTTTTCTTAGGAGAGCGTTAAAATAATAAATAGTTGTGCATAAAATAATGTAAGTTCATTTTAATATCTACCTGTTTTAATAAAATACTTTTCAATAAATCAAACAGAACAATGTTATTCGTATTCTCTAATTTTCCTCTCTTCTTCGGATCCCATTGCAAAGAAACTCTAAACCATTCCACTAGATTATCTCTCAAGAATCTAGAAATTAAATTAATAGGTAACAAAAAGAAAATTTATTTTTTCAGACTTCGCACTCATTAATAAATTTCCAAAAAGAAGCAAAAAAAGTAGTTTTAAAGATTGAAAAAAGTAGTAAAAAAAGTATCTATTAACGAAAAATTAAATTTGACAACTAAAAACTAATTTTAGTCAATTCAGAAAAATTAAAAAAATTGATTCTATATTTTCCTGGTTTTTCATCAAATATATTCACTTTTTCTCTTCTCTTGGTAATAATTTTATTATTTACAAAAATAATTGAATTTCTGCGAAAAATTGTATTGAAAATATGTATAAAATAATTAATTTCTTTCAAAGAATTTTATTAAAATATTTTAATAATTAATTTCTTTCTAAAAATTTTCTTGAAAATTGTATTTTCAAATAATTAAATTGCAGTAAAAATCTTATTATTCATGATATTAATTGAGTTTTTGGGTTGAAATTTATTTAAATAATTGAATTCCTGCGAAGGATTTTATTAAAGTTTTGGGAAATAAATGAATTTTTTTTTAAAAACATTTTATGAAAATTAAGAAGATTATTTCAATTATTTTAAATAATTTAATTAAAATTGTATTTAAAATAATTGAATTAGCATATTATTTAAAGTAGTTTAAAATTGCAAAAAATTGAAGAAAAAAGTAGCTTTTAGTGTCACAAATTTAAAAAAATGTATCCAAATAGTAGCTAACTGTAAAAAAAGTACTAAATAGAAGGTTTTTAAGCTGTAATTTTTTTTAACAAGAGAGAGTGAATGTTTAAAAATCTATTTCTTACTCTGATAAATCCGTAGGATCTATTATTTCCGAATAAAAATGAATTTGTTCTCCTATTTGATGAGCACAAATCTCATTATATTTTTTCCCTCTAACTGCCTCCATCCTATAAAAAATAAAAATGAGAAAATAATTTTCTTGTAAAATTCAACTCTTGAAAATTGGAATGAGATAAAAATGATTCTTTTGATTTTACCATTTAACAGTGTTTCTCATATGAGGCAAAAAAGGTCTCGTTCCGGTCAGAACTTCATAGAAAAGAATTCCCAAACTCCAATAATCCACAGAGCAACTGTACTTTTTGTTCCAAAATAATTCCGGAGCCACATAATTTAAAGTTCCAACCAAGGAAGCATATAAACTATCTTGTCCCAGTTCTTTCGCATAACCAAGATCTATTAATTTACAAGTAATCTAAAATCAATCTTAAATTTAATTTTTTATTCTAAAACATTAAAATCTTAATTGACGTAAATTGACGTATTCAATTAGATTATGGCATTTAAAAGCAGAAGAGCATGAATTTTTCATTCTTCGCGTTAACATAACCTAATTGAATACGACAAATCGTCAAATTTAATACAAAATTTGTTAAAAATAAAGAAAATAAATAATCAGTATAGCAATGATTCTACAAAAGACTTTTTTTTACCTCTTCATTCTGTCCTATTATGACAATATTTTCCGGTTTTAAATCCCTGTGTGTAATTTTATTTTGATGTAAAAATTCAACTCCAGACGCAACGTCTGACATTATTTTTACTGCTTTGAATTGTTCAAAACCAAAAATATTTCTCGTATTGTTGAGTAGTTTTCTCAAATCTCCTTTACTGCAAAATTCCATACACAATACTGGCACTGTTGATTGAATGCATTTTAATTCATCCGGCAATTTGACACTTGCCACCAAATTTGGATGTTTCAAGTTATTCATTATCAAAACTTCATGATACCATCTTTGCTTTTGCTTTTCCGATAAACTCGATGCAGCTTTACATTTTTTTATTGCTGAAAATTTATTAAAACTTGTCATACTTTATTTTTTGTTTGTATTTTTTTTTGTCAGAGAAAGAAATTAAATCTTTATTTACCTTTGTGAAAATTTTCTTAAATAATTGTTGAAAAAAATGTTTAAAAAAAATATGTAAAATGTACGAACCTATTTTTTTAGCAGTTCGACAATTTTTCCAACATTGAACAACACCAAATCCGCCAGAACCTAAATTACCTTCATAAATCCAATCTCCGTATACTTTATTTATTTCTTTATCCATCGTGCGTAAATATGCTGAGAGGAATGATTATAATTTAGGTATTTTTCGTATTTTTACATCTTCAAATACACAATTTCAAGGCTGGGTTCTTTTTCTGTTTATTAATTCGGTATGAGTTTATTTACTTTCTTTCTTTCTTTCAACTTCAACTATATATACGAAAAGCAATTATTAAAAAAAGTGCAAGTAGTGAATTTGATCAATGAACTTGAACTTATGTGACGTCACTCGTATGGCCAACATTTAAAAAACAAAACTGCGTAAAGGCGCAAAGTTCAAATATTTATCAAAATATAAAAATTTCCCCTACAAATAAAATTTAAAAATATTAAATTACTATGAGAATCGTATAAGTGTTTATTTATTCCTCAAGTTTATATCATTCGGAAATATTTTTCAAAAGTCAGAGTCGTCAGAGTCTTTAAATAATTCCAATTGTGCCATAATAACTATATATTTTTATAAAATTACAAGTTCTTTAAATTATTTTTATAGAATAATTTAGAATTAGTGTTATTTGGTGCGTGTTATTCGAGTGAAACATGAAATTCTTTTCAAAAACGAAATCAATAAAAACGTTTGTTTAATAGAGTGAAGAAATTCAACTATTTGGAATATCTGTATTTTTTTCTCAAACACAAAGGGGAATGGAGTGAGAATATAGTCAGAGTTGAAACTCAATAGAAATCCGTAGTTCGACGACTATTTTTTATTTCTTTTATCTCCTTTCCAATAAAATTGATGAACAACGTTCGTATGACGTTCAACGGTGAAATGGACCTTATTTTGACAGAACTAAACTTTGCAGTAGAAAATAAATAAAATTGACTAATCTTAATATTCAATTATTCTTCTATTCTATGCAATATATTTAGTAAAATATGCTTTTCATGTCAAATGTAAACAAAAAACTGTCATAAAGAGAAAACTCCCATGAACATAACCTAAAATTCTTGAAATGTCACAAACGTCAACAAACGTCAAAAGTCATCATAATAAAGATGAGCTTTTGTATAATTGTTTTCCAAATTTGTACAAAAGTAAATCTTTGATTTTTATTAAATTTGTTTTATAGATACTTTTATACTAAATAAATAAATACGTTATGAATACGTATGTTTTTTATACTGTTTTTTTATTATCAATTTCTTCATACGTTTCTTATAGAAGGAATTTAATTTTATTCTGTTAAAAAAGGAGTGTAATGAAAATAATCTCTTGTTGTGTAATTTATGGTTGCTCCCTTCAATTATTTAGCTCATCATTTTTCCCCTCTTCTATTTTACAAAACCTGTTTTTCGCTTCAACTCGACACCCTATGTTTCTGTATTGTAATTACTCACTCTTGACAGAAAAAACTAATGCTATTAGTTCAGGTTTTCAGGATTACAAAACAGAAAGGAGAACAACATTCAATAATAAAGTGCCTCTGGATCAGTGCGTAGGGTGAGTTATTTAATAACAAACTTAAAGGAAAAACGTGTTGAAATATTTAAATATAAATAATACGCAGGCTTCACATTCAATAATTAATTTTAAAAAGTATTAAAAAGTAGCTTTAATACTGAAAAAGGTAGTAAAAAAGTAGCTATCGAAAATTGATTTTAACGAATAAAAAAGAGAATTGTTTTAGTCGATTCACCAAAATTTGATTCAGTATTCTCCTGACTGTTTCCTGATTTTAATCAAAAATATTTATTTTTACTCTTATCCTGCTTCTAAATTTTTGAAAAATTCAATTATTATCTAAAATTTCAACTGAAATTCGATTTTAAATCAATTCTTATTAGAAAGTTCAACTGAAATTCAATTATTTAAATAAAAATTAATAATATATTGAAAAATTAAATGTTTCTCAAAATTTAATTCCTAGAAAGAATTTATCCATTTTATAAAAAATAATTCAATTTCTAAGAAGAATTTTATTATTTATAAAAATAGTTGAATTTTTGACAAGAATTTTATTTAATTTTTTTTTAAATAATTGAATTCTCGTGAAGAATTTAAGACAGAATTCAAGAATTTGTCAATTTTTTTAAAAAATAATTGAATTTCTAAGATTTTTATTTAATAATTTTTAAATAATTTAATTCTCGTGAAAAATTTTATTATTTGGGGAAATAATTAAATAATTGTGAAGAAATAAAGAAAGAATTTAAGATTTATCAATTTTTAAGAAATAATTGAATTTCTTTTGGAAAATTTTATTAAAATAGTAAATATTGAAAATTATTGAATTGAGGAAAATTTTTTTGAAAATATTAGAAATTATGCCAAGAATTTTATGAAAGTGTTTCAAAATAATTGACTTTTGGAGAATCATTTTATTATTTATAAAGATAATTGAAATTTTTAAAGGAATTCCTTTAAATTGCGAAGAATTTTATTTAATTCTTTTAAAATAATTGAATTCCCGTGAAAAATTTTATTATTTGGAAAAATAATTGAATAATATTGTGAAGAATTGAATTTCTAAGAAGAATTTTATTTTATTTATGAAAATAATTGAATTTTTACGAAAAATTTTATTTTATTTATGAAAATAATTGAATTTTCGTGAAAAATTTTATTATTTGGGAAAATAATTGAATTGTTGTGAAGAATTTTATTAAAATTTTTAAAGATAATTTTTTTAAGATAATTGAATTCTTGAGAAGCATTTTATTATTTATGCGAAAATAATTGTATTCTTGTCTGGAATTTTATTTAAATTTTCATAAATAATTGAATTTTCGTGAAAAATGTTATTGCTTGTGAAAATAATTTAATTCTTGATGCAAAGTCTTATAAAAAGTTTTTAAATTGATTTTTTTCGAAAAATTTTACGAAATATTTTAAATAATGATTGCGAAGCCTGCATAAATTAAAATTTATTTTACAGAAACTATTTGTATATATTGATGCAAAAAAAGTGAGTTTTCTTTTTTACATATAAAATAATTTATTTTTCTTCACACAATATTAAAAGAATTAAAATAGAAATTTTTTTTCAGCACTCAGAATAAAGACACTGGTTGACGGTTTTCTTTTCAAAAACATTCGATATTTGCCCGACCAATAAAAGTGCAGCATGTAATCGTGTATAACCGTTGAAGAAGGGTTAAGAGAGCAGAATCCATATTGCAACAAAGTTCATCAAACTACCTATTGCACTTGCGGGAAGAGAGCGCATGGCCAGAATAAGAGACAATCTTAAATATTGCATGCATAACCCGAAGCGAGCGAAATTCTAAATATACCAGATTCAGATCTATTTCGGATTGTAAAGCTGCAAAAAAAAAAAGAGAAGAATTATTATAAGGTAATCTATTAGTTCTTATTGCAATTTATTGATTTTCAAATATTTACGATTGTCAAATAAAATCAAAGGGAAGGGATTGAGATAATTTACAGTGAAGATAAGATAAATCAGAAAATGAAGCGCGAAACGTGAATTGAAAATTAAGTGTCGGTTTTTTTTTTTTGATAATTTTCAAAATTCATTAAAATCGTATTCGCTTCAGAATATATATATATCTATATGTGGAAAAATTGTTACGTGACGAGTCTCATAATTTCTAGTTCAATTTACTTGAATGTTGAATGTAATGCATGTTCAGTAATAGAAAAATTACAGCAAAGGAAACAATTCGATGAATTCTGCAAATTCGAATTTAATATTCTGTGATGCAATCACTACAAGGAATAAAATATGCCATTTTCTGCAATTCAACAAATAAAATCTTTTTCCATACAATTTCAAAAAGTTTTAGTATTCGTTTTTTAAAACTGACACGAAAAAAAAATAAATAACTCTGTAATATAAATTAATTAATTGTAAAAAAAGCTGTTTATTACGACGTTGAATTTATTTTTATAGTGATAGAGAGGGGAAAATTTTCGCAATTCTAAAATTGTAGTTATCGATTAAACTGATAAGGAATAATGAGAAAATTTTTATAGATCTTTATCATGACGCAGCAAGAATTAGTGTTAGGAATCGATATTGGAACAACTTCTGTAAAAGTCGTCGTTGTTTCAAAAGAAACGAAAGAAATAGTTGCAAGACAGTCTAAAGATACTCAAGCGAATGTGCCCAGCGATTTAGGAATTGAAGGCAATAAACAAGATGTGCCAAAGATTTTATCGGCAGTTCACAATTGTGTCTCGCGTCTTCCAAAGGATCTCCTACGACAGGTCAGATTGTTTACTTTAAATATCACAATCGTTAAAAAAATATAAACTTCGCACTCGATAATTAATTTTTAAAAAGTAGCACAAAGTAGCTTTCAAACTAAAAAAAGTAGCACTATCGAAAAATTAAATTTGACGACTAAAAAACTAGTTTTAGTCAATTCAGAAAAATCAGAAAAATTTAATTTTGTATTTTCCTGATCTTCATAAAAAATTTTCACTTTTTTTCATCTCTTGGTAATAACTTCAATTTTGAATTGAATTTTTCGTGAAATTCAATTTAAAATTTTATTAGAAATAATTGAAATTCTGTGAAGAATTTTATTATTTACAAAAATAATTGAATTCTAGTGAAGAATATTATTATTTATGAGAATAATTTAATTTCTACAAATTTTTCTGATGAATTTAATAAAAATTTCACTTGAAAATAATTCAATTCTTATATAAAATTTTATAAAAATTTTTGAAAATAATTACAATTTTCGAGAAATTTATTTAAAATTGTATTAAAAATAATTCAAATCCTGTAAAGAATTTTATTATTTGTGAAAATAATTGAATTCATAGAAACAAATTTTATTGAACGTTTTAAAATAAGTAAATTTCCGTAAAAAATTATATTATTTGTAAAAATAATTGAATTCTTGCGGAAGAATTTTATTAAAATTGTTGACAATACTTGAATGTCCGTGTGATTATTTATTAAATTTTTTTGAAAATAATTGAATTCTTAAAAAGCATTTTATCAATAATGAAAATAATTCAATTCTTGCGAACGATTTTATTAGAATTAAAAAAAATTGAATTTCCAAGAAAAAAATTATTATTTTTAAAAATAATTAAATTCTTGTGATGAAAATTGTTATTTATGAAAATAATTGAATTTTTGCAAGAATTTTATTAAAATGCCTCAAAATAATTGAATTATCGGGAATAATTTTGTTATTTATTTTTAATAATTGAATTATTTATGTAAATAATTGAATTCTTGGCAACAATTTTATTAAAATCAAAAAGAGTAAAATCGAATTATTTCAAAACAATTTAATAAAAATAAAATTGTATTTAAAATAATTGATTTCTTTCGAACAATTTTATTAAATTTTTTTGAAAATAATTGGATTCCTAAAAATGATTTTATTAATTATGAAAATAATTTAATTCTTGCAAACGTTTTTATTAGAATTTTTAAAAATAATTGTATTTTCAAGAAAAAATGTATTACTTTTAAAAATAATTGAATTCTTGTGATGAATATTGTTAATTATGAAAATAATTGAATTTTGGCAAGAATTTTATTAAAATGCCTCAAAATAATTAAATTTCCGGAAATAATTTTGTTATTTATCGAAATAATTGAATTCTTTTGAAGAATTTTTTATGAAAAAAATTTAATTTTTTGGAAGAATTTTATTAAAATCTAAAAGAATAATTGAATTATTTCAAAAAGATTTAATTAAAATTGTATTTAAAATAATTGATTACTTTCCAACAATTTTATTAAAATATTTGAAAATAATTGATTTTTTCGAGGAATTAAATTTAAATTTTGAAAAATAATAGTTGCTAAGGATTTTATTAAAATTTATTAAAATATTTGAATTCCTGAGAAGAATTTTATTATTTATGAAAATAATTAAATAGTTACAAAGAATTATATTAAAATTTTCAAAAATTAATTTAATTCTAGAGAATAATTTTATTTTTTATGAAAATAATTGAATTATTGCGAAAAATTTTATTAAAATGTTTTAAAAAAATTGAATTTCTGTGAAAAAATTGTCTTATTTTTAGAAAGTAATTGAATTTTTCCTAAGAATTTTCTAAACTTTGTTTTAAATAATTAATTTTTTCGAAATATACCTAATAAATATTATGAAAATTTTATTTTAAATAATTGAATTCTTGTGGAAAACTTTATTTGTGAAAATAATTGAATTTTTCAATTAATTAATTTCAAATAGTATTAAAAATAATTGAAATTATTAGTGAAAGTAATTGAATTTCTGTGACGAATTTTATAAAAAATTTTGTTAATTAATTGATTTTTTCGAAATTGTTTTGATAATAATTGAATCGTTTTAAAGAATTTGATTCTTTAAATAGTTAAACAATAGTTAAAAAAAATAATTATTTTTAATATTTAAACTTAAAAAGTATTCGTTAATTTTAAGGTGAAAAGAATTGGAGTATGCGGCCAAATGCATGGAGTGACATTTTGGAGGAATATCGAAAAAAATGGAGATCAGGGAATTTTCAAATTGGAAATCAACAGGGACCAAGTTTCAAATTTATACACCTGGCAAGATGGTCGTTGTGATCCGGAATTCTTAAAGTCTTTACCAAACTCGAAAAGTCATCTTGCTATTCATACGGGTTTTGGATGTGCGACTATTTTCTGGTTTTCTAGAAATAAGTGAGAGTTTTTTTTGTGATGAATAAACGATCCCTTAAGTTAGCGTCGATTATTAACGAAAAGAGAACAAAAAAAAATTCAAAGAGCGTTAAAAATATTATCTTCTTTGTATTTCAGACCCGAAAAGTTGAAAAAATACGATAAGTGTGGCACCGTTCAGGATTTAGTGGTGAGTTTATTGTGCGGAGAAAATGAGGTGAAAATGAGCACACAAAATGCAGCGAGCTGGGGATACTTTATAACCGAGGAAAATCAATGGGACCAGGAAGCTTTAACCAAAGGGAATTTTCCTCTAAGACTGTTGCCTTCGAAAATTTTAAAACCCGGAGAAAATGCGGGAAAATTAACGAAAAGTTGGTTTGGAATACCAGAGGACACAGTAATAGGTGAATATTCAAATTGTCACGCGAATTTTCCAAATTATCATAATTATGACTGTATTTGTTAATATTATGACTATATTTGTTAATTAAGGTGCCGCTTTGGGAGATTTACAAAGTTCCGTCTACGCCTTATTGAAAGACACTAACAAGGAGGCAGTCCTCAATATTTCAACTTCTGCTCAACTTGCCTACATTCATCCAACATTCAAGCCGAAAACAAACTTGGAATTGGGTAATATATTGAAATTGTATACTAAATTGGACGAAATTTGACAAAACGAAAGAAAACAAAAAATATTTCAGGCAAAATAGAGTACTTTCCCTATTTTGATGGAAAGTATATAGCGGTCGCAGCTTCACTGAATGGAGGAAACACTTTAGCAACATTCGTCAAATCCCTTCAACAATGGACGATGGAATTGGGATTCTCAGTACCTCAATGTAAGTAATTAAAAAACTATCCGCACAAATTACAGTGACTAAATAATAAAAATAAATTAAAATAAACTAAATGGAAATTTCAGCTAAAGTTTGGGATAAATTAATAGCACTAGCGAAAGAAGAATCTGCCATTAGTGACATGCAAATAACACCAACACTTCTCGGCGAACGTTTTGCACCGGAACAAACTGCCAGCGTCAGTGGAATCACTCTCGATACTTTAAGTTTAGGACAAATTTTCCGATCACTCTGCTCTGGTGTTATAAAAAATCTTCACGAGTATGTCACAAATGCAAATTAATTTTAAACAATTTCTAATTAATAATAATAATAATAATAATAATAATAATAATAATAATAATCTTATTAATTTTCGACAATTAAAATTTTCTATTTTCAGCATGATGCCACAGGAAATTCTAAAGCAGATGGAAATATCGCGCATTGTAGGAAACGGATCGGGTTTGGTTCGTAATATCGTGTTGCAAAAAGAAGTTTCAAGGTGGTATCAATTACCATTGGAATTGGGTCATTCAGGAGACGCTGCTCTAGGTGCCGCTCTCGCCGGTTTATAGTACAAAAAAAAATTTTTTCAAATTTAAATATGTCTTTACCAATTTTTTTTTCTTGACTTCAGGCCTCGGATCGATTTTAAACCAAATTTTTAAGCAAAAAAAATCGCTTTTGTCGATTAAAAATACAAAAAAAAAGTCGAAAAAGTCATTTAATTAATTTAGTGTTGACACAAAAATTTTATTATGTATTTTCCTGACTCTTCACTGATTTCTAAATTTAATTATTCAAAAGATAAATAATTTTACTAAATATATATTTAAATAATTATTTGTTTTTCCAAGGGAAATAAAATTGAGAAAATTTCAATTTAAAACCTTAGTGAAATTTCATAATTTCTAAAAATTACTATTATTCTAAAAATTACTATTATTCTAAAAATTCAATTATTTTCTACAATTTTTTCAATAAATCTTTTGAAAGTAATTGAAATTTTGTAAAATCTTTTAAAAGTAATTGAAACTTTGTAAAATCTTTTAAAAGTAATTGAAATTTGGTAAAATTTTTTTAAAATAATTGAATATTGGTAAAATTTTTTTGAAAATAATTGAAATTTTGTAAAATCTTTTAAAAGTAATTGAAACTTTGTAAAATCTTTTAAAAGTAATTGAAATTTAGTAAAATTCTTTTAAAAATAATTGAAATTTGATAAAATCTGTTAATAATATTATTTTTAAAGTTATAATATTTATAAAAAATTATAATAAAGAAATTCTTAAAATTAATTTTTTTAAAATTATGTTAAATAATTTGAGAGATAATAGTTTTTCAATTATAAATACTATTAAAAAATTTGCAAATAGTTTTGGTTAAATCTTTTAAAAATAATTGAAATTTTGATAAAAGCTTTTTAAAATAATTGAAATTTGATAAAATCTTTTAAAAGTAATTGAAATTTAGTAAAAATCATTGAAAAATAATTGAAATTTTGATAAAATCTTTTTAAAATAATTGAAATTTGACAAAATCTTTTAAAAGTAATTGAAATTTGATAAAATTTTTTTAAAATAATTGAAATTTCATAAAATTTTTTTAAAATTTCATAAAATCTTTTTTTGAAATATTGTACAATTTTTTATAAGTAATTGAAATTTAGTAAAATCATTAAAAAATAATTGAAATTTTGATAAAATCTTTTTAAAATAGTTGAATTTTTGGAAAATAAATAAGAAAAAATAATCAAACTTTTGAAGCATTTTAATTATAATTAAGAACATGATTTTTCCAAAATTTTAATAAGTCTAAAAAAAAAGGAAATTTAAACAATTTTTAATTTACTTTGTTCGAAGATAATTGAATTTCTTTAAAGAATTTTTGTATAATTTAAAAAGAAACTAATTAATTTCTTGAGGAATTTTAAATAAAAACTTTAAACATGATATTTTTCCAAAATGTTAAAAATAATTCTAAAATAAGTATGTATTTGAATTTTTAGAAATAATTAAAAATACTGAAAATATTCAATTTAAAAAAATAGAATCAAAAAATTTCGAAGAATTACTTTTTTTCATAAATATTTTAACATAATTTTAAAGACTAATTTTTATCAATTTTCATTTTTAAATTTACATTTGATGATTTTTCATTAAAATTATTAAGAAAGCAATTATTTTCAAAATTTACAATCAAAATTCTTTAAAAGTTGATTCTAAAAATTGTAATAAAATACTTTGGAAAAAATGAATTATTTTTAATTAAATTTTACAAAATTTCAATTATTCAAAATTTTATTAATAGTATATTTCAAAAATTTAATTAGAGAAATTCAAAAATAATTTTTGAACGATTGTACTTTTTTTGTGGACTATAAAAATCGAAATAAGTTGCATTTTATTTTAAAAATCAGGTATTTTGTTGCAATATTTGGAAGAAAGGTAAAAAAAAGTCGCAAATATTGAAAATAAGTCGAAAAAGACGCTCTTTTTTTGAAATAGTCGAGAAAATTCGAAAAAGTCAATAACCGAGGCCTGAGACTTGAAAAAGAAAACAGGATTTTCAAATAATATTTCATAGGATCAAAAGATTAATATTATTTATTTAGTGCATGAATTAAGGAATACCATAGCAGAAAAATATTTACAAATACAAAAGAAAAATTCGGTCTCTTTAATTAATTTCACGTATTTAGGAATAATACTTGTTTCTGTATCTAGGCAATAAAACATTAAATCTTTAGAAATGAATTATTGTCTTAATTTTTAGTAAACATTGAAAAGATCGTTTTTTAATAGAGTTGATTTCTATTTTTCGAAATTGGAATTTATAATTCATTTTTCGATATTAGAGGAAAAGAGAAGAAAAAAGAAAAAGATGTAAAATTATCGACATTTAGTAGTTGTTTTTGTGAGAAGAAACTCATAATTGTTTATAGTGGAAAATAGAATCAAGTGTCTCGATTCCACCTCCAAATAGTTGCATCGTCGCACACACAAAGCAAAACCGTTCCATCTCTGCTGAGACTCGTCTGTCGAATGGGAGCCGTACATCGTGGATGTTGAAGAGGACAACAACGAGCGTGACCCGGCTCCTCGACTTCAAGATCCCAAACGTAAGTGCGACCCACTTGATTGCCAAGAGCAATTGTCCTCTGCCAAAAGTCCATGGAAAATCGAATAAACCAAATGTCGCACTCCTTGAATTCAAATCGATGTAAAACCGTGGCACTCGTCTCATTATTTCGCAATTGCGAATCCTCCAGTCGCCCCGGCTTCCAACACACAATACAATTCTCGCACGATTTACTGAGAATAAAATCGCCGAACCACTTGACGCAATCGACATAATTCCTATGCACGTCCCTCGTCGTGAAATCGGGAAAATGCTGAAGAACTGAATCAAATGGCCTGCCATTTCGGCTCGGATTACAAAAGTACGATTGCTTCATTGCCTCCTGCATGTCCGCCTTCTCCAGGGACCAGAGTTTCAAAGCATGATCCATACCGCAGGAAATAATCCTCTGCCCCTTCATATCGAAATCAGCACTCAACACTTCGTCCCTATGACCTTCGACGCCACCGAAAATAGCAATGCAAACATCTGATTTAATATTCCAAAGTCTCAGTGCATGATCCTTCGAGGCTGAGAGTAGAATATTTGGATCTCGAGGATGAATTTTAAGTTCATTAATAGCGTGGCCGTGACCAATGTAATGTTTCACGCAAGTCATCGTCGCCGGGCTGATGATTCTGATGACGCCTCGTGAGCCAGCGACGGCGAGCAAAGGCTTTCCGGAATCGTCATTGGTCCAGGCGCAGGTGTAAAAATTCTCCTCCGGATCGGGATCGGCGTAACATTGCCGCAGGCGAATTCCACTTTCCACGGGACATTCGTAAATACTGACACGATTACTACCCACTGTGGCGAATATCATCGGTTCGCCTTCCTTTAAATTGTGATTGAATTGCACACCGAACAATGGCTGTCCATGATCTTCTTTATAGCTTGAGCAATATTTATAGAGGGTTTTGTCATTGGAAACTTTTGCTTTACCTGCTTTCAATCGTCGACGACCCTTTCGTTTGTAACGAACGCTGCGCTGCGTTGGTGTGTCACTGCGATGAGTATACGCCGTTGAATTGCTCCCAATGCTGCACTCTGTCTGATCACTGTCGTTTTCACTTTCCTCGTGACTCGAGGCGTAGGCCTGCGATTTCGCTGAGAGTTTCTTCATTATTTGACAGCCTAGAAAAAATTGCAATTAAATAGTAAAAATAAAAATTTCAATTTAATAAAAAGATAAACGAAGACATTCAGACAAAGATTCTTTTAATTTAATTTAATTGAATTCTTTTAATTCTTCTATTCAAAAAAATGTTTCGAAATCCACTGATTTCCTCTCCAGGAAGTCAAATTAGTAATAATTTGATTTGACATCAAAAAAATTAAAATGTCACAACAAATATTCGTCTAATAAAAAAAACGAAAATAACACTCACACATTTGACTCAGATATTAATTAAAAATATTCAAATCTTTATAATTTTTTTAAAATGTAATAATAATATTCTGCAATATTTAGTATTATTTGTAAAGGGCTTTTTATGTCCGTTTATACATTTAAATAAATGAATAAATAAATAAATAAATAAATTATGTATCTATATTTTTTTTAATAGAAAATTTTTATATTTTAAATACTTTAAATTAAAAATGTTTAAAACAATTAAAATTTTAAAAAATTTGAATTTAAAAATCATTTAAAATTTAATTATTTCTAAAAATTTACACTAATAACGTTTCTAATATTCAATTATTATCTTAAATTTTTACTGAAATTCATTTTTAAATAAATTTTTATTAGAAAATTCTACGAGAATTTAATTATTTAAACAGAGAAATAAATAATTTTTATTGAATAATTGAATATTTCTTGAAATTAAATTCTTTCAAAGAATTTTATCAAAACTTCGTAAAATACTTGAATTCTTTCGAAGAATTTTAATAAAATTTTTAAGAATAATAATTGCATTTTTCGGGTAATACATTTAAAATTGTATTAAAAATAATTAAAATTCTGCAATAATTTTTGTTATTCATGAAAATAATTAAATTCTTGCAAAGAATTTTATAAAATTTCTTTTTAAATAATTGAATTCTTTTGAAAAATTTTATTAAAATCGTAAATATGACAAATCATTGAATTGTGGAAAATTTTTGAATTGCAATTTTACCAAGAAATTTATTAAAATTCTAGAAAATAATTTACTTTCGGAGAAGAATTTTATTATTTCTAAAAAGAATTGAAATTTTTACGAGAATTTTTTAATTTTATTTTTTTGAAAATAATTGAATAGTTTCATGAAATTGTTTAGAATAATTTTTTTTCAACTTTTAGCTAATTTAAGGTAGTGCAAATTCTCAATCATAGAAAAAAGTAGTTTTTAGTGGCACAAATTAAAAAAAAAGTATCCAAATAGTAGAAAATAGTAAAAAAGTGGTAAATAGTGTAATAAATATTCTTGTTAAAAACTTTAACTTTTTTAATACCTTTGTCTACGGGTTCAAATTTAAATTATCGTAGGAATCCCGCTGTTAAATCCAAGAATTCCTTCAGCAAAATTAAGAATTCTTTTTGCCAAAAGTTTGCAATTATCTGGGTCCTGAAAGAATTGGCAATTGTCATCATTATTTAAATCATCGGTGATTAAAATGTTAAAATTAAAATTCTCTCAACTTACAAAGACATTCGCTGACATAAAACGTAAATTGTATTTGTCGCAAAGCGATTGTGCTCTGGCAAACGAAGGGCAGCGAATATTAGGAAGGCCGTTGCAATGTATCAAAAATGTTCGACTCGTAATTGAATAGTGCTCATCTATTAAACCAATATTTTCTTCTACCTGAAAACAATTTTATTGATTTGCCAAACTTGTCAAACATAAGCAATAAAAACATCAAACATTTATTCTTTCTCTAATTATTCAAGAATTGTACCTTTTTCATTTTTTATACATTTCTTTTCCTTAAATTACTATTTATTACTTTCTATTTAAATTAAAGATTTAAATGCACATATTTTACTGTTTATAAAATAAATTTATTTTTGCAAATAAAAATCTAAGGCAAACAAATTAGACTCTGAAATTTTAGGTTATGTTGACAACATAAATTAATTTTCAGTCTCGAGTAAATTCTGATCGTTTTTTTAATAAAAATTCAAACTCACCTCATTTAAAATATTGGTAATGCGTCCGTCGTATGCAAAAATAATAAAATCTATACTGGTGTCAGGCTTAAATCGCAGTACTTGAGCGATTGATTCACACTGATGCACAACAACGCGACGATCTCTCTCTTTTGCACTCTGTAGCAAGCCTTCCGAAACTTTTTCACATAAATCACTCGTACCAACAACCTAAACAATTCTAATTATTTATTTAGATCAATTAAATATTATATATAGCAATTAAAAAAGCACAAACCAAAAAGGAAATTAGGGAATCATTTTTTGTTACATTTTGTCCACAGCTTCTCAGAACTCCCGCCATTTCAGACAAATTACCAAGAATTTTTTTTAACCTGTGCCCTTAAGGCGCTAGCACAGCTCCTACTGCCTGCCTGCCTGCCTGCAGGTTGACATGGTAACACATAAGAGTAAGAGAGTCAGAAAATTCAAATTAAATGTTTTTTCTCTCTCACTCTTATGGCGCCTGCCTGCGCAGGCAGGCAGGCAGTAGAGGTGAGAGTGTACCTTTAAGCTGCGGTTACACCTCTGCAGGCTGCCTGCCTGCGCAGGCAGGAGCAAAGAGAGTAAGGGAGAAGTTTGAAGTCACTGACTCTCTTACTCTTGTACGTTACCATGACAACCTGCAGGCAGGCAGGCTGCCTGCAGAGGTGTAACCGCAGCCTTAACTTTTAATGCTCATTCCACAATGAAGTGTAATTACAATTGTGAATTCGACTTAATAATCATTAGGCTCTTTTCATTTTCAAGCAAGTATGCAATCCGAATTAATCCGACATATTGTAGAAATACCTTTAGCGATAACTTTTTTTTAACGATAGAGGTGTGAAATGCACCCTTACCTTGTTTTGACATGTAAATAAATTGTTTATTTTCTTTTCTCTCAAAGAAAAAATATATGGTTTATTTTTTATAAATTGAGAGAAAAGTAGAAATAAAAAACTACAATGGAAGCTCTGTGGAATAAACTTAATTTACAGCGACCAAGTGCCTTGACATTTAAAGTTTCTTCAAGTGAAATAAGTATGAAAATAAACACACCTAACCTGAATAATTTAAAAAGTTAATTATTTATTTATTTTTTACTGTAAAAAAATGTCTAAACTATTTAACGATAACGTTCGGTAGTTGGAAAAATATTACTTTTCTAATATTTTGATATTTTTTACATTTTTATCGAAAATTCATTTTTTAGATGCAAAATGTTTTTTGATGAAAATAAACAAGATTATCAAAGACCTCGAGTCACAAGAAATGTTACATTTTGAAGCAGCAATTCTTGGGAGATTAATTTACCGTATGAAGTGTAAATTTAGAAGTGATAAAGGTCTGAAAAATATGGAGAAAACAAATCGAGCTCTTCTAAATTATTTAAAACTTTGCCTGGAAAATGATTATAAATACCTTAAAGAATGCACTGAGATTAATTCGCATTTAAATTATGTTATTTTGCCGACAACACAAATGATGGAATATACATTAATTAAAACTCAAAGTTTCGCAAAATTAATGTGTCGTATTGAAAATGTTTCACAAGAGGCTGGTTGTTTTCTTAAATCGAGAATCATCACCGGACAAGCTTGGGAAGTTTCTTTAATTGCTTTATCGGTCATCAGTCGAATATGGTAAGTCTTCAATAATTGATTTATTAAAATTGAGAAAAATTTGAATAAAGAAATTCTCTGTTGAAAAAATGACTAAAACAATAAAATAATGTGTTTTTAATTTTCTTCTAGGGTTCTTTCTCGACATTTAATTAAAAAGTCCTGTGATTGGTACGAGACATTATATGAATACAGACAAAATTTCAAAAGTTCAGGAGCAGAGTGGCTGCCAAAAAATTATAAACTACCATCAGATTTGAAATGTTGGCTCAAGTTGCCTTGGATTGATGAAGAATTACCAAAGTAAGAGATATCAGGGAATTTTTGGGAATAGTCAGGGAACTTTATTAAAAGTATTGGAAAAAATTTTGTCTGAGAATCAGGGAAAAAGAAAATTAAATTTTTGTGTCAACCCTGGGAAATATTTTATTTTAAAATCGTTTTAATCTACAATAAGTTTTGTAATTAAAAATAATTTTTTCAGTATTTTAACACATCAAGAAATTAAGCAAAACATTTTTAATCTAATTAAACCAATCGACGACGATGATTCTGAAACTGAACTGAATTTCGATATTGAAGAAAATGACGAATCGATGTCCTCAAAATTCTCTTTATCAACTAAAATATTTCCAGGTATGTAATTAAAGAAATTTCAACTAAAATAGATATTTTATTACAAAAAAATAATTTTTTCCTCAGGATCGTCGGAAAAAAAAGAAAAATCATCTCTACCTGTTAATAAGTTTGAATTAATTGAAAATACGAAAATTTCCAAAATTTCAAATATTAAGAATAGAGAATTATCACAGGAAGTGACGACGTCCTTTCCATTAGGTGTAATCGATGTGGGTGAAAAGATATCTCGCAATGCTTATAAATCGTTACTTAAAAAAAAAGCCGAAGAAGAAGAAGAGTTGAGTAAAAGTCAAGATGTAAAATTGAATCAAAACGACGAAGTAAAAAGAAAAAAACGCGAAAAAAGTTCGAAAGCAAGACGAGAATTAAAGTGTGTTATTAATTCTTGTGACGACGAAAAGCTGGAAAAAAGAAAGAAAATTATAACTTCCGAAAGTTTGAAAAATGAAAATGATTTAATTTTATTTTTAAAACAAAAATCGTATCCAGGAATGGATAAAATTCAATGGAAGAATCTGAAAAAAAATGTAAGTCAATTTTTAGTGGATATTAATAATAGCAATGAATCAGTATCGAGGAAAAAGAAACTGAAAATGGTGTTTAAAAAATTACGAGAATGGACAAGTTAATAAAGTTATTAAACGGCAATTTATATTTGATACGCTCTCAAAAAAGTTAAAAAAAAAATCTAAAAATAGTTTGGTTTTTGGAGTAAAAATGGTAGAAATTACAAATTATTCAAGTTTTCAAGTTTTCATTTAGAATATTCAATAAAAATCGTTTTCAAATTAAAAATAAACTTTTAATGAAGATAAATTAAACACAAAAATAACTAATAATTTGTTTTCTTTACCTTTTTTGGAGGCGCGTTACATTTTATTATTATTATTGTACATTGGAAAACGGGGCATAAAAAAGAAGAATGTCTGAAATTCATATTTTTTATTTCTTTACTACAGAAGATAATCGATAATTAACAAGTACATTGAGTATATTTTTCGTCCAAAGAAAATAAAATCTCAAATTTCAAATTTGAATAAAATAATCGATTCTTTAGGAAAGGAAGAGATTTCATTTTTTTAAGTTTTTAATTTTTGTATTATATCGTTATATTTTTTTCTTTTTGTAAATGAGTCTTAAAGTAAATTTAGACATTTTTCAAGAATATTAAATGTCATTTTTTTCATTTTTTTTTTTTTTAAATGAGATGAAAATGACCTGCATGTTTTGGTGGATCAACCCAAAGTCCAACGGCAGGAACTCTTTTTTTCAAATTATTGAAGCAACATGCCCGAAATCCTCGAGTTCCACAAATTTTTATACATTCCCTGCCACATTGGTCGCAAGAAAGTGCCTCACCAAAAGTCCAAAGTGCACAAACTGTTAAACAAAAAATAATTTGCATCGATTTCGATCAAAACGTAGTAAAAAAAACAAATTAAATAATTTTAATAACAAATAAAACAAATTAAATTAAATTTATTAAATTTAATTGTTTTGAAAAATATGGTTAAAATTCTATTTTAATTATTACTCAAGACGGCTGCTTGTAAAATTCTATTTCTCAACTTGTTTGTCACGATATTATAAATATCAGGAAATTAATGTAAAATATTCTCGTACATGATAAAAATTCTTTAAGATTTGTTGCAAGAAATGCGAATTAAATATGATTAGAAGTTGACGCGAAATCTTCCGGTCATTGCAATGCATGACTTTGGAAAGTTTTACCATTTTTTTTCTCTCAAAACTTTACATTAAATTTATTATTCATTTCGTGTTTTATAGACATCGATTTATATTCTACGCAGCAAGGATTTAGTAATTAGTTGGAAAACTCAAATCGACTTGAATTTTTGTTAAATTATTTATTGGCTCAGAGAAAACGTAAAATTTTCGATTAAAAAAAGGAAAATTGCAAAAAAAATCCTGGTACTTATTTGTATCATTATAATTAATATTTAGGTAATTAATTAATTTTAGGAGAGAAAATAAATACTAAATTTTGTAATTTTTTCTACAAAAAATACGAATGTATTTTTTATTTATTTTTTTTTATTTTTTATTTTTATTTTTTTTTTTATTTTTTATTATTTTTATTTTTTTTTTCCCTTTTTTTTCATTTTTTCAAAAAAAAGAAAAATGTCGAAAGAAATTAGTAAAATATAATTAATATTAAATAAAGCAAATAAAACGAAAAGAATCGGACAATGAATAAAAATATTTATTTACTCCAACGTTTTGAAATCTGAATGATTTCCTCTTCAGGGAGTCTACCAAAAAATATATGCAAAATTAAAATAATAATAAAAAAAATTTTAACAATAAATTTAAAATAAAGTTAATGAGTCATTATCTTACATTAAAGATTATTTTACTAATTAATATTCTATATTAATATAATAATAATTAATATAACTATACTAAGTTTCGGTAAAAATTTTTTTAAACTATTTTTTATATCAGAATATTTCGCATTTTCTCCCCAAATTGTAAAATATTTTTATCAAAATTGAATATTTATTTCTTCTCCATATAATATCGAATATAATATAATAATAATTTAATATAATTTTTTTCCTTTTAATTTATTTTTGTTTTTATTATATTTTTGATTTATTTTTATTTTATTTTCTATTTTATTTTATTTTTCATGTTATTTTTATTTTATTTTCTTTTTTATTTTATTTTTATTTAATTAATATAACTATACTAAGTTTCGGTAAAAATTTTTTTAAACTATTTTTTATATCAGAATATTTCGCATTTTCTCCCCAAATTGTAAAATATTTTTATCAAAATTGAATATTTATTTCTTCTCCATATAATATCGAATATAATATAATAATAATTTAATATAATTTTTTTCCTTTTAATTTATTTTTGTTTTTATTATATTTTTGATTTATTTTTATTTTATTTTCTATTTTATTTTATTTTTAATGTTATTTTTATTTTATTTTCTTTTTTTTATTTTATTTTTATTAATATAATAATAATAATTTAATTAATTATTAGTAATAATTGGATTAGACTAATTAGAGAACCAAGAATACATCAGTAATCGCAAGTTCCTTTGAGAATCTTATCTGGATTATCCAAATATTCCTCCTTCAAGTTAAACAATTAATATTTCTCCTGATTTGTCGAAAAGAATAATAATAATAATTTAATAAAATGAGTTATAAAAAAATATTTTACATATATTTTCAAAATCTATTTTTGTTTTTAAATTGTTTCTTTTGCAATTTTAATATATTTCTAAAAATCCTCCAAGTCTGGGGAAAAAAAGGATTTTGTAAATAAATTTCCCATCGTATACTTTTTGTCGTTTTTAATTAAACGTTTTAAGTCCATCTTAAGATTCTTTATTATTAGAAGGACGGAGATTCCGCCTCCTTCAAAAACGCAATTTAATCAACTTGGAGACATTTTACGAGATTAATTCTACAACTAAGCTATTTTTTCGAGATTTTAAACTTTTCTTTCCGGTTAAAATGAAATTCTTCTCCGCCTTGAAATTTATATCAAAGTCATGGCCGAAATTTATATCAAACAAAAAAGAAATTCAAACAACCGAAACATTAAAATACAAATAAAAAAGAAAGAAAGAAAAGAAGAAGAAAAATGTGAAAATGAAAAGTTTGGAAATATTTTCCAAATATAAATTTTGTTTGTAAGTTTTTTAATTTGAGTATTTTGGTAATTTCAGTATTAAAAATTTATTATTTAGTATTTAAGTATTTAGATAATTAATATTGATAGAAATAAATATTTACCTGCAATTAATAAAACAATGTAGATGGTGCGTCCCATTTCTCTTGTCATCAGATTGCTTTTTTGTCGAAAGGAACTAAAAATTGTTAAACAGACAGTTTTGAACTTTGAAAATTGTGTTTTAAAATTTTTTAATTTCTTTTACTTCTGGTTTTTATTTTCTTTATTTTACTATTCTCGTTTTTTTTCGGTCACTCTTCGAAAAAATAAGAAATTGCCAATACTCACTTGGTACAAACAACGGGGATGAGTTGTTAGTGATAATCTTGAGGAAATCGCCTGTTGCTCTTCAGCCAGAAATCCTCCCCCTCTGCCTTTAAAGACGATTTTCACCCCCGCATTATCGCGAAGAATGTTGGCGCATTCGCAAAACCTTTCTGATATCCTATATTTTTTTTATTTCAACATTTTCCCCTTCTTCGTCACAAATTCTTTTCTATTTTGAAAATATTTTTTCTATAATTGGAAATATTTTTTCTATTTTAAAAATATTTTCTCTTGCCTTTTTATTATAATATTGTTGAAAATTAATAAATTTTATTGAAAGTTTGATAAAAAATTGAATTTTTTATTGAATTAATTAATTTTTATTGACGGCACAATTCGATTCGTTGTCATAGGAAATAAATAAATTTTGTTTAGCACAAGACTGATGGAATATTTTCTCCGATCGTTTATAATTAACTTCGGGAATTTGAATTTCACATTCGAGGAGAGACGAATTTTTTGGAATGCCCATTAATAAATGATTCCAAGTCCGGGGATTTTCATAATAGTCACTGGAATAATTAGTTTCGCCCTCAACTTCTAATCCATTGATAAGAATCTTTAATTTCGGTGAAGGGTGCGCTCCAAATGTTTCACATGAAATATTCAGGTGAGTTTCATTGTATAATTCCGTTTTCATTGTCACATTGTTTACTGGAACTTTTGAAAAGAAAAACAAGAATTTTAGTTTAGGGGAAGAATAATTACTTGTTAATTAATAGTAATTATTGGTTAAATTACTTATTAGTAATTATGTTTCCCTTGAATTATTTCTATTACAGGTATTTATTTTTAAACATTTTTTTAACATCACCTGACTGAAGGCAATTTTCAAGTTTCTTTTTTTAATACTCTCATCACAGCTTTTAGAAGAATTAAAATAATTACTTTATTAAGCGTTATAAAATTTATTTATAAAATTTATTTGTAACATTTATTTATAAAATTTATTTGTAAAATTTATTCTTAAAATTTATTTCTAAAATTTATTCTTAAAATTTATTTCTAAAATTTATTCATAAAATTTATTTCTAAAATTTATTCATAAAATTTATTTAATAAATTCGAAAATAAATATTTTCAATAACCTTCTGTAAAACTCATGAGTAATAATTGAAGAGTAATAATAATTATGAAGAGAAAGATGATTTAATATCGCATTGATCATCGTGAGTGATTATTTAAAGATACGGAATTTTAATAAATTTTTTTTTTTTTTTTTATGAAAACAAGTGTAAATTTATATGCCGGATGTAGTTATATGGGAATAAATCAGACCTTGGCTATTTAATTCACGATTACCGTTATAGTGCAGATGCAGAGGAAGAGCTTTTAACTCAATAGGATCATAAACCTAATCACTTAAAATAGTCGAGCAAGATTTTCAAGAAACACTTTATACAAGAATATAGAAAGTACTTTTTTAAACTCTCCCACTCTTTCTAAAATTAATTCAATTCGATTTACAGTGGAACCTGTTGGAATGCAACTCTATTTTTAAAAAAATTTTTTGTATTCAAAAATGTCCGACAAACATTATTTTCACTTAGTTCCAGAATATTACAAAAGAATTCTAAATATTTTATTTATAAATAATAATTTGAAATAATATCAAATATGTATTAAAAGATTCGACTAATCTCAACAGAATTAAAATTTAAATTTAAAAAAAAAGAAATATTACAAAATTAAATTATAAAACAATTATTTTTTACGGATTGCAAAATTTATTTACTGTAAAAAAATTTTAAAAATTGAGTTGCTTTCCAACAGGTTTCACTGTACTTCGCAATTCAAAAAGAGATTATTTCCAATTTTTACCAAAGATAGAAAAAGTAAATTAAAATTTTTTTATAAAGTTTTTCTCGAAACTCGATTTTCTGTGGTTTTATAAATTTTGATGTATTTTTTATCTGATTTTAGACTTTCGTTGTCAAAGATCTAAAAGATTCGAGTGAGTAGTTAAAAGCCTCTGTGTTTGTGTGTATAAAAAATAGTTTTTAAAATAATTTGAAAATAAGATAAGCAATAGAAATTACCATAAACAATGACATTTGCTGATTTTGAATCCTCATCCTGAAAAGTACTGATCGTACAAGTATATTCTCCAGATAAATTAGTCGTTATATTTTTTATTTCCAAAATAGAATGAGAATGGGGTCGATTTATATTCTCCCAAGGATACTCGATTAATCCTTTCATAATTCCCATATCACGAGGAGCCACTGAAATCATTTTTTTTTTTAATAAAAAATAAATCAAATTTACTCTTAATTTTAATCAATTAATCATTTTAAATACTCTCTAAATTTTTATCCGTTAATCATCTTTAAGTCAGTCAATAACTTATAAGAATATTTATTATAAAACATTTTTAACTAATATTCTTCTTGAACTCAATTATTTTTAATAATTTTTGAAAAAGTTCTTTGAGAATCGGAAAATTGAAAAATAATTGAAATTCTACGAAGAATTTCACTATATTTATGAAAATAATTGAATTCCTTTGAAATTTTTGTTATCTATGAAAATAATTAAATGTCTCCTTAGAATTAAAAAAAAATTTTTTTTAAATAATCCAATTATTTTAGAAAAAATTATTAAAATAGTAAACAATAAAAATCGTTAAATTGAGGCAAATTTTTAAAAATAATTGAAATTTTGACATAAATATTATTAAATTTTTTTAAAAATAATTGAATTTTATTATTTTTAATGATAATTGAAATTTTTACGAGAATTATTTATAAATTTTTATACATAATTGAATTCTGAAAAGAATTTTATTAAAATTCCTGAAAAAAATTGAATTTTGTCGAAGAATTTTTCTTTATAGAAAAATAATTAAAATCTTAACGCGAATTTAAAAAAATTCTTGAAAATAATTGAATTTTGGCGAAATTATTTATCTAAATTTTTAACTGAAATTCATTTTTAAATCAATTTTTATCAGAAAAATTTACGAAAATTCAATTATTTAAATACAAAAATAAATAATTTATTGAATATTTCATAAAATTGAATTTTTCCGGAAACTCAATTAAAATAGTATAAAAAATAATTGAAATTCTGCGATGAGTTTTATTATTTTTCAAAATAATTGAATTTCTAAAAAGAATTTTATTATTTATGAAAATAATTCAATTATTGTGCAAAAAAATGTATACCAAATTTGTAAATATATTAATTCGTGTGAAATTTTTATTATTTATGAAAATAATTAAATGTTTTTCGTAGAATTTTTCCAAAAAAAATTTTTTTTAAATAATTGAATTCTCTTTGGAAAATAATTAAATTTAATAAAATTAAAATTTTCGTAGATAATTGAATTTTCTCAGCAATTTAATTAAAATTGTTTTCAATTCTCGTAAATAATTTTAGTCAAAATTTTTCAAAAAAATTTATGTTTTTGCAAAGAATTTTTTATTTACAGAAATAGAAATTAAATATATTCAAAGAATTTTATTATTTACAAAAATAATTGAATATTTTCGAAAAATTTTTTTATTTATGGAAACTGATCGAAATAATTGAATTCTTTTTAGAATTTTATTTAAAATTTTGAGAATAATTGAATATTTTCGAAAAATTTTACTATTTATGGAAACGTTGAATTTTTTAAAGAGATTCTATTAAAATTCTTTTCAAAATAATTGAATTCTTGGGGAAAATTTTATTATTTAAATAATTGAATGATTGCTAAGAAATTTATACCTAAAGAATTTTTAAATAATTGAATTCCAATGAAATTTTTATTATTTTATGAAAATAATTAAAGGTTTGCGTAGAATTTTTTTAAATAATTGAATTCTTGTGGGGAATTTTATTATTTTTGAAAATAATTGAATTTCTGCAATAATTTGTAACTTCTTCAAAAAAAATTTTCTTATTTTTAAACTTACAAGGTGGAATCCATTCATAAATTTGCTTCTGATTGTGGTACCATTTTATTACTATTCCAGAATCACTACTCAATAATTCATAAACGCAAATAAATTTAACATTTGATCCTTTTTGCAGCAAATTTGGCAATTCGAGACTTTTGATTCGTGTTCCATATCCGGCTGAAAAAATGCACTAATTATTATAATTTAAAGAAAAACAAGCAATATTTATTATTTTGATTATATTATTATTAGAATATAATATAAATTAAAACTTTCTACACACGAATCAAAATTGTCGTCGTTATCAGGAAATAAATATTTATTGAAGTTAACATCTCTAATAGTGAATGGAGACTGCAAAGTTTGAAGGATTTTATATTGAATTAATTTTTTTATAATTATATACCTACATAATAGATGATTTCATCGAATAACTTGATTGAATTTTTATTATATTTTTTCAATAATAAACAATAATAATCCGACAATCAATATCGAAACAAAAGTTAGTATTATTCGTATATTATTAAAAAAGGCAATAATTAAATTTCAAATTTATTTCAGTGGAGGCGTATTTAAAGAATTTAATTTTCTATTTTATACAATTAAAAGTTGAATTTCTATATAAAAATTACAATTTTTGCAATTTTTTTATAAACAATAACATAACCTAAAATTTAACAAATATTTCTTATTATGAAATAAGATTGTAATTTTTATTAAAGGGCAACTTTAAATTGTTTAAAATATTAATAATTAAATTCTTTACCTACTCTTCTACTAAAATAAATTTTAAATTTGCCTTTTTCTATTAAAATAATACAAAATAGTGTGTAATAAACATTATTACACTCGTATAGTTAATGAACTTTTATCACAAAAAAATTGTTTTCAGTATATACCTGTATTTTAAATTTGGCGCTTCTATTTTTTAAAAAAGTAATTGGCCAATCAGAATGTGACGATTGTTCGTTAGTCGTTACGTAAACATAACCTATAAAGTTGTGTTTACCTTTTTAGCGAGTAAGCTTAGCGTTCTAGTTTCATTATATAAATAAATATTAATATTATGTATTAAAAGTTTTCTGATATTTGTGAAAACATATAATTTAATAAAACTAGTGATACAAACAATCATGTCCGAAGTAAAAGATGATCCAAGTGAGGTTCTTTCTATTTTAAATTCTCTTGGATTCGTTGGTGTCACTGCACTCCAGTTGAAGTCTTTTATGAAAGGTAATAAACAAATTATTTCCCATCAGATTTACTAAATTAGAATTTTCTTTTATCTATTTCGAAATAATAAGCAAAAGTCGTAAAAAATTATAAATCCATTAAGTTTCCCTTTAAAAGGAAAGCAAGGAAACATCCTATATTTTAGTCTCTTTAAAACGTTTAAATCTTTTATTTTAAAAGGATTCAATGTTTCTTTTAACAAATTCGTTCTTTTTATTCAAAAATAATTCTAGAGAATCTATTTTCAGATCTAAAACTATACAGAAAAATAAAAGAAAGAGAACGTGAAGCATGGAAAGAGGAGATAAAGAGGAGAATTCTAACAAAACAGAAACAAGCTCTAGTAGAATTTATTGAAGAACAAGAAAAGCCCACAAATATTCCTTCTCAAAAAAAAGCTTTTCCGGAAACCCCACGAAAAACCGAATCAATGGTTAAAGTGAAAATAAAATATTCCCCAAGAGAAACAGAAAACACTGTAAAGGAAATATTCAAACAAAATCGTTCAAATGCACAAAAATCAGATGCACCGAAAGAACGAGAATGTGATTTTTGGATGAAAAATTTATTTCAAAATGATCTCAAGCAGACATCAGGTAAAATCGGATCTAGTCGAGATCACACTCATCGTTCAAAGTCGGAATCAAAAGAAAGTTCCACGGATGGATTGAAAAAATCGTCTTCCAAGGAAAATAGTGAAAGTGTTTCTTGTTCAAAGTCGAAGGGAAAAATTGACAGCGAATTAACAAGAAAGACGACGCCACGCTTGTGTGAAAAATCAAGAGCACAAAAGAGACCTGCAAGTGCTTCTGATTCAAATCCAAATGTTCTTCAACTTAAAACGAAAAACACAGTTTCTGATCCTGGCGAAAGTATTACTTACTCGGTTACAAGAACTTCTAGTTCCTCACAACCTAAATCATGTAAGAATTCTTTTAATTGTTAATTTTAATTTATACAACACAAAAACTACTTTAAAGCTAAAATACAACATTTCAATATTTATTAAATTATAATCTGGTTGCCCCAGGTCAGGGAATTCAGGAAAAGCAGAATTAATTTTTTTGAAATAGTTTAATTGAATTTTTGTTAAAATAATTTGAAGTTTTTATTTTAATTTATATTTAAATGAAGAATTTCCGAATAATCGAAATTTTTTGGTAAAATTGAATTGTAAATAAATTTTCAAATAAATTTGAAAATTCTCAAAGAATTTTTTCAAAAATTATTAAAAATAATTGATTTTAGTTCAGTTAAAAATTGTAGAAAATAATAATTGAATTGAAATGATGAAAATAATTTTAAATAAATTACAGTAACAATATCTTTTTTAGAGTTAATCAAAATATTTCTTTAAGGTCAGGGAAAAAATCAAAATTCTGTCTAGAAATCAGGGAAAGAAAAAATTAAATTCTTGTGTCAACTCTAATAATACTTTTATAATACTAATACTTCTAATAATAAATAATGTATCTAAGTATTTAAAAAAAATTAAAATACTTTCTCTTTTAGTTATAAGGCCGTGGAGACTACAACCAGACGTTCAAAAACCTTGGAAGAAATCCGATCCTGTGTCACTTTATCAAAAGTATCAAGAGGATTGGAAGCAGTTTCCTCTTCCCGGAGAAGATAAGCATTTAGACGTCAGATGGGCGATTCGCGAACGAATGATGGGCTGTGATCCTCATCCTAGGGTAAAAATTTCTTACCCTTTTTAAAATATCTTTTCTAATTATTATTATTATTATTATTATTGTTATTATTATTATTAAATTATTATTTTATTATAAAATTATAATTATTTTTATTTAATTAACTAATTTTTTATTTTCAGCCTATTGATTATAAATCTTCCCGTCTATCGACATTGAAGAAAAGATGACTGTGGTAGATTTTTTCTTTTTAAGTAAATTAATATTCTATAAGTTGAATCAATTAGAAAATCGCCACTCAATTTTATGAAAGAATAAATCTTGTACATAGTATAAGAAACAACAGTTTTACATATCTACTTATAAGTGAAATATTTTTTTAATACAAAAATCAAATAAAAAGATTGTTTCAATATTGTAAGTTGTCATAAAAATTTTTATTTTTCAATATTTTTTTTAGATAAATATTTTAAAATCTAGGTATGTAATTTTTATTAGAAAACTGAAATATAAAAATTTTCAAAACACTTATTATTGCTGGTTAAGTTTGAATTTCGAAGCTACGTTTCCGTGATTGGCTCTATTAAGTTGAAAGAGTAATTTCTCTTCAATGAGTCTTGCAGCTCGTTCAGTTAAAACTAGAGTGTCGTGCTTCAACATACTGTAGACATTCAATCCTGAAAGAAGAAAATTTGGAATCACAATTACAAAAAATTGTCAATGTATTTAAATTCGAGAAAAAAATATGAAAATAGAAATACTTTTCTGTTTTCATATTTTTGAATACTTTGAATACTTTCAAATTCTGAAAAAAAAATAACGTACCATAAACAGGCATTAAATTAACGTGTTTTAAATTTTCAGTGGCTATTGAAATATTTCTAGGCATAAAATCCGCATCATCGACAAATAGAACAGAAGGTCCCCAATTTCTTTCGTTAATAATATCTTCAATGTACGAGGTTTCTTCGGAGGGAATTTCAAGATCTGACACAATGTGTAAATCGTCTTGAGCTAATTTCACTGTCAATGTAGAAGTAAGTCCGTGGACTCTTTTGAAGAATGGTAACATATAAAAATGTGTCGTCGGCGAACGAGGTCCATGAATTCTTCCTCCTTTACGCCATAAAGGCGAACGTATACTTCCATGTCGTGCCCTTCCTGAACCCTTTTGCGGCCAAGGTTTCCTACCACCTCCCCTAACTTCAGCACGTGTTTTCGTATGTGCATAAGACTAAAAAAAAAATTATAGGTACAGTTTTTAGAATTTTTTTTTATTTCAACTATTAGCGAATTTGAAGTGATGCAAATATCCCCCAAAAATAAAGAAAAAAATAGCTTTTAGTGTCATAAATCTAAAAAGGTATCCAAATAGTAGTAAATTGTAAAAAAAGAGTAGTAAATAGTATTAATATCTTACCACAAATCGAAACATTCTTTGCCATCTGATATTTTCGTGAATTATGTCTACTCGTGGTTGGGCGGCAAAAATATCAGGATGTAAATGAGCAATACCCAATTTTTTGTCTGGTATTGTTTTTAAACTTTCGATCCACACTTGCCGGGGTTTATGAAAGAAATTACTACATTTAATAGCCTCTGTCAGTGAAATTTTCGGTTCTATTTTTTCTGCTTCTAAACATTGATTATCAACAATAGTACAAAATCGAGGTGTTACGTTTACGTTTACGTATTTTCCTAATTTATTGAAAATATTGCGACAGAGAAATGACATTTTTGTTTAATAACACATTTATTTTTTACTATAATATACAATACGAATAAAGAAAAAATAACAAAAAGAAATTATCACCAGGAATATAACCTCAAAAATCAACACCAACACGGATCAGGGTTCAGAAGGTTTTGTGCCACTTTGCCAGGGTTGGGCAGTGATATTCTAAGTTTTCTACACCGGTATAAAGGACCTTCTACAATAGAAAACAGAAGACCACCTCGTTGAAAATCGTAAAACATAAAGGTAAAGACCAACGTAAAGCATGTGTTAGAAAAGGACAGAGATATATTTGTGTCCTTTTTTATCTCATGCAATTTCTTTACACGAAGATAGAAAAGGATAGAAATATCGTTTATCCTTTTCTATCTTATGTAAAGAATGTGAAACGAACTTAATTCCAGTTTTGCTCATAATAATAAACAAAAAGTAATTAATTTAAGAAAGTGTCATTATTACAATGTCTTGACCTTTGCCTGCTGACCATAAAAACAAAAGTAATATTTTAAATTTATTTGTTTATTTCTTTTCGTTTTCATAACCTTAGTTGCTTAGTAATGTCTGTTTATTATATACTTACACGTCACATGAGATTTAAACAATTGAAGAACAGAAAATTTTATTTTCATTCATTTCATTAAATTCCTCTATTTATGGAATCAATTAATTTTCTGCTTATCGTTCGGCAAAACTTCACCAGGTCCCTATATTTATGGATCTATAATTGAAAGTAGTAAAATATTTTTTTTTTATAAATCAACTCGTTTTTCTCTCGAATTGAAAATGAATTTACACGAAGATATTGAAAAATTAACATTGATGCCATCGTGTAGTGATGATAATGGAGCTCAATTTGTGCGTGTTAATGGTCCAGGTCGTGCGGATCAAGATCGTCAGATGAACAAGAAGCGACCTGTTCCTGTACGTTATCGAAATGGAAGTAGAAGACAATTTCCAAGTGATGATGAGGACGACAAGGACAATGATAATTATGATGATGATGATGGTGATGATGATAATGATAGTAAAAAGCCGGACATAAGCAGAATAAGTTTGAGTGTACGGACAATGAATGTTCGTGGAAATAGAGACATAGAAAAATATTTTCAACAGAGGCAACAATTACAAGAAGAGGAAACGAAAGCAGCAGAAAAAAAGCAATTTTCTCAGGCAGAATCGCAAGGAAATGACAATTCTACAATGTCAAGGTATTTATAATTTATAATTCGTAAATTTACTGTTATTTATTATTTCGTGAATAAATTTGTTTATTATTTATTTATCTTGTCCAGAAAGTCAATTTTCTAAACAATAATTCGTAAATAAATAAAATAAATTTGATAAGAAAAAAAAGCAGGGGATTTTGTTGAACGAAAATAGTAGACACCCTGATTATGTGAATGAATTTGTTTATTTAAAATCGTGTTCAGACTGTCAATTTTCTAAACAAAATTATTACATTTTTGAAAAAAATTAAATTTTTAATCTAGATTGTGGAAAAACGGTGTTATTCGAGGTCTGGTCAATCAGAAGATAATATCAAAGTCAGATCTTGTCAATAATACGAATGATGAGAGAGAAATTCCAAAGGAAAAAAATTCTAATCTCGTTGAAGATCCAAACGATCAGGATTTATTGCTACATCCACTATTGGCTTATGGAAAATTGACGTACGACGAAGAATTTATTTTACCTCGCGTTGGAAAGAAAACGACAGTAACACCACGTGATCATCTTAAAAGTATGGTTGATGAGGACTTTGAATTTGTAAAGAAAACTAAGTAAATTTGTTATCAAGAAGTTGAAAAGGTAATTTTACAATATTAAAATTATATATTGTACATTTTATACATTTTATAATTTATAATTAAGTTAGCCATTAAGGAGGAATCTAATAAGTAAAAAAAAATATTAGTCCAAGTCATTATTTTCGTTTTTTCTATATGAAAAAGTCAGAAATTAAATTCGTTTTACTGGAAGCGTAAATAATTTAAAAGCAAAAATTTGCATTTGTTTAAAATACAGAAAGTTAAATTCTTTAAACTCCCACTAAATGGAATTTAAAATTTATTACTATTTAAAATTAATTCAACTTTTTCACGTATAAAATATACGAATTTATTGACAGTTTAACTTTTCTTCCGATTCTTTGTCGGATGTTTCCTCAAATAAGTTTTATATACAGTTTTCCTAAAAATAAAGGAACAGAAATTGTAAAAAAATAAAAAAATAAAACCTGGAAAAAAATTATCCAAACCACACGCAGGAATCTTTGAATTCCTTTCAATAGACGAATAAAATAAAATTGAAGGAAACTAATTAATTATTGTAACGAGAGAAATTTTTTTTCTTGTGTAAAATTTTCGTATAAAGGAGAGTAAAACACGAAAAATATATGTATCGAATAATATAATGTAGAAAAATTGAACAAAATCAACAATCAATTTAAAAAAAAAAATGAAAGAGTTCTACACAAAAACAGAAATGTAGTCCTAGAATTGGTTAAATATATTAATAGAGGGTTAAAGACAAAAAAAGAATTTTCAAATTTAGAAAATGTGATATATTTGGAAAAAAAATTGTATAAGAAATAGAATATATTTAAAAAATTCGGATAATGAATTCTGTAATATTCTTTAATAAAAAGTATAGAAATTCTTATGTACAAACTAATAGGAGTGGATTAATTAAATTATATGTTAAGTATCCTGAATTCCTAAAATTTATGATTTTCATGAACAATTTTCATTGATTTATCATCCGAAAGAAATAGTTGCTGTCAAAATAATTTTAAATTTACTTTCTCCATTTACATTTTACTTCCACGAATTATTTTTGCTTAAATTGGTAAATAAATTGAAAGTCTTTTGATCAGTCGGTTTTTAAATAAGGAATGAGAAAGCAAATTTTATATATAATTGTATAAATTAATTATATATATTGTATAATTATAAATTATAGTTTATAAATTAATATATAATTTATAAAAATAAGGTGGAAAAGTAAAATTAGTAATTTATTTTGACATCAACAATCTGAATTTAAAAAAAATATATTTTGTAAGTTCTATTAAACAAATTATTGGAAGCAAGCGAATCCTATTTCTATCCAAAAACTTTGGTCTTCATTTCCAATGTCTCGCATTGCTAAATCCAAAATTGGAAGTCTAAGCGGCTTGTCAGTTTTGTAAGTAATTATTGTCTTAGCCCAATCCTTCGCTCGAAACTGAAAAACAGTTTAACATTTTTTTTCTTAGTTTCTTGGTTTTTTATAATCTTGAGAAACTGAATTCATTGTATTTATATTTCACTTTTACGTAAATTATTAATTTAAGTACATATGTGACGCGCTTCGGAGAAAGGTACCTAAGAAAAAAAAACTTCTAAATTTTAGAAAATGTTTATAATTTTTGGAGTAAAAATACAGAAAGAGAGTCAAAAAATTATTTAAATTTACTGAAAATTATTAGGGTTGACAAAAAAGTTTGTACGAAAGGGCTTTGTGCCCGTAAACACAAATAAATAAATAAAAACTTAAATTTTTGTTTTTTTCTGATTTTTCCCTGATTTCCAGACTAAATTTTGACTTTTTCTCTGAAACTAAAGAATATTCTGATTCACTCTCTTATTAGATACTCAAAAAAATGTTCTGTTACATTTATTATGAATTGAATTAATTGTAAAATTATTCGAAAACATTTTTATTTTTTAAATAAATATTTAATAATTATTATTTTTTCATAGGAATTAAGGATTTTAAAAAATTTAAGATCGATCTCTTCATGTTTTATATAATATAATTAAATATGACCGAGTGATAAAATCATTATTTTATATTATAAGAAATATTGTTACTGTAACTTCTTCAAAAATAAAATAAAATACTTTAAACTAACTATAAAATAAAATAATTTACTTTCTAGAATTTTTAATTAAAATTCTTCTTTAAATAAATTATTTTTTCTCCTTTTAATAATTTTTGAAACAGTTCTTTGAGAATTTTCAAATCCATTTGTTTACAAATCAATTTTATCAGAAATTTCCATTATTCGGAAATTCTTCAATTAAATATAAATTAGAAAATAAAAACTTCAAATAATTTCAAAAGAAATTCAATTAAACTTTTTTAAAAAATAATTACTTCCACAGAATTGTTAATTGAAAGTTTGCAAAAATTCAGATTTTCAAAGATTTGATCTTGAAATCTATTTAAAATTCAATTATTTCTAAAAATTCACGCTATAATGCTTTTAATAGGTATTCAATTATTATCTGAAATTTTAACTGAAATTCATTTTTAAATCAATTTTTATAAGATAATTCAACAAGAATCCAATTATTTAAATACAAAATTAATAATTTTATGAATAATTGAATGTTTCTTAAAATTGAATTTTTTTAAATGTTATCAACAAATTTTTAAATAATTGAATTTTGTCGACGAATTTTAATAAAATTTTTGAGAATAATTACATTTTTCCAGGAATTCAATTAAAATTGTAGTAAAAATAATTGAAATTTTGCGAAGAGTTTAATTATTTATGAAAATAATTAAATGTTTGGATAGAATTTTATAAAATATTTTTCAAATTATTGAATAATTATTTGAATAATAATTTTCTTTTGGAAAATTTAATTAAAATAGTAGATATTGAAAATCATTGAATTGAGGTAATTTTTTAAAAATAATTGTAATTTTGCCAATTATTTTTTTAAAAATTGTTGAAAATAATTGAATTTCGGAGAAGAATTTTAATATTTCTAAAGATAATTGAAATTTTGATGATAATTTTTAAAAATGTTTGAACATAATGGAATTTCTGCGAAGAATTTTAATTAATTTTGAAAATTTAAAATTCAAAGTTTCTAAATCTTTAAATTGAAACCTTTTGAAATTAATTTATTGTTTTTATAAAATTCAATTATTTTTGAAATATTTAAGTAAAATTATTCATTAAATAATTTCTGAGTAATAATTTTATGATATTTTTTCAAGAATTAAGTTATTTAATAAGAAATTATTGTCAGATATAGAAAAAATTGAAGGTTTCGTATTAAAATTTGTGGTCATTTTATCTCTGACTTTTTCCTGATTACCCTGACCAATTCTACTTTCCCTGAATTCCCTGACCTGTGTCAACCCAGATTATTGAACTTCAATTCTTTATATCCAAAATATTCGATAAAAACCAGTTTCAAATTTAAATAATTAAAAAGGAAGTTTTAATCACACAATCAGAACCCAGAATTCTTTTGCTTCTGAGGTACCTTTCCTGGGAGAGCGTCACCCACTTACCTGACATTCGTCCATGACAACATCGTATTTAAGCCGTCGATTTCCTCTCGCTGCCAACTCCACGTCATTCCAGGCCAAAAGTTTCATTCCTCGTCTATAATTTTTGCGTTCTGAATCAAAATACGCAACGCTATTTTTACAGTGATAAGTAATATTTTGCTCAGCTTGTTTCGATAACATTTGCAAGAAACTTATCTGGTTGTTGTCGGCTTTATATGTCACCTGTTTGAAAATATTCTTACTAGTATATTTATAATCGAAGTAATTTGTAAGAAAAGGATTTTTATATTTTTAAATAAATAAATAAATAAATAAATAAATAAATAAAATTTTGAGTTTTGAATTAAAAAAAAATTGTAATTAAAAATTAAACAATTACTCATTTTTTGAAAACAAAATTTACCTTGATACTGGGTTTAATCTCACTAAGCCAAATTTCTTGTTCTCCTCCAATGTAATTAATTTCTTTTGTTCGACTTGGATTTGATAATAAGCACGTTGAACGTTTCTCAGCATCACAATGCACCAAAATTGAATCTTGTGTATCACCTCCATTTGGATCAATCCAATATTCTCCTGTTGACCAAAAAAAAAATCATTTTCTTAAAATAATCGAAAATATTATTTATTATTTTTAATTTAAAAGAAAAATAAATTTTGAATATATAGATTAGATTAAATTGGAATAGAATTTTTGAATGTAAATATACGTATTTTTTTAATTATCTTTTGTTAACTTGCCTGATTTTTTATCGGGATGAGTTGCAAAAAGATCGCCACACGTTTTCGCTGGGGAATTTTTCTCGCCACTTGGCTTTGTCATTGTTTTCACATAATTCTCCAGACGATTTTGCATTTTCGCGATGAATTCCTTTTTCTCCTCGGGCGACATTTCATTGCCAAAATATCTCGCTGGTTCATCGCCAAGAGGTGAATCCGATGGTCCCTTACTTGAACCCTGGCCCATATCTGCAAATATATTTAATAAAGAAGAAAAAAATTCAAAATTTCAGTAAAAGAAAAAGAAGTAAATTAATTTAATGGAGAAAATAGTAATGAAGAAATAATGAAATTAACTAAAATAGGCAGCGAGCGAAGCAGCATCGTATCCTAAACTGCCATCTCCAGGAGGTCCTGGCGGTCCGGGTGGACCCGGTGGACCAGAAGGTCCTTGACGACCATCTCCAGGTGGTCCTCTTGGTCCAGGGTTTCCAGTTGGTCCCAAAAGTCCTGGGCTTCCGTCTCGACCAGGATTTCCTCTCATGCCATGCTCTCCGTCCTTGCCTGGCAAGCCAGGATTTCCTGATGCTCCTTTTTTCAAAAAAAAATTTAATTTTAAATCACTCTTTAGGAAAAAAGGTAAATTTTTTCGTTACTGAGATTTTTCAAATTTTAACCTTTGTCGCCCGGTAATCCCTGTGATCCAGGCAATCCTTGTAAACCAATGAAACCTCGATGTCCTTTCATTCCTTTTGCACCATCTATTCCTCTTTCTCCCCTTTCACCATCGGGACCAGCAACTCCTGGTTTTCCTCTAAGACCCTGATGTTTGTCGTGATGAAAACAAAGAAAAAAAAACAGCAAATTTAATGCAACAAAAATAAAATTATTTGAAATTAATTATTTTACGTTACTGTTTTCAAAAAATTTAATAAAACTCTTAACAAGAATATTCAATTATTTTCAAAACAATTTAAATAAAATTTATTGATAAAATTTGATTATTTTTTAAATTTTAATAAAATTGCTTGAGAGAATTCAATTTTTTTAAATTATGATAAAATTCTCTAATGAATTCAATTATTTCCAAAAAATAATAAAATTCTATTCAGGAATTCAATTATTTCAACAAAGAAAAAAATTCTTCTTAGGAATTTATGTTTTCAAAAACTTCAATAAAACTCTTCGCAAGAATTTAATTACTTACTTTGAATAGAATTTAAATAAAATTTCTTTAATAGAATTTGATTTTTTTTAATTTTAATAAAATTCCTTGAGATTTCAATTTTTATCAATTTTGATAAAATTCTTCAATAAATTCAATTATTTCTAAAAATAATAAATTTTTTCAAAAAGAATTCAAATTATTTCAACAAATAATAAAAATTCTAAAGAATAAAATTATTTCAATAAATAATAAAATTTTTCACAAGTATTCAATTATTTTGAAAAAAATTATAATAGAATCTTTTTAAAAAATTCAATTTTTCCATAAATAAAAAAATTTTTCGAAAATATTCAATTATTTTTGTAAATAATAAAATTCTTTGAAAATATTCAATTTGTTTTTTTAAATAAAAATTTGTTGCAAAATCTTAAATTAGTTTAAAAATTTTTAATTAAATTCTTTACGAGAATTGAAATATTTTTAAAACAATTTTAATTAAATTCCTGAAAAAATTCAATTATTTATGAAAATTTTAATAAAATTCTTCGCTAAATTTACTTTGAAAAATTCTAATATAATTATTTATGAGAATTGAATTATTTTCATAATTAATAACAAATTCAAATTGAAAATTATAAAAGAAATCTTTTTAATTGAAAACAATTTGGTTTAATTAATTTTTGGTATTTTTTTAATCTTCAAAGCCGTAAATTAGAATTTTATTAATTTTCAAATTAAAAAAAAAAACAAAGAAAAATTATCAAAAAAATTAGGAATCTTACAGGAGTTCCTTCAGGTCCCGGAAATCCAGTGTCACCTTTTGGTCCCTTTTCTCCTGGAGGTCCAGGATTTCCAATACTTCCTGGTGCACCCTGAAAAGAATAATTTTTAATAATTTTTTTTTTTTTTTAATAATTTTTAATTTAAATTTAATTTAAATTCAATTTTACCTTATTTAAATTCTTCTTTTATTTATTTTTATTTCGAAAGATACAGACGTAAATTTTATTGCTCGAAATAGAGAAAAATGTTTTTCTTCTTCTTTACCAATGTTTTTTAGTTCAAAATTACTATTTGTTTTTAATTGAATAATAATATTAATAATAATAAAAAAAATAATAATAATAGTTTAATATAATATATAATAAAATAATGATTTGGTAATCTATAGAAATGAATAAAATTTAATTTACTTGCAAACCGGGAGCTCCAGGAATTCCAGAAGGTCCAGTCGCACCAGTAGGACCTTTTTCTCCATGCTTTCCACTATGTCCGGGCAGTCCTGGCTTTCCAGGTGGTCCTTCTACTCCAGCTTCGCCCACAGGACCCGGAGGACCGATAGGTCCCGTTATTCCTGGAGGGCCAGAAAGTCCTTCAGGGCCTTGTTTTCCTAACGGGCCAATTTCTCCCTGCAAATGGACATTAATCTGAATAACTTGTTACAAATCAATTAATTAGTTTTCTCATTCGTCAACGAACGTTTCTTCTTTAAATAATTTGAGGAATCTCTATAGTTATTTAATTTACTCACTATATTTATTTAATAATTATTCTATAACTACTCAATTTACATTTTAATTTAAATAAAAATTTAATTTAAATTTTAATAAATAGAAAGTCTAAAAAATAATAAAATATATTAAATAATTGGAAAAGAGTCTAAAATACCGGAGCTCCACGAGATCCTCTTGCGCCTGTAGGTCCAGTGAGTCCTGGTAATCCTGGCAAGCCTCTATCGCCCTGCGGTCCTGGACTTCCAGTCGCTCCAGGTGACCCCGGCGATCCTTCACCGCCACTTTCTCCTTTTGCGCCATCAGATCCTGACGGTCCGGGACTGCCAGTGGATCCAGGATTACCGGGACGACCTACTTCTCCCGGCGCTCCTTTCACACCTTGAATTCCCGGATTACCCGGTGGTCCAATTTTTCCTTGAGGTCCCTATTAAAAATAGTTATTTTTCTCTGAAAACACATTTTCATATTCAAAAATGCCTATAAATTGAAAAAATAAATTTCTTTTTAATATTAAAATTAAAAAAAGAAAATAAAAGATTATTCAAAATATCGTACAATCGATCCAACTAATCCGGGATTTCCGGGAGGACCAAGAGGTCCAGTCTCTCCTCTTGCACCAGGTTCACCTCGAGATCCTTTCACACCCTGCGGTCCGTGTCTCCCTTGAGGACCCAATTCACCAGGAGCGCCTATTTATTAATTTGATAAAGTTTATAAACAAAATTTATTACAATCTGTCTAAAAACGGGGTAGAAAAAAAATTAAAATATCTAGGTTTGCATTAAATAATACTTTTTACATAAAAAAACTAATTCTTTTGATAAAAAACAAAAAGGAGTTAATAGGAAGTTTAAAGATTTAATTTTACCTGGTAGACCTTGACTTCCCCTGTCGCCCTTCAATCCAGAATGTCCTGAATCCCCCTTCGCGCCCGGAAGTCCAATCAAACCCGGTGGTCCTGGAAATCCTTGATTACCTTGAGGTCCTTGCAAGCCTCTCTCACCAGGACCTCCAGGAGGTCCACTTTCGCCTAAGGGACCTGGCGGACCCGGATCTCCTCTCTCTGCCGGTTCTCCAGCAGGTCCGGGCGGACCTGTCAGTCCCTGTGGACCACGATCTCCCGTCCGACCTTCAAATTCATTTCTTCCAATTAAAAAAAAACATTCACATTCCACAAAATTAGATTAATTTTTATATTAATAAAAATAAATTGATAAAAATAAATAAATTGATTAAATTCACAAATAAATTCATTGAAAATTGAAAAGTTTACCTTGTTGGCCTTCAGGACCCAGAGGACCAGTTGTACCCTTATCACCTTTCGGTCCTGCGTCACCAGCGGGTCCCTTCAAACCCGGCAAACCAAGCAAACCGGAAACTCCGGAAATTCCTCTTTCACCTTTAGGTCCCGGAAGACCCTGAGATTTCGATAAAGCATTAAAAAATTATCCTCTTGGAAATAAAGATTATTTATAAATTTATAATTATAATTGAATCTAACATTGAGACCGTCAACGCCTGGTGCTCCAATTTCGCCCTTGGTACCGCCGAGTCCAGTGGCTCCGACAGGGCCCCTTTCTCCAGGAGCTCCCCTTTCGCCTCTATTTCCAGAACTTCCTGGTGGTCCCGCTTGTCCTCGCGGTCCAACTTCTCCATCTTTTCCCGGCGTTCCTGGATTTCCTGGCGCCCCCGGTAATCCCTAAATGGAAACAAAAAAAAATTGTTTTTGGTAAAGACTTTTACTTTGGTAGAGACTTTTTTTTATTCTTAATTTGAAAAACTTTTACTTGAAATCCTCGTGAACCGATGGGACCCGGAGGTCCTTTATCACCAGCAGTTCCTGTTAAACCTGTCGGGCCTTGAACTCCCATAGGACCCGGTTTGCCAGTTTCACCTTTTACTCCCGGCGGTCCAGGAAGACCAGCTTCTCCGTCTTTTCCAGGATCTCCCTAACAACAAATTCCATAAATACGATGTTTTCCACTATAGTAAATTAATAAATAGTAATAAATAAAATTAATAATAAGGAAAAATAGTATTTTATTATTTTACTAGCAAATTTTACGCGCGCGGAACATAATATTCAATTTATTATTATTATTATTATTATTATTATTATTATTATTATTATTATTATTATTATTATTATTATTATTATTATTATTATTATTATTATTATTATTATTATTATTATTATTATTATTATTATTATTATTATTATTATTATTGTGCAAATTACAAAATGTTATATTTTCAAATATAAATTTTCCAACAATTTCTAATTCAAACATACAAAAAAAATTCAATTATTAACTAATTTACTCATTAATTATTCTTATTTATTGATTTTAAAAATTTTAATAAAATTTTTCGCAACAATTCAATTATTTTCATAAATAATAACATTCTTCGTAAGAATTCAATTATTTTTAAACAAAATTTTAATAACATTTCACGAACGAATACAATTATTTTCTGAAATTTTAATAAATCCTTATTTTTTTAAATAGTAAAATATTTGCAAAAATTCAAGTATTTTCCAAAAAAATTTCATGAAAGAATTCAATTTTTTTCTACATTCGTTACAAAATATTTTAAAAAAATTTTATAACAAAAAAAAATTTTCTAAAAATTTTACAAATCCTTCGATACAATTCAATTTTATTTATAAATTGTAAATTTTTTTGCAAAAATTCAATTATTTTCAATAGGTACAATTATTTCATTAATATTTCATAAAAAATAAAATTTTTAAAAAATTTTCGGAAAAAATGCAATTATTTTCTAAAATTTAAAAAAAATTTTTAAGTATATTTTTCGAAATATTTAATTAAAATTATTAAAGAATCTCCATTATTAAAATAAAAGATCCAAAGAAATTCTTCAAAAAGAATTGAATCAGAATTTTTAAAAATTTTAATAAATGTCTTTACGAGAACTCAATTATTTTCCTAAATAATAAAATTCTTCGAAAGAATTCTATTATTATAAAATTTTTTGAAAAAATTCTTTACAACAATTCGATGATTTGGAAAACAATAATTTTAAAATTGGAAATATTTGAAAAGAAAAATTGTTAAAAAAGTTAAAAAACAAAAAAGCAAACTACGAACAGATTACCGAAATCCAACGATTATTAATATAGATATTAATATGTATTATTTATTACTATAAATTATATTTTTCTTTTCTATTTTATTGTACGTACGTGAAATCCTTTTTCTCCCAGTGGTCCAGGTGGACCAGGAATTCCTTGTGGACCAACAGGTCCTTGTTCACCAGTCTTTCCCTCCGCTCCAACGACTCCACGCTCTCCAGGAAGTCCCGGTTTACCAGCGGGGCCAGCTCTTCCCGTTGCTCCCCGTATTCCCTAATTAATTGATTCTCCTGATAAAAAAACTGTTCAATTCGAATTGTAAAAAATATAATAGAAATTCAAAAATAAATTTGAATAATAATGATTTAATAAATAGTATTTGATTTCCATTAAATTTGTTAAAAACCTGCAATCCTGGAAGTCCCTGACGTCCAATTTCTCCTGGACTTCCCTTGGGTCCTGCAGGACCAGCTCCTCCTCGCTCTCCAGTCTGACCTTTGATGGAATAAATATTTAAAAATAATAGAATAGGTTTTTTTTTAAAAAAAGAAACATATTTTATTTCTAGGATTTTACCTTTGGGGCCAATGGGACCTTCACTGCCAGGAGGTCCTCTTGGTCCGAGTATTCCTCGCTCTCCAGGTGGACCAGCAGAACCTGGTGGACCGCGCATTCCCCTCTTACCCCTCTTTCCTTCTGAGCCGGCGACACCTGGCAAACCACGAGGTCCTGGGGGTCCCGAATCGCCTTTTACGCCCACTTCACCTTTGAATCCTTTTTCTCCAGGTTCACCCTAAGCAAAATAATTCATTGGGCAGCAATTAATGAACGATTCGATTAAAAATACATATAAAAATTGAAAAAGTTTTTTTTTTTAATTCTGTTTTGTTATGAAAATTTTATTATTATTTCATTCGACTTAAAAATCAACATAAGTTTTAAAATTTAAATTTAAAATTTAAAAGAGAAAAAACACCTACAGGAATTCCTTTCTCGCCAGGTGTTCCAGGACTGCCGGACATACCCGGTAGTCCTCTTGATCCAGGAAAACCAGGAAGTCCAACAGCGCCGACAATACCGGCATTTCCTTTTTCCCCTTGTTGACCGTCCTTTCCCGACGGACCTTGTGGACCCGCCTCACCCACAAGACCCGTACGACCCGTTTCTCCTGTTAAATGAAAAATTCAAAATTTAATAAATTGTCTATATAATAAATATTTCTAATAAACAATTTACCAACCCCTTGGACCTGGAGAACCTTGACTTCCTTTTGTTCCCTGCGTTCCTTGATCTCCTTTTGCACCCGGATGACCCGGAAAACCTGGAGCTCCAGATTTTCCAATAGGACCCTTAAAATTTCAAAAATGTAGTATTATTTATTTTTCTCACAAACCTCTAGTTTAAATATTCTTAAAATATTTTATTTAAATTCAGAATTAATTTTACTAACGGATTGTCCTGGAGGTCCAATCATTCCATCGATTCCTCTAAGTCCTGGTGGTCCTGGCAGTCCTTCCCTTCCTCTCTCGCCACGAGAACCAGGTGGTCCCTATTATTTAAAAAAAAACGATCTTTCTATTTTAATATTATTAACATAATTAAAAAAAAGGGGTTATAAAAATTTTACGTTTAATATTCCTGAAGAATGTAAATAAAAATTATTTTCTAAAACAGTAGAACAATAAAGGTACCATTTGTCCAATTGGTCCACTAGGACCCGAAGGACCTAGTGGCCCTTTTTCACCGACCGGACCTAGGTCTCCTTTAGCTCCGTCCGAACCAGGAAATCCTCGATGTCCTTTCATTCCAGGAAGACCCGGCAGACCTGTCGAACCCCTGGGACCTGGAGTTCCTGGAGGTCCTTGAACACCGACATCCCCATCTTCTCCAGGCTCTCCCTTGTATAAAATTTATAAAATTTAGTTATTTAGCGAAAAAAAAAATTAAAACAAAATTCAATGTGAATTGGCCGAAAAAATGTTAATTTACGTCTTTTCCGGGAAATCCCGGCAGTCCTCTATTTCCAGGTGGTCCGGCAACTCCTGGAGGTCCTGAATCTCCTGGTTCTCCTCTCGGACCAGGAAAACCCTGCGGTCCAGGAAGTCCTTGTGGTCCTGTAATTATTTTTCACTAAACGATGTTTCGTTTCATTTTGATCAAATTATAAATGTTATCAATTAATAGAAATTGTCGACTTCTGATAATTAATTAATTAATTAATCATTTTTATTAATAATAATATAATAATTTAATTATAATTGATAATTAATTAATTATCACAAATTGAAAATTAATTTTTAAGATATTCTACAATACAAAAACGAAGAGAAATTATACTAAAATGATAAGAATACCTGGAGGACCACGTGGACCGGAAGGTCCAGTTTGTGCGTGAATATAGGCAAAAGGATCCGGTCCTGAAGGTCCTTTCTCGTCACTTCCTTGAGCCATAGCTAATTGTTGATAATACATGGAAACCTAGAAAATAGAAGAATATTTCAATTACTTCAAGTTCTATTCTATTTTCATTTAAAAAAGAACTTTTCTGAAATAATAAATTAATATTTTGTAAAAGTTAAATAACTTACATCAGGAGCAGGAGAACCAGAAATATCGGAACGTGTTGGTCGTGCAGTTGACATAGAATCATCCTTTAATTATAAATCGTATAAAACTTATGTCACTATTTATCCATAAAGTGTAAATTAAATTCAATTCAATTAAATTAAAATAAATTTAGTAAACTTTAGTAAATTTAGTTAAATTGAATAAATTAAATTAAATTATTGATTATATCTATCTATACCAATTTTTTTCTTATTTTACTCACGCGTGATCCGGAATATACAGAGTTGACTCGATTACTTTCACCAGGAATGATTTCTGATGATTGCTTATAGAGAAAAAGCAAAGAAACATTTTATATTTCATTTAAATATTATATTTTAACAAGAGAAAAAGTTATTTACATCATTTTCTGGCTCTTCTGTTTCTGAATCCGAATTTTCCAAAGATTCCGAATCTGCAAATTGAAAGGAAAATTTAATATTATACATATATTCGAAAATAAACTAAATAAATAGTTAATGAATTTTAATATTGAAATATTTGTTAAACAAATATCGACCATTTATTGTGCACGGAATGAGATGTGAACAGTCGGGTTTTCCACGATTGCATATGCAAAGTGTGCAATTATTTGGCTTCCACTCCTCTCCATGTCTTCGAAAAATTCCTTCATATTCGCAAATTGTATTTTCTGTGTAAGCAACAAAATATTTTTTCTTTAATTACTTAGTTAATTGAGAAAAATCTATATATTCTAAACTTTTTTTTCTAATACTTTTTCTTTTTAAATGTTATCAATTTTAAAATTAATTTACTGAAAATCATTGAAAGTATTTATCAAAAAATATGCAAATAATTGAATTCTTTCGAGAAATTTCACTAAAAATGTACTTTAAAATAATTAAATTTTTGCAAAGAATATTATTATTTAAATGAAAAGAATCGAATTCTTCCAAAGAATGTTACAAAAATTGTACTGAAAATAATTTAAATGTTTTGAAGAATTTATTTAAGTTTTTTTTTTAAAATACTGAAGTTATTTTTAATAACTTTTTAGTGAAAATATTGAAAATAATTGAATTTTATGAAGAATTCCTTTAATGTTTTTAAAATAATCGTAATTTTATTATTAATTGTAATTAATAATTTTATTATTAAATTTTATTAAAATTATTGATATAAATTCAAATTTTTTAAAACAATTTTATTAATTTTCATAAATAATTAATTATTTTTAAAGGAATTTATTTAAATTTTGTGAAAATAATGTAGATTTATTTTAATAATTTTATTTTTAATTGAAAATTTAAAAAATAATTAAAATTTAAAAAAAAAATTTTATCAAAAACTTTTGTAAAAACTTTTTTGTTTTATTACAATTTTTAAAAATAATTTAATTCTTGAGAAGAATTTTACAATTTACAAAAATAATTGAATTGTTTCGAAATTCGTTTTTCGAATAATTGTTCAAATTGTTTTTGAAAATAATTGAATGTTTTGAAAGAATTTTATTAAAAATTTCGAAAATATTTTTGGATTCAATAGAACAATTTTTATTAAAACGATTAAAAATAATTAATTTTTCTTAAGAATTTTATCAAAGTGCTGAAAATAATCCTATTCAATTAATATTTTTAAAATTAAAAATTCTTCTACAAAATTTTATAATTGTATTAAAAATAATTGAATTCTTCCGAGGAATTTTACTATTTATAAAAATAATTCAATTCCTCGAAAGAATGTTATTATTTATGAGAATAATTTAATTGTTTCGAAGAATTTTATCAGAATTTTTTGAAAATAATTGAATATTCTGAAAAAATTTTAATAAATTCAATTCCTTTGAAAAATTTTATTATTTATGAAAATAATTGAATTCCTCCAAAGAATTTTTATCAAAATTGTTGATAATAATCGAATTTAATTAATATTTTTAAAAATAATTGTATTCTTTTGAGAAATTTTATTAAAAATTGTATATTGAAAATAATTGAATTCTTCCAAAGAATGTTATTATTTATGATGAGAAAAATTGAATTCTTCCGAAAAATTGTACTAAAATTTTTGAAAAATAATAAATAAAAATATTTAATTATCTACTTAATAGGATTCATTTTATTTTGAATCTGAAATTATTCAAAAATTTATGTTTATATTTTAAAAATATATAAAATTTTTCAATTTACAAAATAATAATAAATGAAATACTGCGTACCTATCATTTGCTGATTATTAAATAATAATTTTTATAAATTAATTAATTGTAGCAATTAAATTAATTTATTTTACCATTTTCTGTGTTTGGAGTGTCAGATGTTGATTGAGAAGAATAAACAGGTCTCACTGTTATCGAAACGGGTGTCGATTCGGAAAATCTCGAGTGTCCTAAAAAAAAGTAAAGAAATAATTTTATTAAACACAAATTTTTTTGTTTCTGATAGAAATTTCAACACTTTAGTTTTGAAATGTGTAAAAAAATGTAATTATTCGTAAAATTTTGAAGTATTTGTTTTAGTTTTGACTTTTAATTTACCATAAATTCCAGGTGCGGAATAATGTACAGTTTCCGTTTGAGTTTCCTCTGTAGATGTTTCTGAAAGGATAAAAAATTGATAAATTCTTTATAAGAATTAAATTCAATTATTCAACAAATTTTTTATTTTTGCTTTTAAATAGTTAAATTTCAGTTGAACTTTTTAATAAGAATTGATTTAAAAACGAATTTCAGTTTAAATTTTAGATATAATAATTGAATAAATTTTTCTGAATCGATTAAAACAATTTTTTTATTCGTTAAAATTAATTTTCGAACGCTGCTTTTTTTTACTACTTTTTTTCAGTATTAAATCTACTTTTTGATACTTTTTTCAATATTAAAACTAATTTTTCATACTTCTTTAAAATTAATTATTGAGTGTGAAGCCTGGAATTTAGATATTTAAATACGTAGATTTTAATTGATAATTTCAACAACTGGTACAAAGCGAAGGAAGCATATGTCCAAGAAACTTCCGGTTTTCGCCATATGATAAATTAATTGATTCGTAACACGATTCGCAATTGCCTCGAATTAACAGCCATTAATTGAAAAGGGTCAAATGCAGATCATGATCTCGTCCATCATTTCGAGAATATGACAATGAGAGAAGAATATCATTTCAACAAATGCAAAAATTATTGTCGAGAATAAAAATAATATAAATTTAGAAGAAAAAGAATAATTGTGAAAGAAAATTTTAATTAATTCAAAGAGTTTAATGCTCAAGTAAGATGATCCCTTCGATACATACGAACTCATGAATTCATGAGTTCGCGTGACTCGCTATTATACAATGACTGCAGCAGTTTATATAGTTGCTATTAAAAGTAATAACGAGGGATGCTGCACATAACTTTGTCTTTGTTCTTAAGACTCTCCTCAATCAACACATGTAATTCAAAAGCTGTCTATATATTAGAAATGCAATCGGCTCTTATGTACGGGAACTCAAGTATGTCGTCCAAAGAAACGCACCGAATCGATAATATGCTCTAAAGAAATTCGTTTTGAGATAAAATCCTCCGACAAGAGCCAAACTACTTGAGAGACTGTATAAGCAATAGCAAGCAATAGTCTTCACATTCAGTATTATCGTTCATTACACACAAATATTCGCATCTCAATTTCGATTTTTATTTTTGCGTTAAAATTGCAACTCGATTTTTCATTTTCTCTTTTCTTTTCGTCTCGAAATCGCGAGAAAAAGAATTGAAACAATTGAATATTATATTTTCTTTTTTAAGAACAGAGTCTCGTCTTGGATCACAAATTGTTCAAAATTGCACTCGAATATTTTTCTTCTCGTCTCGATATCGCGAGAAAAAGAATGAAAACAATTGAATTTCTTGAATTTTCCCAGAATTTTTCACGAAACAATGTTACATTTTCTTTTATGAAAGGACACAGTCATAAATCGTTAAAAATTTCCGATTCTTTTTCTCCTTTTTGGCGCAAAAATAAAACTCTCTTCAAAAAGTCAACGCACGTTTTCTGTGAAAAAAAAAAAATTTTTAGATAAATTTGAATAAAATGAATTAAAATAAAATTAAATAAAAATTTCCCTCTTATTTTACTACTTTTGTTAATAATAAAAAGTGAATTGAAAGTAAATTAAAAATTGAAAATATTTCCGAAAAACTGACCATTACTCTCGTCGTACTCCTCGTAATAATCCTCATATTCCGAGTATAAATCCGAATGAACATTCGGCAATTGAGTTGGTTTCGGTCGATGTCTTTTCGTTTTTGCAGACTCCAATTGGGCCAAATTTTGGACCACGAGGAAAGCTGCGATTAAAAGAATGGTGGTCCTCTTCCCCATTTGCCGCCGATTGTTGTCTCTTCTTTTTTCACTTCCTGATTTCCTCCACCACTAGAGCCAACCCGGCTCTCACTGTGCTTGAGGGCAAACTAGACATGTGACAAGACTCGTGTCATCTATTTAGCAGATGCTTCCATCGCAGAAGAGGTCATCATCCTCCGGAGTAGCAAAACTTCACCCCTCTTCTTGCATTTTTTCGCCAACTCTTCCCATGAGCCATCTTCCTCCTTTTTTCACTAGATTCAAGTGAGAAATATTAAAAAAGTCAATTATTATCCCAGGGGTTGAAATAATAGCAAAATAAATATTAATTTTTCAATTCTCCAATTCTTTCAATTTAATTCTTCTTCTTTCAGTCAAGGACAGGGTTGCCTCAGTACAATTTAATTTTGTTTTTTCCTTGATCAATTAAATACAAAAATAAAAATTTTTTTGAATAATTGAATTCTTTCGACGAATTTTAATAAAAGTTATAAGAATAATTACATTTTTCGAGGAATTTTATTAAAATTGTATTAAAAATAATTGAAATTCAGCGATGAGTTTTATTATTTATGAAAATAATTGAATTCCTAAAAAGGATTTGATTATTTATGAAAATAATTCAATCCCTGTAAAAAATTTTATTTTTTTAAAGAAAATAATTGAATGTTGGCGAAGAATTTTATTAAATTTCCTGAAAATAATTGAATTTTTGGGAAGAATTTCGATATTTTGCAAGATAATTGAATTCTTTCGGAGAATTGCGTGAAAATTTTTGAAATAATATTTACAGAATTATTAATAAAAAAAAAGTCTGAAATATTCGTAGATTTTCCAACGATTTGAATTTGAAACCTTTACAAAATTCAATTATTTTTAAAAATTGCTATTATTTGTAATTTCTACAAAAATCAATTTTTTTTTAGTTTTTAACTAAAATTCTTCTTTAAATAAATTATTTTTAATTTTGTATTTTTGACAAAATTCTTTGAGAATATTCAAACTCATTTATTTACAACTCAATTTTAATTGAAATTTCGATTATTTGAAAATTCTTCAATTAAATTTAATATATATATTAAAAAGTAAAAACTTGAAATAATTTTTTAAAAAAATTCAATTAAACTTTTTCAAAGAGATTAATTTTACAGAATAATTGTTATATTTAAAGGTATAAAAAATTCAGATTTTCAAAGATTTTGATATGAAATCTTTTCAAAATTCAATTATTTCAAAAAATTGAATTTAAAATTCAATTATTATTTAAAATTTTTCCTGAAATTCATTTTTAAATCTATTTTTACTGTAACATTCTACGAGAATTCAATTATTTTAATACAAAAATAAATAATTTATTGAATAATTGAATGTTTTTTAAAATTGAATTCTTATTAAAGAATTTCATCGACAAGTTTTTAAATAATTGAATTCTTGCGAAGAATTTTATTAAAATTATTCAATAAAAAAAATCAACATATTTTTGAATAACTTTAATTGAAAATTTCAAAAGTAATTGAATATTATGAAAAATTTCTTTCAAGTTTTTCAATTATTGTAATTAAAAGATTGATTACCTTGAATTTTATTAAAATTTTAAGGAAATTAATTGAATTTTTATCAAAATTTAAATTCACTGAAGAATTATACCAGAGCTTTTGAAAATAATTGAATATTTTCAGAAAATATTTTTAAATTTTCTAAAAATAATAGTTTTTTTAAAAAAAATTTTTAAATATTACAATTTTTGAAATTCCTTTGAGGAATTTTATTAAAATTGTATTAAAAATAATTGAATTCTTACAAAGAATTAAAAAAAAAATTCAGAATAATTAAATTCCACTAAAAAATGTTATTATTTATGAAAATAATTAAATCTTTGCAAAGAATTTTATTATTTATGAAAATAATTGAAGTATTGCGAAAAAATTTATAGAAAATTTCTAAATAATTGAATTTCAGTGAAATTTTTATTATTTATAAAAATAATTAAATGTTTGAGTAGAACTTTATTAAAATTTGTTTAAATACTTGAACTGAGGAAAATTTTTGAAAATAATTGAAATTTTGCCAACAATTTTATTACTTTTGAAAATAATTGAATTTCTGCAATAATTTGTAACTCCTTCAAAATTCAATTTTTTTTTATTGTTTTTAAAAAAAATTCTTCTATCAAAAAGGAAATTATCGTCTTAAATAAAATATCTATAAAATAAATTAAAATCCCTGACTTTTCCCTGACCAATTCGACTTTCCCTGAATTCCCTGACCTGTGGCAACTCTGAAGAAGAAATTTTCAGGTCAAAATAAAATTTCGATTTGTAAATTAATTATTAAAGGCAAAAAAAAATTGAAACATTCCTCGAATAGATCGAAAGATATAGTCCTGTTTTTACACTGACCTTAATTTCTTTCGCGTTAACGTGTCAGAGAACTTTTCTCCGGATCGCACTTGCATATTTACATGTGTTACGATTATCTCAATCAGAAGCAAAAATCATCGATTATTATTATTATTTTTACTTACTTATTTTGTATTACTATTATTATTAACATCTTTCATATTATAATTTCACGTGGTTGTGAATTTAGTCGACATTTTTCTTAAGAAAATAAATAAGCCCTTGAATTATTATAGGTTGTTTGTGTTCCTTTTCTTCTTCTTTAAAAGTTCCCTTTTAGTTACTTATGTAAATTTAAAAACCGTCTTTATTCAGTATTTTGGGTACTAAAGACTTGAAGATGATTAACTTTTAATAATAATTGATTCTCCTTTTGTATTTTCACTCAAAAAATTCAAAAAATTATAAACATAACCTCAAAAATTTTTTCTCGGTAGCGCGGCACAAATATTTTTGAATATAGGCAAAAATAAATGATGTTAATAAAATTGTTTTCACTAGAAAAGAAGAGGAAAAAAGTGAATAATTCTTTAGAATGTATCGGATAATTTGTCTGGGAAATAATGCGGAAAAAGAAAAATAATAGTTGCACTCAATGACCCATTCGACAATGTTGTTATTAATTTGCACACGCATCCTTAGGGGGGCATTCACAATGTAGAACATTTTTTTGCAAATTTTCACCTCCTCTACAAGTGAAAAAAGTTACTACACATTAGGGCAATTTTACTATTTACCGTAAAAAAATAGCTCCGACCCCCCCCCAAAAAAACCCCTTAAATTAAAATCTTACATAGTTTGTGAATAGACCCTTATTTCTTACAAGTAATTTTATTTAAATTGCAGAAATTCATAAACATGTCAATTTTAGACATGTTTGTTGTTGACAGTTGACAGTGCGCCTAAAACCTTAAGAAGATGAAGAAAAACATGTTTAGTGACAAAGAAAAGTGGAAAAATTGGGAATAAAATGAAAAAGTAAGAATAAAATATTGACACATTGTTTCCTAAAATAAGTAGGTTCCAAGTACTAGTTTAACCCTGCGGTCCCTGCGGTAATTTGACAAGCTTGTGAGTTTAAATCGTTTAAATAGTGGACTCGTTATCAACATGCATATAAGACAATGATCATCGTTTTGACCGCATTCTCAACAACCGTCACACATACTTAGTATTAACCACAATAAACTATTTTGACCCGCGCCCTGTTCCTTAGTTCAAACGGCAGTAAATCAGAGTTGCCACTATTTCTAATAACCGGGATAATATGTAAAACTCGTTTAGGAAATAGACTGTATAACATTGTTACACATACGCGAATCAAACAAATATCTCATTCCACTCAATAGTGCCAATAATAATACTTGTCAAATTTTTCTCTTGCATTTATTTATGTTTCCATTCGAAAATATTTGTCATATTTTCTAAAAAAAAAAAACTATAATAAAAAAGGATGAAGAAGACTTAAAAATAATAATTTATTAAAATGGTAGATTTCGTGGGAAGGAAAAAAATAGGACAAGAGTTTTTTTTCTAAAATAAAATTCATTATATGTATCCCAAAAAAACAGATTTTATTGGGTAAAATTCATTATAAATTTTATCATAAATTAGACAATAATTTACAATAATTTTTACACCACGAACGCAGTAATCACGGTCTCCATAGTAGTAGATGATAATTTTACTGCAATAGAAAAGAAAAAAGGTCGATATTAATCAATATGTTACTTTCCAGTCTGTAAAAATTAAATAAATTTTTGCAAAATACACAACTTTTCTAATTTTGAAAATTTCCATCGCTCAACTCTAAAATTTATCGTAAGAGTCATTTTCGCGTAACATACCAAAAGTGAAAATGACTCTTAAGATTTTTAGAGTTCAGCCCTTATTTCGAAACTTACTAATAATTACAATCAAATTTACTTAAAATGCCAACAATCGTGCTTAGTAAAAATATGTGACTAAAAACTTTCAACTACTGTCTTTAAAAAAAAATATAATTATTGTAATAAAATATGACGCGCTTACAAAAACGGTAAAAGAAGCAAATCGTTTTATACAAATTCTTATATTAATAAAATTATTGAAAAATAATTTCTTCAATATTAAAAACAATATTTTTTACACCATGCATTTATTAATACAAAATTAATAATATCATGCAAATGTTCTTAAAAATAAGTGTTATTGAAAACTTGTTAAAAATCTTCTGTCTATTCAATTTTATTCTTTAAATAATAATATTTATAATATAATTACTTTGTGAAAAATAGACAAAAGATTAACATTTAAAAAAACGTAACGAAATTAATATTTCATTGTTACCTTCGTTTATCGTATTATAAATTAAGATGATGTATGAAATGATGAAGCTTAAAAGCCATTATTGGATTATAATCCCAATAATTTAATCCAAAAAAAATATTAATCTACACGAAAATAAAATTAATCCACCACCAAAAATACAGAAAATAAAAAATACAGAATACAGAAGAAAAAAATAGAAAAATACGGAAGATAAAATTAGGTATAAAAAATTATTCTACACGAATGTAAAATTAAATCCACCACCAAAAATACGAAAAATAAAATAAAATAAAATAGAAAAACAATTAACAGAGAGTATTTTACACCAAGTACTTTTCTCATTCTGTATTAAATGTTCTGCTTTGAAAAAAAGAGATAAAAAAAATTTGATGAGTCAATATATTGAAATGAATGTTATTTATTTAAAAAGCCATCAAGAAAATTGAGAAAAAGCTTAAAGATTACGATGACATGCTGACCACGATTTATATATAAATATATGCGACCATTCCATCTTGAGATATAGCGCAAATGATGAGCATTTGTCTACTTCTTCCCCTAGAATATGAATATAAAATTCATAGACATGCAAAAATAAAAATTGCATTTTTCGACACATTTAGAAAATTAGAGATAATATTTTCCTTTGAATTCACATTTAATTACTTATACCACGTGCAATAACGAACCCATGCCAAATGATAATTTTGAAACCCAGATAAAAATGTAGAAGAATTTAAAAAGCTCCTCTGCTACTTTTGTTTCTTAAGTTGAAAATAAGAATAAAAATTAAATACGAAAAAAAATTTATCATTAACGCAAATTATTTTTATGGAGTAACAGACTTCGCACTTAAAAATTAATTTTAAAAAAGTAGCTTTCAAACTAAAAAAAAATAGTAAAAAAAAGTAGCTATCGAAAAATTAAACTTGACGACCAAAAAACCTCGTTTTAAAAACTTTACAAAACTGATAAAAATTACATTCTATATTTTATTTTACTGAATTTTTCCCAATTTTCATAAAAAATTAAACTTTTTTCTTATCCTGCTAATTAATTGAATTCCTACAACAAATTTAAATATTTATAAAAATAATTTAATTCTTCAGAAGAATTTTATAAAAATTATTAAATAATTGATTTCTTTCGACTAATTTTATGCAAATTCTAATTTAAATAATTGAATTACCAGAGAAATTTTTATTATTGAGAAATATTTTAATATTTTAATATATTTTTTTTATTTTTTAATTATTTTAATTATTTTTTATATTTTTTTTGAGAATTATTTTATTATTTTTTATTTATTATTTAGATATTAAAAATCATTGAAAAGCGAAAAGTTTTTAAAAATATTTAAATTTTGCAAAGAATTCTATTAAAATTTTTCAGAATAATTGAATGTCTGTGTGGCATTTGTTTAATTTTTTCATGAAAATAATTGAATTCTTGCGAACGATTTTATTAGAATTTTTTAAAATAATTGAATTTACAAGAAAAAGTTTATTACTTTCTAAAAATAATTAAATTCTTGTGATGAATATTGTTATTTATGAAAATAATTGAATTCCTGTGAAAAATTCTAATACTTTTTGTAAATAATTGAATTCTTCAAAAGAATTAGAAAAAAACATTTTTTTTTAATAATTAGGAAATTTAAAATAGTGTAAATTCTCAAAAATAAATAGAAATAGTAGCTTTTAGTGATTGATATCTAAAAAAAAGTACTCAAATAGTAGAATAAAGTATAAAAAATCTAGTAAATAGTAAGTTTTAGTAAAGATGAGTGCGAAGCCTGAGAAAATATTTCAATTTTAAAATTAAATACAAATTTTTAAAAAATAGGATTTTTTAAAAATTCAGTGAGTGATTTGAATTTTTCTAAGAATTTAAATATACTAAAAAAATAACCACCACCACTCAAAGATATATTCGTGCTTTAAATATAGAAATATGCCAAATGAAAATTTTGCTCCGCGTTATTGAATGAAAAAATTTATAATAAGTTTTGTAGAATAAAAATAGTGAATATTAAATTTAAAAAATTCTTTACCTTCTTAGCAGCGGCACCAACTTTACTCTTTTTCGTACCCCGGACCTTCTTCATTCTGTTTTTACGTTCTTTCCTCTGTTTTCGGGTTTGCTTCTGTTTCTCGAAAAGTCCATGCCTAGCTAACCTATATTTAGGTTCGAATTTCTTGGCAAAATCCAATGTATCGTAAAGGAGAGCGAATCCAGTTGATTTGCCGCCTCCGAAATTCGTTTGGAAACCAAAAACGAAAACCACATCGGGCGTAACTTTGTACATTTTTGCGAGTTTTTCCCGGACTTCGGTTTTACGCACCGACGGTTGTCCAGGATGTAAAACATCGACGACCTGTTGAAAAATAAATGTTTCGTACAACTCCAAAATTTTTACGTGTCGAACGAATTTAGGGAATAATTCCAATTTAAAAATTTAACCAATTTTATGAAAAATCGTTAATTAATTCTATTCTATCGATTAAGAAAATTTAGATTTTTAAAACGGTCTTTTTAAAAAGAGAAAAAGGCCTTTTAAACAATAGGTTATTCTTCAGCAACTTTCAACTCCCAAGAATGTTAGGTTAGGTACAACAATTTGACCCGCAAAGAAACAAATTATACAATAAAGAAAAATGAATAAAAATATTGTAATAAACAAACTCACCATTTGTTTTCGGCATAATAACCGATTGGTCATAAACTTCCTGGTTCTGATAGTAGCGGTTCCCTCGGTCTGCAATACAATAACATATCACTTTTAGGTTATGTTTAAAAAAATTGATTTTGTTGTTTAAAAAAAAGGAAATTGCCAATATACCCATTTTTGGGAATTTTAAACACAAAAAGTAGTTTTACAATTTAAAATCACAGAATACTAAATTTATCTATAAAATTATTTTCTTCCCATGCTTAAAAGTGACGGATGCCCAAGTGAAAACAACACTTAATTTTCCTGTCATTACTTAAAATTTTCATTAAATATTAACACTATTCACCGCACTGGGATTTAATTTCACGTTTAACGTTAAATTTACCATGAATTTGTCATTGATTTTTTATTAATTTTCGGATAAGAAAATACATACCATCTTGTTCGATTTACGTACTACAGAAAAAGGCTTTGCCGGAAGAGGGCAGTGCGCATGCACTCAAATCTAGAGAGAAACCGGAAATTTACATTTTACAGTTTGACCAACATTCAAAAGGGAAATAATGAGAGAGAAAAAGAGTTTTCAAAAGAAAAAAGAAAATATCTCAATTTAATTAGGTACTATTAATTTTTAAGTTCTAGTTTAATTTTAAAAATTATGTAAAGAGTTCAAAAATTCAAAAGAAACGAAGGATTTTGATAAAATAAATTGCAATTATAATTTGGTGTTTGCGTAACTTGACGGCGGGAAATTTGAAATGAAAAATGTTATTGGCATTTTGAAATTAAAACAATTTATTGAAAAATTACTATTTTATTATTAATTATTAATTATTAATTATTAATGTGTATAATACACCTTATATTCTATTTTCTCCTATTTTTCAGCTAAATTTTCGAATTTTTGGTTTTTATTATTTATTTCCGTAATTTTTGATTTTAAAAAAACGAATTAATTAATTTTCGTTAAAAACTCCTTATTCAGTAATAATTGTCCTTTTGGCACGTCTGCGAATTTACCTTTATTGTAGACAAATTGTCCTCGAACAACAGTGGCGACAACTACTCCAAATAATGTCCTTCCCTCGTATGGAGTCAGCTAATAATTAAATAATTTAATTATTATTAATATTTAAATTATTATTGTGACAAAAAAGTAAAATTTACTAAAAATGTACAAACCTTATTCCTATGATAAATAATACTCCTTTCTACCTGCAATAAATAAATTTGTCATAAATAATTATTAAATAAAACTCTCCGAAGAAAGGCTCCTAAGAAGCAAAGAATTTTAAGTTTTTTAATTTTAATTTTAATTAATTAATTTTTAATTTAATTTTTAATTAATTAATTAATGTAATTTTAATTTTTTTCGATTTTTTTCTCATCAAATTTAAATTTATTCAATTTCGAACATAAATAAATCTACAAATGGCTTCAAAAATTTTTATTATAGTTTTTATGAATAATTAAATTCTTTTGACGAGTTTTATTAAATTTTTTTTTTAAATAATGTTTTTTTTAATAATTTTAATTAAAAATTTGGAAAATAATTGAATTGAACAAAGAATTTTTTCAATTTTTCAAAAAAAATCTTGTCTGTTTATAATTATAATTGAAAATTTTATTTTTCAATTTTATTAAAATTATATTGATAATAATTGAATTTCTGCAAAGAATTTTACGATTTATAAAAGTAATTGAATCCTTCTAAAGAATATTATTATTTATGAAAATAATTGAATTCTTGTGAAGAATTTTATTAAAATTTTTAAAAATAATTGAATTGTGGAAAACAAATTAATTATTTATAAAGATAATTGAATTCTTGTGATGAATATTATTATTTATGAAAATAATTGAATTTTGCAAAGAATTTTATTAAAATGCCTCAAAATAATTGAATTTTCCAGAATAATTTTGTTATTTATCTTTAATAATTGAATTCTTGGGAAGAATTTTATTAAAAATTTTTGAAACTAATTGAATTGTGGAAAACAATTTAATTATTTATAAAAATAATTTAAATCTTGAGAATTTAAAAAAATTTGGAAACATAATTGAATTTCGGAGAAGAATTTTATTACTTTTGAAAATAATTAAATTGTTTTTTTAGAATTTTATGGAAATTTATGAAAATAATCGAATTCTTGTAAAGAATTTTTTTTTTTAAATAATATTCAAAATAATTTAGTGAATCTAAAGAATTTTGTTATCTATGGAAATAATTGAATTCTTAAAAAGAATTTTTTTTTTTTACAATTTCTAGAAATAATTGAATTTTTTTGACGAATTTCAATAAAATTTTTTAGAATAATTACATTTTTCGAGAAATTCGATTAAAATTTTATTAAAAATAATTGAAATTCTCCAATGAGTTTTACTATTTAATATTTATGAAAATAATTGAATATATTACGACGACATTTTTAAAATTATAATTACGGTGATTAACTTTTCTTGATTATTTTAGAAAAATATAAATAAAATTCTTTAAAAGAATTTAATTATTTTCTGTTGAATTTCACAAAATTTCTATTAAGACAATAATTTTTTTTTTTAAATTTATTTACATACTATATTTGAATCAGTGACTGATTTTTGACTATCAAATTAATTATTTTTAACTAATTGAAATTTAGAGAATAGTATAAATATTTATAAAAATTGAAATAAAAAGCGATTTTTTAAAAACAAATTAAAATAATTAATACTTTTTTTAATTTGGTGAAAAAATTCCCGCTTTGGCATCAATAATTTGTAATAGTAATTGATTCTCTTTCTGTATTTTTACTTGAGAAGATTACAAAAATATTCTCAAATTTTTTACTTCTTGGGAACCTTTCTTCGGAGCGTGTCATAAAATTATAATAAATGAGTCTCTTACTGTGAATTTATCTTCCGGGTTCCAAATAACAAAATCAGCATCCATTCCTTCCTTAATAGTGCCTTTAAATTTGTCGAAACCAACAAGTTTAGCAGGATTGGCGGAGAGTAATTTTGACACTTCTATTAAACTGAAATTTCTCTGCCTTGCTCCAGTCCACATCAGCGATAGATCTTTATTTGAAAAACACATTTAAATTTAATATTTTAAATTTTACTTTAATACGAATATGAATTACTAATTTACTGTTAATTTGAATTTTTTGGTTTTTTAATTAATTGTCTTTTAAATTTATTTTTAGAGAATCTTGAAATAAATTTTTTTTCTGTTAAATAAATAAATACTTACCGAATTGCAGAGAAGCTATTCCGCCCCAAGCAGTCAGGAAATTGCCAGGTGTTTTTAAATCCTCGGTGCATGGAGAATGATCGGAAACGACCATATCTAAATCCTTATCTTTTAACGCTTTCCACAGTTCATCCTTTGTAATTATATTATTAATTTAATTTAAAAAAAAAAAAATTTTTCATCGAATGTTTACTTAGTTGAATTATCATTTTTTAAATTTTTTACTTAACAAAATTTTTATATGTAAATTTACCTGATTAGATTTTTGACGAATTGGAGGAGTACATTTATACTGAGTTGCACCATTAGGAATATCTTCAGCGGCAATATTTAGATAATGATGACAAGTTTCAGCTGTTAAATTCACTCCAGCGCTTTTAGCCTCTTTTATTATTTTCAAACCCTCGGCAGATGATAAATGCACAATATGACATCTCGTGCTGAAAAATGATTAATTAAATACCAGAGTTCTTATTAAATTAGTAAAAACTAAAAAGTCAAAATTTAATTAAAAATTATTTAAGTCTAAATTATATTATTACTTAGAATTTTTGCAATAAGTTGTAGCAACTTCTAGTGCTCTCAGTTCCATGGAAGGTGGTCTTGTCTCCAAGAAAGTAGAATAAAAACTAGGATTACCTGAAAAAAAAGTGGGTAATTATTTCTAATTGTCAAAATTTACTTTTAAAATTCTATAAGAAAAAAAATTATTACCAGTCGGTTCGGAAACATTCCCTTCACTCTCCATTTCTGCATGAAACTATAAATAATATTAGTGAATTTTATTGAGTTCTATTATTAGATGTTTAATTTCATATTTCATTAGTTGAGAGAAAAATTACCGCGAGTAGAGAATTTAAAGAGTGTAATTCCTTGAGTGCTGAAATAATATCTTTTTCCTGGACATAAGGAAATTCATCGACTCCACTTGGGCACATGAAACACTTGAATCCAACGACTCCTGCGTTCACTAAATCCTTTAAATTTTTCTGTAAATCAAGAAAAAAATTTAATTATATTAATTAAATGTAATTAAATAATATTTAATAATTCATACCTCATTTCTAGGTATGACACCTCCCCAAAATCCAACATCCACGGAAGTTTTGCCTTCAGCTGCTTTCACCTTGACTATCAAATTTTCTAAAGTTGTTGTCGGAGGGATCGAATTTCTGTCAATTAATACAAATAAAATTACTATTTGCTTTTTTGATTCCTAATAACTTTTTAAATAAGTTTTCTTTTTGAATGTTTAAAGTTTTTTTTTTAAATTAATGTACTAAAAATCATTGAATTCTTGTAAAGTATTTATAAAAAAAATTTTGAAAATAATTGAATTTTATGAAGAATTCAATTATTTTCAATAATTGTAATAAAATTCTTTAGTCAATTTATAAATAATAAAAATCTTCGTAAAAAATTCAATTATTTTCATATAAATAATAAAATTCTTATCAGGATTTTACTTATTTTCAATACAAATTTTAATTGATTTCTTCGAAAATTTGAATTATTTTTAAAAATCTTGTAAAAATTCTCCGAGAAAATTCAATTATTTTAGAAAAAAATTGAATTTTTTACAGGAGTTCAATTATTTTAAAAATTTTTAATAAAATCCAATTTAAAAATTCAATTATTTTTTGAAAATGATGAAATTTTCGCTGGAATTAAATTATTTTAAATACAATTTTAATTTAATTCTAGGGAAAATTAAATTATTTTTAAACATTTTTTTTTTAAATTCTTCGAAAGAATATTCAATAATATCAATAAATAGTAAATTTTTCATAAGAATTCAATTATTATTTTAAATACAAATTTAATGAAATTTTTCTCAAAAATTCACTCATTTTGGAAATAATTAAATTTTCAATTTACTGAAAATCATTGAATTCTTGTAAAATATTTATAAAAAAAAATTTCTAAATAATTGAATTGATTTCAAGATTTTTATCAACATTTTTTCAAATAATTGAATTCTTTCGAGAAAATGTAATAAAAATTGTATTGAAAATAATTTAATTCTTGGCAAGATTTTCATTAAAATTCTTTAAAATAATTGAATTCTTTTAAAAAAATTTATTGCAATTTTCTTGAAAATAATAAAGTTTTTTTTTAATAATTTTTACAGAAAATTTTGAAAGATACAAATAATTGTATTCTTTCGAGAAATTTTATGAAATTCCTTTGTAGAATTTTATTATTTATAAAAATAATGGAAATTCCTTTGTAGAATTTTATTATTTATGAAAATATTTTAATTCTCGTGAAGTATTTTCTTATTTTATGAAAATAATTGAATTTTTTAGAAGGATTTTAGAATTCTAAAAAATAATTGAATTGTTTCGAAAAATTTTTTTTTTTGAATTTTTGAAAATAATTGAATTTTTTAAAGAAATTCTATTAAAAATTTTGATTTTTTTAAAAGAATTTCATCAAAATTGTTGCGACAAATTTTTTTAAAATTTTTGAATAATAATGAACAAGTATATTTAATATTATGTATTTAATAAGTGAATTATTCTTCAAATTTAAAATCTGTAATCATTTAAAAATTGATGTTTATTCTTGAAAATGTAAAATTTTTTAATTTACAAAAAAATAAGAAATGGAATACTGCGTTCCGCGTGTATCATTTTCTAGTAAGATTGATAAAATTTGATCACATTTATTTTGTTTAATAAAAAAATGAATGCGATAAATACACTTACAATGGCATATCGACAATTGTTGTAACACCACCGACAGCTGCTGCACGTGTTGCAGTTGCAAAACCTTCCCAATCAGTTCTCCCCGGTTCATTCACGTGGACATGAGAATCAATTACTCCCGGCATTAAAACTAATGAACCGAAATCATAAACAGTCCCATTGTGATTCTAAAAGAAGAAAATAAAATAACAAAAATATAAATTATATTGTATAGTAAAATAAATAACGAAAGAGTTGATGATAAGAAAATTATAATACGTACATTTAAAATTTTTTCTGCTTCACTTTCATTTTGATATTGATAAATACGATCAATTTTTCCATTGAGGACTATTAGAATAGCAGGTAAAATTACGTCAACAAGGACAATATTCGAAGATTTAAATATTGTCACTTGGGAAATATTCGAAGAATTAAGTGCTTCCATTATATAATATAAATTTCATAAATTTTAATTTTTTCAAATGTAGTAGACTTTTTCCTGAAGATTCTTGACTACTGAATCGAATATTTATTATTTTTCTCACCTCATATTGAAAGGACATTTAGTTACTGATAACTTAGAATTCTAACTTCTGAGAAGTCGTTTATAGTAGCTTTTGTTTGTAAAGATTATCAATATTAAAATTGCGATAATTGCAGACGTACAAAATGATTATATTTTTCTTTAAACGATACAGTCTGTGACAAAAGTTTCTTCAGTCGATTCTAATTTTAATTAAACTATATGTGACGCGCTTCTAAGAATTTAATTATTTTATTTAATTATTTTATTTAAATATTTAATTTCTATTTAATTATTTTATTTAATATTTTTATTTCTATTTAAATATTTAATTTCTAAGATTGAATTATGAAATCAAATATCATTTAAACTCTCAATATTTATTTACTCTTAAAAGAAAATAATCTCGATAATTTATGTATTTTAATTTCTTTCCTTTCTTCTTTCTACTTGAATTTTACGACTTTTATTCAAATTATTCAAATTAGAGAGAAATAAACAAAACTATTTAATTTTCCTATTAAAAAAAATTATTCAACCCGAATTTTTATTTCACGTACAAATGAAACTGGTGGATGTAAACAAAAAATGTGAAATGAGACTAAATTCTATGTATTCTATTTTTATTTTTGTATTAAAAAACTGGTTTAAAAATTATTTAATACTTTCAAAGTATCGTACCATTTTATGATAGTGACTTTTATAAAGTAAAACCGGGAAATTTCGCATGCAGTGGATTTTGTAAATCGATAAGAAAGTAAATTGTTCCTGCCGATCCTGAAATTTGTAAAAAAAAATTATATCACAAAAATAACAATTCTCTGATACATTTAAAAATTTGTTTGCTATATTTACAAACAATTTTAATTAATTTTAGTAAATTTTTTTTCATCTTTACCTTCAAATAGTGAGAAAGGACGATCGGAATTTTTTGTTTGATGTGCCTCGTAATCAAAGCACCACTCTGCAAACTTGCATGCTCTGTATAAATATTTCACATCCTGGAAAAAAGAGTAATTTAATTAATTTATTTAATTAATTAATTTATTATTTTTTCTATTTTTATTATTTTTGCAAACAAAATTAAAATAATTGTTTCTTTATCGATTTTCTTGAATTAACGAAAAAAAAAGAAAGATTTAGTACCTTGGTCTCTTGATAGAGATTTAAAAAGGAATAAGCATTTCCAGCAGTACCATGACATATTCCACAACCTTTTTTTAATAGTCCTCGTTTCCATATTACTTCTCCACACTCCAGGGCAGTTTTCTGATAATCCTCGTTTCCAAAAATCTACAATCATATTATTGTCATTAATTAAAAAAAAAAATTATACAAGTTTTTTTTTACCAAACTTTGTAAATTTAGAAAAATTTATCAAATTTTGGAATAATCGTATATTACTGAAAGAATATAAAATTAAATATACCTTGTATGCTAAGGTAAATAACATGGTCATAGAAGGAGCGCCATGACACCAGTGAATTAATTTATCAGATTCCCTTCCCAAAGACGAAGGGAAATTACCAGAAGGAAACTTCAATTTCTGCAGAAACTTTAAAGATGGTTCAATTTCGTTTTTCAACTCGCTGTCTGTCAAATATTCACGAGCCTATAGAAATTCAAATGTAATTTTAATGAAATAGATTATAATAATAGTTAATAGGAAAAAAAGGACAATTTTTATATTTTACTTGTAGTAACAAATATAAAATTCCTCCTAAACCATGAGCTCCACCAAGATATTCGGAATCATGCCAAGCGTACATTAATGGCGATTCGCTGGACTGTCGCTCTGAATAAACTCTACCAGACTTTAAAATCGATTGCACCACCTGAAAAAATCAATTAATTATAATATTCATTAATAGAAAAATATAATTTTCGTTATTGAAATTCAAATGAAAGAATGATATTTACAATTCATTGAAAAACAAGATACCTAAAAAAAGATACCATTTTTTCAAAACGTTTTAATGTTTAATTTTCGGAGTAAAAATAGTCACTATTAAAAATTATCAATATTCAAGTGTTCATTACAACGAAAATATTTCGCATAAAAACTGTTTATAAATTTCCATAATTAAAATTACTAAGTTTATAAATTTCCATAATTAAAATTACTAAATTTATAAATTTCCATAATTAAAATTACTAAATTTATAAATTTCCATAATTAAAATTACTAAATTTATAAATTTCCATAATTAAAATTACTAAATTTATAAATTTCCATAATTAAAAATACTAAAATACCTGTTTAATAAGAGAATCATCAAATGGCGAAGGCGTTATATTTTTGTTAACAAACAAAAGACAATACAAGTATCCAGCTCTGCCATAAAGCAATTCGTCCGGCAAATGTTCATTCTCCTCCAAAACATAGTCCGACAATGATTTTAATCTATTGCGAACAATAATTTAAACATTTTTTTTCCAAATTGAATTTGAAGAAAAAATATTAAATTATTAAGTATGTACTAACTTTAAAAGCATTGCACGAGATTCTTCTTTATCGATTTTGTCATAAAAAACAGCTCCCAAAGACAGTGGTCCAGCACTTCCGATTAAGAAAGTTACTTGTCTTCTGGAGTTCAATTTAGAAACACAACTGTGAACCATTTCGGCTGCTTTCTGAAAGTAAAAAAAAAAATCTTGAATCTAGATCACATTTTTCCAAGTTGTAAAAAAAGGTTTTATTAAAAAATTTCATATTTACGGAAATATAAATTGGATCATCGAAATTATTTCCATAGTAGTTAAACATCATTGCGATGCCAGATAATCCAGTGTAAACCGATTGATCGTCAATGCTGTACCATTTTTTTTTGTTCTTCTCAAATTTTTGTACCAAGTCTTTTATCTTCTCTGACAATTTTTCTTTGAACGTGTCCTGAAACTAAAAATTCTTCTTTACAATTTTTCAAAGTAAAAATTTAAATATTATTACAGTTTTACAACAATTAAAATTTTCAACGTTTTCAATTTTAATTTCTTAAAATTTAGTTATTTCCAAAAAAAATCGTACTTTAACGCTTTTAATATTCAATTATTATCTAAAATTTCAACTGAAATTCGTTTTTAAATCAATTCTTATTAGAAACTTCAACTATTTAAATACAAAAATAAATAATTATATTGAATAATTGAATGTTTCTCAAAATTTTATTCTTATAAAGAATTCACCAATTTTTTAAAAAAAATAGTTCAATTTCTGAAAAGAATTTTATTATTTATGAAAATAATTAAATTTTTGCGAAGAATGTTATTTAATTCTTTAATTTAAATAATTTAATTCTCTTGAATAATTTTATTATTTAGAAAAATAAGTGAATTCTTGTGAAGAAATTTGTTAACATTTTAGAAAATTCGAATTAAATTCTTTTTGAAGAATTTCTTTGATTTTCTTTTAAATAATGGAGTTTTCTTTAATAATTTTAATTAAAAATTTTGAAACTAATTGAATTTTATGAACAATTTCTTTCAAGTTTTTATGAATATATTCATTACTTCCTGTTTATTGAGATCGATTATTGACGTTGCAGTTTTTATGGAAAAATCTGGAAATTCATTACAGTAGTGACGACCATCGTCGACGACAGTCAAACTTCTTTCACCCATTTTTAAGAAATTTCTCGAAGACGTAATAATATCAAAAACAATTTTCTGTAAGAAAATATAAATCGTTAATTTAATAACATTAAATATATAAGTATTATTATTAATTATCAATTGAAATCATTTTCGAAATTGTAATAAATTATTAAAAATAATTTATAATTCTCATTGATAATTTAATTTTTTTTAAAATATCTTTTTACTCTTGAGAGAAATTTAGTAAAAAATCGTAAAAATTAAGATTCATATTTTTAGTTATGTTTTCCATAAATATTTTATTCTAAAATAAAAATAATTTTTTCGATTCTTAAAAGACCGACACAAATTTCTAAGAATGGAAAAAATTTTCATTTTACGATAAAAAAATAGAGTAGGATTAAATTTAATATACAAACACTGATTAAGTAAATAATAATAAAGCCTAACGGAAAAAAGTACAGATACATCCGGAGGTAAAAGTAGAACTTGATTAAATTATTCAAACACTTTTTATCAAAATTAAACTATACAGAAGAATAATTGCTGAATAACTGCAAGACAAAAATTAGATTCATATTTATACATAATTTAAAGTTTCTCGAAGAGATTAGAACGTAAGTTCCGAAAAGTGTTAGAAAATTCGAATTTTAAATATAAATAATTAAATATATTTGTATTTAAATTAAATTACCCCTTATTTAAATCTTTTTAATAAAAAAATTACTGTTTACTTTTGATTTTGAGGCATAGAAAATATTATCTGTCAAATTTTTAGGTTAGAATTTTAATTATAATACTTTTTACTTTTATCCTTTTTCTATGAAAAAAAAGGTTGGAGATAAAAATTAATGTATTTTTAAATTACTCTATTATTGAATTCAACAAAATAAGTAATTTTATAATATATATACCGATAAATATTTGTTTATTTTTGCTTTAAAAAACCGGTTTTTCAAAGAGATGTCTTTTCTATAAATAAATAATAATAAACTGAATTACTGAAATCATTAAGGTCAACACATAATCGATGGGTTTAAAATAAAACCTAAAGGTGCATTTCCACATGGCTCGCTCTCATTGGCTTGCTAGTCCCCGCGCATATTTGAATCATCTTCTTCTTCTTTTTTTAATTATTACAACAGTTGTTCGTTATTTTACTAAAAAAATCAAATACTGGTTATAATAAATTACGTTTATTATACCAAATACGAATAGACAACATGAAAAAGTAGTTAAAATAAAAAATAATATTTAAAAGAACAAGAGAATTTGAATTTTACCACACTGTTTTCCATTGGTTTAATATGGTGTACGTGATAACTTCACGTCCAATAAAATGAAACAAGCCAAGAACGGCGAGGTCAAAGAGTTTTTTGGAAGGAGAAAAAAAAATAGTTTGCATTCCATTCTGTCTGCTGACTGTCAAATTAAGAATAAAACGTTCACGACGGCAGTTACTCAGTGAGTAGTATCTACACCGCTAATAATATTTGTTAAAAATTCCATGATTTTGCGAAATTTCCTCTTTTTCCAATTTATAAAAAGGAAACGTTTAGAATTTTAAAGGTTATGTTTCCTTAGACAAACGATTTTTCCAATGTAATTCAATATTCATTTTTATTTTTTCGGTAAATAGTAAATATTTATAATCGCATTCTTTTTTGAATAAATTACACACTTTAAATCCATTAAATATACATGTTTACTGTATTTAAATTGTTCGAAATTTTGTGTTTAGTTAAAAATGTAAAAAACTTTTAATTTTAAACGTTTTAAACATCACGTTAACATTTAACAATCAAGAATTTAATTGTTCACATAAAGTTGAATTAAAAATAATAAATTCATCGATGATAATATTGGGGAAGTTATTAAGAATATTGTTTTCGTGTTTTTTGCAAAGAAAAACAATTTGTGAAGTGTCAGATTTTCAACTATTACAAAAGTAAGATCTAATCATTTTTTCTCTGATAAAAATGTATTAAATATAGTTTAACTTGAGATTTCATAGAAATCATATTTTCCTGTTTAATATTCAACTCACGAAGATTTTTCCCCCTGTTAATTTCTTGTTTTTCAAACTTGCATTTGCAATTACGTGCAAAACACGTGAGAGGTAGAAATGCGTTTGTATTCTTTTTCATTTCGATAAGTATTTCGCGTATATAATATTTATTTTTAATTAATTTTTTCTTCTAGTTGTTATAGATCTCGTTGAGGTAGGTCATTATTAAATAGTAAACATTCTATATTTGGGTTTCTTTTTGTGTGTTTATATTTTTCAAATAGATTAATATTTTTTTTAACGAAAATTTGTTTACCTTTTGCTAATTATAAAACGATAAAGAAGAACATGTGTAAATAGTCTTATCTGATATTTGTCAAGTGTGTTACTTATTACGTGTGTGAGAGTTTCATATCAATTTAAAGAATTAGATTCTGATAAAATATCACTTTCATTCATGAAGTGATGTATTTAAATTCCTTATTGGCTCAATTAAACTTTGTCATTTAATTGAGCCAAATTTTTATTAATTCGACACTTTAGATAATTATATGAATGGTGCGGGTAGAAAATATTTTAAGACAGATGGAATTTTATTCATTTGAATATTATTTTTAGTAAATGTCAGGCATTCAATTCTGTTCAAAATTTTTTTTTAAATTTCAATTATCATTAAAAATAATAAAATTCTTCTTCGGAATTCAATTATTTTCAAAAAATTTAATAAAAATCTTGTCAAAATTTCATTTATTTTCGAAAATTTAACTCAATTCGATAAAATTCAAAATAATTAGAATTTTAATAAAACTTTTCAAAAAAATTAAATTATTTTAAAAAAATTTTGATAAAATTCTACGCAAACGTTTAATTATTGTCATAAATTTTTAGGATAAAAATTTATAAAATAATTGAATTTTTGAAAAATTTAGAATTTAAGTTCTCAGCAGGATTAGAATAAAAATAAATATTTTTGATTTAAATCAAGAAATACTGAATCAAATTTTTGTGAATAGAGGAAAACAATTGTTTTTATTCGTTAAAATTAATTTTCGATAGCTACTTTTTGATACTTTTTTTAAAATTAATTATTGAGTGTGACGCCTGAAATATGAATGTATAATAATTATATTTTATGCAAATTGATTACAAAAATAAGTAAAATAATTTACGTAAAAATGTAATCTATGAGTTGAGAGTTATGAATCTATTTCCTTGAGATAAAATCTACTGTAATGCTAAAAATAAGTGTTTTAATAAACTTTATGATAAAAAAAAAATATTCGCACGCTAAGGCGGATGTATTTAAGTAACACTTACGTGTAGAAACTTGAATGAATTTAATGATGACCGCTGTTAGAAATGTGAAGGGTCAGTGATACGAGTAATTGAAGAATTTACTCACCGACAATCGAAATTTTCAATTGATAATAAAATAACAAATTGCTTCATTATAATCTACTTTAATTTCGAATTTAATTGGAAAAGGTTCTTTTGTATACAATTCGCAGAAAAAAAATAAAATTAAATGCTTTTTATTAAGAAGTTATTTAATTTTTTTTTTGTTTCTTTTTTGCAAATTCTTTAAGTACATATAGATTTAAGAGATGTTACATAATCGTTCGTGGGCTTTGACATTGCATTCGTCAGAATCTAGACAGTTTTATAAATATAGCACCAACTATTTTTTACTTGGGAAAAAAATGACCACTGTCTGAAACTTTCATTAGTCGCGAAAGAAAAAAAATTGTCTAACTAAATGGAAAAATTTGTTTTAGAATTTACACAAAATAATTTATCTGGGGAAAAAAATGTCTAAAAAAAGTTTAAAAAATTTTTTTTGCAAAAAATAATTCTCTAAATTAAATAAATTTTAAGAAAAAATATTCTAAAATAATAAGATTATTGAAAATAATTTTCTAAATTAAGAAATAAATATTTAGAGAAGATAAAATTGATCGATAATTTATTAAAATTTTATTATCACATATATATGAAACGTTTTGCATTTTAATGTGAAAATTTTTATTGTCTGGTCGATAACAATTTTTACTATGTTCTTTAAAAATAAATATTTACCGTACGTTAAATTTTTTTTCTGTTATTTTTAAATCTAATATTTATTTAAACTATTTATAATATTATTAAAAATTTAACGAAATTGTTCTTTTTTCAGAGAGAAATCGTCTTCAATTGGCTGGAAATAATGAGCAGTGAACTTGAATTAACAAGATGATTAAGATTGATTCGTCGTAAATTAATTGGCCAAATTTAATGAGTAGTAAAAAATAAGTACTCAACAAGTGACTTGTTCTTCATCGAAAGGAGAATTAAAATTCAATCGTATCTCGAATATTAAATTTCAGCCTCTCTTGGGAAGAGAATTATTGAATTTAAATTAGAAAATTTCCATCTATCGAAGGGAAAAGGATATTCTTTTTGGAAATTCTCATCGAGTAATTTTTATTTAAACGTAAAAATGGCCTTGTTCCAGAAAGCCAGTGGTGAGTTAAAATTATACCTACTGCAAGTTAAATACTTTGAATAACAATATTGAAAGCAAAAAAAAAAAAATCGACTATTAATTTTATAGTAATTTTTTTATGTCTTCAAAGAAAAATTTTCTCTTTTAGAAAAGAAGAATTGAAAGAAAAAAAAGCGACTATTAATTTTATAGTAATTTTTTTTTTTGTCTTCAAAGAAAAATTTTCTCTTTTAGAAAAGAAGAATTGAAAGCAAAAAAAAGCGACTGTTAATTTTTAGTAATTTTTTTCTGTTTTCTAAGAAAAATTTTCTCTTTTGGAAAAAAATAATTGAAAATAGAAAAAAGCGAGTAATTAAAATTTTTAAAGTCAATTTCCAATTTTTTTGTTTTTAAAGAAAAATTTTCTCGTTTGGAAAAAATTGAAAACAGAAGAAAAGCGAGTAATTTTTAAAGTCAAGTCATTTTCAATTTTTTTGTTTTTCAAAGAAAAATTTTGTTTTAAAAAAAAAAAAAATTGAAAACAGAAGAAAAGCGAGTAATTTTTAAAGTCAAGTCATTTCCAATTTTTTTTTTTTTTTCAAAGAAAAATTTTCTCTTTTGTGGAAAAAAAGAATTGAAAAATAGAAAAAAGCGATTTTTTATTCCTTTTGGAAAAGAAATTTTTTTAATGAGAAAATAAAAAAAGGAAGGTCGATAAAAAAATGTTTACGAGGAAGATTTTGATAATTTTCAAAACTGCAATTATTGTAGAAATGTGATTTTTGTTACTTGCGTCAAAGTACAATATTTGTCTTGAAAATTTACAGATTCGAATGAACAATCAGATGCTTTGGTTCCCAAGAGTAAGTTTTCGGTGTAGAAATCGTAGATTTTTGAATCAGTATTTATTATCGTTATTTATTATTATTATTTTTATTTTTATTAGAACCAAGCACGAGTAGATCGTTTTCCTTAGAAATTACGTTATTTTCTTTTTTATTCGACCCTTTATATTTACAATTTTTTATTTTTTATCGCACGCTTTTTTTGCACTTGAAAATTGAATATTTTTATTTTAAAAATGAATTTTTTTTCCTATTCGAAATATTTCATTAAAAGTACATACTTTAAATTATGAAAAAATCTACTAATTTTAATTTTCATTATAGTTGAATCATCGATAAATGAAAATACGATTTATGACAAGAATTGTCCAACTATTATTTCTTTAGAAAGTGTCAGTAATCTGATAAAGAATTTTATCTGAGTTTAATTGTTATTTGAAACTTATGAATTAGATAAAATCATATTTGTGATAATGGACGATAATATTGAATAAGAGTATAATGAGAATTAAATGGGATTATTAATAGGCTAAAAATATTTTTAAATCTTTTTTTAAAATTTACTTTAGTTTAATATATTTAAATTTTTCTAAATCATTACCTTTTTTAAAATCTAGAGAAATTTTATCAATTTAAAAACTATTTGATTATCTTTTAGGATTTGTTAAAAATTAGAAACTTGGGGAAAATAAATTTTATATACATATAATTATTGTGTATGTTATTTTTGCACTGCAATAAAATGAAGTAACAACTGATTAGAAAATCGTACATTAGTTGCGACCTTGCCACTCAATTTTTATACTAAATAGCGGAATCATTATACTTACTGACGTAATTATTTTGTTGCAAAATATTTTAATTATATGTATAGACTTGTTGGTATTTGTGTTAGTTTTCTCATCTGAGTTTATCAAATCTAAGGCAAAAAAAAAAGAAAATAAATAATTTTATCAATTATGCTATTAATCAGGCCTCAGATATTTTATGACTTTTACGACTATTTTCACCTATTTTCAAAAACTGCCACTTTTTTCTACTTATTTTCAAACATTGTGACTTTTTCCATTTTTCTTCCAAATATTGGAATAAAATACATCACATTTTTTTTTAGTATAAAATGCAACTTATTTCGATTTTTATAATCCCCAAAAAGAAATAGACAAATCTTTGAAAAATTATTTATTTGAATAATTTTTCAAATTAAATTTTCGAAATATACAGTTAAAAAGCTTTTGAAGAATTGAAATTTTTGAAAATAATTAATTTTTTTGGAGCATTTGCTTAAAAATTTATTTAAAATAAACTTTTGAAGAATTTTAATTGCAAATTTTGAAAATAATTTTAATTTCACCAAAAATTTGAATGAAAAATATTCAAGTTTAATTTTAAAAATGAAAATTAGTTTTTAAAAATTATATTAAAATATTTTTGATAAAAAGCAATTCTTAGAATTTTTTTTTCATTCTAATTTTTTAAAATTAAATTATTTTCAATATTTTCAATTACATATTTCCGAAAATTTAAATACAAAAAGTACACAAAATAATACAAACATTACAATTTTTTATAATTATGTTTAACATTTTGGAGAAAACAATCATTTTCAAAATTTCTAATTAAAATATTTCAAAATTAATTACCTAATTAGTTTTTGTTTAAATTATACAAAAATTCTTTTAAGGAATTCAATTCCTAAGAAGAATTTCGTAATTGTTTTTAAATATAATCGATTTTGTTGATAAATTTAATTTATAATTTTATTATTGAACTTTATTAAAATTATCGATTTAAATATTTATTTAACAAAATCATTTGTATGAATTTCCATAGTTTTAATTTAATATTTCAAAATTATTTGTTTCTTTTAATCGACTAAAGCGATTTTTTTTTGCGATTGAAAGTCGATCCGAGGCTTGTCTTATGTTTATTTATTAATAAAGAAGAATTGTAATTAATTCTTGAAACTAAAAATACTTTCGTACCAGAATTTTGCTAAATCAAAACGTTATAGACTTGTCGAGAAATGAATTTGAAATTCATTTAATAAAGGAAGAAGATTACATAAAGATTCCTGGATTTTAATTTAATAGGTTATATAATCTTTTTTTATATACTTGTTTACGCTTGTATATTAGGAACAATTATTTTTTTAGGAATGCAGGAAAAATAAAATTACTTGACACTGTATCATTGTGAAGCTGACAAATATTTTTTGTTCTGAAGTAAACAATCTAGATAAATATTTTATAAGCCTACATTAATTGTTCGAATAAATTATCTTTTTCTTATATAAGAACAGAAAGAAAGAAAAGAATTAATTTATTTTTCAATATTTTTTCTTTTTCTAATGTAAATAAAAAAATATTTGATTAGGTATTTAATAATGAAGAATATTAAAGTGTTCAATTTTATACATAGATTTTCTGTCACGCTTTTGATTTTGTAAAGAATAAAATTTGAAGAGAAACAAGTTTTGAATAAGAAAAGAAAATGGGTCAACTTTGTCTTTTATCGACTTTATTAGGTAAATGTTTAATTGATCCAAAAAATACGTAATAAAATGTAAATAAAGAAATTGTAAACTATTTTGTACCAAAATTATGCATTTTATATTTTTCTTCTGCAATATTTTTGTTTGCATTGTACACACAGAGAAAAAATTTATTTAAATCCAAAAATATATTCTCTGGGTGTATATATTTTTTTTCCTTTTATTATTAAATACTTTATAAATTTCATATGATTTTATTTGAATATTTACAGCATTGAAAAATATTTCTAATTATTTTCTTTATTTTATAGAAAAAATACCTCGGCGGGCAATTTTGGGCGGTTTGATGTTTTTTGCCTGCATGTTTTCATACGTGATTCGTACGAATTTGTCGATTATTATTGTCGCCATGGTCGAGAGTACATCAAATAAAACAAAAGCAGCATCTTATTGTGCCAGTGAACTATTACAAAATACAACAATTAATAGCACAAAAAATATATTACAAGACGTAAGTTTCAATTTTTCTTTAAAAAAAATAACTAGAAAAAAAAATTATTCAAAACTATTATTTATTTAGTTTATTTATTTATATTTATTTATTCAGTATTTATTAAATTTATTTCATGTAAGAATTCCTTTACAATGTCTGAGAGTTAGATTAAAAAAAAGAAAAGAAACAGCTTTGAGATTTTTTTATGAATCAATTGGTAATATCACGATTGTGCCACATTCAATAAAAGTAGAAATAGTAATAAAAATGTCATTGGCAAATCCTTCTTGAATACAAATATAAATGAATTTATTTCAATTCTTCTTATAATGACCCACTTAATCAGAATCTTTGTTTTTTAAGTTTTTTAATTAAAATTTTACTAAATTTAAAATTTAATTCCTTAACTTATTTTGGTTTAAACATTATAACGTTAAAAAAATTTCTTCCATAATTTTTTTTTTTATTTTTTAAATATTAAATATCATTCTTTAAAAATTCATTACAAAAATTCAAAAAAAAAAAAAAAAAATTCATTACAAATTCTTTAAAAAAATATATTACGTTATTTTCGTTTAAATAAATAAACTCAAAATTTAAATTGAAAATTCAGGGAAAATTTTGAAGTTTTTTATTTAAACGAAAATAATGGTTGAGATTTGAAAAAATTGTAGAAGAGAAAATAGAAATTATGCAAATTTTTTAACAAAATTTTGTAAGTAATCTAGTTAAAAATCGTAATTAACAAATAGAAATCGTAGGGATTTTTTTCCTGAAGATATTTAAAATTTTCTAAAAAAGTGTTTTATAAATATATTAATTATGGAAATTTTGGTATAAAAATTATGTAAATTATTATTTCTTTTTTCCAAAGAAGAACAGAATTTTGTTAAAAAGTTTTGATAACAAATAGTAATTTTATAAAATTTTGTCTTCTTTTTCAAAAAGAGACCCATAATTTTGTGAACAGAATTGTGATTGAGAAGCAGAAAATTATGCAAAATAGTTTCTATTTCCTCATCATAATTTTTTTTAACAATTTTGTAACTTTTATCAAAATTATAGAATTTTAAGAATTTCAGAAAAATAAATTTCTATATTAATAATCGTTGTATTAGTTGCTATTTGCTTTTTTGTCTTCTAACATTTTTAATAATTTTTCCTTTCAATTATGTTCAATTTTTAAAAATAATGTACTATTAAAACCTATTAAAATTTTTTTAAACTTATTAATAGAAAATTAAACGCTTTTACACAATTTTATTAGAGTTTTTGTAAATAATTAAATTTTTTTGAAAAATTTATTTGTTTTTTCAAAATAATGTAGTTTTTTTTAATAATTTTAATTGAAGATTTTGAGGTTAATTGAATTCAACACAAAATATTTTTCAACTTTATAAAATAATCGTGTCTGTTAATAATTATAATTAAATATTTAATTATTGATGCTTATTAAAAATGGTATTGAAAATAATTGAAATTCTGAGAAAAATTTTATTATTTATAAAAAATAATTTAATTCTTGCGATGAATTTTACTACTTATAAAAAAACGAATTGTTTCGAAGGATTTATTAAAATTTTAAATAATAATTGGAATATTTATAAAAAATTTTTGAAAAAATTAAATTGGTTCGAAGGATTTATTAAAATTTAAGAAAATAATTGAATTTTTTCGATAAATATTATTGGAAATTTTTTTAAAAATTGAATTCCTTCGTGAAATTTTAATAAAATTGTATTCAAAATAATTGGATTTTTGCAAGGAAAGTGATATTCAAAAAAGTAATTTAATTGATTTAATGGATTTATTAAAATTGTAGAAAATAATTGAATTATTTTAAAAATTTTATAACGATTTAAGAAAAAAATTCAATTCTTTCGTGAAATTTTATTGAAAATAATTGAATTTTTGCAAAGAATGCGATATTTAAAAAAATAATTTGATTCAATAGATTTATCAAAATTTTGGAAAATAATCGAATTTTTTTGTGAAATTGTATAAAAATGTTGTAGAAAATATTTGAATTTTTTGCAAAAAATTGTACTATTTATAAAAATAATTGAATTCTTCCGAAGAATGTAACTTGTTTATGAAAACAATTGAATTCATGCGAAGAATTTTATTAAATTTTGTATAAATAATTGAAATTTTGACAAGAAGTATATTACCATTTTTGACAATAATTTAATTCTTAAGAAGAATTCCGCTATCTATTTATAAAGATAATTTAATTCTTGACGAGAAATTTTAAAAAAATTTGAAAATAATTTAATTTCTGCCAAGTATTTTATTACTTTTCAAAAGAATTGAATTCCTCTGATGAATTTTGATATTTATCAAAATAATTGAATTTTGGAAAAGAATTTTTATTAAAATTCCTTAAAATAATAATTGATTTTATAGGGAGAATATTGTTGTTTATAAAGATAATTGAATTCTTTTGCAGAATTACTTAAAAATTGTTGAAAATAATTGATTTCCGGGCGACGAATTAAAAGTTATTTATGAAAATAATTGAATCATTGCAACGAATTATTATTTATTTATCTAAAAAAATATGTAAAATTCAAATTTTCAAAGATTTTAATCTGAAACCTTTTCAAAATTCAATTATTTCTAAAAATTTACGCTCTAATGCTTTTAAAATTTAATTATAATCTAAAATTTTAACTGAAATCCATTTTTAAATCAATGTTTATGAAAAAATTCTACTAGAATTCAATTATTTAATTACAAAAATAACAATTTATTGAATAATTACATGTTTCTTAAAATTAAATTCTCATAAAGAATTTTATTCATAAATTTTTAAAAAACTGAATTCTTCTGATAAATGTTACTATTCATGAAAATAATTGATTTCTTGCGGAGAATTATATTAAAATTTTTGAAATAATAAACAATAATAATTAATTATGTAAAGTAATTTTTTAAAATTTTGATTGTGAAATTATTCAAAAATTTTAATTTGAAAATAAAAAATTTTATAATTTTCATAATAATAATAAATTGAATGTCACGTTCCGCGCGTATCATTTGCTAATTAGAAATCATAGGTAACTTTTTAGAAAACAGATTTCATTAGAAATTGCTTTTTTTTAGACAAGAAGGATTAAAAAATATTTTTTAGAAAAAGTGACCACCTGCCGAAAATAATGTATAATGTTTCTAAAAAATGATATTTAATATTTAAAAATTAGAGAGAAATGATGGGAGAAATTTTCTTTTATTCATTGTAAAATGAAAATTTTGTAATTGCAGTTTGGTGTGCGGTACAGGTGGGCGGAAAAAACTCAAGGATATCTTTTAGCTGCTTATTTTATTGGTGTTTTGCCAGCGAGTATTCCTGCCGGTATACTTTCGGAAAAATTCGGAGGTGCAAAAGTTGTTGCGTAAGTGTCTTTTTTTATTGATTATTTTGTTCATTGTTTCATTATTTACTGGCCTCGGATCGAAAACAAAGTTGCTAGTCGATTAAAAATAGAAAAATTTTCGAAAAGTCAAAATATTCGAGGCCTGTTATTAGAAATTTTATGTTTCTTATTAACATTATTTTGTAAAATTACAGATTCGCAACTGTCGTTCCTGCTCTCTTAAATCTTTTGGTTCCTGTAGCCGCTTCAGCCGATGATGTAATGCCTTATTTTGGTGTTTCATTAGTATTTATTCTTCGTTTCTTGATGGGATTTTTCGGAGTAAGTTTCAAAGATGATATGATCAAAATAATGATTATTTCAATTTAGAGAAATTAAAATTTGAAAATATATTTTTAATAGAATCGTTATTAAAAATAGAATAAAAAATTGCTACTTATTGATAAATCTTAAATCTATCATCTACTCAACCTACTGGTTGTCCTACTTTTTCAAGTGATGTGTGAACTCTGAATGGCGTCACAAATTTTTTTTTTTTATTATCATAAAGCTTCTTGGCTTCGTGTAATTGACCTTACAATTCAATGAGCACACTGATTATAATGCAATGAAATCCTTATATCGATTGTATTAAATTTTAAATTCCTTTTTTCTTCGTGTATATTTTCGAAAAGAATATATCACGTTTTTGTATTTTTTAATAATTATTATTTCAATTTTATTTTCATTTTTTATTTTTATTTTTAAAATTTTATTTTCAATTTTTTAAAAAGATTCTAAAAAAATGAGTAAATAAAATAATAAAAATATAAATATATTTAATGAATTATTAATATTTCGATTTGAGTAATGTTTTGATTTTTCTCTAATTTAATGACTAGAAATATTTAAAATTCAACAAATAGAATTAACCATTTCCCGATTGTAGGGTTCTGTATATCCAGCTCTACATGCCATGATTGCCAGATGGGTGCCACCTACTGAAAAAGGAATGTTTGTTTGGACAATGCAAGGTAAATATTTTTTTTTTTTATTAAAAATAGTGGAAAAAATTAAACTTTTATAATTCTTAAGAAAATCAATGATATTCATTAACTACTATTTTAATAAAATTTTCCAAACGAATTTAATTATTTAAAAAAGATGTTGATAAAATTCTACGCAAAAATTTAATTATTATCATAATTAATAAAAAAATTCAGAGGAATTCAATTATTCACAAATTTTATATCTAATTTTATATTCTTTGCAATAATTCAATTATTTTCTTAAAGTTCTTAAAGAAATTTGTCAAAAATGATTAAAAATAATTTTTGATTACTAAAAATAATTTTAGTTACAAATTGGATGATAAATTGTTTTTGGTGAAACCAAGATAAGAACATAAAAATTTATTTTTCAGGTGGGCCCTTTGGTGCTTTTGTTACGTTTGCCCTTTGTGGTTATATAACTTCAACTTGGGGATGGACCTCATCTTATTACGTAACCAGTGGTCTTATGTTAATTTTCGGAGCTATTTGGATTTATCTTGCGTATGACACTCCCGATACTCATCCGACAATTACCGAAGCTGAGAAAAGTTACATTAAAGAGCAAATTGGAAAAACGGTTACAAAAAACCACGTAAGTATTATTTATTTAAAATAATTAAAAAATTTCCCTTTATATAATAACAGGGTGGCCACATGTCAGTAAAGTCAGGAAAATTAAGAAAATGGAGACTTTTTTCGATTTATCTTAAAAAATTGTGATTTTTTCGACTTTTCTTTCAAATTTTGCAACGATATACCACATTTTTTTTAGTATAAAATGCAACTTATTCCTATTTTTAAAGTGACAGAGATCGAAGTAAGTCCGTAAATCCTGAAAAAGTCCGTAAATTTGCTTCAAGTCCGTAAAAGTCCGTTTTTTTGAAAAAAGGTCCGTAAAGTCCGTAATTTCATTCAAAAAGGATGAAAAGTTCGTAAATTGTACGATATAATTTGGAGAATTTTAGAGCTAAATTACAAATGATTGCAGAAATTCAATTATTTTTAAAAGTAATAAAATTCTTCGCAAAAATTCAATTACAGTGGAACCTCGATTATCCGAACTAACCTAGGCACGGCCTGATTCGGATAATCGAAAATTCGGATAATAGAGGTTTTAATGTTTTTCATAATTAAAGTAAAAAAATTGGACAGTTGAACTATATGTACATATTTAATTTAATACATTTTTCAAAGATATATAAGTATATATATTAATTTATAATAATATATTAATAAAACACAATATATGATTTTTTTAAGACTTTTTTGGCATAAACAAACATAAGTAATAAAATAAATAGAGAAAATAAATTTTAAAATTCGGATAGCCAAAAAAAAGTTCGGATAATAGAAATTCGGATAAAATGATTTTCGGTTCGGATAATAGAGGTTTCGGATAACAGAGGTTCGGATAATCGAGGTTCCACTGTATGTTCAAACATTTTTTTAAATTCTCGTTAAAATTTCAATTATCTTTAAAAATATTAAAATTCTTCTCCGAAATTCAATTATTTTCAAAAAATCTAAAAAACATTGTCAACATTTCAATTATCTTTATAAATAAATAGCAAAATTCTTCGACAAAATTCAATTATTTTCAAAAATTTTATTAAAATTCATTAAAAAATTTCAATTATTTTCATAATTAACAATATTTATCACACGAATTCAATTATTTTCTAAAGTAACAAAATTCAATTATTTTCAAAAATTTTAATAAAATCCATTGCAAAATTTGAATTATTTTCAAATTTCTTCGCATTCATTCAACTATTTTCATAATTAATAAAATTTTTACCGGTATTGAATTATTTTCGTAAAAAGTAAAATTCTTTTTAGGAATTCAATTATTTTCAATAGAATTTTAATCGAATTCCTCGAAAAAATTCTTAAAAATTTTATTAAAATTCGTCCAAAAAATTTAATTATTTAAAAATTTGTTGATAAAATTTTTAATAGGAATTGAATTCCAAGAAGCATTCAATTATTCAAGAAATTATTTATTTGCATTTTATTTATATTTAAATAATTAAATTCTGGTAGAATTTTCTCATAAACATTGATTTAAAAATAGATTTCAGTTAAAATATTAGATTATAATAATTGAATTCTTTCGAAGAATTTCATTAAAATTTTTAAAATAATTGAATTTTATTGAGACATTTTATTAAAATTGTCTTAAAAATAATTGAATTTCTACCAAAAAAGAAGTTTTATCAAAACTTTTGAAAATGTTTGAATTTCTGCAAAAATTCTGTAATTTTTGAAAATAATTGAATTCTTGCGAAGAATTTTATTAAGACTTTTGAAAAATAATTGAATCTCTGCAAAGATTTTTATTGTTTTACGAAAAAATATTTAAATTCTTGCGAAAAATTTTATTAAAATTTCTGAAAGTAATTGAAGATCTGCTAAGAATTTTGTTATTTTTAATTTATGCCAAGAATTTTATTAAAATTTTTAAAAATAATTGAATTCCTGTTAATTTTTTAAAAGAATTTAATTATTTTTGAAAATTTTAATAAAATTCTTCGCAAGAATTCAATTATTTTCATAAATAATAAAATTAAATGCAGAATTTCAATTATTTTTAATACAATTTTAATCGAATTTTGTCGAAAAATGTAATTATTATTAAAAATTTTATTAAAATTCGTTGATAGAATTCAATTATTTGAAAATTTGTTGATAACGATTTTTTATGGGAATTGGATTTTAAGAAACGTTCAATTATTCAATAAATTATTTATTTGCATTTTTACATTTAAATTTGTATTTAAATAATTGAATTCTAGTAGAATATTCTAATAAAAATTGATTTTCATTTCATAAAAATGAATTTCAGTTAAAATTTTAGATAATAATTGAATATTAAAAGCAATATAGCGTGAATTTTAAAAAATAATTGAATTTTGTAATTAATTTTTTTGAAAACGTTTAATTGAGTTTTTTAAATATTATTTTTAGTTTCTATTTTCTAATATTTATTTAATTAAAGAATTTACGAATAATTGAAATTTCGTAAAATTGAATATCGTAAAGAAATGAATTTGAAAATTGTCAAAGAACTTTTTCGAAAATTATTAAAAATAATCGATATAGAGAAGAATTTTAGATAAAAATTGTTAAAAATAATAATTGAATTGATAATGATTTTAATTATTATAAATTATTTTTATTAATTTTTATTAATAATTATTATTAATTATTATAAAACATGAAGAAATCGATGACTTCGAGTCGAAGACTCGGAGTTACCGATTTCTTGATGTTTTATAGAATTATGAAAAATTGAATTTCTAGTTTCAAGTAAAATGTTCTCTTATTTGATTCGGCCTGATTCTATTTTTCTCAGTTGGTCCGTAAATGGTCCGTAATTTTTAATTTTTGGTCCGTAAAGTCCGTATTTTTAAATAATTTCACTGCTTCGAGCCCTGATAGTGCAAAAAATAACTATAAACAAATCTTTCAAAAATTATTTTTAAATCATTTTTTAAGATAATTAAATTTTTCAAATTTAATTGAAAATAATTAATTTTTTTTAAAAATATTTTGTTACAATTTTTAAAAATCAACTTTTGAAGAATTTTAATTACAAGTTTTCAAAATAATTGAATTATTAAAAATTTTAATGAAAAATCTTGAAATGTAAACTTAAAAATGAAAATTGGCTTCTAATTTTTTTAAATTAAATATTTTCTGTATTTTCAATTACATATTTCCAAAATTTCGGATATATCATGGTCTTCTTTATAATTCAGATTCTTCAAAAATTTGATTATTTTTATTTATATTTTTTAAAAATTTGATTTTATAAGGGAAAATAATTTTAATGTCAGTAAATTATCAGGAAAATGTCAGGAAAATTGATAAACTGAAACTTATGACCACCCTGAATGAATATTATAATTTGTTGGGTGTAAAAATTTATCAATCTATCAATAAAAAAAAATTTTACACCCAACATACTAATATAATCGAGTGATAAATTCTTCTTTCAAAATATTATAATGATTATTAAAATTTCTTTTTAGCCGAAACTTCCAGTGAAAAAATTGGCAACATCTGTACCATTTTTGGCATTAATGTGGGCTCATTTTGCCAATATGTGGGGAATTTATTTCATTTCAACAAACGGACCTAAATATACGAGTCAAATCATTGGTCTCAATATGAAATCGGTAAAAATTATTATTATTTATTATTATTATCACTTATTTATTATTATTTTCATTATTATTACTATTTGTTTATTATTATTACTATTAACCTTATTCTTATTATTTTTATTATTCTTATTATTCAAACAAAATTAGTAATTTTAGAAATTGTTTGTGTGTTTTTCGTAATTCATGTTTTATTTACTTTCCTTTTCTAATAAATTGAATAACTTTGTTTTATTAAAGGGTGGCGCCATAACTGGATTGCCATATATCGCTAGACTCTTTTCAGGAGTTTTATTTGCCGCAGCAGGTGATTTTATTCGAAGGAGATCGATAATGACTGTTGGGTGGATTAGAAGAATTTTCATGATTTTCTGTAAGTTTAAAAAATTCTTTCTTTCTCTCTTTATATTTACAGACGTTGGATCGACTTTAAGGTCCAAAAAAAATCGCTTTAGTCGATTGAATATTAAAAAAAAATGATAATTATTCAAAGTATGCGGAGAAAATATCAAAATTTAAATGAGGAAATTTTTGTTTTTCAGCGCATGTTGCACCTGGAATTTGTTTACTTGGAATGACGTACGCTGGATGTGACAAGGTATTGGCTGTCGTAATGATGATTTTGGCATTGGCATTCAATGGCGCCGCTTGTCAAACCAGTTTGCAAAATCATCAAGATCTTTCGCCAAATTATGCGGGTTCACTCTATGGAATTATGAATACCTTCGGCAGTTTCCCTGGATTCATTCTTCCATTTATCATTGGTCTATTGACCGATAATCACGTATGTTTCACTTTTAATTCAATATATTCATTTCTATTTCATTTTTAATTAATTTTTTTGAAAAAGTTTAAATGAATTTTTTTTAATATTATTTTAAGTTTTTATTTTCAAATATTTATTTAATTGAAGAATTTACGAATAATTGAAATTTCGTAAAATTGAAAATTGTTAAAGAACTTTTTCGAAAATTATTAAAAATAATCACTTTCACTGGTTCGAGCCCTGATAGAAGTAAAATTTTTAAAGAAAGAAATTAAAAACTTTTTATATTTAAAAAACATTTTTTTTAATTTAAAAAAATCGTTTTTTTTTTTAGAACGGAATCGAAGAATGGCGCATAGTATTTTGGATTTCGGCTGTTGTCTTTCTATCGGCAACAGTTATTTTCTGGCTCTTCGGTTCGGCTGAAATTCAACCTTGGAATAATGTGGGTCAGGAAGGAGGTGACGACGAGGAGGAAAAAATGGCAGTAAGAAAGGGTAAAGAAGGACAAAGTGAAGACGAGGAAAACGAACGACTCTAAATTCGTTATTTTAGTTGAATGTTAATTTTTGTTTCTTTATTTAATTTCTCAATTGAATGATAAACACGAGAAGATTGCAAACAATAATAATACTCTCTCAATACGCGAAACATTAAAAGTAGAAAATTTACTTTTCAACTTATTCAAAATTATTTTTAAAAAAAGTATTTAAAAAAATTAATTTATAGAAAAAATTCTATTTTAAAAACAAAATTTTGTCAAAATTATTAGAAGAAAAATGATTATTTATTAACAAAGAAAATACTCTATGGTCCTAAAAACAAAATTTAAAAAAATATTGTTGCATTTATATATTAATGTTGTGAATGTTTAATAATTAATATTTATAATAATCCTGTTAGAGACACTAAAACATTTCAGGGATTTTTACCAAAAAAAAAAGAAAAATATCTAATAAAAGGAGAGTAGCGCTTCCGTGTTGTGTGAAATTTTTCTAGTTGATTTCTTGAAATGTGAAATTTCACAAATAAGTTAAAATTTCGAATGCATTTAAATTTAAAACGGTCTAATCTGTAATTTTTATGACTGGACATTTTTAATTAAAAGTATTTCGTATAAACGAAGAAAATTTTGTGCCAAAAGTTTATTCTTTTGCACGATAATCAAAAAATCTTTCATGGTGCATTTAGTGAACAATTTCTAGAAATAGAATATTAATTAAGAATTAACTCTCGAGAATTATGCAGGTGAAAAAAAGAAATTTTCTCTTTTCACCTTTATAATTGAGAGACAATTTACAATTTAGTTTATAAGTAAGCATCTTAAATATCAACGTCCAGGGCACACATTTTCTTTAAATATATATTTTTCTGATGAAATTTTACACCCCGTTTCTTAACGATTGAAAAAAAATGAGATCTCTTAATTGAAAAATCTTCTTAAAAGATTTATTAACTCGTAATAACAACTAAATTTTAGCCATGATGATCTTATAAAAATATACGTATTCTGTAATTTAATGATATTATTTTATTTTTTAAACTAGTTTTTTAAATAATGATAAAAAAAATCAATATTTTTTCTGATAGAAAGAGATTTTCTTCTATTGGAAAAAACTTTGTTTCGCAACAAAAAAAAAAATGTTTTCTAAATTAGAATAGTTTTTGCATTATTCGATTTTAAATTATAACGATAATAATAATTATTTTTATTTACTTTTTTAAGGAAGTATCTGACAAAGAATCGAAACAAAAGTTAGTCCAATGGCATTTCATTTATTTTGTATGAAAAAGTGAAATTTTAAATTCTATTTTATAGAATTTAAAATTTAATTTTAGTTTTCTATAAAATAGGAACTAACTTTTGTTTTGATAGAATTCCTCCTTAATTTATAAATCTACTTAATCGAATATACAAGTTGACTGGTATTTTTAAAAGTAATGACAAAGAAAATATAAATAAATAAATATTCTCTAGCTTTTAGGTTTAACTATTAATATTGTTGTGAGAAATTTTTATATTAAAAAAAAATATTTTTTTTCAAACACAATACGATATTTTTGTGCGTTTAAAATAAAAAGAAAAATTTACAACGATAATGATTGAGATTTTGTTAATATTGACTGAAAAATACTGTTTGATAATAAAAAACATTTTTTGAAAGAAAAATTTGCTTTTCTTACATTAAAAATTAAAATTGTCTTTTTTAAATTTAAGAAAAAATTGTAAATTATAATAAATTATAAATTTTTGAAATTAAGAAGGAAAGAAATATTTTTTAATTGAAAATGAAGAAAAAGAGGAGGATTAGAAGAAAAATAAACAATAAAGCAACATTGCGAAAACGAATGTGTATTAAAATTTCTTCGATAAGGATTAATGTTGCATTTAAATTTATGTGAGACGATTGAAATGACAAGAATTGATTTTAAGAGCAAAAGTGTACGACTTTTATTTGCATATGTATGTAACTATTGTCAATTGACTGTAACAATAAATTTGATGCCGTTGAATATTTTTCTCAATGTTTAATATTTTCATTCAGAATTTTCACTCAAAGAATTTTTTTAAAAATTATTTTAATTAAAATTTTTTTTTAATCATTCACTGAAATTGAATAAATTTGTTCGAGAATTTAGTTTTGGAATTTTCTTCCATTCTTGAACAGGTTTCTTGGGTGCAAAATGCGCGCTTGAGAATTTTAAGAGCCGTTACTGTTTGTGACGATAAATTACATTGAGAATTTGAGAGACGATTTATTTTTGAATTTTCAGATTGAAGGGAAATTTTATTCGTCAATTTTGATGAGGATTTTATTGACGGTGGCTTGAAGTCTGGAAAATTATTAGAAATTAATGTGACGCGCTCACAAGAAAAGATTTTATCTTTTAGAAGCGCGTCACATATTCTTATGCAGCCTTCGCACTCATCTATTAAAATAATAATTTCAATAAAATTGTTCGAAAGAAATCAATTATTTTAAATACAATTTTAATTAAATTTGTTTGAAATAATTCATTCATTATTTTTAAAAAGTTTTCGCAATTCAATGATTTTTAATATATCTACTATTTTCATAAAATTTCCAAACAGAATTCAATTATTTAAAAAATTTTTTGCAAAAATCTTCGTAAGAATTAGAATTATCAGAAATTAATTATTTACAATTTTTTATAAAATTCTTTAATGAATAATAAAATTTGTTGCAGGAATTCAATTTTTTAGCAGTAGGATAAGAAAGAAGTAAATATTTTTGATGAAAATTAGGAAAAAGTCAGGAAAATAAAAAATAGAATGGAATTTTTGTCAGTTTTGTGAAGTTTTTAAAACGAGTATTTTTGGTTGTCAAGTTTAATTTTTCGATAGCTACTTTTTTACTACTTTTTTAGTTTGAAAGCTACTTTATTAAAATTAATTATCGAGTGCGAAGTCTGCTCTTGCTTAGAATTTAAATAAAATATTAAATTTACCTGAACTTGACCAAAAATTAGAGGGAGAAACTTCAAAATCCGACCAACCGCATGGAGAACCTAAAAAATAAACCTTTGCCTATAGAAGAAGAAGAGCTCGTATAGAATTTATAAAGAAAAGAAATATTTTACTTTTTCTGCAAATTTTCTTCAAAGGTTCATTACTATATTCACTGCTTGTCATCGAAGAATTTGTCGATGTTTCCGAATTTGTGCTCGGTGAACATATTTTATGAATTTTTTCACTCTTTTCACTTAATTGCGGAACTTGAAGACGGGGAGTTTTCACATTTCGCAATTTATTTTCAATGTAACACGGTTTGTATGTCAAGAGAATATCTTGTGTTTGAAGAATTTCCGTCTGTTTCATCGTAAAGTGAAAATCTGAATTTCGCGATTCAGTGCAAAAATGACAACATTCCGATTCAGTTGCGCAAGCAGAGCAGAAAATTTTTGTCGATTCAAGTAATTCTCCAATTTTCTTTACTTCAGGAACTCCAGCTAATTTTGTTTGCGTTGAAACTGTTATCACTTTCGGTCTTTCACGTTTTGCTAATTTCTTTTTTCTCTCAATGAATACCGTGTCCAATAATTTTGCTAATTCGACGAAAAAAAAACAGAAAAAATTTAATTCTCATTTTCTTTTGAAAAAATTGAAGCAAAAAATAATGTGAATTAATAGAGATTAAAAAAAAATGTTCCATTTATTTACGAATTTCTTTAATTGTAAAATTATTCGAAAATAACTTCATTTTTAATTATAAATATTTTATTTATGAATTATTAAAATTGAGAGTTAAATTAATTAATTACTATTCAAATTGAGTTAAAATAATGTTAAAAAAATGAATAAATTATTAATTAAGTAAAATTTTCAAATTCTTACGTTCCTTAATCTTCCGTTTTTCTCTCAGTTGTACGGCGATGAGAATAGAATTTCTAATCAAGACACAAAGGATAAACTTAACAGTAACTTCTATCTCTTTTGCAATTGCAACGAAAACATCTTCAATAAAATCATTCATCAGATGATTAATTACAATTTTCGACTCCTCGGGGTCAACAGCCAGTGGACGTCGCAATTTTTTCAAAATATCCTCATCACCGTCATCATCTACTGTTTTGTAAGTGGCAAGTGTTTGTGCCCCGTTATCCAAGAAAGGAAATCTAATTTCCCTCGAACAATTGTTCAAAATTTCCTCAAAAATATCATCAATAATCATCCGATTGTAAACTCCTTTCGATAAACAATCTTCAACAAAATTTATCACAAAATTCTTCGTTTCCAGATAATCGCCAATTAATTTCGAATTCGAAACTTTTGGTTCGCACGTTAATTGTGTTTGTGTTTCTTGATTAAAAATCACTTTTCCCGTTTTCCAATTGCAAATAATATCAGTTTGTGATTCGACGTCTCTATATTCGCGAATTGGTTCCTCAGGATCTGAATTCCAGAATACTCGATCGATTATGTAATTTAAAAGATGCCAGATATGAATTTGGAAAATATTTTCCTCGGTTGATGATATTCTTTTGATTTCACTAATTTTTGAATCTTGATTCGCAACTAGTTTTTCGATTATTTCATCTCGGGGATAATTGACATCGAATGTGACGATAGTTTGTGATTTTTCTCCACTCTTGAGTATGGGAAGGGATTTTTTACTGATTCCGGCTGAAGTAATTGTAATTTTGTAGTTTGAATTATTGGAACGCATGATTTCACCCAAATTATGATATTTTTGTCTTATATCAGAATTTTAAAATTAATAATCATCATTTACTCGAAAGGTAAGTGTTTATAATTTAATGTTAAAATTATTACAATATTGAGAGTAAATATTTGTTATAATTTATTTTTAATCGAATTTTTTTAATAGATTTTCCAAGTATTATAAATATAAATTATATGTATAGTAAAATCTTTGCAAAGATTCATTATTTTCAATAAAATTTCACGAAAAAATTCAATTTTTTTCTTAATTCGTTTTCAAAATTTCCAAAAGAATTCAATTATTTTCCAAGATTACAATAAATCCTTCAAACAATTATTTTCTAAAACTTTTATAAATCCTTCAAAAGAATTCAATTATTTTCAATGGAATTTCACGAAAGAATTCAATTTTTTTTACTTAATTCGCTATAAAAGTTTTCCAATAAATTCAATTATTTTCTAAAATCTTAATAAATCCTTCAAAATAATTCAATTATTTTTATAAACAGTAACATTTTTTGCAAAAATTCAATTATTTTTATAAATAGTAAAATTCTTTGCAAAAATTCAATTGTTTTCAACAAAAATTTGATAAAATTTCTCGAAAGAATTCAATTATTTTCTAAAACTTTTATAAATCCTTCCAAACAATTCAATTATTTTTAATAAAATTTCACGAAACAATTCAATTTTTTTATTTAATTCGCTATAAAATTTCCAAATTAATTAAATTATTTTCTAAAATTTTAACAAATCCTTCGAAAAAGTTCAATTATTTTTATAAATAGTAAAATTCTTTGCAAAAATTCAATTATTTTCTAAAATTTTTATAAATCCTTTAAAACAATTCAATTATTTCTTTAAATAGTAAAATCCTTGCAAAAATGAATTATTTTCAATAAAATTTCACAAAAGAATTCAATTATTTTCTAAAACTTTTATAAATCCTTTAAAATAATTCAATTATTTTTATAAATAATAAAATTCTTTGCAAAAATTCAATTATTTTGAAAAAAATCCTGTAACTGTACTATTTTAAAAAAATCTTTAAAAAATTCTTCAAAAATATTTAATTATTTATAAAAACTCTAATAAAACTGTTTAAAAAAGTTTAACTTTCTATCAATATTTTTAAGAAAATTTTAATAAAATTCAATAATTAAATCTTTAATTTCAATTATTAAGAAACACTATTATTTTAACAAACTTGAAATAAATTGTTTATAAATTCAATTACTTTCAAAATTTTCAGTTGAAATTATTACAGAAACTCCATTATTTTAACGAAAGTTCAAGGAAACTCTTCAAAAGAATTTAATTAGGATTTTTAAAAATTTTATTAATTTTTTCACGAGAATGCAATTATTTTCATAAATAAAAAAATTCTTCGAAGGAATTCAATTATTCTCAAATTTTTTGATAAAATTCTTTGCAACGATTCGATGATTTTCAATACATTAATTGAAAATTTGAAAATGTTTAAAAAGAAAAGTTATGAAAAAAGTTTGAAAACAAAAGCAAACAATTCGATTAAATAATGATTATAAAGTTTAAAATTCCGTTAAATTACAATTATAAATATGATAATTTGGATGCAATCATGCGCCCCGAATTATTAGTTTCTTGATTGTTTATTGTTTATCGCGCTCAAAAAAACGTCAAAAAATTAAGGTTACGTTTATAATTTTTGGAGTAAAAATCGTAAAAATGTATAGAGAAAGAAAAAAAGCGCGTCACTATTAATAAAGAATAAATACCAATGACTTCTTTGACAACATTTTCAACTCGACATCGTGTTCCAATGTAAAACGTCTGACTTGCCTCGTCCTTAAATTCAATAGGAATGTGAATTTTCTCAATATCCTGTATATAAGTTTGACATTCGACTTCTGCAAATGGCTCTCGACTCAATTCGTCGGAATCAATGACGTGTTTCGCAGGACTTTCAATTTTGTGTTCACGAATAATATTATTTTCCTCGAGTTCCAATTTCTCATTCGGATTTCCCGAAATTTGTGTCTCCTCAATTATTTCACGTAAAGTTCCATTCTCTTGAGGAGTTATTGTGAAAATTGTTTGAGCCCACACATCGCCTTCGTCCTATTAATATATAACACTGACATTAGTTATTTTTTAATATTTTTTTAATATAATTATTACTTTCTTCCATGCCAGCAATTTTTCTTTTAAACTTTTGTTTTAGTTTTTTATTCCGTCTTTTAAAAGAATCTTTAAAAAAGTCTTTTAAATATTCAAAAAGAAGATACAATTTTCCATTAAGAAAGATCCTAAATAAACATTTTTCAAATTTGGTTTTCATTTTGACAGAAAAAAGAAATTCTTACAGAATTATTTTCTTGGACTTCCATTATTATCGGAAAAGATCAAAACAAGAATTTATTTTAGTTTCTTTATTTCATGTCGAAAGTATACTTTTCAAAGTTAATTAATCAATTAACCTGAAATACAATTTTTTTTTGTTTTTATTACTATTATTAAAGAACTGATTTGACATTTTAGAAAAAATGAGTGACACAATGTTGACATGTGTCAATTTTTAAATATTTTAATGAATAATTTTTATCGACATCTATTTAGAAAAAAAAAAAATTTTTTTAAACACTTACCCGAAATTAAGAAACATTTTTTTCTTTTGAAAAGTATAAAAAATTAGAAAAGTGCAAAAAAATTAATTTGTTCCTTGTTTTTTTATAATTTGTCCTCTGGTAAATTACTTGCAAAAATTGGTTTTTGTATGAAAAAGGAAATCACTTGCGTGGTGATAGTTTTACGATGAATGTACGAATTTGCATTGGTTTCAACTCAACGCTAATTGCATCTTGATTCTCGGAATTAAGTGGCACAGACGAGTAGTTGGTTTTGAAGATGTCATTTTCCTCAGAGATCCATTTGAGACGATTATTTTCTTCTAACCACTGATTTCCTCCCAATGTTGTTTCTCTAACTGAAGTCACGATGAAAGCTGAGAAGAGGTCCTGCAAAATTTTTTAATAACAATTAATAAATTTACTTTTTCATTGAACATTTTCATTAAAGTTTACAACGTCAAATCAGACGATTTTTCAAGTAACAATATTGAAAATCACCAGGTTTGACGTTGTAAATTTTAGTTCAATTTTTTTCGATGATATTTTTGAAAAATTGAAGATAGAAATAGAGAAATGAAAATAGAAGAGAAAAAAAGAAAAATAAATAAATTAAAGACGTGTGGAATAAAATACTGATTTACCTGAATATTCACATCGACAGGAATGGAATATTTGCCGGATTCTCCTGATTCAAAAATGTGTTCGAGTCTCAGTAAAACACTTCCATCTTTCCAAGGTTCGAGAGTTAGAATTTGAACATTTGGTGGCAACGATTTTGACAATCCAGAACTCTGCGAAAAATAAATCACAAATTTTATTTTCAAATTTTTTCTTGGTAAGAAAAAATAAATATAATTTAAATTCTATAAGTAAATTTATCAAAAGTTTTATGAATAATATAATAATTCCTTTAAGAAATTTTATTGAAAATACATAATTGATATTCTGACAAGAAATTTATCAAAAATTTTAAGAACAATAAAATAGTAGACATTGAAAATCACCGAATTGGGGAAAATTTTTGAAAATAATTCAATTTCGGAGAAGAATTTTTATTATTTTTAAAGATAATTGAAATTCTTTTTCGAATTTTTGAACTTCTTCCTGAATTACCTGACTTGTGGTATAACCATGTAATTGATTCTTTTTCTGTATTTTTCACGCGCAGAAATTAAAAATTTGTTGAGGTTTTTTTTTAGGAGCTGTAGAAATTGATTAAAATGAATTTTTTACCTGCATTTTGTACGTGTTTTTCCAGTCGTCATAGGAAATATTTTCTACGGGACTAATGAAAATCCAAGGACGAAGAGCCAATCGTGTTGCTTCCTTCTTTTCATGAAGTCTAAATTCATTGGAATCACTTCCAAAAATAACGGTATGTTCACCCCTTGCAACCAACCCTGTTCCGTATGCGGTCTCATTGAGAGCTTCTTCTACTCCAAAAGCATCATCTTTCAATAATCTTCTGTGAACCTGTAATAATTAAATATATTTTGTTTTTATTCTTTTTATGAAAGAAAAATATATTTCGTTTTATTCTTTTTATGAAAAAAGAATATATTTCGTTTTTATTCTTTATATGAAAGAAGAAGAATAGATTTTTATTGTTGTTGTTACCATAAGTTCAATTTCTCCATCTTCTAAACTTGCACCTCCTTGAGCTCTGTCAGTGAGAACTGCTAGTCTCAATTGTCTCACTCCGTCTTTCATGGAAATTTTTGTCGTCACTGGATAATAATTGCCAGCCACTGGTTCCTGAAGATGTAAATTCCAAGTGGGTCGTTTATTTCTTTGGCGCTTTAACATTTCTCGGCCATTACTGTCAGTGTAAAATTCACCACTCGACTCCAAATTTGTTGTGTACTTGGTAATAATTTCCTTACCAATTTTATCACTAAAAATTACACTCATTAGAATATTTCAAATATTCATTTATTCGTGACGCGCTCTCAAGAAAAAAGAATCATTATTACTTGACATCAATGGGGCCAATCAACCAGCTGAATTCAATTCTATCCTCTCCAGCATAAACTCGAACAACTTCACTGACCCATTCATTAATAGTGAGATGAAGTTCCTCCACCAAAGGACCTAATATTTTCAAATAATATTTTTATTAACATTTTTTACATACAATTTGCTTTCGATAAATATAAATAAGACACGAGAATAAGGATAATTGAAAAAACATACCTTTGAATATCTTGAATTTCCCAGTATAAGTAAAGTCTATAGAGCGAGTAACGTTGGGTCTGAAGATATAGGCTCCAGAGGATCGATTTGAGAATACCATATTATTTCCCTCAGCTCCTTTATAAAATTGGAATGCTTGAGTCATTCGAATTCCTTCCTTTGCCATCGATTGCATTACCACTCTTCCGCTTGGATCAACGGAAATATCGTACGTCTAAAACAAAAATTCATACTTTTAAGTCAAAATCAACAAAATCATTAATCATCATTTATAGTTTTTTCTTTTTTACGCCCATGAAAGCGTCAACGCTAAGTGTTGACGTTAACTTCAGGGATTTTCTCTTTCCACTCACATCACCACCCATGAACAAGACTGATTGATTTTCCTCAATGGGTTCGTCAGATTGAATTTCCTCTTCTTGAGTTTTCTCGCTAACATAATATGATTGATAGCCAAGGGCAGGAATTTCCCGTGCCAAAAAGATCAAGTCGTGAACCGCCAAACTTTGTCGACCTGGAATTTTTGACACACTCGCTGGTATTGGCACGAGCTGTGTGACCAGTTCCTTTCCTAAATTATAAGAAAACTTACAATTAAAGAAACAAATATTTGAAAATTAAATCATTTTTTCTTCATTATGTTAAAATTATCTATTTTTTTTTGAGTAAAACTACAGAAAGAGAGTAATTTACTTGCCAAGATAATCTTTAACACTATAAGAAGCTCCTTTAACTGGAACTCGAACGTAAGTTGAAAGAGATTGACTCGCAGGATTGTATAGTGTGACAACAAAGTTTTTATTATTCTCTGTATGCTCACAGGAACTGATGTTTAATTGCAGGCAAGAATGAAATTCGACACTGTCAGAATTTTCTTTCTTTTTCATCATATTTCTGAAAATTGAAAAAAAATATTATTTATTATTTTATTATGTGATATTAAAAATATAAAAAAATCATCTAAAGAAACAATTATTTTCTTCACCTCAAATTATCAGAACACAATTCATTTCCATCTCTCATGCTGTTGGACAAAATTCGTGAATAATCATTAGCTACATGTTGTTTTTCTGTTCCCGTAACAGCGTCGTGATGTTGCATTATTCCCATAGCTTCTCGAAATTTATTTATCTTTTTATTATTTTCCTTATTATTCAAAACCGATAATTGTTTTACTACCTGAAAAAATTTCAATTATAATTTCCACTATATCAAAATAATATTCATTATATCCAAAAATATTTACTTGTAAAAAGTTATTCCCCATTCTTTCGTAGAATTTAATGGTTGGTCTCGAGGTATAGTAACCAGTCCAATAAGCATGTGGATCACTGGCATAGGGAAAGAAATCATCACTTTTCGTTGACCAAGATAATTTTGCATCGTTCACAGCTTTTAGGTAACAGGACGGTGTTGAATAAATTGCATTGTACGTTGAACCATTCAATTTGTTCGTGTATCTATTAAATAAAATTGATTACTTTTCAAAATGTATTTTTAATGTAAATTTTCTTTTTTTTACTACAATATAATTTAATTTTTCCTAGAGTACTTTTTCAAAGAAAAAAGATTTTGAGCTTTTTTTCTTTGTTACCTTCCTTGGAAGCGAGTCATAATTATTTTATTAAAAATATATACGTACTTAATGAGTTTGTCCAAATTGGTGAACCAAGTGTCAGCATTTTGATAATTAAAATCATTTCCCATGGTAATTATTACATTATTTGTTCGGTACGTGGAATTCTGTCTTTCGACAAAGGCCAAAAATTGTTTCACCTAAAAAATTATTGTTAATAATAATAACTATAAAAAATAGTAATTATCTATAAAAATTATCTATTGATTTATGAACTTACTCTACTATCAATATTGTAATCGGGACTTTCTGGATCATCAATCAGTGGGGCATCTGAGCAAAGAATATCGAAACAAAAACCAGCTGGTGGACTATAAGCATTGTATAGAACCGTTGTGAATAAATTGGCACTTTCACCTAAATTGTAAATAAAAAATGTTATTAATAATTAATTAATCATTTTGATAAAATTTGGAAGAATAATTATATATTTCGAGGAATTCGATTAAAATTATAGTAAAAATAATTAAATTTCGGAGAAGAATTTTATTATTAATAAAGATAATTGATATTTTGACGAGAATTGCAAAAATTTCATTATTTCCCTTTCCCTTATTTTTCCTTGAATTATCTGACTTTTCTGACCTGTGTCAACTCTGAATTAGATATTTCTTTAAATTTCCTTAGTGCCACTACTGATAATGATTTTTAATTTACAATTCTTCAAAATACATAAATAACATTTTACCTAAACTGGGACTGCCCTTCCAAATCATTTCCATTGTTCGAGATTTCATTCGCTCATTTTTATCCTGATAATCAAGACGACCGAATAGAACTCCATCGAATCCCATTTGGGCAAACATTGAAGCTTGCTCTCTCGAATGTCCAAAAGGATCAATTTGCCAGCCAATTTTCGGTCGTGCACATTTTCCAAAAGTATCATTTAAAATCCTGAAAGTAACAAAAAAAATTCAATAAAAATAAAATACCCACTCAATTACTTTTATATAACAATTATTTTAACGTGATAATTGATAATAATTCAAATATTTCGAAATATCCGTAATAAATGCGATACAATTTGTTTTTATACAATAATAAGATAAGAGTATGACAATTGATAAAAAAGATAATTGAAAAAAAAATCTGAAAAGTGTATACTGCCGAAGATACTATAAAGAAACAATATCATTGGTTTTTTAATTATTTTACCTGAAACCCCAAGTAAATTGGTCTATAACAGAGTGATAATGAGTGACTGCTTCATCATTCATACTCCATCCTCCTCCAATGATTTCCAATCTTCCCTCATCAATCAGATTTTGAACTGTAGCTCTCACCCTTTCATCTTGCCTCGTCCACCACTTCCACAAAAATGCTGTCTCCACATAAATGAACCTGAAATGTTTTTAATTAGTATTATAATTATCAAAATAATATTAACAGTAGTTTATAAATTTAGAGTTGATTCCCTTTTATTTGCATTTTGAAAATTCCAAATAGCCGATAATTTTTTGCTTTTACTTTTCTTCGGAGGGCGTTTCACATTATAATGAAGAATGAAATTATCCTTAATTTAAATAATTGAAACTCCTTGAATTAAAATAATTTCTTACCGTCTTTCTGGATTTTCTTGCAATGATTTAACTGCAGAGTTCAAAATATATTGAACACCAGCATTTTGAATATTATTTCGATCTGAAATAAAAATTTTTGAATTTTATTTTTGAATTTACTATTATTATTATTATTATTTAGAGAAATAGTTAATTACTCACGTCCATAAAAGTACTGATCAACTGTTTTTAACCAACCAACATCATCGTGAGAATGTGCAACAATATGAATATTCACCTTTGTTGGATCCACTTTAGCACATGACTAGAAAAATAAAAACTCACATTATTTACAAAACTAATAAAATTCTTCCTAATAATAAATTCTTCCTCAAATAAAAAATATTTTCCCCTAGTAACAAAAATAATATTTTAAGATAAATCTAAATACAAATCCACATCAATCAAATTCGTCATTATTATCAGTAAAAAAAGATAATTATTATCATCAAATTGTACTATTTATATTTATTTTTAAAATTTTCTTTTTTATTTATTTTTTTTTAATTTACCAAAATATAACTATTTCATAAAGAAAAGGGAATAAAAAGTTTAATAGAACAAGAAAAATTAATTTTTCACACTATACTATTTACTAAAAATAAATTTAATAAATTAAAGAAAAGAAAATTGTCCAAAGACGGCAGTATATAATAAAAAATTAAAAGTAATTTTTTTCTCCGAATAATTTTTAATTTTGTGCACAAAAATATATTTTGAACTATAAATACTGAATGGAAATATAAACTTTATTCTCACCTCGTATCCGCAATTTTTGTCAACTCTTTCATTGTTTGGAATTACTGCTGCTTGATATGAATGGAACGTATTGAGCACAAGAATAAGAGATAAAAAAAGAGGAGGAATTAAGCGTAACATGATTATGTGTGGTCACGACGCGTTTCAAAATAGTACTAATGCGATAGCGAGGGTCGACATCCAATATTTATACAAATATATCTCATCAGTTGTATACTTGTCTCAAAGTTATACAAGATTACAATAGAAATATCAGTTAAACTAAAAGAATTCGTGACCAGTATAGACAACAGCTGATTTAGACAGCGTTTGCACGATAATTTTTTTCTTTTTTTTTTTTTGTTATATTTGAAAAACAAGATATAAGCCTGCGGTGACCGCGAAAATTATACCATGTAAATACAGAAAGAGAGGAGCAATGTGTAATTTTTCACGACAGTCAACAATTTTTAACGTTTAAATAATAATTAGCGTAATTTAAAAAATCAAGGCTATTTCGTTTCATTGTCATCTTTAATATATTTTTCATAACAAAATAGAGATTTTAACTTATATATTCATACATTTCAAAAATCCTAATTAAATTCTTTTGAAGAATTTTTTTGGAATTTTTTGAAAGTATTTGAGTTTTTTTTTTAATAATTTTAATTGAAAAATTTTGAAAGTAATTGAATTTTATGAACAATTTCTTTCAAATTTTTAAAATAATCGTTTAATAAAATTGTATTTTATTAAAATTTTTGGAAAATAGTTAAATTATTCACAGAATTTTATTACGATTTTCAAGAAAAATTTAATTCATGTAAAAAAATTTTACTAAAATATAGAAAACAATTCAATTCATTCAAAGAATAGATACCATTAAAGATTTTGACAATAATTGAATTATAATTAATAATTTTACTATTAAAATTTTATTAAAATTATTGATAGAAAATTAAACGATTTTATTATAGTTTTTGTAAATAATTAAATTCTTTGGAAGAATTTCTTTCACTTTTTTTGAAAATAATGTAGTTTTTTGAATAATTTTAAGTGAAAATTTTGAATATAATTGAATTAAACAAAGAATTTTTTTAAACTTTTTAAAATAATCGGGTCTGTTAATAATTATAATTAAATATTTTATTCTTCAAGTTTATTAAAAATATATTAAAAATAATTGAATTCCTGAGAAGAATTTTATTATTTATAAAAATAATTTAATTCTTACTATGAATTTTACTATTTAAAAAAATGATTGAATTGTTCCGAAGGTTTTTCTTAAATTTTAAAAAATAATTGAATTCTTTGAAAACTTTTATAACGAATTAAAAAAAGAATTGAATTATTTCGTGAAATTTTATTGAAAATAATTTAATTTTTGCAAAGATTTTACTATATAAAAAATAATTTAATTGTTTCGAAGGTTTTATTAAAATTTAAGAAAATAATTGAATTCTTTCCAAAAAGTTAATTAAAAATTTTTAACAAATTGAATTGCTTCGAAAGATTTATTAAAATTTAAAAAAATCATTGAAATTTTTCGAAAAATATTATTAAGAATCTAAATAAAATTTAATTCATTCATAAAATTTTATTAAAATTGTATTCAAAATAATTGAATTTATTCGAAAATGTTATTAAAAAATTTTTTTAAATTGAATTGTTTCAATGGATTTATTAAAATTTTTTTAAATAATTGAATTCTTTACAAAAAGTTTATTAACAATTTTTGAAAAATTAAATTGCTTTGAAAGAATTATTAAAATTTTAAAAAATAATTGAAAATTTTCGAAAAATAATATTGAAAAATAAAAAAAAATCGAATTCATTTATGTAGTTTAATTAAAAATTGTATTAAAAATAATTCAACTTCTACGAAGAATTTTATCAAAATTTCTTAAAATAATTGAATTCTTTTGAAGAATTTTAACACAATTTTTTAGAAATAATTGAATTCTTTCGAGAAATTTTATTAAAATTGTAATAAAAATAATTCAATTTCTACGAAGGATTTATTAAAAGTTTAGAAAATAATTGAATTCTTTTATTAAAATTCCTTTATTAAAATTTCAGAAAATAATTTGAAATTTAACAAAAAATTTTACTATTCATAAAAATAATTGAATTCTATCGAAATTATTTATGAAAATAATTTAATTCTTGCGAAGAATTATTATAAAATTTTTGAAAATATGTAAACAATAATAATTAATTATGTACTTAATGAGTGAATTTAAAAAATTTTTATTATGGAATTTTTCAACAATTTAGAATTGAAAATTAAAAATTTAATATAATAATAATAATTGAATATTAATTCGAAAGAATTCAACTCTAATCATTTATCAAAAATTATTCTTCTTCATTTTCTGATTTCTTTTTTAAGCTTCTTTGCGGTACGCAAATTTTATAATAAATGTACGTATCTGCATTGGTTTCAATTCAACAATAATTTCATCTCGATTCTCCAAATTAAGAGGTTTAAAGAAATCGTCATTTTCCAAATTAGAATTATCTTCATCCGAATTCCACTTTAGACGTTTTTTATTTTTCAACCATTGATTTCCACCTAAAGTAACTTCTCCTATTGAAGTCACGATAAAGGCACTAAAGAGTTTCTGCAATTTTTTTTTTATATATAATTTTAAAAAACCCTTTAAAAAAATATAAATTTAAAAATACATTGATTGGTCCCAAGTTTTAATCATTTTGTACCCTATTTATGAAAAGTTACTCATATATTTCTATTATTATTATTATTATTATTATCTCTACATGAGGAAGCAAACTGTTCATGAAACGAAAACAATACTTGGCAAATAATTGAAACTTACTTGAATGTCCACGTTGACAGGAATAGAATATTTCTTAGATTCTTTCAATTCGAAGATGTGTTCCAATCTCAATAAAACGGTGCCACGTTTCCAGGGTTCTAATGTTAAAATCTGAACGTTGGGTGGCAAAGATTCTGACAATCCAGCAAACTTCATTTTGTAAGTCCTTTTCCAATTTTTATAGGAAATATTTTCCACGGGATTAATGAAAATCCATGGGCGATGTGCCAATCGTACAGCTTCCTTTTTCTCCTCAAGTATAAATTCGCTGGATTTACGTCCAAAAATGATGGAATGCTCTCCCCTGGCAACTAATCCGGTTCCATATGCAATCTCTCGTAAAGCTTCGTTAACACCAAATCCATCATCACTAGAAAGTTTCCTATGAATCTATAAAATAGAACAATAAAAATTGAGCATAATTTTTTCTTTTCGAAAAACAAAAATTAGAATTGCCACAAAAATTAAATTTTCTTTTTCCCTCACTTTTCCCTGATTTCAAGATAAAATTTTCGACTATTAATCCTGACCGTAAAGAATATTCTGATTCACTCTAAAAATTATTAAATACTTATTCAAAAAAATGTTCTATTACTTATTTACGAATTTCTATAATTGTAAAATTATTCAAAAACACCAATAAGTTCAATTTTTCAATAAATATTTAATGATTATTATTTTTTTTAAATTGAAATTTTCCAAAACATTCAAATTCAAGCCTTTTTGAAATTTAACAACTTAACATTTATTTAATTTTATTAGAAATTTCGATTATTGGAAAATTCTTCAATTAAATATATATTAGAAAATAAAAACTTCAAATAATTTACAAAAAAAAAATCAATTAAACTTTTTCAAAAAAATTAGTCCTTCAGTTATTAATTAAAAAGTACGAAAAATTCAGATTTTCAAAAGATTTGAAATTAAAACCTATTCAAAATTCAATTATTTCTTAAAATTTACACAATAACTCTTCTAATATTCAATTATTTACTAAAATTTTAACTGAAATTAATTTTTAAATAAATTTTTATTCAAAAATTCTACGAAAATTTAATTACATATTTATAAATACAAAAATAAATACTTTATTGAATAAAAAAATGTTTCTCAAAATTGAATTCTCATAAAGAAGTTTAAAACCAAATTTTTATTAAAATTGAATTCTTTCGACGAATTTTAATAAAATTTTTAAGAATAATTACATTTTTTGAGGAATTCGATTAAAATTTTATTAAAAATGATTGAAATTCTGCGATGAGTTCTATTATTTATGAAAACAATTAAATTCCTAAAAAGAATTTTATTATTTTCTCTGAAAATAATTCAATTCTTGTAAAACTTTTATTATTTATAAAAATTTTCATAAATTGAATTCGTGTGAAATTTTTATTATTTTTATAAAAATAATTAAATATTTGCGTAGAATTTTATTAAATTTTTTTTAAATAATTGAATATTTTTGGAAAAATTTATTAAAATAGTAGATAATAAAAATCATTAAATCCTGGTAAATTTTTTAAAATAATTGAAATTTTGCAGAAGAAATATATTATTTTTTAAAAATAATTGAAATTTTGACGAGAAATATTAACATTTTTTTAACATAATTGAATTCTGCAAAGAATTTTATTAACATTCCTCAAAAAAAATGAATTTCGTCGAAGAATTTTTCTATTTAGATAAATAATTGACATCTTGACGAGAATTTAAAAAAAATTTTGAAAATAATTGAATTTTGGCAAAAAATTTAATTACTTTTGAAAATAATTGAAATCTTGTTATGAATGTTGTTAGTTATGAAAAAAATTGAATTTTGCAAAGAATTTTATTAAAATTTCTTAAAATAATTGAATTTTTGGGAAGAATTTCAGATTTTTAAAAATAATTGAAATTTTGCTAAAAATTTTATTAAATTTTTTTTTAAATATGTAATTGAATTCTGGAGAAGAATTTTATTATTTTTAAAGATAAATTAAATTTGACGAGAATTATTAAAAATTTTCTTAACATAATCGAATTGTGCAAAGAATTTTATTCAAATTCCTGAAAATAATTGACTTTCAGCAAAGAAGTTTCCATTTTAGAAAAATAATAATTGAAATGTTATGAATCTTGTTAGTTAAGAAAATAATTGAATTTTGCAAAGAATTTTATTAAAATTTCTGCAAATAATTGAATTTTCGAGAAGAATTTTGCTATTTATAAATATAATTGAAATCTTGACGAGAATTTTTTAAAATATTTTGAAACTTTTGAAATTCAGCAAAAAATTTGATTATTTTTGAAAATAATTGAATTCTTGTGATGAAAATTGTTATTTATGAAAATAATTGAATTTTTCGGAAAGAATTTTGATATTTATAAAGATAATTGAATTCCTTTAAAGAATTATGTTAGAATTTTTGAAAGAATTAAACATATTAAAAAATTCAATTCATTTCAACAGAAATAAAATTAAAATTATTTAAAAATATTAGAATAATATTTTAAATTCTGACAAGGAATTTATCAAAAATTTTAAAAACAATAACATTTTTAATAAAATTCTTTAAAAATTGCAATTTTCTAAAATTGATTTCCCTCACCTATATCAACTCTGAAAAATATTCATTAAATAATTTTTTTTTCATACCATTAATTCAAGTTCTCCACTTCTCAAGCTCGTACCACCTTGTGATCTATCAGTGAGAACTGCTAATCGCAATTTTTTCTTTCGATCTTGCAGAAAAATTTTTGTCGTCACAGGATAATAGTTCCCTGCTATTTTATCAACAACATTCAAATTCCAAGTTTCACGCTCATTTCTCGTTCGCATTATCATATCACGACCATTACTGTCGGTATAAAAAATATTCTTTGAGTTAAGAATTGTTTTATATTTCACGACAATCTCTTCATCTCTGTAAAAAAGACAATTTTTTTTATTTTTAAAGAAAAACGAAAATTCAATTAAGTAATTGCATTAATTATTTGAATTCAATAAAATTACAAAAAATACTAATAAATAAAAAAATTTAATTTCAGAAATTGTTATTTCATTTTAATATATTTAATGTAAGTATTTAATTCAATCAAATTAATTTTTTAATTTTTTTTTGTGTACCATAAACGACTCAATATATAATTACTTGAAAATAAATAAAATAAATTATATTTTACCTGCTATTGATGGGACCAACTAGCCAGTTGAATTCAATTCTGTCCTCCTTATTGTAAATTCGAACTACTTGACTGATGTAATCATTAAAAGTAAGATGAATTTCCTCCACCAATGGACCTAAAGAGGGAATTATATCTTTAATTTTTTTTTCACTTATTTCGAAAATAAAAAATACCTAAATTTAAAATGGGACTTCTTTTATAATCGCAAAAATAAATTTCTAATTTATTTCATACCTTTGAATATTTTATAATATCCTTTGTAGGTGAGATCCAAGGCTCTACTTTGAGGTCTAAAAACATAGGCTCCAGACGACCTCTCAAAATTAAATGAATCATGTCCTCTTTTTCTGACATAAGATTTAAATGACTGAATCATTGTAAGGTGTCTATCAGTCTTTGATTCTACAACAATTTTTCCATTTGAATTTACAGAAACAGTCCATGTCTGAAAAAAATGAAAGCATAGGTAAAATTAAATTTCATTTCTAAATTGCTATTTTTTTTTATTGTTTACAACGAATAATACCTCAAAATACACATATTTCGCATTTGCGAAATTAATGGGATGATTAAATTTTTAACCTTCTTTTTTATATCTCATTATATGTATTTTTTTTGCATACTCACATTACTACTTATAGATGTATCAGTATCATCAGTTTCAATTTCACTTTCTTCAGTTTTCCTGCTAATGTAAAATGATTGATAACCAAGAGCAGGAACTTTTTTTGCGAAAAAAATTAATTCATATTCAGCGGAACTTTCTCGACCTGGAAGATTCAACACATCATCTGGCACTGGAACAATTTGTGTCTCGAGCTTCGTTCCTGAAAAATAATATAATATTAATATTCGAAGCGCTTTCAAGAAAAACTCAAAAAATCTAAAGTTTCGTTTCTAATCTTTGGAGTAAAAATATAGAAAGAGAATCAAATAGTATTAAAAATTATTGATCATCAAGTCTTTATTGTAGCGAAAATGTTCAATAAAAACTGATTTCAAATTCATGTAATTAAAAATAAACTTTTAATCAAGATAATAGAAAGATAAACGTAACCAATAATTCATTTGCTTCTTGGGAGTGCGTCACATATTTAAATTTTATTCACATTTGAAATATTAAGTTGATAATAATACCTTGATAATCTAGAACTTGATACGAGGTCCCAGTAACTGGAAGTCGAACGTAAAATGAAATTTTTTGACTCGTAGGATTGTACACGGTAACAACAAATTTTCCATTGTTCTCCGTGTGTTCGCAGGAACTTATATTTAATTGAAAGCAAGAATGAAACTTTATAGAATCTTCTTCCTCTGGATTTTTGTCTTTTCGCATCATATTTCTGTAATTAAGAAATTATTATAAAAATTATTTTGAATAATTTTATAATTAAAATTTAGAAAATTCACTTATTAAGTGGATAATTAATTATTATTGTTTATATTTTCTAAACATTTTAATATAATTCTTCGAAATAATTCAATTATTTTCATAAAAAATATTCTTCGGAAGAATTCAATTATTTTCATAAATAGTAACATTTTTTGCAGAAATTCAATAATTATTTTCAAAAAAAATTTTAATAAAATTTCAGAAAGGAATTCAATTATTTTTATAAATAGTAAATTTTTTTTGCAAAAATTCAATTATTTTCAACAACATTTTGATACGATTTCACGAAAGAATTCAATTATTTTCTAAAATTTAATAAATCCATTGAAACAATTCAATTTTTTTTAAAAAGTTTTAATAAAGTTTAACGAAGGAAACGGATCTTTTTTCGAAAACTTTAATAAAATATTCGAAACAATTCAGCTATTTTTTTAAGTTGTAAAATTCATCACAAGATTAAATTATTTTTATAAATAATAAAATTCTTCTCTATAATTCAATTATCTAAAAAATTTTTTTATAAAATTCGTTACAAGAATTAAATAATTTTCATAATTAATTAAACTCATCGCAGGATTTCAATTATTTTTAGTACAATTTTAAACGAATTCTTCGAAGAAAGCAATTATTTTTAAAAATTTTATTAAATTTCTTCAAAAGAATTCTTTTGTTTTAAAAAATTTTGAAAAAGCTCTTTATAAGAATAATCAATTATTCAATAAATTATTTATTTTTGTATTTAAATAATTGAATTCTCGTAGAACTATTAGAAGCTTTATGTTGTGAATTTTATAAATTTTTTTAAAATAAATTTAATTAATTTCTGAAATTGTAATAAATTTTTCGAAACAAATTCAATTATTTATATAAATAGTACAATTCCTTGCAAAAATAAATTCTTTTTAATAAAATTTTAATAAAATTTCATGAAAGAATTCAATTTTATTTTAACTTTTAATATTTTTTGAAAAAATTCAATTCATTTCTAAAATGTTTCGAAGCAATTAAAATTTTTTAAAATTTTTAATAAAGTTTTTCGAAGGAATCCGATTCTTTTCAAAAATTTTAATAAAACCGTCAACAATTCAATCATTTTTTAAGTAGTAAAATTTATCACAAGAATTAAATAATTTTTATATAAATAATAAATTTCTTCTCAGGAATTCAATTATTTACAATACAATTTTAATAAACTTCAAAAATCAAATATTTAATTATAATTATTAACAGACATGATTATTTTAAACAGTCTAAAAAAATTCTTTCTTTAATTCAATTGTATTCAATAAATTAAAGAAATTTTTTTAAAGAATTCAATTATTGTCAAAACCTTTAATATTATCTATTCTTTGAAAGAATTTAATTATTTTCTATATTTTAATAAAATTCCTTGAATAAAATTAATTATTTTAGAAAATTATAATAAAATTCTTAGAAGAATTTAATTATTTTCTAAAAATTTTAATAAAATTCAATAATTAAATGTTTAATTTCAATTTTTAGAAAACACGATTATTTTAAAAACTTGAAATAAATTGTTCTTAAAATGCAATCACTTTCATAGTTTTCAATTAAAATTGTTAAAGAAATTCCATTATTTTAAAGAAATTCAAAGAAATTCTTTAAAAGAATTTAATTAGGATATTCAAAAATTTTAATAAAAATCTTCGCAAGAATTCAATTATTTTCATAAATAATAAAATTCTTCGTAGGAATTCAATTATTCTCAAATTTTTTGCCAAAATTCTTTCCAATAATTCTATTATTTTCATAAATAATAATATTCTTCGTAGGAATTTAATTCTTCTCAAATTTTTTGACAAAATTCTTCCCAATAATTCTATTATTTTCATAAATAATAAAATTCTTCGTAGGAATTCAATTATTCTCAAATTTTTTGATAAAATTGTTCGCAAGAATTCTATTATTTTCATAAATAATTAAATTCTTCAAAGGAATTCAATTATTCTCAAATTTTTTGATAAAATTGTTCGCAAGAATTCTATTATTTTCATAAATAATTAAATTCTTCAAAGGAATTCAATTATCATCAAATTTTTTTAACCGAATTCTTCGTAAGAATTCTATTATTTTCATGAATAATAAAATTCTCCAAAGAATTCAATTATTTTCATGAATAATAAAATTCAATTATTCTTAAATTTGTTGACAAAATACTTTGCATGAATTCAATGATTTTCAATACATTAATTTTAAAATTGAAAACATTTGAAAGGAAAAAAATCATTAAATAAAGTTAGGAATCAAAAAAGCAAACAATGACTAACTTCAAATTGCAAACAGATTACCGAAATACAACGATTATTAATATAGAAAATAATAAATATGTTAAATAATACCTCAAAGCATTTGCACTTAGTTTATGTCCCTCTCTCATGCTAATTGCCAAAATTCGTGAATAATCATCAGCGACATGTTGTTTTTCTGTTCCCGTAACAGCGTCATGATGTTGTAAAATCCCCATAGCTCTTCGAAATCTATTTAATTCTTTAGTGTTAGGCATATTATTCAAGACCAACAGTTGCTTTACTATCTGAAATTAAAATTATACACAATACTGAAAATAACATGAACCTAACAATCTTATTAATAGTGTTATTAAAATAATGTTTATCTTTACTTGCAGAAAATTGTTTCCCATTCTTTCGTAGAATTTAATGCTTGGTCTCGAGGTATAATAACCAGTCCAATAAGATTGCGCATCACTGGCATAGGGAAAGAAATCATCACTTTTCGTTGACCAAGATAATTCGGCATCATTAACAGCTTTTAAGTAGCAAGATGGCGTTGAATAAATTGCATTATATTTCGATCCGTGCATTTTGTTAATATACCTAGACATATAGAGCATAAAAATTAATTGCTTTTTCACACTACATTTTAATCAATAAAGAAAACCTAATTATTATTTTCATATTAATGGAGAATTATTATTAATTTTACAGAAATAATTTTAAATTCTACATTTTTTGTAACACGTTCCGAAGAAAGGTAAGTATTTTTATAAAAATACTTACTCAATAAGGATGTCCAAATTATAAAACCATAATTCAGCTTCTTGATAGGTAAAATCACCTCCCATGGTAATTATTACATTATTCGTTCGATATGAAGAGTTTTGCTTTTCGACATACGACAAAAATTGTTTCACCTAAAAAAAAGGGTATACAATTCAAGACATTTTAAAAAGACACCTTAAAAAATTGTTTTAAATAAATATATAAATTCCTTTATATATTAAATAATTGTGTACTAAAAATTTTAGAACCACTTGAAGCATTTGAATATAGTTATTATGTTAAAAAGTAAACGACCTTTTTTTTTGCTTCTTTCTTTTTTTGGAGCGCGTCACATTTAAGGAAAAAAATCTTTTTGATAATACTTTTAGGTGGAAAGTAAAATTAATAAATTATATTGAAAAACGTACTTTGTTTTCTATATTATAATTTGGGCTCTCTGGATCATCATCCAAATTACCATCTGAACAAAGAATATCGAAACAAAAACCACTTGGTTGTTGATAAAGATTGTACAGTACCGAAGTAAATAAATTCGAACTAGCACCTAGAATTAAAGGAAATTTTATAAATTTTGTTAAAATTCTAGTCTTTTGGAATCTTAGTTGTAACTAAGATTTTCATCATTTCAATTCAATTATATTATTTTCTAGAATTTTTAACTAAAATTCTTCTTTAAATCAATTATTTTTAATAATTTTCAAAAAAGTTCTTTAACAATTTTCAAATACATTTTGTTTTTAGAAGTTCAATTTTACGAAATTTCGATTATTTGGAAATTCTTCAATTAAATGTATATTAAAATTATTAAAAACTTCAAATAATTTTAAAAAAAAACAATTAAAATTAAAAAAAATTAATTCTATACATAATTGTCCGTTAAAAGTATGAAAAATTACGATTTTCAAATATTTTAATTTGAAATCTTTTCAAAATTCAATTATTTCTAAACATTCACGCTATAATGCTTTTAATATTCAATTATAATCTAAAATTTTAACTGAAATTCAATTTTAAATCAATTTTTATTAGAAAATTCTCCGAGAATTCAAATATTTAAATGCAAAAATAATAATAACTGAATAACATTTTTTGAGAAATAATTGAAATTTTGCGATGAGTTTTATTATTTATGAAAAATTATTGAATTCTTAAAAAATTGTATTATTTATGAAAATAATTGAATTATTACGAAGAAATTTAAAATAAATTTATAAATAATTGAATTTCTGTGAAATTTTTATTATTTATGAAAATAATTGAATTATTACGAAGAAATTTAAAATAAATTTGTAAACAATTGAATTTCTGTGAAATTTTTATTATTTAAGAAAATAATTAAAAATTTGCGTAGAATTTAATTATAACTTTTTTTTGGAAATAATTGAATTATTTTCGAAAAACTTTTATTAAAATTGCAGATATTGAAAAATTTTTGAATTGAGGAAAATTTTTGAAAATAATTGAAATTTTACCAAGAATTTTATTAAACTTTATGAAAATAATTGAATTTTAGAGAACAATTTTATTGTTTATAAAGATAATTGAAATTTTGACGAGAATTTAAAAGAATTTTGGAACATAATTGAATTTCTGCGAAGAATTTTATTACTGTTGAAAATAATTGAATTTCTGCAATCATTTGTAACTTTTTAAAATTTCATTTCTTTATAGAGATTTTAACTAAAACTCTTCTATAAATCCATTATTTTTAATAATTAATTAAATAAGTAATTAAATATATACATTAAAAATTTTAACTAATTTCAGAATAATTTCAATTATCCGAATTTTTCAAATAAACTAAGTTCTTTAAAATTTCTTATTAAATGCATTCAAAATTTAAATTTTCAAAAAGTAAAAATAATAGAAATTCTGCAAATAAATTTGTCATAATTTTTAAGAATCATTGAATTCAGATATTTTATAAAAATTTTTTTGAAAATAATTGAATTCTTGCAAAGAATTTTAAAATAATTGAAATTTCAACAAGATATTTATAAAATTTGTTAGAAATAATTGAATGCTTTTGAGAAATTTTATTCGAAATACTTGAAATTCTGACGAGAAATTTATCAAAGATTTTTAAGAATTATTAAATTCTTTTCAGAAATTTTATTGAAAATATGTAAATTCATGCTTAAAATTTTAATTTAATTTATTTAAAAATTTAAATTTTCTAAAAGTAAAAAATAATAGAAATTCTGCAAGTTTTATCAAAATTTTTAAGAATAATTGAATTCTGATATTTTATTAAAATTGAATTGAAAATAATTGAATTTATGCGAAAAATTGAAAATAATTGAAATTCCGCAACGAAATTTATCAACATTTTTAAGAATTGAATTCAGATATTTTATTAAAATTGTATTGAAAATAATTAAATTTTCATGCAAAGAATTTTATAATAATTGAAATTTTGGCAACTAATTTATAAAAAAATTTTAAGAATAATTGAATTCTTTGGCGAAATTTTATTAATAATAATTGAAATTTTCATAAGAAGTTTAATTTCAGGAATTTTTTAATTCTTTCGAGAAATTTTATTGAAAATTTCCGGTTAAATTCATTCAAAATTGAAATTTTTGTAAAATTTCAAATTAAAACCTTTTGAAGTTTATCTATTTATGAAAATTGTAAAAGCAATTTTTTTAACCAGGACCTTTGCCGAATTTTTGAAATTTTTTAATTATCATTTTTGTCAATTATTAAAATTGTTAAATATTTTTAAGTATTTTGCGCAAGAAATGCATTATTTAAATTATTTTGTTGATTTTCGTGATTTATCATAAATAGAAAGAATATTTTTGTTTATTCATAATAAATAGAAAGAATATTTGTATTTACCAAGACTGGGGCTGCCCTTCCAAATCATTTCCATTGTTCGAGTTTCCATTCGCTTATTTTTATCCTGATAATCAAGACGACCGAATAGAAGACCATCGAATCCCATTTCGGCAAACATTGAAGCCTGCTCTCTCGAATGTCCAAAAGGATCGATTTGCCAGCCGATTTTCGGTCGTGCACATCTTCCGAAATTGTCATTTAAAACTCTGAAAATAAAAAGAAGAATTTTAAGATTTTAAGATTAATTTTATTTATTTCTGTTGTAAAAAATTGTATTTTTTTTCCTCAAAATAGTAAATTTAGTACCAATTTTTGTACTAAATCGTAATTTGATTCTATTTTAATAGCGAAATCGGCGCTCTAATTTGAAACTTATTTTTAGGATGAAGAAATTAATTTCTTTTTTTTTTAGGATAACTCACCTAAAGCCCCAAGTAAATTGATCGATAACCGACTGATAGTGCGTCACTGCTTCATCGTTCATACTCCAGCCTCCTCCAATAATTTCCAATCTCCCCTCATTAATCAAGGAGCGAACCACCGCTTTTGTTGCACTATTTTGTCTCACCCACCACATCCACAAAAAAGATGTCTCCACATAAATGAATCTAATTTTTAATTTTTTTTTAAAAATATTATTATTCTATTAAGAAATAGAGTTTAAATTTGCTTTTACCGTCTTTCTGGATTTTTCTGCAGCGACTCAACTGAAGAACTTAAAATTTTCCTTACTTCAGCTCGTTGGATTTCATTTTTCTCTGAAATCAAAAAAAAGAAAAGAAATAAAATGTCTTTCCGTGCATGGACGAAATTTTTAATTTCGAAACCAATTGAAGACGGGTACGACAACTTGTCATTAACACTGTAAATTTATTAAATAATTATACGCTTAGCTAGTAAGTATATAATTTAAGTTCCTTACGTCCAAAAAAATATTGATTCACCGTTTTCAACCAACCAACATCGTCATGAGAATGTGCCACAATATGAATATTCAATTTTGTTGGATCAACTTCTGCACACGACTAGAAATAAAAAAAAAATTTAATTAACAAAAATTAGAAAATTCTCATTTTCTAATTTTCTAATTCTTCATTTTCTAATTCTAGAAAAAAATTATATACATCAAATTTTACCTTGTATCCGCAAACTTTACGCTCTCTCTCATCCTCAACTATCGAATTCGAAATCAATTGTTCGCCCTCCTGAAATTCACAATGAAAAATAATTATTATACTATAAAAATTGAAAAAGAAAGAAAGAAAAACTTTTTCTTACCATTCTCTCAAAAAAAGAGGAGGAGCCAACATTGCACAAAAGAAAAACACAGGCAGATGAAAATAAAACTCTTATTAATTTTACCATTTTTTACCACAATTCAAAATTAAATGCGATATTGGTAAGTACCAACAGAAAATTACCAACTGCTAAAGAACGTGTACAAAAGAAATAGCTATCTGAAGCTTTTTTCTTTATCAAAAAATTATTTACTACTTTTTTGACATTAAAAAGAAAAGTAAAACATGCAAGAAAATATTATTCTGAAAACTAAATTTCTGTCCAATTGTTTCTAGAATTTAAAAGCAATAAATTTATATTAATAATAATGTTTAAAATGTTTAATAATAATATACAAAACACGTGTAAAAAAAAATTTGCTTGCATTCATAGTTTCAACATTAAAATCAAACGATTAATACTTGACGTACACTTTTTTTATTACCTATAACAATAAAACAGAAACAATAAAAGAGTTAAAAATTATAATTCTTGAAATATTTTCTAAAATCTACGTGAAGTGAATAAAAATGAAAAAAAATTCCTTTTTTGTTTAGTTCCAAACTTTCGAATATTAATTTTTTAGAAAATTAGATTCATGTTTAATAAAAACAGATCAAATACACTTTTTTGAAATAAAGAATATAGATCGTACCAGTTATCGGACAGAATAATATTTTTTATAATTTCAGAATAATTGAACTGACTAATTATGTAATATTTTTTCTTAAAGAAATTCTTCGTCTTTGACAATAATTAAACAACACAACGTAAAAATTCAATGTAACAGGCATTTTTACCTATCCGATAAATGGGGCACGATAATTGGATTTACAATAGTTTTGGTGTCCGATAATTAGAACGATTGACTTGACTTTATATTTTCCTTATATTTTTCTAAAAAAAAATACTTTGCAAAAAATTATTTAAATTCATCGACTTAACACTAACTATCCGATAACTGGTACATCTACTCAACTTGAATTTGACTTGAAAAAAATTTTGTAATTAGTAAAAAAAAGATGTTAATACTTGACATTAATCTCCAGGGGTTGCGACAAAAATCTAATTTTGTTTTTTCCTGATTTCCAGAAAAAAATTATTACTTTTTTCCTGACCCTAAAGAATATTCTGATTCAGTCTAAAAATTATAAGATATTTTCTAGAATTTTTAAATAAACTTCTTCATTGAATCAATTATTTTTAATACTTTTTGAAAAAGTTCTTTTGATAATTTTCAAATCCATTTGTTTTTAACAAATTTGAATTTCACGAAATTTCGATTATTTGAAAATTCTTCAAATTAAATAGGTATACTTAAAAAAAATAAAAACTTCAAATAATTTCAAAAGAAATTCATTAAAGTTTTTCAAAAAAAAAATAATTCTACAGAATTGTTCGTTAAAAATATGAAAAATTCCAATTTTCAAAAGATTTTAATTTGAATCCTTTCAAAATTCAATTATTTTCTAAAATTTTAATTGTAATTAATTTTTAAATCAATTTTTATTAAAAAATTCAACGAGAATTCAATTATTTAAATACAAAAAATAAATTATTTGTTGAATAACAGAATGTTTCTTAATATTGAATTCTCATAAAGAATTTTATCAACAAATTTTTAAATAATTGAATTCTTTTGACGAATTTTAATAAAATTGTACAAAACAATTACATTTTTCGAGAAATAATTGAAATTCTGTGTTTAGTTTCTTTATTTATGAAAAATAATTGAATTTCTAAAAAATTTTTAGAATTGATTTTTTTTGCGAAAAAATTCATGCAAATTCTAGTTTAAATAATATTGAATTCCTGTGAAATTTTTATTATTAATGGAAAGTGATTGAATGTTTGCGTAAAATTTTATTAAAATTATTTTTCAAATAATTGAATTCTTTTAGGAAATTTTATTAAAATAGTAGATACTGAGTATCATTGAAAATAATTGAATTTCTGCAAAGAAATTTATTAAAATTTTTAAAAAGAATTTAATTCATTTATCTTATAAAAAATTGTATTGAAAATAATTGAATTCATTTATTTTATGAAAATTGAAATTTTGACAACTAATTTATAAAAAATTTTAAGAATAACTGAATATTTGTGACTCGCCTTTTACCGTTTCACAAGTTTCACGACAAATGTTTTAATTTCAAAGGGATTAATATGAATGACAAATTTTTCATCATTTGTCATGTTCGATAATGTATCCCCATCTCGTTGAATCACATCGCCAAGCCATTGATTTCCGGAAAGATTTGTTTCCCGCATTGTCGTTACTTTGAATTTTGAGAATAAATCCTAAAATCAATATGATTTACGTTAAATTTGAAATTAATAAAATTACAAATAATTACATTTAAAATAGTTAACATTTTCTTTTATTATTAAATAATTCTTTTAATTAATAGTTAAAATTTATTATTTATTAAAATTGATTGTTTATTAAAATTTATGATTAATAATTAAAAGAAAAATTATTAAATAAACATTTTTCTAAAAGAAAAGTTATTTTAAAGTTTTTCTTTCGTTAAAATACTTACTTGAATGTTAATTTTCACTGGTTGTGAATATATTGAAGATTCATTACTTTCAAAAATGTGTTCTAATCTTAATAATGCACTATCCTCCTTCCAAGGTTCGAGTGTTAATATACGAACATTCAATGGCAAAACTGTATTAAGGCTGCTTCCCTATAAAATAAAAATGTATTTAAAATTTATTTTTTTCTACTCTAGTTTCGTCAAAAAAAAAAAAAATAATTGAATGCTTGTAAATAATTTTATAACATTTTTTTTAATAACTGAATTCTTAAATTGAAAATAATTGAATTGTCTTGAAGAATTTCATTAAAATATTTTTAAAAATTAAATTAAAATTTCTTTCAAGAAGTTTCATTATAAATGTATGGAAAATAATTAAGTTTTAATAAATAAATGATATTAAAATTTTTTCGAATAATGGAATTCCTGAGAAGAATTTTATAAAAATTTTTTCAAATAATTGATTTTTTCGGAAAAAAAATTTATGAACCATGTGTTAATAAATAATTGAATTCTTGTGAAAATTTTATTATTTATGAAAATAATTGTATTATTGCGAAGGAATTTATAAAAAATTTGTAAACAATTGAATTTCTGTGAAAATTTTATTATTTATGAAAATAATTGAATGTGTACGAAGAATTTTATAAAAATTTTTTATAATAATTGAATTCTTTTGGTAAATTTTATTTAAACGGTAGATATTGAAAATAATTGAATTGTCTTGAAGAATTTCATTAAAATTTTTGAAAATAATAAAATTCTTTCAAAAAATGTAATTGAAAATGCATTAAAAATAATTATTAAATTTTAATAAACAAATGATATCAAAATTTGTTAGAATAATTGAATTCTTTTTAATTCTTTTTTCTTTTAATAAAATTTTTAAGAATAATTGAATTTTTCGAGGAATTCTTTTAAAATTCTATTAAAAATAATTGAATTATTGTAAAGAATTTTATTAAAATTTTCAAAAATAATTGAATTCTGAGAAGAATTTTATTAATTTTTTTTTATAATTGAATTCATGCGAAGAAGTTTATAAAAATATTTTTAAATAATTGTTTTTTTTCTAAAAAAATTATGAAAATTGTGTTTAAAATAATTGAATTCCTGTGAAAATTTGATTATTTGTGGAAATAATTGAATGTGTAAAAATAATTTTTCAAACAATTTGTAAATAAATATTGTAAATTTCAATAAAAAAAGTTAATGAAATACAATTATTATTATTAAATTATTAATACTATAACTAACCTGCATATTGAAATTATTCTTCCATTGATCATAGGAAACGTCTTGAAGTGGAGTAATAAAAGTCCAAGGTTTCAAGGACAATTGTAGAGCTTGTTCTTTTTCATCAAGAATCGATTTTTCATTAATTTCTCCCAAAAACAAAACGTGTTGACCTCTGACAACTAAACCCTCTCCAAAAGCCTCTTCGTTGAGAGGCTCTACAACTCCAAAGCCGTCATCCATCAGCAATCTTCTATGCAACTAGAAAATATGTATATTTCATTTTATTCTTTCTGTAGTCTAAAAATTCTATTTATTATCAGATTTAAAGATTTTTTCACCATCAATTCTAACTCTCCATCTTGAAGACTTGTGCCTCCCTCAGATCTGTCGGTGAAAACGCTGAGTTTCAATTTATTCTCTGGTTCTTGTAGGTAAATTTTTGTTGTGACCGGATAGTAATTTGATGAAATGACTTCTTCGAATGTTTGATTCCAAGTGGGCCTTGAATTTCTCCTGCGTCTTAACATTTGTCGTCCATTACTGTCCGTGTAGAATATTTCTTTTGATTTTAAATTCGTCGTGTATCTCGTCACTATTTCTCGGCCCACATTATCACTAAAAAAATTGCGCATAATTATTTTAAGCATTATTTTTAATCCAAATATGACGCGCTCTGAAGAAAGATACTTAAAAAGCAAAATATTTGATGTTTGTAATTTTTTGAATGAAATACTTATTTCAATTTTTAATTAAATCCTATTTCTTTTTTTTGTCAAAAATATTCTTATTTTCTAGACTTTCGAAAAATTAAGAGAATTGTTAATCAAAATTTTATTTATAAATTTTGATAAATAAAATATTTACTTACGAAACATTTATTGGTCCAATGAGCCAATTAAATTCAACTCGTTCTTGTCCATTATACACTCGAATAATTTGACTAATCCAATCGTTAATTTTAACATGAAGTTCCTCAACTAAAGGACCTGAGAAAAATATGGTATTTTATTGAACATTTATTGATTAATAAATTAATAATAAAAATAAATAAAGAAACTGAATGGTAGGATATATAAAATTATGTTTGTTATTTTCATACCTTTGTATATTTTGTAGTTTCCTCTATAATCGAAGCATTTAGCATTTGTATTTTCTTTTGGTCGAAAAACATAGGCTCCAGAGTTTCTTCGAGTTGAGTTAATTTTCCCATTTTGTGCAGCTTCATAATAAGAAAACGACTGTACGAAATTTAGATCTTTCCTTAATTTCGATAAAACATAGACGTTTCCTTTTTTATCTACTGAAATATTAAACGTCTGAAAAACAAAATTTGTTATTTTCTTTTTCAAACAAGAAAATGTGACACGCGCTCCGAAGAAAGGTACCTAAGAAGCAAATTCTTACGTAAGTTCTTCAAAGCGCATTGTCATATAATAAAAATAAAAAAGTATTCATACATCACCGCCTATCGAATTAGAAATTTCGTTGTTGAAAGTATTTAAATTTTCCTCTTCGAGAGATGAACTCTTAGAGCTGACGTGGAAAGACTGGAATCCTAAAGGCGGTATGCCAACAGCAGAAAATATTAACTCGTATTTTGCTGCACTCACGCGACCTGGTATATTTATCACCTCCAAGGGAATTGGCACCAATTGATTTACAACTTTAATTCCTGATAATAAAAAATCAAAATTTTGTCTTTTAAATTTTGAATTTGAAAAATTCTTGAATTTTTAAAAAATTCAAGAAAAAAAGAAGAAGAAGAAGAAAAAACGAATTGAACTAAAATTAATTACCCAAGTAATCGACAACTGTGTAACAAGTTTTAGTGACAGGTAATCTCACATAAGTTGTAAGGGGTTGACTTGTCGGATTGTATAAAGTGACGACAAAAATTTCATTTTCCTCAGTATATCGACAAGAACTGATATTTAGTTGAAGACAAGAATGAAAATCAATTGAAGTTCCATTGTCATTCTTTTTTGTATCCAACCATTTTCTGTAACAAATAAAAAAAGAAGTATGATTGATTTGGAGGATTAATAACTTCCTTATATCTTAATATATTCTTACCAAAATGATAAATTCAATAATATAAAAAAGTATGTATTTAAAACTAAAAACACTTTTAAAAAACAAGATATTTTCAATACCTAAGGGCAGTAATTGCAATTTTTTCTCCTCCTTTTATGCTGTGATGCAAAATTCGCGCGTAATCATTGGCAACGTGTTGTTGTTCAGTACCTGCAACTGCGTCGTGATGTTGCAAAATTCCCATCGCTTCACGAAATTTATCTAAATCGCTATTTGAGGGAATGTCACTCAAAACTGCAATTTGCTTTACAACCTATAGAAATTTTGGTAAATTTTATTATTTACAAAGATAATTGAAATTTTGACGAGAATTTAAAAGAATTTTGGAACATAATTGAATTTTTGCGAAGAATTTTATTACTTTTAAAAATAATTGAATTTTTGCAATCATTTGTAACATCTCCAAAAATTAAATTTTTTTTAGTGCTTTTATCTAAGATTCTTCTTTAAATAAATCATTTTTAATATTTTTTGAAAATTTTCAAAACCATTTAGTTTACGAAATTTCGATTATTAAGAAATTCTTTAATTAAATACATAATAGAAAATAAAAACTTTAAATAATTTAAAAAAAAATTCAATTAATCTTTTTCAAATAAATTAATTCTATAGAATTTTTAGTTAAAAGTATGAAAAATTCAGATTTTTAAAGATTTTAATTTGAAACCTATTCAAAATTCAAATTTCTTCTAAAAAATTTAAGCTATAATGGTTTTTATATTCAATTATTATCGAAAATTTTAATTAAAATTCATTTTTAAATCAATTTTGATTAGAAAATTCTACGAGAATTGAATTATTTAAATAAAAAAATGAATTATTTGTTGAATAACAGAATGTTTCTTACTATTAAATTCTCATAAAGAATTTTATCAAGAAATTTTTAAATAATTGAATTCTTACCATGAACTTTAATAAAACTTTTAAGAATAATTGAGGAATTGGATTAAAATTGTATTAAAAATAATTAAAATTCTGCGATAAGTTTTATTATTTATGAAAGTAATTGAATTATTGCAAAAAAATTTATAAAAAATTTGAAAATAATTGAATTCCTGTGAAATTTTTATTATTTATGAAAATACCTAATTAAATGTTTGCGGAGAATTTTATCAAAAATTCTTTTTTTAAATTAAATTCTTTGGGAAATTTTTATTAAAATAGTAGATATTGAAAATCATGCAATTGAAATTTTTTTTTTAAATAATTGAAATTTTGACGAGAATTTAAAAAAAATTTTGAACATAATTGAATTTTTGCGAAGAATTTTATTACTTTTAAAAATAATTGTATTTCTCCAATAATCTGTAATAGAAAAATCTACGAGAATTTGATTATATTTCAATACAAAAATAAATAATTTATTGAATAACTGAATGTTTCTTAAAATTGAATTCTTAAAAAGAAGTTTAGAACAAATTTTTGAATAATTTGAATTCTTTACACGAGGTTAATAACATTTTCTAGAATAATTACATTTTTAGATATTCTTTTATAAATCCATTATTTTTAATAATTAATTAAATATATATATTAAAAAATTCAACTAAATTCAAAATAATTTGGATTATCAGAGTTTTGAAAAAACTAAGTTCTTTAAAATATTTAATTAAATTTATTCAAAATTCAAATTTTCTAAAAGTAAAAAGTAATAGAAATTCTGCAAATAAATTAGTCTTAATTTTTAAGAATAATTGAATTCAAATATTTCATTAAAATTGTATAGAAAATAATTGAATTCTTGCAAAAAATTTTAAAATAAAATTGAAATTTTGACAAGAAATTTATAAAATTTTTTAGAAATACTTGAATTCTTTTGACGAATTTAATAAAATTTTCTAGAATAATTAAATGTTTAGAGGAATTAGATTAAAATTGTATTAAGAATAATTGAAATTCTGTGATGATTGAATTATTGCGAAGAAATTTAAAAAAAAATTGTAAATACTTGAATTCCTGTGAAATTTTATTATTTATATTTGTAAATTAAAAATATGACAAAATGTACGTTTACCTGCAAAAAATTATTGCCGAGTCTTTCAAAAAATTTGAGACTCGGTCTTGAGGTGAAATATCCAGTCCAATATGAATGCGAATCGCTTCCATAGGGGAAGAAATCGTCGTCTTTTGTTGGCCAAGTTATACCAACATCATTTACTGCTTTTAAATAACAAGACGGTGTTGAATAAAAAACATTGAAATCTGTTCCATTCCGAAGATTAATGTATCTGAAAATAATATTATTGAATAGTAAAAAAAAACACATAACAGAAGGAAATATACAAAATTTTAATCGAGTATACAATTCGTCTTACTTAATCAGTTTCTCCAAATTAACAAACCAAGCGCGTGCAATTTGATAATTAAAATCCTCTCCCATCGTAAGAATAATATTGTTCGTCATGTAAGATTCAGCCTGAATTTGACAAAATTCTAAAAACGACTCCATCTGTAATTTTTCGTTTCAAAATTTCAATTATAATTATAAAAATCACGTGTTTAACATCAATATTCGTTGCTTATAAGATAATTACTCTGCCGTACGAAACAAAAATTTAGTAGCAGTAATTACCTTCATGTCCATGTTGTAATCAGGACTATCTGGATCGTCTATTAAAGGCTCGTCTTCACAAACGATGTCAAAACAAAAGCCAGAAGGTGCTTTATAAAAATTATAAAGAACGGACGTAAACAAATCAGCTTTGCTTCCTAAAAAATTTAATTTAATTTAATTAATGAAAAATTTAATTTTCATATAATAATAATTTCTTTCATATAATTCAAAAGAAAGAAAATAAAGAAATAAACAGAATAAAGAAAAATAAAAATAAATAAATATAATAATAATAATAATTCAATAATAATAAATAAAATAAAGAAGGTAGAAGAACAGAATGAAAATTCTCTATAGAAAATAATAATTTATACCTAAACTGGGATTACTCTTCCAAATAAATTCCGTCATTTTACTCGCTAATCGATGAGATTTATCCTTGTAATCCAATCGACCAATAAATAATCCATCATATCCCATTTGGCTGAAAATTGACGCCTGCTCTCGAGAATGACCGAAGGGATCAATTTGCCAGCCAATTTTCGGTCGTCCACATTCTCCAAATGTATCATTTAAGCGACTGCAATAAGAACAAAATTATCACCGATATAATTGAAATAAAAAAAAACTATTTTTGAATTTATAATTATACCTAAGGCCCAAAGTAAATTGATCGATAATTGATTGATAATGAGTGACAGCCTCATCATTCATGCTCCATGCTCCGCCAATGAATTCTAATCTTCCTTCGTTAATTAAATTTTTCACCACACGTTTTACATTGTCATTTTGTTGTTGCCACCATTTCCAGAAGAAGGCCGTCTCCACGTAAATGAATCTAGTTTATAACAGAAATAAAAAATATCAAATCAGGGCTTATTTAAATTATGTTTTTGGTGAATTTTTTCTGTTGATTATTGATATTTTTTTATTGTTTCCCGTAATCTGTAACTTTTTTAAAAGTTTTTCTTAAAAATAAGGAGAAAAGGGGAGAAAAAATTTATGATTTTGGGAATTTTATTAATTTAAGGGATTAAAAAAGGGGAAAAGAGGAAAAAAAGGAAATTAGGTAAAAAAAAGGCGACTAACTGTGATCTTGAAAAAAATGTAAATTTAGATTTTTTTAAGATCACAAAATAAAAAGGAGAAAAGAGGGAAAAAAGGGGACTAACTGTGATCTTGAAAAAATTATAAATTTGCATTTTTTTTTCAAGTATATATGTTTATAGAATATTAATAAAAAATAATTATTCTGTACCTTCTTTCAGGATTTTCTTCTAATGCTTCGATTACAGAATCCAAGATATACTGAACACTTGCCAATTGAATATTGGGCCGACCTGTAAAAAAACCAAATAATCTGTAAGCTTAAATTTTATACTTAAAATTTCCAGATTAAATATTCGATAACATAAAAATAAAATCATAAAATTCATAAAATCTGTATTAATTTTAAAAATTATAAGAGTGTAGAAAAAATTAACTCACCTCCATAATAATATTGATCAACTGTTTTCAACCATCCAACGTCGTCGTGTGTATGTCCCACTAAATGGATATTGAGTTTTTTCGGATCTATTTTCGGACATGACTGGAAAAATAAAATTAATCACAATTAATAGTTATTTCTATTTCAATAAAATAATTATTTAACAAATAATAGGTAATAATTAATTAATATTCTTACTTGATATCCACAGGTTGTTGCTCTACTGTCTCGTTCATTGACGGGAATGTAAAAAGCCTTGAATGGAATTACAAGGCAAAGTAGAAATATTAAAAGAATCGAGAAAAAGTCTCTGAACATCATCGCTGCAAATCTTCTCGACTTTCTTCAATAACGAAGCTCTTTATATATTCTATATTCAACCAATAAAAAAAAGAAGCAGTCGAGAACTCTTCGAGTCTTCTTTCTGATCGACAAGCATGTAATTCTATTTTCTGTTGCTGATCAACAGGCGTAACAAATATTCCTCTTCTTCTTCTTCTTCTTCTTCTTTTTCAAAAATTAATTTCATCGAACGGATTTTTTTTCTCCATAAGAAAAATATTCTTCTTTTTCAAAAATTAATTTTATCCAACGGATTTTTGTTCTCCATAAGAAAAAAGAATTTTGAAAAATTGTATAAATGAATATTTATACAATTTTTCAAAACATTATTTTCAAAACTCATTTTTTATTTTAACAAATCGATTATCAGCTTATTAAATATTTATTTTACTTTACAGGCATTACACAATATTTGTCATTAATAATTATTGTCGCATGTACAATATTATATAAATCTCGAGCGCTCCGAGAATTAATTATATTTATTATACATTCACAATATTTAAAGATTTAGAAGTTAGTTAGACATCATTCTCAAATTATGATTGTTACACAATTTGCGACGAGCGATTAGGAAAAAATAATTTTTTTTTTTACTTTCTGTCACAATTAGAATAAAATTGTATTCACATAAAATAATAAAACAAAATGCAAAGATTGACAGATAATAATGAAAGCGAAAAGAAAAAAAAAGATATATATATATATGTATAATAAAATATATAGAAATTTCTCCAGAAGAGCCTGTGAATTAATTAATCATGAAATATATATATACGTAATAACTCAGAAAAACTCGCAATGATAAATATCGTAAAAATTGACTATCAGGTTTGGATGACTAGTTTCTTTTTGTAGAAAATAATTCTTCAATTTCTCACTGGGATGAAAAATCTGCTGGGCTCTTTCAAAGGGGCACAAAATGTTTATCTTCTTATCAAAACATGTTAATTTTTCTTTTCTTTTCATTTTTCTTTGATCTGAAATAATTAATTGAAAAAGATACCATTTATTATTATGCAAATTATACAAATTGTACAATTATACAAAAAAATGTTTAAACATTCTGTGTTTAATTCAATTAATTATACAAAATTTGTTATTTTCAAATATCAACTTCAATTTTTAAATAATTTTGTATTCAAAACTTAAAAAAAAAATTTATTAAGTACTTAATTATTATTATTTATTATTTACAGAAATTTTAATAAAACTCATCGCGAGAAATGAATTAAATTTTGAAATAATAACATTTTTCTTAGGAATTCAACATTATTTTCAATTTTTAAAAAGTTCATCGCAAGAATTCAATTTTTTTCAAAATTTTCAATTAAAATTATAAAAAAAACATTTTTATGAAAAATTCAAAGAAATTGTTCAATACAATTGAATTAATTTCAAAAATCTTAATAAAATTCTTCTCAAAAATAGAATTTTCTTTGAAAGTAATAAAAATCTTCTCGGCTATTCAATTATTTTTAATTTAATTTTAATAAAATTTAATAATCAAATTTTCAATTATAATTGTTAACGGACGCAATTATTTTGTATAGTTGGAAAAAATTCTTTGTTTAATTTAATTTACTTTCAAAAGTATTGATAATGTTTTTTAGAAGAATATTCAATTATTATTTTTATAAAAAATACATTTCTTCGCATAAATTCAATTGTTTTAAAAAAAAATGTAATAAAATTTTGAGAATTTAACTATTTTAAGAGTAAATTAAAAAAGATTTTTTAAAAATTCAATAAACAAATGTTTAAATATTACAATTGTTAACAAATGCGATTATTTGGAAAAATTTTAAAGAAATTCTTTTGGAAAATTTAATTAATTTAATAATTTTTAATTAATATTTAAATTAAAAAAAAAAATTATTTTTGAAAAATTTACAAAGAAATTTTTCAAAATAGTTCAATTAATTTCTAAAAAATTTTAATTTAATTCTTCGCAAGCATTCAATTATTTTCATAAATAATAAAATTCTTTGCGAGAATAATTCAATTATTTTTCAAAGTTTTTAAATAATTCTTGGAATTAATTTAATAATTTTCAAATTTTTTGCTAAAATTCGTCGCAATACAATTTCAAATAAATTCCTAAGAAAATAGCAATTATCCTTAAAAATTATATTAAAATTTTTAGAAAGAATTAAATTATTTTAAAATAATGTTAATACCTATCATTTGTTTATTAGAATTTAATTATGATTTTTAATATAATATTTTTAATTAAACTTCTAGAAAGAATTTAATTATTTTGAAAACTTTTAATAAAATTCTTCGCAAGAATTCAATTATTTAAAAAAAAATTTAGTAAAATTCTTACCAAAAATTCAATTATTTTTATAAATAATAAAATTCGTTGCAAGAATTAAATTATTTTTATAAATAATAAAATTTTTCATGTTTTCGTTTAATTTGCCTTAATTTTTAAAATTTTTCGTAGGATTTCAATTATTTTAATTACAATTTTAGATAAATTCCTCGAAAAATGTTATTATTCTTAAAAATTTTATTAAAATAATTCAAAAGAATACAATTATTCAATAATTTTGATATCACTTGTTTATTAGAATTTAATAATTATTTTCAAAAATTTTAATGGAATTTTTCAAGACAATTTAATGTATTTTCTATATTTGACATTTAAATAAAATTTACCAAAGGAATTTAATTATTTGAAACACAATTTTCATAAATTTTTTTGAAAAAAACAATTATTAGAAATGATTTTTATAAAATTCTTCATAGGAATTCAATTATTTTTATAAATAACAAGATGAAAATTGCGGTGTAAATGTAAAATAATGAAAAAAAAGTTACTTGCCTCTCATTGAAATGTGATGATAAAAAAACTTTCATTTAAACAGAAAGTTTTGTTTTGTCACAGGCGATGAAGGAAATTTATTTTAGCGTATAGCAGACACTTAAATTACGAAATTGGGAAAACATACCGTGTCATACGAAAACAAAAAACAAATCGTATGACTAAAAATCAGAATAGACCAATTTTTCGGGTGGCTTCTCAAATTTAATTGGTCGATAAAACGAGAGCGATTGATCCCAACCACGTGGCGCCGTATTGTAATTGGCCAAATTCTGGTAGCTCGATATCTTTGGACCCTGGTAGCCAATACCGTCGTACAATTTACCACCTGAAACAAGAAACATTTTTTAAAATTTTATCCAATTTAATTTAATTCAAATTAATTCAATTTAATTCAATTTAATTTAATTTAACTGAATTCAATTTAGTTTAACTAATTTTATCCAATTTTTTGTTCCATTCGATAAATTAATTGAGTTAAATTCAATTTAACTCAATTTAATTGAATTTAATTTTACTCAATTTAATTCAATTCAAAAAGAAAAGAAAAGTAAAGAAAGGAAAAGAAAAGACTTTTCTTTTACTTTCTTTACCATTTTCTTTTATTTTAGACAAAAAGAAAGAAATTAAAAGGAAAAAAAAGAACAGAACAGAAAAAAAAGAAAAAAATTAAGAAGCAAAAGCAAAGCAAGCAAATAATTAAGCCATGCAATTAACTTGCCATCATCAACGTTCAAGCCGCCAATACCAAACTCGCAATCAGCCGAGACAAGATTATTGACAACCGGAGTATTCCTCAAATGTTTAATCGTATCCAAAATATCATCCTGAGTGCCAACCATGGCGAGTACTCTCGGTTTTCTCTCCTCCTGAATTTCCGTCTGAATCTCAATGAATTCACTGGATTCACTGATAATTAAACTCTCCTCCTGATCCTCGTCCGAATCCATAATCTGTCGGCGATAATACTCATCAACCATCGACATCGATGCACTTCTATTATTTCCCTTCTGAATCGGTTGAAAATTCTCCTCACAAATTGGCTTTCTCCCCTCAAATTGATAATAGTTCATAGACGACAGTGAATCGTCCAATGATTCATCGTCCAATTCCTCAGACGATAACGAACCGTTGCTTCGACAAGAATCCAAACTTTCCCTCTCGAAAATCTCGTCCTCTCTGTCCGATGATAATCGACAGCAAACCTCGTACTTACTCGGAACTGATGTGTTCTCAAAAAATCTCGAAATATCGTTCTGCCTACTGATGGGAATCACCTTTGGACTCAATTGCTTATACTGCAAAACGGGTCGGCAAGTTTTTTCGAATTCCTGAATCAGTTGCTTCACCGGAACCGGGGTGTAATCACTCTCCTCACTATCCTCACTATTTCCGTTTCTAAAATTATTTCTTATTAATTTACCATTCGTCTCGCAAGTTGATGATTTTTTGTAATTATTGCTCGTCTTTGAATTAAACTTTGAATTTGTAGGATGGGAATAGTACTTTGATTTTGATTTTGAATTGGAATTATAATGCGAATTGGAATTTGGTCTTGAATTATAAGTGGAATTTGAACTTGGTCTGGAATTATTTTTCACGTAGTGATTGGATTTTGGATAGAGATAGGAATGGCCATTTGCTTTCACGTGATGATTATGATGATGATGAGAACCATTAGAAATGCCATTTGATTTAGAATGATGATTAGAATTATTGGAAAAGGCTGATTTGTGGCGTTGATGCCCGTTAGTATTAACAAAGGCACGCGAACGTTGGTGGTCCTCGTTGTTGAAGGACATTCGTTTTGATTTTCCCAAAAATTGGTCACAATCTTCGTGAGGAAGTTCAGACTCTGTACCAACAGCCACTTCCCGAAGATAAATTTTCTTCACGTCGGTGGTCCTGTTCACCCCGTTCTCTAGATTTTTATTGCCTCGAGTTTGTCGTTCCTGGCCTGTAATTGTTTTTTTTTCTGTTTTTCCTCTATTTTTTTAATACAATTATTTGATTATTAGACACAAACTAATTTTGATGATTCAAACATAAAAAAATTAATTAATTAGTTATGATTACTTGAAACTATTCCTTTACAGAACTAAAATGACTAATCAGAATTTGAGTTAATAATTACAAGTTTACGATTTTAACAAAATTATAATCTATAAAATATAATTTTGTTAAAATTGACGTTGTGATAATAAAATATTAAAATTTCGATATGGGGGCAAATAGTAGTGACGACTGTGGAATTGAAAAAAATGAGAATTGAATTCAATCAGAAAAATATTCACGCACTTGATAAATCGGCTGACGTTAATTAGTGTCACTTGTACTGCAGAAAGCAATTGCCAATGACTAAATGCTTTAAAGAGTTGTTGGCTCCTTCTCTCGTTCGATGACCGTATTATAAACACGGTATTTGGGCTAAGCTAACTATAATTCAATTCAAATAGAACTTAACGCAATCCGTTTAAACTATTATTTTTAATTATTTAATTATTATTTTTATTAGTTACTTTTTATTTTTTATTTATATTTAATTAATTTTTAGGACTCTTAGTAGACACCTCATTTTAAAATTACACTAAATTCAGCAAAAAGAGAATGCCTTTTTTCTAAAAATTCAATTTCTCAAAATTCTTCTCAGAAAGAATGTTTTCAAGAACTTTCAATGAATTTAAAAATTTTAAATACATCGTTTCTTTAATTAAAGCAGTAAAAAAAAAAATTCGTAATGCGCAAAGAACTTGTTTTCTAAAGATAAATAAAATAATATTATTAAAGATATATTGTAAAGGAAAAAATAAATAAACTTTATCTTTCCTCCTCTGAAAAAATTTAAACTTCTAATTGTGTGTTTCCTTTTAACGAGCAGAATTTTATTTTTTTGCAATCGAGTTTAAATTATTGCAGGCTTCACACTCAATAGTTAATTTTAAAAAAATTATCAAAAAGTAGCTTTAATAATGAAAAAAGTAGCAAAAAAAGTAGCTATCGAAAATTAATTTTAACGAATAAAGAAAAAATTGTTCTAGTCGATTCACAAAAATTTGATTCAGTATTTCTTGATTTCAATCAAAAACATTTATTTTTATTCTAATCTTGCCGAGAACTTTAATACTAAATTTATTAAAAATTCAAGTATTTTCTAAATTTTTATCCTAAAAAAATACAATTGTATTTAAAAGTAATTTTTCAAAGTAAACAAATAAAAGTATTTAATAAAATTTAATTTAAATTCTTCACAGGAATTAAGAAAATAAATTAATAATTTTTCAAAGTCAAAATTTAAATGTTATTACAGTTTTACAATTAAAATTTTCAACGATTTCAATTTAATAATCTTTTAAAATTTCAACTGAAATTCGTTTTTAAATCAATTCTTTTTTGAAAGTTCAACTGAAATTCAACTATTTAAATAGGTACAAAAATAAATAATATATTGAATAATTGAATGTTTCTCAAAATTCAATTTTTATAAAGATATCAATTTTTAAAAAAATAATTGAATTTCTCAGCAGAATTTTATTATTTATGAAAATAATTGAATTCTCGTGAAAATTATTATTAAAAATTATTATTTGGAAAATTATTGTAAAGAATTAAAGAAAGAATTCAAGAATTTATCAATTTTTTAAAAAATAATTGAATTTATGAGAAGAGTTTTATTTTTTATAAAAATAATTGAATTCTTGCGAAGAATTTTATTTTTTATAAAAATAATTGAATTCTTGCGAAGAATTTTATTATTTACGAAAATAATTGAATTCTCGTGAAAATTTCATTATTTGGGAAAATAAATGAATAATTTTGAAGAATTAAAGAAAGAATTCAAGAATTTATCGATTTAAAAAAAAAAATAATTGAATTTATGAGAAGAATTTTATTTTTTATAAAAATAATTGAATTCTTGCGAAAAATTTTATTATTTATGAAAATAATTGAATTCTCGCAAAGAATTTTATTTAATTTTTTTTAAATAATTGCATTCTCGTGAAAATTTCATTATTTGGGAAAATAATTGAATAATTTTGAAGAATTAAAGAAAGAATTCAAGAATTTATCGATTTTTTTTAAAATAATTGAATTTATGAGAAGAGTTTTATTATTTATAAAAATAATTGAATTCTTGCGAAGAATTTTATTTTTTATAAAAATAATTGAATTCTTGCGAAGAATTTAATTTTTTATAAAAATAATTGAATTCTTGCGAAGAATTTTATTATTTATGAAAATAATTGAATTCTCGCAAAGAATTTTATTTAATTTTTTTTAAATAATTGCATTCTCGTGAAATATTTTACTATTTTGAAAGATAATTGAATAATTTTGAAGAATTAAAGAAAGAATTCAAGAATTTATCGATTTTTTTTTAAAATAATTGAATTTATGAGAAGAATTTTATTATTTATGAAAATAATTGAATTCTTGCGAAGGATTTTATAATTTATGAAAATAATTGAATTCTCGCGAAGAATGTTATTTAATTCTTTTTAAATAATTGAATTCTCGTGAAAATTTCATTATTTGGGAAAATAATTGAATTCTTGTGAAGAATTTTATTAAAATTTTCAAAAGTAGGTAATTGAATTCTTAAGAATCATTTTATTATTTATGCGAAAATAATTGTATTCCTGTCTGGAATTTTATTTAAATTTTATATATAATTGAATTTTCCTGAAAAATATATTATTGCTTGTGAAAATAATTGAATTCTTCCAGTAGAATTTTATAAAAAAAATTTAAATTGATTTTTTTCGAAAAATTTTATGAAATATTTTAAATAATTAAATTTCTCTGAAAATTGTATTACTTATAAAAAATTGAATGTTTGCGAAGAATTTTATTAAAAATCTTTTGTGGAATTTTATTAGAATTGTATAGATATTGAAAATAATTGATTTTCAAAAAGTTTTTGAGAATAATTGAATCGTTTTAAGGAATTTTATTCCTTCACGTAACTTTAAGAATGCTAAACACAAAAAATTAATCTGCGAAACAGCAAACAAGCAGAAAATATAAATCTATTTATGAATTTTGATAAAAAAAAAACTGTATAATGTAATTTTATAAAAGGAAAAATAAAATAAAAAAAATTCAATATATTATAAATATAAAAAATTCGTAAATATATTAATATTAATATTTGATTTCAATTTCGAATTGAATATTGCCAAAAACTTGATAAAACGACTAATTTTAATCTATTCTACAAGCTTCAATGGATTTTGCGAGAGAGAAGATGCCAGAGAGAAAATTAAAGCTTGATTAAAAATAAAAATTCCTCTCACCTGCACATTGTAAATTTGAATTTCCAGTTGTTAAATCCACGGTAAAAGGATTATAAAATGGTTTATTATCAAATGACGACAATGGAGTCTGTGGACTCACGGACGATTGATTCAAGTAATTCGTTTTTTCGTGAAATTCCTGAAAAAAAAACAATTTTTAGAATTAGAAAAAAATTCTAAGCATCATTTAAAAAAAAAATTATTTATTTATCAACAAACCTGTTTTGTTGGATAAGTTGGTGTTTTTGGATAAACAGGTGTAGTTGGTGTCTGAGGTTGTTCCTTATCCACCACCCATTTCTCCGACCTTTTTCTACGTTTTGCAAAAATTTCAGCTCCTGAAACAAAAGTAAATATTAATTACACTGGCAATTAAAAATAGACTACTAGATTTACATGAAATAAATAATTTATTCTCTAATTTAAATTAAAATTAGCATACGGGACAATGTGATATATAATTTGATTAAATTTATCCTTTTAAAGGTTATAAAACTGATAAAAGCAACAAATTTTTTTTTTCCTCTGTTTTTATTAACGTCATATTAATAAAATATTATGTTTGTTTTTCATCGGTATAAATGTTCCTCGGTCAAATTGTTAAGATCATTCAAGTTTTTCTGAGGATAGTCATCACCTTTTAGTAAGTACAAGTTTCAATAATAATAATTATCTTTTTTTAACAAAGATATTGGAACTAAATTATTCATCTTCGGAGTTGAGTTATTTTTCTTTCATTGTAACTTGAACAAGTTGTTTCAAAGAGAAGAAATAATAAATAGTTTAAAAGGCCAGATAAAAATATGTCTGCAACCTTTTTTGGTTCGAGCTAGAAACAAAAAGAAATGTAACTAAAACTATCGACAAAAAAAAAAAAAAAAAAAAAACTAAAAAAAAAAACTATCGACAAGTTAATTTATTGCCATTAACATTTTCAGAAAAGTAAATAAAAATGAGAGGATACAAATTTATATTCATGCTAATTGCAACAGTCGTGGTATTGTTGTCGTCCAACATTATGTCAGTATCAACAACAACATCGTCATGCATTCCAAATGAAGGTCTATGCAAAAGTAATGGCAATTTGGGCATTTGTTGCACCAGATTCTGCCTAGTGCAAGAAGGCAGACCTATTGGTCAATGTCGACCACGTCGAAGTTAAAAAAAAAAAACAACAAAAATGTTAACAAACTTTTCGCGTAGTAAAATAATAAATATTTTTCATACTATTCACAGGGCTTGGATCGACTTTAAAAATTAAAAAAAAAGTCGCATTAGTCGCTTAAATTCACAACAAAAGTAAAATTTAATAAAATTTAATAAAATTGAAAGCAAAATTTTAATTAGGTATTTTTAACATTTTTTTTTAAATTCTCTTTAAAATGTAAATTATCTTTATAAATAATAAAATATTCTTCTCCTAAATTCAATTATTTAAAAAAAAAATTTAATAAAATTCCTGTCAAAATTTCAATTATCTTTAAAAATAATAAACGGAACGGTATTGTACTCGAAATTTTAATAACAATTTTTTACGTGGTTATAAGTTATTTACTTGTAAAGTAATTTCAAATCCGGACGTCTACAATTATTTTTAGAAATAATAAAATTCTTCGCAAGAATTCAATTATTTTTATTAAAAATAAAATTCTTCTCAAAAAATTCAGTTATTTTTTTTTTTAAATCGATAAATTCTTGAATTCTTTCTTTAATTCTTCAAAATTATTCAATTATTTTCCCAAATAATGAAATTTTCACGAGAATTCAATTATTTAAAAAAAAAATTAAATAAAATTCTTCGCGAGAATTCAATTATTTTCATAAATAATAAAATTCTTCTCTGAAATTCAATTATTTTCATAAGTAATAAAATTCTTCGCAGAAATTCAATTATATTCAAAAAAATTTTTTTTTAATTCTCGTCAAAATTTTATAAATAATAAAATTCATTATGGAATTTTAATTATTTTCAAAAGTTCTGATAAAATTCTAATACAAAATTCAATTATCTTCAAAAGTACGAAAATTCTTCGCAGAATAAAAAAAAATAAAATAAAGTTCAATTATTTTCAAAAAATTATTTTAAATTCTCCTCACAATTTCAATTATTTTTATAAATATCTAAATTCTTCTGCAAATTTCAATTACTTTTAAACATTTTAAAAGAAATCTGTTCAAAATTTCAATTATCTTTATAAATAATAAAATTCTCCTCTGAAATTCAATTATTTTCATAAGTAATAAAATTCTTCGCAGAAATTCAATTATATTCAAATTTTTTTTTTTAGAAAATAATTGAATATTAAAGATCGTCGAAAGAATTCAATTATTTTAAGAAACATTCAATTATTCAATAAATTAATAAAATTCGTTGCAATAATTCAATTATTTTCATAAATAACTTAATTCACAGAAAAAATAAATTATTTTCAAAAATTTTCAAGTAATTTTGCTAAAGAATTCAATTATCTTGATAAATAACAAAATTCTTTCCGTATAAAATCAATTATTTTAATAATTAATTATTTTAATTAATTATTTTTAATAACACTTTTTTTTAATAATTCAATTATTTTAAAAAATTTCAATAAAATTCTTCTAAAGTTTTCAATTATTTTCAATAATTGTGATGAAATTCTTTTCAAGAATTCAATAAATTACAGTAAAATTTTAATTAAATTCCTTAAAATAAAATAATTATTCTCAAAAGTTGTTAATAAAATTCTTCGCAAAAAATTCAATTTTAAGAAACATTCTATTATTAAAATGAATTATTTATTTTTGTATTTAAATAATTCAATTCTTCAGAAAAATTAAATTTTGTTTAATTGATTGAAATTTTGCGAAAAATTTTATTAAATTTTTTGAAAATATAATTGAATTCTTCAGAAGAATTTTTATACCCATTTATAAAAATAATTGAATTCTTGACGAGAATTGTACGTATTTTAAAAATCCCTCATTAATTTACCACCAATTGTAAACAATATAAAAAATATTTATTATTTCACTACGAGGAAGGTACCAATGCCACACGATAATTAAAAAAATACTTCCCATAATTAATTCTTGAAAATCCTTGTATAAAGAATAAAAACATAAAGGCCCAAAATAAATATTTAAATGCAATTTTTCAGGTGATTTTTGTTTACTGTTTATAGGCAATTGTAAAACGTTGTAAAGTCATGAAATGCTAATGAAAAATTTACTTTGGACGAACAGGAGAAAATAAAAAAAATGTTTATGATTAAACTTATAAATATTATTAAATAATGGAGGTGGCCCACAATTCCCCAATCTCCGCTAATAATTATTTGACACACTGAGCTAGTTTTCGGACTGTGCTTCAATTTGCACTTGGATAAATATCAAATATTTTTGTTATCTGAATTTATCTTTTTTGAAAAAACGTTTATATAAAATAGAAAAAAGAACATTTTTTTCCTCTGTTTCCTTTACGTCATTAATAAAATATTAGGTTTGCTTTCTTTTATTTTGGTATAAAAGGTACTCAGTGAATTGTTAGGATCACTCAAGTTTCTCTGGGAATATTCGCCACTGGAAGCAACCAAAAGTAACGGTATTGTACTCGGAATTTTAATCACAATTTTTTACATGGTTCTAAGTTATTTACTTTCAAAGTAATTTCCAATCCAGACGCACACAGAGAATCGAAACATTTCTAAAGGTTGAAATTAGCTTGACTGCAATCTTACGAATCTTTAGTTTTGAAGCTCATTAAAGTTGAACTACTTCTTTGAATTTCGACTGCTTTTCCATGTTTGACGCGAAAGTTGACTCAACATTGCATGAAAGTTTAAAATTTCTTCAACTCTCATGCAATGTTGAGTCAACTTTTACGTTAAAACATTGAATAACTTCGGGCATTTAAAGAACAACTTCAAGTTTCATGAGCTTCGCAACTAAAGATTCGGAAGGTTGCAGTCAAGTTAATTTCAAGTTTCAGGAAATTTTCGGTGTTGTGTGGATGGTAAAACATTTTTCAGCAAGTTCGCAAGGCAAACTTGCCACCAAATGATATTTTGCTATTGGCCACAAATTTGCTGGAAACTTTCCGAAAATTGTTATGCTATCTAAGCAACTTGTAATCTTCTATATTTTGGGTTTTACTTTCCCCGAAGAAAAGCTTCCTAACTCAGTCCTACTTGGTCTCTCGTTATGGTTAATTCGGACCTTTTGCCACCCTTTTTGTTCTTTTGTGATGGTTAATTTTTGAAACTATAACTTAAATATTTCCGTCAAAGCTATTTGGATGCTACTGAATCATTATTATTTTCAGAAAAGTAGACAAAAATGAGAGGATACACGTTCGTATTCGTGCTGCTGGCAACAGTATTAGTATTATTGTCCAGTGTTGTGTCGCAACCACCTCCTCCGACTCCGGCCCCAACACCAGCACCAACGCCTGCACCGACACCACGACCTACACCTGGACCATCGCCTGGACCAACTCCAGCTCCCACACCTGGACCAACACCCGGACCAACACCACCAAGGTGTCTAAGAAATGGAAGTCGGTGCAGACCTGACGGAAGTTTGGGACCGTGTTGCAACAATGGAATTTGCAGAAGACAACGTCGTCGGCGAGAACATACTTGTCAGCGTCGTTAATTACATCACTAAATACTGCCAAGAAATGTTAAATCCCTAACAAAAATAATAAACATTTTTCAAATTACTTTCTGCGTTATTTAATTAGTTCAGATAAAAACCACCTAAATCCCAATTTTAGTGCTTAACAAAACATTTACCTTAATTAATTAATAAGAGTATTGTGGTTGAAAAAAAATCTATTTCTCACAATGTGCGGAGCTTTTATACTAAAACAAAAGAAAACAATCGTTTTATTTTATTACTGACGTAAAAAATGGTTTTCCTTCTTTAATCTATTTTACAATCTTCTCCGAAATGGTGGATTTAATATAAATATTTGATATTTATACAGCTTTTCTAGATTAATAAATAACAATTGATTTATTTCAATTGATTGAAATAGGACGGTTGATAAAAATGAAGAGATTCACAGTTTTGTTCATGGTAATTGCATCAGTGTTGGTACTGTTGTCGAGCGTTGCGTCTCAACCTCCATCGTTCAAACCGGAACCAACTTGGTTTCACCACACTTATATCGTGTCAAATTTATTGAAATAACTAGAATTTTCTTATCACCAGTTGCATTTACTTTAATTTTTGTAATACTGTTCAATACTAGGGACGAAATTATGAAAACGTTCCATAACTGGGACACCTTATGCATTTATCCATCCGTATGCTACCAGACAATCAGAATTTGGAACAAACGACTTTCAAATATATTTTCTCTGATTATAATAATTCTGTATGAGCTGAAAATCATCTGAATTGCTGTTGCGATGTTGCTGAACAACATCCCGAAGAATAGAAAATTCTATTCAATAACAAATTAATTAATTAATAAGATTTGATAAAAAATTTATTATTTTCATAAAGAAAATTCTTGTACATTTGATGCTACCGTTGATGTTTAATAATATCTCTAAAAGGTCCGCTTTTTATAGACACACAAAACTATTCTGCCAAACTGCGAAAAACATATCTTACAGGGTAACATAATGATAGTACGGGTACCATCTTTCTACAAATACAGACGATACAGACAGATATCTAGATTGTATCAGTTACAATCCAGACTGTACTGAGTAACATCTTAATTGTAGTGGATAATATAGCAATACTTCTGTAACATCTATGATAGTACCGAATAGCATCTGCTTTTAATCATTAATTATCCCATCTATTTCTCCTGCAACCCCTACAACTATCATCATAACACATTTATATAAACATTTACAAAAAACTACTTTCAAATTTTTTTAGTATTCTCAACTATACATAAAAGGGAATCAATTATTCTGTTTTACCGTAACTGTAAATACAAAAAAGTAGACAATATCCTTTAAAAGATTCGAGTGAAATCAGTTGGCTCACATTGTGAGGAGCTTTTATACCAAAAGAAAAGAAAACAATCGTTATATTTTATTACTGACGTAGAAAATGCAGAGGAAAAAAAATGGTTTTCCTTCTTTTATCTATTTTATAATCTTCTCCGAAATGGTGGATTCAATATAAGTATTTAATATTTATACAAGTATAATAAAAAGCAGATTAATTGTGTGACTAATGAATTAATTATTAATTGATTTTTCTTGAATATATCTAAGGAAGAGGGACATATATCTTATAGTCTCAATCTCTAATTAGCGAAATACTTCTAATATGCAGTATGATAATTATATTTATCCACAGTATGGTAATTTATTTGTGTACACAATTAGCAATATCAAGAGACTACTTTCTATTAATTAGTAATAAAGAAACATGTTCCAAATAAAAATTAGCATCTTTGAGGCATACTTGTGTAAATATTAAACAATTTTATTTAGTTTATGTTTCTGAAAAAGTTATCAAACAGACAATAAAAAAAGGAGCACTCTTTCCTCTGCTATTTTACGTCAGTAATAAAATATTAGTTTTCTTTCTTTTTTAGTATAAAAGCTCTTCTGCGAATTGTTGAGATCACACTCAAGTCTTTCTGAAGATATTCATCACTTCTAGTAACGGTAATGTTCTCCCAATTATTTTACTGTTTTCAACAGACGAAACTAAAATTTACAAACCATTCAAAGATTTTTACATAACAAAAAAGATTTTTATTGTCAATTTCTTCCTTTAATATAAAAGTTTTTAAATTCTTGATTAATAAATAAACTGTTGATGTTTGCAGGACGGTTGTTAAAATGAGAGGATTCACAGTTCTGTTCATGCTAATTGCATCAGTCTTGGTACTGTTGTCCAGCGTTGCATCGCAACCACCACCAGTTGAACCTGAACCACCAACTGAACCACCAACTGGACCACCAACTCCACCACCAGGACCAACACCAGGACCTACACCAGGACCTACACCCGGACCTACACCTCGACCAAGATGCCTTGCAAACGGAAGTCGTTGCAGAAGTGACGGAAGTTTAGGCATTTGCTGCTCAAGATTCTGCTCCGTTGCTCGCGGACAACGTGTTGGCGCTTGCCGTCGTCGTTAATAATTAATGACTACAAATGTAAACCTTGTCGCCTCTTCAGAAAAATAATAAACTTTTATTGAATTGCTTTCAATTTCTTTGTACTTTAATTAAAGACTATAATTCCTTAAACCCCTGCAAAAATAGGTGTCTTTTTTCGATATCTTAAACTAGGATGTAAGATGGAAAAATGGTATCCTACATTTTAAAAGAAGATTTTTTCTAAAGTATCTTACTGATTTTAAAACTTTTTTCCCAAGAATATGCTGAAATTGTGTTCGAAGATACTTTTAACATATTTCAAATAACTAAAAAGTGTCTATACCAAAACATCTTAAATTAAGATACTTCTTTTTTCAGTGAAGAAGTTTAAATTTATTTTCCTTTACTTTAATAATTTTTTATAAGCTAAAAATCATTTGAATTGTTTCTGGGATCTTGTTGAACAACTTTCTAAAGGACAGAGAATTTTATTGTGACTATCAAGTCACAATAGTCATTGTGACTATTAAGGTCCACCCGTATGCTATCAAACAATTAATATTTGGGACAAAAGACGTTTAAATTTATTTTTTCTAATTCTAATAATTTTTAAAAGTTAAAAATCATCTGAATTGTTGTTGACGAGTAGAAGATTTTATTAAGTAGAAGCTCCATCCGTTTGCTAGCAGACAATTAAAATTTGTGAACAAGACGATCAAATTTAATTTCTCTATTTCTAGTAATTTTTATGAGTTGAAAATCATCTGAATTGTTGTTGGGATGTTGCTGAACAACAACCTAAAGGATAGAATATTTTATTGTAACTTTAAAGTAGTATTAGATCCACTTGTATGCTATCAGATAATCATAATTATCACCAAAAGACATTTAAATTAAATTCCTATCAATTGCATTATTTTCTATGGACTGGTATCCACCTAGATTGTAGCTGGAATGTTGCTGAACAACAACCTGAAGGATAGAATATTTTATTGTGACTTTTAAGTAGTAGCAAGTCAACCCATACTCTATCAGAATCAAAACTTTAGAAAAAGGACGTTTATATTTAATTTCCTCATTTCTAGTCATTTTTATAGACATATATTACTTTTGCTGTATCTTACTTTTGTTTTATAAAATTCTTTTAAAATTCTGTTTTATAATTTTTAATAAACAATAAAAAAATTAATTAAGAAGAGTATTGTACTTGATGAAAAAATTTATTACTGTCATGAAGAAAGTTATTCTACATTTGATGCTGCAGTTGATATTTAATAACTCTAAAAGAGCCGCCCGGTTTATAAGCAAACACAACTTATTTTACCAACGATTTTTGAAACAATTTCTTGAGCAGCAATTAAATATTTGTATGAAGATTAATGACAAATATAAATATTCAAATGTATGATGAAAACACAACCTGGTCCAGGTGTGGGTCCTTGCGGAGGTGTAGGTGTTGGTCCAGGAGTAGGTCCTGGTGGTGGAGTAGGAGTTGGTTCTGGAATTTCTGTCGGTTGCGATACAACACTAGACAACAGTACAAACACTGCTGCAAATATCATAAATACAAATGTGTATCCTCTCATTTTTTTAATTACTTTCCTGAAAACATCATCGATAATAAATATAATGCACTTCTTCAATACATTTTATTTTGAAACTACTTTCAAGTTTTTGGTACTTTGAACTATATTATTGCGTTTTACCGTAATTGTAAATACAAAAAGTAGATAATATCGTCTGAAAAATTTGAGTCAATTCAGTTGGCACACATTGTGAGGAGCTTTTATATACAAAAATAAAAGAAAACAATCGTTATATTTTATTACTGACGTAGAAAATGCAGAGGAAAAAAATGGTTTTCCTTATTTTATCTATTTTATAATCTCCTCCGAAATGGTGGATTCAATATAAATATTTGTTATTTATACAAGTAATAAAAAACAGAATTAATTGTGTGATTAAATTTAATTAAATATTTATTGATTTATCTCCAATATATCTAAGGAAGAGGAACATATATCTTATAGTCTCAATCTCTAATTAGCGAAATACTTCTAATATGCTGTATGATAATGATTTTTATTAAAAGTACGGTAATTTATTTCTGTTCACAATTAGCAATATCAAGAGACTAATTTCTGTTAATTAGTAATGAAGAAACATGTACCAAATAAAAATTAGCATCTTTGAGGCATACTTGTGTAAATATTAAATAATTTTATTTAGTTTATGCTTCTGAAAAAGTTGTCAGACAATTAAAAAGGACCACTCCTTTCTCTGCTATTTCACGTCACTAATAAAATATTAGTTTTCTTTCTTTTTTAGTATAAAAGCTCCTCTGCGAATTGTTGAGGTCACACTCAAGTCTTTCTGAAGATATTCATCACTTCTAGTAACGGTAATGTTCTCCCAATTATTTTACTGTTTTTAACAGACGAAACTAAAATTTAAAAACCTTTCAAAGATTTTAACATAACACAAAACATTTTTACAAAACATAAAAATTTTTAAATTCTTGATTAATAAATAAACTGTTGATGTTTGCAGGACGGTTGTTAAAATGAGAGGATTCACAGTTCTGTTCATGCTAATTGCATCAGTCTTGGTACTGTTGTCTAGCGTTGCATCGCAACCACCACCAGTTGAACCTGAACCACCCACTGAACCACCAACTGAACCACCAACTGGACCACCAACTGAACCACCAACTGAACCTCCAACTGGACCACCAACTGGACCACCAACTCCATCACCAGAACCTACACCAGAACCTACACCTCGACCAAGATGCCTTGCAAACGGAAGTCGGTGCAGAAGTGACGGAAGGTGGGGCAATTGCTGCTCAAGATTCTGCTTCGTTGCTCGCGGACAACGTGTTGGTGTTTGCCGTCGTCGTCGTAATAATTATTGACAACAAATGTAAACCTTGTCACATCTTCATAAAAATAATAAACTTTTTTTGAATTACTCTCAATTCCAGTGTTGCCACAAAAATTTAATTTTTTTTCCCCTGATTTTCAGACAAAGTTTTGACTTTTTCCTTGACCTTAAAGAATATTTTTATTCACTCCAAAAATTATTAGATACTTAAAAAAATATTCTGCTAAATTTATTGACAAATTTCTTTCATTGTAAAATATTCGAAAACACCAATAAATTCTTCTTTAAACAAATATTTTATCATTAATTTTTCACAGGAATTTAGATTCTCAAATTCAAACCTCATGTTTTATAAATTTAAGATGACACAGTGATAAAATCATTATTTTATATCATAAGAATAATGTAACTATAAATTCAATCTTTCAAAGATTTCAATTTAAATCCTTTTCGAATTTCAATTATCACCAAAAATTCACGCTATAACGCTTTTAATACTCAATTATAATTTAAAATTTTAAGTGAAATTCATCTTTTAATCAATTTTTATTAGAAAATTTTTCGAGAATTAAAATATTTAAATAGAAAGATAATTAGGTAATTTACTAAATAATTAAATATTTCTTAAAATTGAATTTTTATGAAGAATTTTATCAAAAATTTTTTTAAATAATTGAATTTTATAGAGAAAAAATGTTAAAAATTTTATGAATTTTATTTAAATTTTTCGAAATAATTGAATTCCTCAGAACTATTTTTTTCAATTCTCTAAATATATTGGAATTCTTTCGAGAAACTTGATTAAAAAATTAAAAATAATTAAATAGGTGCGAAGAAATTTATAAAAATAAAATGGTAAGTAATTGAATTCCAATGAAATTTTTATTAAATTTTTGTTTAAATAATTGAATTGAAAAAAATTTCAAATTCAAACCTTTATGAAATTCAACAACTTATAATAATTTAAATGTCCATAAAATTCTTTAAAAACAAATTAAATAATTTACAAAAATTTTATCAAAATCCTTTCCAAGAATTCAACTATTTTTACAAGTAATAAAATATTTCACATGAATTAAGTTATTTTTTAAAAAATGTACTAAAATTCATCGCAAGAATTAAATTATATTCATAAATAATAAAAAAATTTCATAGAATTCCTATTATATTTAATGCAATTTTAAATAAATTCTTCGGTAAATGTAATTATTTTCAAAAGTTTTCTGCAAGAATTCAATATTACATTTTATACAAATTTAAAATAATGAAAATCTTCGCTGAAATTTAAATATTTTCAAAATCCACTATTTTAATAAAATTTCTCAAAAGAATTCAATTATTCTCCTGAATAATAAAATCGTTCAGAAGATTTCAATTATTTTTAATACAATTTTAAGTAAATTCTTCGAAAAATGTAATTATTTTCAAAAATTTTATTAAAATTCTTTTAATGAAATCAATTATCAATTATTTTTAATAATTATTGCAAAAGTTCCTTGAGAATTTTTCAATCTATTCGTTTACAATTCAATTTTACAAAATTTCGATTATTCGTAAATTCTTCAATAATTAAATATTTAGAAAATAAAAACTTGAAATAATTTTAAAAAGAAATTCAATTAAACTTTTTCAAAAAAAAAAATTAATTCTACAAAATTGTCAGTTAAAAAGTATGAAAAAATCAAATTCTCCAAGATTTTAAATTGAAACCTTTTCAAAATCCAATTATTTTTAAAAATTCAGACTAATAATGCTTTTAACATACAATTATCATCTAAAATTTTAACTGAAATTAATTTTTGAAAAATTTTTTTTTTTTTTTTTTTTTGAAAATAGTTGAAAATTCTGAAAAAATTTATTTAAAAAATTGTAAATAGTTTAATTTCTGTAAAATGTTTATTATTTATGAAAATAATATAATAATTTTTGCTTAGAATTTTCTCAAAATTTTGTTTTAAAAAATTGAATTCTTTTGAAAAATTTTATTAAAATAGATATTAAAAAAAATCATTGAATTGAGGATATTTTTTGAAAACAATTGAAAAGAATACTTTTCTTTTTCAAGAATATTATTAAAATTTTTGAGAATAATATTGAGATTTGGATAAGAATTTATTATTTTAAAAGATAATTGTAATTTTTACGAGTATTTTTAAAAAATTTTTTGAACATAATTAAATTTCTGCATAGAATTTTATTACTTTTGAAAATAATTGAATATCTGCAATCATTTGGAATTTCTCCAAAATTCTATTTTTTTCCAGTACTTGAATAAAAAATCCCTGACTTTTCCCTGACCAATTCTTCTTTCCCTGACTTTTCCCTAAATTCCCAGATTTACCTGACCTGTGGCAACCCTGAAATAACTAAATTGTAGCTAGGATGTTGCTGAACATCATTCTGAAAGATAGAAAATTTTATTGTAACTTTTAAGTAGTATTAGATCCACTTGTATGCTATCAGATAATCAAAATTCGGGACAAAAGTTGGCTCACATTGTGAGGAGCTTTTATACCAAAATAAAAGAAAACAATCGTTATATTTTATTACTGACGTAGAAAATGCAGAGGAAAAAAAATGGTTTTCCTTCTTTTATCTATTTTATAATCTTCTCCGAAATGGTGGATTCAATATAAGTATTTAATATTTATACAAGTATAATAAAAAGCAGATTAATTGTGTGACTAATGAATTAATTATTAATTGATTTTTCTCCAATATATCTAAGGAAGAGGGACTGTATATCTTATAGTCTCAATCTCTAATTTAGCGAAATACTTCTAATATGCAGTTTGATAATTATATTTATCCACAGTATGGTAATTTATTTGTGTACACAATTAGCAATATCAAGAGACTACTTTCTATTAATTAGTAATAAAGAAACATGTTCCAAATAAAAATTAGCATCTTTGAGTCATACTTGTGTAAATATTAAACAATTTTATTTAGTTTATGTTTCTGAAAAATTTGTCAAACAGACAATAAAAAAGGAGCACTCTTTCCTCTGCTATTTTACGTCAGTAATAAAATATTAGTTTTCTTTCTTTTTTAGTATAAAAGCTCCTCTGCGAATTGTTGAGATCACACTCAAGTCTTTCTGAAGATATTCATCACTTCTAGTAACGGTAATGTTCTCCCAATTATTTTACTGTTTTCAACAGATGAAACTAAAGATTTAAAACCATTCAAAGATTTTTACATAACAAAAAAGATTTTTATTGTCAATTTCTTCCTTTAATATAAAAGTTTTTAAATTCTTGATTAATTAATAAACTGTTGATGTTTGCAGGACGGTTGTTAAAATGAGAGGATTCACAGTTCTGTTCATGCTAATTGCATCAGTCTTGGTACTGTTGTCTAGCGTTGCATCGCAACCACCACCAGTTGAACCTGAACCACCCACTGAACCACCAACTGGACCACCAACTGGACCACCAACTCCACCACCAGGACCAACACCAGGACCTACACCAGGACCTACACCCGGACCAACACCTCGACCAAGATGCCTTGCAAACGGAAGTCGTTGCAGAAGTGACGGAAGTTTAGGCATTTGCTGCTCAAGATTCTGCTTCGTTGCTCGCGGACAACGTGTTGGCGCTTGCCGTCGTCGTTAATAATTAATGACTACAAATGTAAACCTTGTCGCCTCATCAGAAAAATAATAAACTTTTATTGAATTACTTTCAATTCCAGAGTTGCCACAAAAATTGAATTTTGTTTTCCCTGATTTTCAGACAAAATTTTGACTCATTTTTCCCTGACCTTGAAGAATATTTTTATTAACTCCAAAAATAATTAGATACTCAAAAAAATATTCTGTCGTATTCTTACTTATTTGCAAATTTTTTTAATGAATAAGAAATTTTTTTTTGTAAACATGATTGGTATAATAGTTTTGTCAGACCATAAGGAACAGAGGTTTTCAGATATAAATATGTACAGGGAATGGTGGGTTTAAGTAATCCCTTATTAATTTACAAGCAATTGTAAGCAATATGAAAAATATTTATTATTTCACTGCGAGGAAGGTTTGTTAACATTTGTTGTTTTCTTTAACTTCGACGACGTTCACAGGTACCAGTACGTGCGTTTCCTTGCACTAGACAGAATCTGGAGCAACAAATGCCTAAACTGCCATTACTTCTGCACCGACCTCCATTTGCAATACATGAAGCTGGCGGTGTTCCTGGTCCGGGGGCTGGTGCAGGCGGATTTCCCGGCGGCGATCCTGGCGCTGGCGCTGGAGTAGGTGGTTGTGCCATAACGCTGGACGACAACAGTACCACGACTGTTGCAATTAGCATGAACATAAATGTGTATCCCCTCATTTTTATTTACTTTTCTGAAAATGTCAATAGCAATCAATTAACTTGTCGATAGCTTGACAATTACGATGGGTACATTTCTTCTTCTTTCCAAAAGGTTGCAGGCAAGTTTCTGTCTAGTCTTCTTAATTACAAGTTTAACTGAATGGAATACGTATTTTTAGGGTTTTGTGCCCAAGGGCAGAACTGTTTCCTTAAGAACCGTTGCTATGGTAATGGTTACGATAACATATGATGCCATGGCAATAATTATCATAGCAACTGTTTCAATGGCAACCGTTTTTATGGTTTTGGTTGCCACAGCAACTGTTTCCATACCAACCGCTTCTATAGCAATTGTAACTATTTACTATTTCTTATTTTTAAAACAACTTGTTCAAGTTACAATTAAAGAAAAATAACTCAACTCCCGAGATGAATAAACTAGTTCCAATATCTTTGTTCAAAAAAATCCCCAGTATTGAAAATAAGTATAAAAATCACCACTTTGAATATTTTAATGCTTCAACAGTAATAATAGAAACAGTAAAATAATAATTGAAACTAGTAGTACTTACTAAAAGTGATGACTGTCCTCAGAAAGACTTGAATGATCTTAACAATTTGACCGAGGAACATTTATACCAATGAAAAACACACAATATTTTATTAATATGACGTAAACAGAAGCAGAGGAAAACAATTTTTTACTTTTATCAGTTTAATAAGCTTCAAAAAGATAAACTTAATAAAATTATATATCACATTTACCCGTATGTTAATTTTAAATCAGAGATATAAATTCTTCCTATTTCTAATTTTAACAGAAAATTATTAAATCTGGATATTTTTCTTGGCATACCCAACATACTGGCAAAATAGAATAATAGTATAGTTACTTTTTGAAATATTGACACAGAATAATAGTTTTTGCAATTAAAAATTATTCTTTATGCATAAGATCATAAAATCATAAGATTAGTGGGTTATCATTATTTGACACACTGAGCTAGTTTTTGGACAGTGTTTCAATTTTGCACTTGGATAAATATAAATATTTTTGTTATCTGAATTTATCTTTTTTGAAAAAACGTTTATATAAAATAGAAAAGAGAACATTTTTTTTCCTCTGTTTCCTCTACGTCATTAATAAAATATTAGGTTTGCTTTCTTTTATTTTGGTATAAAAGGGTGCTCTGTGAATTGTTAGGATCAGTCAAGTTCCGTTGGGAATATTCGCCATTAGAAGCAACTAAACGTAACGGTATTGTACTCGAAATTTTAATAACAATTTTTTACATGGTTCTAAGTTATTTACTTTCAAAGTAATTTCCAATCCAGACGCCCACAGAGTATCGAAACTTTTCTAAAGGTTGAAATTAGCTTGACTGCAATCTTACGAATCTTTAGTTTTGAAGCTCATTAAAGTTGAACTACTTCTTTGAATTTCGACTGCTTTTCCATGTTTGACGCGAAAGTTGACTCAACATTGCATGAAAGTTTAAAATTTCTTCAACTCTCATGCAATGTTGAGTCAACTTTTACGTTAAAACATTGAATAACTTCGGGCATTTAAAGAACAACTTCAAGTTTCATGAGCTTCGCAACTAAAGATTCGGAAGGTTGCAGTCAAGTTAATTTCAAGTTTCAGGAAATTTTCGGTGTTGTGTGGATGGTAAAACATTTTTCAGCAAGTTCGCAAGGCAAACTTGCCACCAAATGATATTTTGCTATTGGCCACAAATTTGCTGGAAACTTTCCGAAAATTGTTATGCTATCTAAGCAACTTGTAATCTTCTATATTTTGGGTTTTACTTTCCCCGAAGAAAAGCTTCCTAACTCAGTCCTACTTGGTCTCTCGTTATGGTTAATTCGGACCTTTTGCCACCCTTTTTGTTCTTTTGTGATGGTTAATTTTTGAAACTATAACTTAAATATTTCCGTCAAAGCTATTTGGATGCTACTGAATCATTATTATTTTCAGAAAAGTAGACAAAAATGAGAGGATACACGTTCGTATTCGTGCTGCTGGCAACAGTATTAGTATTATTGTCCAGTGTTGTGTCGCAACCACCTCCTCCGACTCCGGCCCCAACACCAGCACCAACGCCTGCACCGACACCACGACCTACACCTGGACCATCGCCTGGACCAACTCCAGCTCCCACACCTGGACCAACACCCGGACCAACACCACCAAGGTGTCTAAGAAATGGAAGTCGGTGCAGACCTGACGGAAGTTTGGGACCGTGTTGCAACAATGGAATTTGCAGAAGACGACCTCGTCAACGTGAACATACTTGTCAACGTCGTTAATTACATCACTAAAAACTGACAAGGATTTATTCTTGTTTGTTTCCTATTCGGTAAGGATTTGTCCTTAACAAAAATAATAAACATTTTTTAAATTCCCTACTTGGTTGTTTAATTAGTTCAAATAAAAATCACTTTAATCCCAATTGCTTGAATTTACAATGCATTCCATAAACTGTTAAAAATCTGACTCCAACTTTACTCCAAAAAGATTAAAATGATGTTATTTCGAAAAAGGTAAATTTTTTTTTCTTAAAAAAGGGGATAAAAATTTATTTGTTTATACAACTTACATATATAATTTAAATTTTTTACCACATAGCTTCCATAAAATTTTTTAAAAATGATTCAATTTTAATCAGAGTTGCCACAAAAATTTAATTTTGTTTTTCCCTGATTTCCAGACAAAATTTTCACTTTTTACCTAAAAAGAATATTCTGCGATTCACTCTTAAAATGATTAGATACTCAAAAAAAGTGTTCTATTACATTTAATTACGAATTTCTTTGACTGTAAAATTCTTCGAAAACAGCAATAATTTCTTTTTAAAAAAAATATTTTATCACTATTATTTTTCCATGAAAATTAAGATTTTCAAAACATTCAAATTCAAATCTTTTTGAAATTCAACAATTTATGAGAATATTATTATATAACATGAAGAAAGTGATCACTCCGAGTCGAAGACTCGGAGTTACTGTAACTTCTTCAAAATTATTTTCATCATTTCAATTCAATTATTATTTTCTAGAATTTGTAACTAAAATTTTTCTTTAAATCAATTATTATTTACAATAATTTAAAAAAAAAAATTCTGAAAAGTTTCAAATGTATTTGTTTACAATTCAATTTTACGAAATTTCACCGATTATTCGGAAATTCTTCAATTAAATATATATTTGAAAATAAAAGCTTCGAATAATTTGAATAAAAACTTTTTGAAAAGAAATAATTCTACAGAATTGTTAGTTAAAAATATGAAAAATTCAGATCATCAAAGAAATCAATTTGAAACTTTTTCAAAATTCAATTATTTCTAAAAATTCACGCTATAATGCTTTTAATATTCAAATTATTATGTAAAATTTTAACTGAAATTCACTTAAATCAATTTCTATTAGAAATTTCTACGAGAATTCAATTATTTAAATAAAAAAATAAATAATTTATATTGAATAATTCAATTTTTCTTAATATTGAATTCTCATCAAAAATTTTATCAAGAAACTATTAAATAATTACATTTTTTCGACGAATTTTAATAAATTTTTTCTTAAACAATTACATTTTTCGAGGCATTTGAATAAAATTCTACTAAAAATAATTGAAATTCTGCTATGAGTTTTATTATTTATGAAAATAATGGAATTATTGCGAAGAAATTTATAAGAAATTTGTAAATAATAGAATTCTTGTGAAATTATTTTATTATTTATGAAAATAATTAAACGTTTGCGTAGAATTTTAATAAAAATTTGTTTAAATAAAAAATTTTATTAAAAATGGAAAATTGGAAAATTTTATTAAAATAGTAGATATTCAATATCATCTGAATTTAGGAAAATTTTTGCAAATAATTGAAATTTTGCAGAGAATTTTATTAAAATTTTTGAAAACAATTGAATTTTGAAGAATTTTATTAAAATTTTTGAAAATAATTGAATTTTGAAGAATTTTATTATTTATAAAGAGAAATTTAAATTTTGACAAAAATTTCTTTCAATTTTTGAATATAATTGAATTTATGTGTAGAATTTTATTATTTTTCAAAATAATTGAAATTTTGCCGAGAATTTTATTAAAATTTTTGAAAATAATTGAATTTTGAAGAATTTTATTATTTATAAAGAGAAATTGAAATTTTGACAAAAATTTCTTTCAATTTTTGAATATAATTGAATTTATGTGTAGAATTTTATTATTTTTCAAAATAATTGAAATTTTGCCGAGAATTTTATTAAAATTTGTGAAAATAATTGAATTTCGAAGAAGAATTTTATTATTTATAAAGAGACCTGAAATTTTGACGAGAATTTCTTTCAATTTTTGAATATAATTGAATTTCTGCGAAGAATCTTATTACTTTTTGAAAATAATTGAATTTTTTGCAATTATTTGAAACTTTTTAAAAATTCAGATATTTTTTAGTGTTTTTAACTAAAATTCATCGATAAATTCATTATTTTTAATAATTAATTATATAAATATATTAAAAAAAAACTTAACTAATTTCAGAATTATTTACATTTTGAAAATTGTTGCAAAAATTTAAATTATTTAGAATTTCTAATGAAATTCATTCAAAATTGAAATTTTACAAAATTTAAAATTAAAATCTTTTCAAGTTTAAATCTATTTATGAAAATTGTAAACAAAACTATTTTTAAAAAAATAGGAAAAAAAGGGGAAAAAGGTGACAAATCGTTAAAAAAAAACGTGAAAAAGGGGATAAAATTGAAATAATGGGACAAAAGGGGACAAATCGTCGAAAAAAAAGGTGAAAAAGGTGACAAGTCGTCAAAAAAAGATGAAAAAGGGGATAAAATTGAAATAAGGGGACAAAAGGGGAAAAGGGGACCAACTGTGATGCCTGTTAATTTCCAATACGGTGAAGGAAACGTTTCTTTTTATTATTTAGTGTTTTCTATAAATAAATGTTTTCTTTTTAACAAGTGTCGTTCAATAATGAACACAACTGTTAAACTAAACAAGAAAACTGATAAAAAATAAGGAAACTTTTAATTTATATTATTTCTGTACGATAACATTATATGAAAATTCAAGATAATGAGTCGACTGGAGAATATAAAAACCCCAAGTCGTGCTGGTAAATATCAAACATTCTGCAAAGTACATCATTCCCTGAAAAGGTAAATTGTTAAAAATACTTAATTGATATGAAACATTAGTTTCGGACAAGTTTATCCCAAGAAAAAGAAAAAAAGAAAAAAGAAAATAATTTGTTCATCTCCATTATTTTTATTATAATTAAACTTGTGTACTATATATTTAATCGAATTGCCGATAAAAATACCCAATACAACATGAAATTAAGTGAAATTTGACAAAACTGTCACCAACTGTCACAAATGCATTGTTCCTATATTGAAAAATGTGGTGAGAATTAATGATCAGATGGCTCAATTGAAATTGATTTTACAGAAATAGAAATGACTGGTTACGGAGTTCTATTCATGTTGCTAGCAACAATCTTAATGGTTCTAGTGCCTAACGCAATGTCATATTGCGCTGAAACTGGTCGTCAATGTGACGGCGACCCAATTGTTTGCTGTCGAGGACATTGCGAAAGAGGAGCAGGACAACGTTGGGGCTTATGTCGGGACTAAATTTTTTTTTTTTTTTTGCCTACAATATTCGAAAGACAAGCATATTTCGGACCTTTTTCAGCTTTAAAATCACGGTCATCAACATTATAAATATTTGTTCAGTAATTCATTTTTCTGGGGCATAAAAATATTGTACTATGTCACAAAATCTTTTTATAAAACAAATGAATGAATGCTTAAAAGGAAGCATTGTGATAATATGTAAAGAAATTTTTATATGCAATTTTTTTTTATCTCAAAAATAAACTTTTTTAAAAACTAATGAATTCCCAAATTTTTGAAAACAGACCAATAATATTCATGGTATAGGTAAATCATTTGTGAGATGCTGCGGACGCTTCCAAATCTTTTTTTTCCAAACTCTGAATAATTTTATCCGAACATTTTCCTCATCTTAAGCACAAACTTTTAATTTTTAAATTTATTGGTACAAAAATCTCATAAAAATTAAGAAATTTTATTGACTTCTTCAAAATTATTTTTATCACTTCAATTCAAATATTATTATCAAGAATTTTTAACTAAAATTCTTCGATTATTTTTTTAAATTTTCGAAAAAGTTCTTTGACAATTTTCAAATCTATTTGTTTACAATTCAATTTTACGAAATTTCGATTATTCGTAAATTCTTCAATTAAATATATTATATAATTAGAAAATAAAAAATCCAAATAATTTCAACAAAAATTCAATTAAATTTTTCAAAAAAAATTAATTCTACAGAATTGTTAGTTAAAAGTATGAAAAATTCAGATTTTCAAAGATTTTAATTTGAAACATTTTCAAAATTCAATTATTTCTACAAATTCACGCTATAATCCTTTTAATATTCAATTATTATCTAAAACTAGCAAATGTTACGTGCGAAACGTGATATTCAATTTATTATTGTTATGCAAATTTTTTAAATAATTTCATAATCGAAATTTAAAAAATTCACTTATTAAGTACAAAATTAATTATTACTCTTCATATTTTCAAAAATTTTAATAAAATTTCACGAAAGAATTCAATTATTTTCTAAAATTTTAATAAATCCTTCTAAACAATTCAATTATTTTTTTAAATAGTAAAATCTTTACAAAAATCCAATGATTTTCAAAACAATTTTAATTAAATTCCTCCGAAGAATTCAATTTAAAAAAAAAATTTAACACATTTCGAAAAAATTCATTTTCTTTCTAAAATTTTAATAAATCCTTCGAAAAAATTCAATTATTTTTATAAATAGTAAAATTCTTCGCAAAAATTCAATTAATTTAATAAATAGTAAAATTCTTTGCAGGAATTCAATTATTTTCAAAACAATTTGAATTAAATTCCTCGGATGAATTCAAATATTTAAAAATATTTCCATAAATTTCAATTATTTCCTAAAATTTCAATAAATTCTTTGAAACAATTCAACTATATTTATAAATACTAAAATTTTTTACAGGAATTTAATTATTTTTAATTCAATTAAAATAAAATTACACGAGAAAATTTAATTATTTTCAAAAATTTCCATAAAATTCAATTTCAACAAGAATTTAAAATTCTCCAAAAATAATTCAATTATTCTCAAAAATATTTTTAAAAAATTCTATATAAAAATTAAATTACTTTCAATGCAATTTTAAAAACATATTCGTCAAAAAAATTGAAGGAATTCAGTTTTTTTTCAAAAAAAAAATAAATAAATAAAATTCTTCTGATAAATTCAATTATTATTTTGAATATGCTTGATTTTAATAAAAGTTTTTACAGAAATT